GGACGCCGGTCTCGCTCGGCTAGTCTATCCACGGGGGGACGGGAACAGCTCCGCGGGCTACAGCGTGAGGACTTGCAGCAGTATCGCAATTCCGACGTTAGCACCATCATGAGGGAGGAGTTTTTCCAGTCGAGTGTTTTCCGGGGGTTGGAGGGGCATGCTAACCCAAATGCGAATAATACTTCTATTTGAAGTTGGGGGGATTTACTTAGGGTTAGGGTGTGTCCATGTGTCTTTATGCAGGTACCTTCTAGCTTAGACTTGGTTGATTTGATTTTGGTTAATTTGTCCCATGTATCTGTCTATCTATTTACTATGTTTGTCTTTATTTAGTTATCCAACAGGTTGGATAACCTTGTATAGAATCCATTTGAATGAACATTGCAAAAAAAGATATAAATGAGGATCGTTCTTAGCAGTAAAACTACCGAGATATCGTTTAAAGGCTATATATTGATTGAAGACGCTCCAAACCCCACCAAACGCCGTTATAAAACAAAGCAGCAAGAGAAGGCCCGAAATAACTCTCTCACTCATTCCATATACACATAAATTTAGACCTATATATATGGACAGGTTTAATTTGCAAAACTAGGCAGAACCCTCTTCGAAAGTCGCTCCCACATCGAGTCGTCCGGTTTTGGGTTCGAGATTCGATGCCATTCGCCATTGAACGCATTGACGAGCCAGCTCGAGAGGCCTGTTTTGTCAGTCAGTGGAAAAGTGTCGGTGTGGAGCTGAAGGTGAACTTACGTTCATAGACCATGGTATGGGCATTGTGGAAGAATATGCTATGATCTGAATCAGGGTAGAAATGGACATCGTAGTTCTGGACGCCCGCGAGATCAAGGTTGTCGATTAGAGTGAGCGTGTTCTGGATGTGGACGTTATCATCCGAGGCGCCGTGGATGACGAGGAAGCGGACGCTGTTCTGCAGTGCGGACATGTCGCTTATGCTCGTGTTGCCGTAGCCGTCTGGGTTGTGTTCTGGGGTGTGCATGTACCGCTCTGTGTAGACGGAATCTATTCATCACGTTAGTTGGTCAACAGGAAACGACGATTTTGGGTGCCTACCGTAGAAGCGCCAGTCGGTGACAGGGGCAACAGCCATTCCGTATTGGAAGGTCTCGCCGGCATCTTGCTCGAGTGTCTTTAATGTCATGAACCCACCATAACTCCAGCCCCAGATCGCAATTCGGGATTCATCTACGTATTGCTTTTGAGCCCACTCTTTGGCGGCAGCAATCTGGTCAAGCGCTTCGTAGTACCCGATATTGCCTCGAATGATGCATCGCGCTTCTCGTCCGATGAAGCCAGTGCCTCTTCCGTCGACGGTGACGACAATGTATCCGAGACTCGACGCAACATACGTTTGGAAATCTACACTAAACTCGCGGTTCACGGTTTGAGATCCTGGGCCACCGTATAGGAAGAAAAGAACGGGGTACTTCTTCGCTGGGTTGAAATGCGGTGGTAGTCGCTCGACGACCTGGAGGGTAAAGCCGTCGACGGTGATATTTTGGTATTTTTCCGTTGGAAGAGCGTATTGACGGATCATTTTTTTCAAATCTGAGTTTTCCTCAATGGTTTTCAGTGTCGTAGTCTTGTCGCCCTCGGTACTGATGACCGTTTGCCACGGGACAGAGGGACCATTGTAACTGAGCACTGCATACCCAGTTCCATGCGAGAACGAGGCGCCGTAATAGCCTGGCTCCGAGGTGTCAGTCAACGGCTGTAGATTTGATCCGTCAAGTTGGACGCTGTACAGATGGCGCTGGGTCGGCGCCTCCTTGGTAGCTATGAAATAAACCAGACCCCGGGTCAGATCTACAGCAGCAGGCGCATTCACGACCTCCCACTCGCCAGAGGTAAGCATGATAGGCTCTGGGTTGTCTAGAGGGGCAAAGTATCCCAAATGATCGTATCCTTCATGAATAACCGTGTCGATATAGCCATCATATGGGCGTCCGTTCTCTGGATCGGCAGGAATGAATCTTGTCGATTGGGTCGGCTCTACCCATCCGCCATCCAGCTCGGACACATCTTGTATCCTGATAAGCGTGCTCTCCCGCAGTTTAGTGTCAACCAGGAAGAGCTTGAAGATGTCGCTTTCTCTATTCGTCGTCCGCACAAGTACCTTGCCTTCATTGGCCCAAACAACCTCGATTATAAGCCGGTCATCGTCGTTGAAGTCTTCGGGCGTTTCAACGGAGAATACTTCATTCGCGTCAACGTCGTAGAATTGTAGACTAACGAATGGGTTGGGTGCGCCGGCCTTTGGATACTTGATCTCCCTCACCTCCGGATAGTTTTCTAACCCTGGAGGCGGTGTCTTTCCTGATGGCCGAGACAAGTAATACTGAACAGGAAATTCAGGAACGGCCGACTCATTCGTTCGCATAAAGGCTATCTTGGAGCCATCTTCAGACCACCAAGTGACACTGTTTCCTGAAAAGACCTCCTCTTCGTATACCCAGTCAGGGGCGCCATAGAACAGCTGCTCGCCACCGTCCTTGGTGATGGGCACAACACTCTTGGCAGAAAGTTTTCGGAGATACAGGTTATTGCCACGGACAAAGGCAACGGCATCGGACTTGGGCGACCAGACAGCAAGCTGAATTCGCCCATCAATGTTGTCAGGGTCCAGGGGCTCGGCAGTTTGAGTTTCCACATCAAAAATCCAATATCTCCCGGTCGACGAATGTCTCCAGTTCTTCTCCATGTGAGAGGCAAGGAGTACTTTCTTCAAATTGGGACTCGGCTGTGTACCAGACGGCGAAATCGTCTGTTTGCCAACTTTGACAGAACTATTCTTCATCAATACCCTGTTCGTTTCGCCCTCCTTGCTGTGAATGTCGTTGATTCGCAAATAGCCGTCATCACTCTCCCCTCTCTCAACCAATAGCCCATCTTCGCCATCAGGCCCAGCAATCCAGGAAATCGCGTGACCCTTAGGCGCAAAGGCTCCTGAAAGCACTTGTTCCAACCTCACCGGTTTCCCAGAGTTTACGCCAGGCACATCAGGCCCAGGCTCATGCACTTGGAATATATCTGACGAGCGCTGAATACCGGAACGTCCATTGATCACAAACAGCACAAAAGCGAGCGCCCAACCCCCAACGCAAAGTAGAACCAGCAGCCAGACAAGTCGACGTGAACGACTACTTGTTGAAGATTTCGTTTGAAGGAACGATTCGTTGGCTTCGGTTTCTCCATCCTCCTCATCACGGTATCTTCCACCTCGGGACCCTCCTAGTGTATCGGCCGGTGCGACATTGAATTTCTGTTCTTCGAAGACGGAATCGACGGAGAATCCGGAGTCATCGGTGGTCGTAGAACTAGCGGAGGAACGGCGACGATTCATAGGGAGCAATTCGGACTCCTCGCGATCTTCGGAGCTACGCATCATGCCTTTTTGACTCAAAGGGCACTCGAGAGGAAGTCAATCGGGATCGAATGAGGGTCGGAAGTTCAGGCATCAATGAGTGACGCAGATCAAGGGAACGGCGCTTGACCGGGCTTAGGGAAGGGCAGAAGCGCAAAAACACGCCTCAGAGCGATGAATACAAGAGAAAGAGCTCAGACCGATCAAGCCATCTCAAAGGTTCGCAAAGAAGGAGAGAAAGGGGATGCAGGTGTGAAACATGTCAGACAGGCAGCGCGGAGGCGGAGAAACCTTGAGGCTCGGCGGAGGAAACAATAACCACCGCCACACGCTATTGATGCCTGTCTGGGACTGGTTCTGCCAGTTCCAATGTACAGTTTACGACGGGAAGTTGGCTGAGTGCCATAATAACTAATTCTAAATCATTTTTTACTAACTGGTTTGTGGTTTAGAGTCACAAGCTGGCTTATCGTGCTGAAATTACGAATAACGTCAGCCACCCTGTTCATGATGTACTCGCAATCCGCCACGATATGGAACAAAGTTCCAGTTTTAGTACAGACTTTGAATTTCTACCGTTACCTTACCCTTCCTCAGCGGAGTAATCTGGAGATAGTCCAGCCAGTGGCGGTGCATTTGAACGTGTAATCCATCATTGGAGCATTCGTAGTTCATCCCGGTCGACCAGCAAGATATCAAGTAACTCGGCACGACTTGCTCCATACGAGTGAAGCGTGACCGTTTAGGCTGGGGATCTCCATTATCGCCTGCGAGAGTTTAGGGTGTGATGACTGCAAATGCTTCATCCCTGGAGATTCGTGCCTGACAACAAGCAAGATTGGCTCACGAAGCTGGAATTTGGATGCCTGCTGTGGAGGGAGTGTCCGCCAAGGTCGCGGCATGCCGTAGCATCAGCGATCGCTATCCATTGGCATGGGAGCAAGCAGGATGAACAGACTCTGGTTGTGAATGGAATGCGTCTCGACGTCTTGTCGATCCTTCCGCCACGCCGGCGGGGCTACAGGGCTGAGGCACGCGAGAGACGAGTCACATATTTGCAGGGGGGATAATGAAAATAAGAATAGAAATGGAGTTTGGTTGGCGAATATTATTAGTTGGGAAGATATGGGGAAGGCCAGAAGGTTGAGTGACGCCAACCCCGTTTTTTGACTCCAGTCGACTCCAGATCCGTCGTCATCTCCTTTTCGCCTTCTTCTTTCTCTTCTTCCACCTGCCCCCCACCTCTCCTTTCACTTTGTCCTAGAGTTTCCTTCAACGTCTGTCGTTTTAGCTCGGAACGTCTCTGAAGCCTTATTAAAAATCGCAAGCCTCCGGTAGCCAGTACCTGAAACAGCCGGGAAGCTGCCCGAGAATAGACGTCATCGCGCCGGCCCACGCTAAATAGGCAGCCGGATTCCCATCCTTCGGGCTGATCCAGTCGCGACCGGCCCTTGTGCTTAGCCTCAATCACGCTGCAGCTTGCTTCTTTTATCACGGATTTATATCGGTATTTGGATTTGCGCTTCAGTCAGCTTACTTATATAAAATACCCAACCCCGCCGTCGTCGGCGGTCTCTCTTTTCTGGACACTCGTCTGATCAATCAATTGCGCAACATGCACGAGAGCAACGGGCTGGACTCAGCTGCCCCTCGCCCAGATGGCGGCATTGGTCACCAACAAATTCTCACCGGAAAGCAAGAACATTGTCGGTCTTCCGATTCCCCGGTTGTTGTAATGGGCGTATACTGACTGCAACAGACCTTAAGCGCGAGCTCATCTCCCTCCAGGTTCAACATGAAATCTCCGAACTAAACTCTCCAACCGCCCTTCGTCGCTTCGGTGCCCCCTTTAAATCGGAATTCGGAGAAGTCGCGCCCATCGATTCCGAACTTCCTATACTCCGGTTTATCTTCGTCCACCATGTTCGGGATTTCCCTTTCCTAGACCAGGCGCGGGAGAAGGAGTTTTGGCAGGACAAATTGCAGGTGGTGCGTATGCCGAGCTTTAGCCGCCCGATCCTGATAAAAGGCGGAACTAACAAGAAACGCAGTTCCTCGAATCCTTTGCGAATAAGAATGTGTCGTCATCCGAAGACCGCCTGGAAGAGACAAAGCGGAGAAAGTTGGCCCGGAAATGTGAGAAGCTTGTGGAACTCATGATGGTTTCTGGTATACCCACTGCATCTGGATATGAAGAGCGTATCCAATTTTCCGAGATGGAGGTCGTCGATCGTGGAGCCAATGAGAAAGGGCTACTCGTAAATATGCCTGAGGGAAACGCGATCAATGGTTGGGATATCAACGTCGCTGCTGTCAGAGTCACGTCCGTACGACGCACAGTCCGACACCATCAACATGCGGTATGTCAAGTAGTAGATATTTCATACGACATCGGACTAACTTGCGCTAGGAATTCATAATCCGTGTAAAGCGGGGTGGAAAGCCAGAGATTTTCGTCGCTCGACGGTTTGGCGACTTTGCCAGGCTCCAGAAGAGGCTGCATACTGAAGTTCCTGGCAAGGCGCTACCGCCTCTCCCGCGAAAGAACAAATCCTCATCAACTTCAACCTTGTGGTGGGGTGGCTCGACTGTGGAAGATGACGAGTCTTCTGTTTCATCTGTCTCAACTCAGGATACAAGCCTCGTAGAAGAGACGCGGTCCTCCCGAACCCTAGCTCCGCCAGATATTATTCAACGCGGCCGATCAAGGTCACGGAGCTCTGTGAGAAAATCACCCAGATCTTCTGCAGAGCGTCCCAGGGAGACAGTGCTGTTCCGGGAGGAGCAAAGAATTTCGCTACGCGCCTACCTCCGCACAATCTTGCAAAATAAGCGGTTAGCCGAGTCAAAGGCATTAGAAGAGTTTCTGACGGCAGATCCAATTGTCCCTGGTCAAGAGGAGACGCTTGACATGGGAAAACGAAAAGAAGTAGATGCTATTAGAGTAGAAGAGCAAAAGCGCTTCTACGAGATCGCACGGCAACGTGCGGCAGAGTTGGACGTGTACATGGAGAAGTTCCGGCGTGACATTGTTGAAAGCAGTGAGTTTGCGAGAATGCGGATCATGGGGTATAATTACGCTAACATGTCGATATCAGATGGATTGACCAAACTCTTTGCCGAGATTAAAGAGAAACAATGCGTCGAAGATCTAAGCCCTCAATATCAGAAGTTTGCCGAATGGCTACGCATCGAGTATGTCATAAACCATTTGTTGAATTTTTTTTTTTCTTAGCCCCTACTAATCCAACTAGGGTCGCGGCTACTTTGTACCACCTTTTCCTGGCCGAAGACAATTCGGCAGAGCTTTTCGCGCAGGCGAAACGGATTCATTCCTTGGTGCCATATACTCTGTTGAAGAATGTGATTCGAATCGCCAATCCGGCTGCTGTGATGACAGGGGTTTTGGATCTCTTCCTCGCTCAGCCTTTCGGTTCTCGGTCTCTCTTACAACGAATATTCTCCATGACGTTGCATGATGGAATCAAGGGATTTCAACGATCGATTGATGCGATGGCTGCTAAGGTTGACGACCCTGTCGTCGCCCAGAAGCTGAAAGCATTTACTGAGGCCGAAGAAGATGTCAAGAACGAGATTCGCCTCGAAGCTACTGAAGACGATGTAGACGTTGCTGTCGCTATTCTTCGATCAGAATTACTCCCACTCGAGCTGAACAACGAACAGATTGGCAAGGTGTTCAATTCATATGTTGCCTGGAATCACGCCGTGGAAAATGTGGACGAGGAAATGCGGGAGGGCGCACACTGGTTCGCCAATGTGAAGCAATTGCTGAAACTTTACACCCGGCAGGCAGATAAGGCCAAGATGCTGAATATCATAGAAGAGCCAGTGACCCTGCAGCTTTTCCGCGACCTTTTCACCATCTTCTACGAGCCACTTGTTCGTGTGTATAAATCGGCAAACGTCTACAATAGCATTACGGATTTCGCCAAGTTTGCTGACGACGCTATTGCAGTTATCGAAAAGTGCCAGAGACAGGATATCTCTGCGGATCCCAACCAAACAGTTCAGGCATTTATTGATCTCTGTGAACGACACCAAGCCAGTCTTTACAAGTTCATTCACGAAGTTCACCTTCACGACAACGGGCTTTTTGGGTCTTTGATGGCATGGATTGAAAACATTCTTGACTTCCTTCGGAACGGCCCAGGTGGTGGCAAGCTCGATATGAACGCTTTGTTTAGCGGAGGCAAGGACGTCGGCCAGATCAACCCCGACCTTGCTCGCGAGGAGATAGATAAGCTCATAAAGTGGCACGAGGATCGGAAGCAATGGCACCTCAACAAGACTCGGCAAAAGATGGCCGCCGAAGGAACGGCTTCTTCCCCCTTCCAAACTAAGTTTAAGGGGAGCGACTTTGGGTTGGACGAGGTATGTTATTAACAACTCAATTCAAAGCACACTAGAACTAACTCTGGACAGGCCGATCTTGATGCACTCGCTATCTCCGACGAAGATACCGATGGCTCTGCTGAACTTGAGGCCGAAGACGAGGCCGAAGAGGTAGATCCGATCGCCGTTGAACGGAAGCGGCGCTCGCGGCAACAGGTTCAACTGCGCCGTACAGCCGGCGAGCCCATCAAACCCGATGTTCAAGAGATCCTAAAGTTATCCGACTCGTTCAGCATTCTGCTGCGCCAGGTGCTTGCGGATTAAACTAATCGAGGCCGTTATTCCGTTCCGCTACGATACCCATCACATTTATCCGTACCCATATTGAAGATGCATATTGTGTTTCTTGGTTTGATACAGTGTTTGCATTGCATGGTTAGAGTAGAATATTGGTGTTGTATTTTATAGATTTCATTGAAGACCTGATTCTACTGGGCTCTATTGCGACAAGTAAGGAAGTCGTAAAGACTCCCCCAAATAAGTTTTTGCCGTCACATCATGATTCAGTGAGGACATGGAGTGAAATGTTAATTCTGAGGAAAGTACCAACCCCAAATCCTTTCAAATTTCATTTAATCATCACTCAAACCGACTTCAAATTAAAGAACCCAGCCAGCAAATAAAGTACACACTAAAAGCCCCGGTCTCGATCAGTGGATCTTCCGACCCAATCTTCCTGTGCGCGGCCTGCCGAATGACACCCCAGTTTCCATAGCGACCACCGCGCGCATCATCATTCGCTATCCATCTATCAGTAAGTCCACCTCTCTCTCTCTCTCTCCCACTTATCCTCAGCCAAAAATGTTCTCTTTTATCAAAATCTCAATTGAAATACGATGATAACTCCATATAAGCGCCGTCGTGGAGTCGGGGATGGCGGGGAAACACCCAAGTCCCCGCGCTCTGCTGTGCCCCTGCGGGGCCTTTTACTCGACGGCATATGGCGATGCAATTGTCCAGAGCGACCGCCGGCGGTGAAGCTGCAGACAAGAAACCATGGTGTTAACCATGGTCGATGGTGTATTACTGCCTCTTCCTCTTTATTGCTTTCTTGCTTTCTATCTCCCGCGATTCGGAGCTGTCTCAGTGGTCCAGAAATTTGGACTGCATGCACCATTAGAAACATATCATGGTCATACTTACAATAGCTAACTAATGTTTACCTGGGTCAGTCTACATCTGCCAGAAAGACCACCGACACCGCTGTAATTTCTTCCTATGGGCTAGCGACGCCGAAGCCCGCGAAAAGTACACCCTGCTCTCGAATACCCGCACCGAAGCCCCATCACCGTCTACGGCGTCTCAAACGGCCTCGCCGAAGACCATATCCGCGCAACAGGGTTCGGGCCTCCTAACACCGCAAACCGGTCAACAAGATAGGTACAGCGAGCCGCGGGCGCACCGGACATCCACGAGCGGGAGCGGAAGTGGAAGCGCAAATGCGAAAGCACGCATGATGACCGAAGACACCGGTGAGTTCGAGTGGGATGATTCGATGGATAGTGAGATGGAGAGGGTGGTCGAGAGTAGCCAGCCGCTGCGGCAACCGGAGTTTGGACTTCCAGCACGGAAAACACCGCGCACGGGACCTGTTACGAGTCCGGGGAAGAGGAAGCGGTCGGTTGATGATGACGGTGCGGAGAAAGGGGAGAAAGGTGTGCCCAGTACGCCGGGTGGTCCTGGGCAGGGGACGCCGTTCCTCACGCCCACGCCTACCAGATATAAAGATGTTATTTCTGGGATTGGGGAGTCGCCTCTTGCAACACCGTCAGATCTAGCTGCGCAGGTTTCCAAAATATTGGAGGGGCATGGAGTTGATGTTCCCGTCGCGGCAAGAGCAGAGTTGAAGGAGTTGCTGAACCGGCATGAGCTGAAGGCAAAGGGGATCCTTCGCGGGCGAGATATTTCGTGGAAGGCGTTGAAGAATAAGGATGAAGAGATTGCGAGGCTGAATGAGAGGATCTCAATGCTGGAATCGCAGCGGGAGTTAGATCGGATGGTGGGAAGACAGTAATCTGGTTTTATGGTTCGATACCCTGGTAAGTTAGCGTATATTTTGATTACCCTGCTGGCTCTTCGAGAACGTATTTAGTTAGTTTCAGATGGGCTTCCATAGCGGCTTTCAATCTAATGACATTGCAAGCACAAGTTATATACAAGAAAGTGTTTATTGAAGCAATCTATAGATAGCGGGGCACGTGACGGGCCGATAAGATCGGCAAAAAATAAAAAGTCCAGCAATGACAAAATCTCCAACGACAATTCCACAAACACTACACAAGCACCAAATCGAATGAAGCAAGCGCGTTGTACTGCCGAATAAACCTTTTCTAGTCACTGACATAAACGTCCATGGACCCTACGATCGAGAGCGACAGCCACAGTCCGCTCCGCAGCGAACTCCCCGAGATGTTTCGACCCCCCGTGAACCGCGCAATGCGGGTTCTGGACCGATCATTCTTCAGAAAGACGATACCGCTTTCCGCTGCGACTGTATTTAAGAATTCGGACATCTCAAGAGTGCGGGATAAACTGATGAAGAGCCGGGATCAATTCGCGCTGCCGCGTCTGAATAGCGTCAAGGAGATCAAGAAGGACGATATTGTGAGGAAATGCCTGCTGCTAAAGGAGGAAATTAAACACAACGGTATGCCTGGATCTGAGCGTGCAACGAATTGTGGTTGACAAGTTACAGATATCGCGACGTGGTCGCCTACTGTCAACGAGCTGGTCGATAGTGGGGCTGTTGGGCTCGGACCTTACGACTTGACGCTGGATTACGATTACTGGAATTATTGTGGGTTTTTTTTTTTGAACTGGCACACTTAGCATACCGGAAACTGACTTGCTTAGCTGATATTATTGCCGCGATCCTACCGGAGGATATGCTTGATGAGGTACCACAGGGCTTCACGCAGGTGGGACACGTCGGTAAGTCAAGCGGAATTCTTTCGTGCTTGTGTTGCAGGTCTGACCGATTAGCCCACTTGAACCTTCGCGAACAATACCTTCCATGGAAGCACCTAATTGCTCAGATCATCCTTGACAAGAACCCGACTATCCGCACCGTGATCAGGAAGACCGAAGATGTAGGCTCACAGAGCGAGTTCCGGACATTCCCATTTGAGCACCTAGAGGGTGAGCGCAACATGAACGTTGTTCAGCACGAGCAAGACTGCGAGTTCCACTTCGACTACTCTCGCGTATACTGGAATAGTCGTCTGGATACCGAGCACCGCAGACTCGTAGACAAATTCCAGCCCGGCGAGATGGTCTGCGACGTCATGGCCGGTGTTGGGCCATTTGCGGTTCCCGCGGGTAGGAAGAAGATCTTCGTTTGGGCCAATGACCTCAACCCACATGGGTACGAGGTGATGCAGGATGCCGTGAAAAGGAACAAGGTGCAGAGATTCGTCACTCCGCACAACCAAGACGGCAGGAAGTTCATCCAGTGGTCCGCGAAAGCCCTACTGGAAGAGGATCCCGTGACGGTCGCTATTCAACCGAAGGTGAAACGGTCGAGGAACGCGTCGAAGGAAGAGCAAGCACCTGCGCCTCCGCCAGAAGTGTTCGACCGTCCGAATGTTTTCGACCACTACGTGATGAACCTCCCCGGAAACGCGCTTGAATTCCTGGATGCATTCATTGGCGTCTACGAAGGCCACGAGGACTTGTTTGCACCGCACACCGAAAAGGCTCTCCCAATGGTCCATGTATACTGTTTCTCGGGTCACTCTGAGAACGAGATCGACGACCACATGGACATCTGCAACCGCATGTCCGAGAGACTAGACTACCCGATCAGCACGGAGGACCGGGTTGGGGGTTCTGGAAATACAGAGCTCGAGCTTTCCATCTACAATGTCAGACTGGTTAGCCCTAACAAACAGATGTTCTGTGCTAGTTTCCGACTTCCTCGCGATGTTGCGTTCAGGAAGAAGTGAGCAATATCCAGTTTCTGGGGTGGGATACATTTTGGGGTTTGCATAGCATCATGGCATAAGGCGTTTGGGAAAACTCTTCTCCATAGAATATAAATCGCTTGAACACATATTAATTTAATTAGTTGTATCTTAAGTAGACGCATTGAATAGGCCTTATACCTGATGCCTTGGGTAAAGCGGTGTTGGGCTGACCGCCCATTCTGCCGGTGACTTCTGGCTTTGTACCTGGAGAGTTTTCCCGCCTCCACACCAGATACGACTTCGAGATCAGCTCATTGACACGCCTTGTCCTAAACACAGCCTCCTCAACACCTCTGCCGCACATCGCTCAGTTATATATTTACATAATACGTCGAAAATAATACATACACGATGAGCGGCGTCTCCCTCCCCCCGGCAACACACCGCCAGCGCGCCCTCCCCCAAGGCGAGCTCGAAGCAGCCTCAACACTCAAGCTCGGCGCGGACCAGAATACGCATACGTTATCGCTTTCTGAAGCTCGCCTTGTCATCAACAAGGTGCTCGAGAACAAGCGGAGGGGCGGGAAGAAATATGAAGAGCCGGAGTAAGTAGGAGTTGCCCTGCCCCGCTATCTTACGTGGGACTTGAACGAAGCTGGGATGGGGGATAACTGATCGATAACTAATGATATTTCTTGTGGCTTGCAGGAACCTCACCAAGACGTTGGCATACCTTGAGCAGTTTGCCCGGTTCAAGGAAGAGGAGAACATCAAGGCTGTTGAGCGGTTGTTGAACTCGCATACAGAGCTGGAGATGTTTGAGCGATCGCAGCTTGGTATGACTTCCCGTTATCTATCATCCTCAATATTAGGATTTTAAACTGTGATGCGTTGTTGTCGTTGTTTCAAGCGCTAACGAATAACAGGGAGTTTATGCTGCGATAATGCAGAAGAGGCAAAGTCGCTTATCCCCAGTTTGCAAAACAAAATCTCCGACGGGGAGTTGCAGGAGCTGTTGGATGAGCTGACAAAGCTGAGAAATTTCACGGACTAGCTGCCTCCTTTTCTCTGTTTCGGTGGTTGCCCTGATTTGCTTTGCTATCGGGGCTGTGCATTTGTGTATAGTAGCATGGAGTTAGGAGTTTTGCGTCTAGAGGCGAATGTCATGCTGACACGCAAGTCCAGCCGTCATGGGTTTATCTAATCGCTGGCTATAAAATCATGATAACAAAGTGCTGGTTTGTAAAAGGCAAAGTCATGTAATGGTGTTTGATATCGACATTTGGTACTTGATATCATTGGACGTTGGGGGATATACTACATTGAGTCATAATTGGCAATGCCCGGTTTATATGCCTCGCATGTGAATGGAGTCCAATTTATGGGTGCATGGCGAGAAACATGGATGTGATCGGGAGCTTCCGGAAATCCAATTTGACCTGTAGCCCTAATTCCGATATCGCCCGTCGAGTCATAGCCTTCACTTAATCCCACCAATTATTGAATAGAACACGGGATTAACAGCAGCATTCTCAGGAAGGGATAAAGACTCTGGAGAGAAGAATATTCACCGGCCGAGGTCTTGAATCATCTCGAACACTCCGGATTTTACTCCGTAGTTCAACCGAAATCTCCCTAAGGCATGTCAGGTATGAATTCCCGCAGGATAAGGATAGGCTAAATTGATAAGGCTTGCAGGCTTGCAGTGGCGGAAATCAGGGCATATTATCGCCGATTATTATAGTCCGTGCATACTGCGATGCCCGATATTGCCTGATGTTTACTTGTTGATCATATTACATGCCCTTCAGCTAGATTCCCATATTCAATATCAGCGTCTTCTGTGTAACGTGATATCTCGACGGTTAAACAGCAAAGAGGTATCTCCAAATAAAGGTAATTAAGGCCAGTTGCCAAGACATCCGACAATGCGACACTTTTCCAGAAACGGAGCTCGATGCTCCGGCGGGCGGGGGGCCACATGCAAAGAAGCGTAAAATTTCCCCAGAGATGGGATTCCGAGTTTCTCCTAACCCATGTTTAAATTAGTAATGGGAACTCTGCCCCCGTCGCCTCCATCGAACCAGCGAGCTTGCAAGTCGAGGTCAGCAACGGAGTGATGCCCAAGCCCCGAGCCAGTCAAGTTATACCTGAGAGCTGGAGCTGTGAAGTGTGGGGAAAAGCCGCAATCCTGCAGGGCCGATCCCCGTTGCTCAATTTGGCACTAGTCCCGATTCACGAATCATGAGGGCTGTGATTGGGCCGCTGAGTTTGTTATCGCGGATTCTGATTGGCTGGGAGCTGGATTAGGTAATGGGTCGAGCGACGGGCTGCCCAGTCGGGTGGTTCCAGATTGAAATCAAGTTCCAAACCAGTGAGCTGGAGTGAGGTCATGCAGGCTCCCTCGACTTCCCCTGTGCGCACGACTTTCTTGGATCACAAGAGGACAAACTGAGAGATAATTCACAGGGGCAAGTGACCATGCAAGCCCAGTAGTGCAGCGCTGCCGCATCAGGGTTTGCCTCAGCGTTAGGTAACGGAACGGCCGACTGGGAAAACCAGTACGTAATACCAAGCCCGTTTCGGCAGCGGGCGAATCCACGACCCAATCAGGCAGAGGGGGCTTATCTCTGGCCTTTGAGGGCGCAGAAGCAGGAACCATCAACGAGGCCAAACGAGTGCTTTCTGTTACGTGTGGAAATCAACCTCACTTCACCTGCTTTCAGCACCGTGACGACCGCGGTGACTATTATATCATCCAGCTTTGGGCGTCGGGGAGGAACAGCAACGAGTCTCAAAATCTTAAAGATACCCGGCCTTTTCTCTGTAGCTCGAGCTCGGGGCGATAACTTTTGTAACTGAACTTGATACATATCACCGCCGGAGCCTCCGATTCCGCTCTGATAGATCTCCGTCCCTTTCCTCTCCGCCTGGAGATACCATTCCGTTACATCTGTGATTATCATTATCATTATCATTCTCCTCACTCGCTCGCCCATCGCGTCTGATAAGCTCCTGCGCTCCGGCTTCGTCTTGATAGCACAGCAGACGAGAGATCTCCTGCTCTCTTCCCCAACCCATTGGCTGCTGCTCCTGATCCCTGCCGGCCCTGGACTGTTCTCGATTGCCTGGTGGACTGTGCTTTTCGCATCTCCGGCTCTGTTCCGGATCTCGCCCATCGTCTCAGGTCTCCCAATCTCCCTTCCCCAGTAAACCCTCCTGGGGTTTGTCTGGCGGATTCCCGGGGACCCAGTTCATCGACTTCGTTACGTGACGGAATCGCGTTGATTCCGTCCTATCAATCTCCCGCCTTAACGTTGGAAAAGACGATCGTCTCCGCCCTATCTGCCCTCCAGCCTTTCCTCTTTTTTCTTTTACTCTATCTACTTCTATCGCCCCTCTATCGCCCCTTCTGAATGGCTACTGTTATCACTATCCAGTCGTCCTCGACGGCTGGTCTCCAGCAATCCTCTCCTTCAGACCGTCACCTTCTTCGTCCACTGGTGCAGAATAACCAGCAACAGCCGCTACAACCACAACTATCCCCCTCACCACCCGCCCCTATTGGTACTCTTCCTCGTCTCTCTGCGCAAGTCAGAGATGGACCCAGTTGTGACGCCTGTCTGCGCAGAAAGAGTCGGTGTGCAATGAACGAAATGGTCAACAAGTGTTACTCGTGCGACTTTCATCGCCAGGAGTGCACCTTCTCCTTGTCATCCTCCACCCCCACGGCCAGTCGCCCAAATACCGCAGACCACCCTTCAAAAAAGCGCAAGCTCGAGGAAGCTGTCCTGGATGTTGAATCCCCCAAAAGGTAATTCCAGCTGCCGATATGCATTACCAGAGTCAGGACGCTAATTGTTACTTACCAGCAGGCCGTCGACCGTTTCTAAACTCGACAGCACCGTGACTTTGAGCGAACACCGGCGCCTCAACACTGCCTACTGGCACCAAACGACTCAACACATTGGCCTCACTACTGAGCTGGAGCCCGCCCTTCTATCATATCTCCCGGTAGACCAGAACGACGAGAGCTTCGTAGCGACTTCTCGCGTGCGGAAACTTGGCGACGACGGCACGTTTATGCGAGTTGTAAACACGATGTCTCAGGCAGACAGCCCGACTGCCACGCTGGATTCAATTGAGAGCCTGGTTGCTCCTTATGGGTCTACCCTGGTAGAGCAGTTCTTCGAGCGCATTCACCCGACCTTCCCAATCTTATTGGAAGATGTCTTTCGTCAGTCATACAAGACCAGAAATGGCATCTCCCCGCTTCTACTCTCTGCCGTCTATGTTCTGGCTCTGAAATTTGCCGATATCGGACCAGCCTCACAGTCCGCACGGCGGCCTGATGCGGCTCGCCTGGAGGCCACTGCTTTGAAACTTCTCACCGAATCTCTACCATATGCATCATTATCGACAATTCAGGCCGGTCTTTTGCTTATGCAAAGGTCGACACTTGCAACAGCACCGCTGAATGCGCAGTTGGTGACTGCTGGATTCGAACTCGGTCTTCACCAGGATTGTTCCAATTGGCGAATGGAGACATGGGAGAAGGGACTCCGGAAACGTTTGGCATGGGCGCTTTACATGCAGGACAAGTGGTCAGCGATGGTACACGGACGACCTTCACATGTTGTTTCCTCCAACTGGACGGTCCAGGACCTTGTCGAAGATGACTTTACCGACGCCTTCGCCTCGACCTCATCTCAACCCGAAGACGCGCCTGTGGGCCATGGTCCGCTTTTCTTCTGCCACCTGGTAGCTCTTACCACGATTCTTTCCGACATTCTCGACCGATTTTACACGCTTCAGTCGATCGAAGAGTTCAAAGCTGCCGGGAACAACCGAACGCGGCTGATCTTGGAACGCGCCAAACCGGCTCAGATCCGTCTGAAGGACTGGTTTGCGCGCCTCCCTACACCGCTGAAATTGGATTCAGCCACCGATATCTTCGAGACGATTACAGAAGAAAACGCCCGAAACGGGGCACTACACCTTTCCTACTTTGCAACCGAAATAACCCTTCATCGCTGTATTGTGCGATCCCTTTCTCCCGACGCCACCGACGCATATCTCTCTCATATCTGCCGCTCAGCCGCCAAGACTCGACTCATCTCAGCGATGGACTTTGTGAACCGACTTCGACCGCCTCACCTACGGTCTTTCTGGCCGGCGGCATCTCGAACGCACTTTGCACTGATCGGGTCTTTTGGCATTCTCCTTCGTGTAACGGCACCGACCAAGGAGGAGGCCGAGTTTTACCGCCTCCGTCTGTGCGAGTACCGGTGGACACTGAGCGTGAGCAAGAAAGACGCCGAGTTCCTGGAGTTCGCGCTGGAAAGCCTGGACAACGCAACGGAGCTCGACCACCACGTTCCCGCGAAACCAGGCATCGACGAGCTGATGACTTCCTCGGCCAAACCTGTCACACAGCGACGGACGATGCATGAGAACTCGATGCTAGACCTAGACCCTCAACAAGGGGCCGAGTTTTCCGGACTAGCGTCCCCCGCTACCTCGATTAGCGAAGAGAGCATGCACGATGGTGCTTTGGCTCCGCTATAACCTCACGACTTACCTCACGCGATAATGACTTTTCTTTCGATCAGGCTTGCCGATTATACGGTTTATTTTGTAAAGCCGAGCTCATATTGATACCTCTTACGACGACTTCCCTGGATGGATGGACGAATATTTTTATTTGACTTGTATATATTCACGATGGTATTATAGACTGGATGGGTGATAGATTACAAAGCAATACTACTCGAATCTTGTATTATGAATATAAATTGCACCGTTATACTTCTAGTCATTCAATTGTAATCTAGTACCTAATCTTGCTTCCTATGACTTCTCCGCCAAATCCACCAAAACCCCAACCATCTCATCCGGAATACTCAAAAACGGCCAATGCGACGCCTTGAGCCTATAAGTAAGACAGTCCTCCCCCATCTTGTCCACCATAATTTCCTGCACAGGCGGCGGCAGCATCCCGTCCTCGTCGCAGATGATATACGCAACCGGGATCTGGCCCCAGGGCTCATAGGTAGCCGGGCCGAAAAAGACAGCGCGCGAGGTTTGCACCAGCTCGGACTGCCACTTCTTTTGGTCGTCTAAGGTTAGATCATGGAATGCGATGGAGGGGTCAGTGGCGCAGTAGACGTAGTCGCCCTGTACTGTTAGCCCTCACCCCTCACAAAAAGACAACGGGGTATATGCTGGTCCGTACATCAGCGTGCATCCAAGGCAAAAGCTCCCCACCAAGCATATCAACCAAACTCATCCCCTTATCCAAAGCAAAAGCAGCTAGATACGCAACTCTGCATACACCACCGGGTTTACGAATACCAGCAGCCGCACGATCCGTCTTGGATAAGCCCTCGACGGCGCAAGAGGCGACCACGCCGCCGTAGGAGTGCGCGACGACAATAACATCCTTCCCCTCTGCCTCGATGAGACGGGTTAGCACGGAGCGCAGGGACGAGACGTCGTCTTGCAGGGTTTTGGTTGGGGGCTCCGAGCCGACGGAGGGGTGGGGTGGCGTTTCGCAGGGGATGCCCTTTTCGAGGAGCTTTGCGGTGATCGAGGAGCTTTGCGGTGACGGTGGCGAAGGCAGATGGTTTTGTCCAGGCGCCGAGGGAGAAGACGATTGTTGGGGTGGTCATTGTGTCTTTAGTATTGGATTGGACTGGGAGTATAGCATTCTAGAGTATGGACTGGATAGGCTTCGTACTATTTATAAGGCTCTGGTATCCCCGCGTGGGATGCAATGGGGCTTTCCCCTCGTGGAGAGCTGAAGACGTTGTGTAAATCAGTGGAGTCCATATCCGAATGTTCAAGGATGGACAGAATGGTGGGGGTTTCTCCAGTGCGTATCCGATACATTAGGGCTGCTCCATGTACATGTGCATATAAGCCAGATAAAGCCAGCATTCAAGGAATATATGAAATATATGACTATATCTGGATATGAATAGCTGAATGACTGTTCTGCACTCGGGATTGCTTACATTAATCTTCTTAGACTTAATTCCGATCTCATTTCGGAAGTGTCCAGCACATCCGACCAGATGGATCCGATATATCGGATACAACTCTTCGAACACATTGGGCATTGACAAGTTAATACTACATCCGTAAGTGTTGGCATTAAGCCTAGCAGGCCTCCAAACACCATATACCTATATCAAGTTACAATCTCCTCAAAACAACCATCTTCCCACTGCTGCTCTCGTTCTCTACAATCCCAAACTCCTCGACATCCGCCCTCACCACCCCCTCCCTCTCGAGCCTGTCCACCTCAGCCCTATATCCCATCTCTTCCCAAACTCCCCCATGCACCGTCGCAACCACCAACCCCTCTCCACCCCCCTTGACAAGCCTCACAAACTCCGTAAAAACAGCCGGCCCAACATGCCCCTTCGTCAACGTCCCCACACAAACAACAACATCATACTCCGCATCCCCCCGTTTAATCCCACGGGGAACGTTCAAATCCGCCGTCTCAAGATCCCGATACACGCCTTTCCCCCTTGCAACATCCAACATGCCTATACTGAGATCAACCCCGTCAATAGCACTGATCTCGCCCAGGGGTGACCGGGCCAAACATTCGCCGACAAGACCCGTCCCGCACCCGGCGTCGAGGATGTTTAACTTTGACGAGTTATTATTGCTATCGCCGGTTGAACCTGAGATAAGTGATGGCGATGAAAGTGCTTTAAGGACAGCCTCGACACACCGTCGTGGGGATGCGTAGCTTGCGCTGTTGAGGTCCTTGTCGTACCCGGCAGCCCATTCGTTGTAGAGGTCTTGGGCGGAGGCAGAGGAGCCGAGAGCGAAGGCGCGTTGGAGGTAGAGGTCGACGGGGGCTGACATGGTATGATTCAGTAATTGAATGGAAGTGATGGAATAGTAGAGTTGATAGTTGTTGTTGGAGGAGAGAGTAGTTGGAGAATGTTGGAGATGAGGATGCGGGGAAGTTGCTCCACTCCGGCTGCTCCCGATGTATACACTATAAAATAATATTATCATGAGAATACTATCATGATAATATTATCGAGACGGATAATTAAACAGTCAAGGAGAAGTGAGGTTGAGTTTCTTAATGGTTGACTGTCTAACGCTTCTATACAAGAATGCATTGTCACTGACACTTATCCTGTCAGTAATCGAGTCTTGCAAATGTAGATGCTTATAATCAGTATCTTAACCAAAGACTACTACGTACCGCAGACGAAGGTCATGCCACCACAACAGTCTGCAGAGTTTATTACCAGAGCTTATTTCAAGTCTGACTTTATGACTTAAATACGTTGACATGCCAAGTCCTTCTCTAACCTATTTGCTTAACTGTTCGCTTTATTCTCACCATGTTCGCCAACTGGAGCCCTAAAGAATGCGCCAGATGGCAAGGACGATTAAACAACTGGTTCAACCAGCGAGTCTACGACAACGTCGACGCCCGAACACGACGCGAGTTTCAAGCTCTCATGGACTCATTCCCCTTGGACAGCCTGACCTTCGATCACAACTGCCTAGATGCCACCTTTGGGATCCGTCATAACCCATCTGGCGGTGGGATCTGGGAGTTACGCGACAGTGAGCTGGTGCCAGTGAGCCAGTGTGTCTTGGGTATATCTACCATTCAGTCAAACTATCCAAGCTAACTAATCTACTACCAGCCTTCGAACAAGAAGATACCGACCCAGCTTCCAGCTCTCTATGGACGAAAACACTCATCCGCACACGTTTATCCGCTATACTCCAATTTCTCACCGACATCAACGACGGGACCGTATCGTCCATCGCCGACATCAACGCCGGATACTGGAAGTTCGAGAAAAGCCAGGTCCGCCGGTGGACGAAGTACAAGGGCTCCAGGGTCTTTCTGAACTGCTCCGCCAATTACATGCTCTGGCACGGCGGTCCGCAGGAACTAGATGTTAGTCTTGTTGTTGTGGAGGCGGCGAGGGAGGGGAATGCGCTGTCTGCGATGCGGATGGCTTTGCCTTCGATGGGTTTGTATATACCAGCACACTCTACCACGATTGAATCTAACAGTGGATAATAGGAATGATCCACCGGGCCAGAAAGGACGCTGACAGACTGAACTGTTCTGTGTTTGGGATAGGTACGGACGGCTATCAATGGGTGTTTGCTGCGATTGATAACAACTCTGAGGTATGACCCTCTCCTAGTTTACTAGCTATAGCTGACAGGGCGCAGTACTCTTGGATTAGCATAGAATGGGACACGCTCGAGAACCAGACTCAAATAGTCAGCCACCTGAGCAGGATCATGCGACGGACAGCCTTTCTGGCAGCTGGCAGTATCAATATCCCAGGACCCAGCGTTAGTCAGATAACCGGATGCACAATCACGAGCGAAGTCATGGAATAAAACTAGGGTTTACTCTGCTAAATGGCCAAAGACGAGGTCCTAACCAGAGTACAGACCGGTCGAATAGCAACGGCCAAGAACGCAGTGTGCCATGGAACCAAAGTTCGAGCAGCGACGATACGGAGCGTCTCCGGCTTAAAAAAAAATGGCTCAGGACTTGGAGTCTAGACATAATGTTAATGAATGACTGGTTCTTGGGGAAGAGGTCCACTACTCAGTGCATCGGCCTTCTCCGGACCTTCCTGGACAAAGGGCTCTTCTCTCTACCTTTGTTGGGATTTGGAATCTGTCCAGCCTGAGCTTCAAGCCTGTTCCATCCATAGTCACCTATTCTGGTATCCTGATCTATCGCAGACAATGAAATCATTAATTATTCAAATAAATTTTTAATTTTTAATATGAATTACCAAGTATTCCCGGTGATGCGACCGGCGAACTTCCCCTCGTCGGGATCCCCGAGTTAGGCCGAGTTAGGGCTAAACGGCTGTTATACAATCTCTATACAAGAGCAACGACGATCACCAACTCAGCCCAAGTATCGTAGGAGATCTCCTCATTCCAGGCCGGAAAGCTCCGTCAGCCACTCCGAAATCGCCAGCCAGATCCAGAGCTAAGTAAAACCAAAGCCAGCCAGTGAGCGACTATAGGCGAACCATAGTTCGTCCCTTTCCAGTCCTGCGGAATGTCACCTCGCACCTCTCCCCAAGATCACCGTCACCATTCCAATGAGCTTATATCCCGCGGATCCACACGATCGAGACATGGAATGTCACCGATTTTAAGGTTACCCTGCAAGCTCCTTAAGACTGACGCGCCGGGTCGCCGCCCCGAGATCCAACCACGGAATGATCCTGCGCAGCTCTTTATTCTCCAGTCTTTGTGCTGGTCGGAATACTTATATCTCCTCCTGCTAGTTTGGTCTATCTGCTGCTTGTTCGACTAACCCACAGCTGATAATGTGAACTGGATAGGATGACCTCGACTGCAGACAGGGTCGACGACATCGACTACCAGATCTGGATCGGCACAGTCGTCACCGTCGTGGCTGCGACTGTCGCCGTGACGCTGCGTTTCGTGTCGCGCCATCTTGCAAGGTCTGGCTACTGGTGGGATGACTGGGTGATTGTAGCCTCACTGGTATATATATACTATGATTCTATCAAGCAGAGCTAATATCGGTAGATCGTCAATTGGGGCATGGCAGCCACGCGCTGGGCGCAAGTCCTCCTATTTGGCTTTGGAAGACACAACGAAGACAATGCGGTCGAGAGCATAGTCGGATATCAAAAGGTGCCCTATATCACCCATATACATATGTGTGTGCGTGTGTACTAACAGAACAGAGCTTCATGGCCATCCAAATCGTCTACTTCACCAACGCAGTCCTCACAAAATCCTCCCTCCTCCTCTTCTACCAGCGCATCTTCGGCATCGTCAAATCCTTCCGCTACACCCTCTGGATCTCCTGGTTCCTCATAACCGGCTACTTCGTCGCCTGCGTCATCGCCTCAATCGCAGGCTGCAATCCCCCCTCCTATATCTGGGACCGCTTCCGCGACCCAAATACCCCCGGCGGCTGCTTCGACGAAGTCGCCTTCTTTCGCTGGAACGGCCTGGCGAACCTCCTCCTCGACGTCCTAATGCTCGTCCTGCCCCTGCCGATGGTATGGCGCATGCGCACGAGTCGCCGGCAGAAAGTCCTCTTGACGGGCATTTTCCTCATGGGGAGTTTGTACGTACCTTCAATACACTTACAGTTATAGTTAGGGTGCTAACTTAGCAGCGTCTGCGTCGTCTCCCTCCTACGCATCATCTCCTTCGATGTCTCCGACCGCCGCGACCCAACATACACGCAGGTCCCCTCGTCAACGTGGTCGTCCGTCGAGCAAGGGATTGGCATTGTGTGCGCGTGTCTGCCGACCCTGCGTCCGCTGCGCCGTCTGTGCGCGTGCGGCGGTCGGTTCCGGCGCGACTCGTGGAAGCGCAGCGCGAGTAGCACCAGTGCGTCGAACTCGAACTCGAACTCGAATCGATCGTCGGGGTTTGAGCGGAGGGGGGTGGTGCAGATGGGGGCGGGTGGTGGTGGTGATGGTCATTGCGGCGAGGGGGAGGGGAGAAGGTGGGCGGACTACGCGGGGCCGGGGCTGAGGCCTGGTCCTGGGTCTAATCCTGGCACTGATCCTGGGTCTGGGTTTGAGCACGGTCGTGGTCTTGATCCTGATCGAGATCCTGTCGGGGCTTATGCGCACCCGGGCCTTTGGGGAGAGATTGAGACTGGGAGCGGGGTTGATGAGAGGGGGATTACTGCGAGGGGCGAAGTTTAGATGCAAAGTTGTATTATATACATATTCTAATGACTAGTAATGAGAATACATATTCACTGCTACAATCAAGTCGCAACTTGACTATATATATAACTTACCAGACAGTCTTGGTTTAGGGCTTCAACTGTTGCACCCGATGCTGACAGCCACCATAATGCCATGACATTAATGTTATCTGGTACCCCTATCTGGTCCGCAAACCAGACAGTGTACTTCCGCGAGAGGAGTAGCCCAACATCCAGTCACACAACCAGCCACACTCGACAAGACAAATACCACACTGGTGTTGCGCGCGGTTCCTTGAACTCGACTGTCCCCCAAGAGGCACGAACATCCGTCTGCACGACAAGCCGAACTATTGGCATCCCTTTCGGCTGGAAGCCGCCCCTTGCTTCAGTGTCTCCAGTTGGAAATTAACTCCGGCCAAATGAAAATGATGAAGAAACTGGAACCCTTTCATTGCACTGGCCCTTGAACGCGACAACGCGTAAGTCCGAGACTGCGTCGTCAGTTGTGACGAGCGAGCCCTATGGAGTCGTTGCCCCTTCCAACATGAATCATTTCCTGCCCTCGGAGAATACGATGGTAAATGCAAGCAATATTGCAGGGGAGTTCTCCCAAGATGCTAATTCGTTTCCCATCTGTCTTCCCGACGGCGATGTATCAGTTCGCCATCCGCCATTTATCCCGTGTGGCCACTCTAGTAGCAGGGATGGCCCAATTCGAGCTCTGCGATGCAACCAGAGGGACATGCTTTTGTGGCAAAAAGACGAGGCGCAAAGATCGATCGAGCTCCTGATCGTAGTCCCTGATCGAATTCATGATGCAGTTCGCCGATGGCCCAGATTCAGAATGCATCGCCAAAAATACCACCGCCCCCCGACTGCCGCGGGTGGAGCTCTGAGGATTTGTTGAGAAGTGACAGACGTCGAGCCTCTCCATCTTCCTAGTGGGTCTTGCTTTCGCCTTTTGTATGTATCACTCCCAAACCAGTCCCCCGGGACCACCGCGGGATATTCATTGTTTGACGCCTTTCCTATCCCAGAGACCTAGACTGAAGTCTATTAAGCCACATGGCAAGAAATGACCGGAAAGGATGTGAATGATCCGCGAGCCGTGGACTCTCACCCGGGAGGGAAACGCCGCCAAAGCGTAATGGGGGTTGCGCAAATCAGTGGAGTTACTTGGTGGATGGAGTCTGGCACCCGATACATAAACAATTGCCAAAGTACAAACTCTCTTCGGAAGCAAGATCCTGATAGTGTGCTGTGAGAAATGAAACAATCTGCTGGATGTAAGCGTGCGTGCATATGGCAGCGGCTGTAACCTAAGTAAACCTCACGTTGCCTGTGGTGGACGTGGTCGAGCGTGGTTCATCCCCGTCGGGGCAAATCCATTGCATCGAGTCCGGATACACACAGGAAGGGTTTGAAGTTTGAAACGATAAGTACGGGGCCTACAAAGGTGTGCGTCATTCCCCGGTCGATTCATCTATTTCTGTCAGTGTTCAGGCTGTTTCTGCGGGGCTGAGAGATAATGAGATTATACTCGTTATCGTCCGATACTGGTACCAAACCACGGTTCATCGGTTTCCCAGAAGCAAAACATTCTCTAACTGGCATAAATAAAAACTCTGAAGGCCTCTTGTGGGGGCATCGCTTGCGTATCAGGAAACCGCAAGACGTTTGGCGCCTGTCCCTATGCGATAGATCAAATTCATACGTAGATTCGTCGTTGCTCGGGCCTCAACCCACAAGCCACATCTGCACGGTTTCCTGGCAGCTGGTATCCTCTCACACCCACCAGGAAGTCGGCTGAAGTTTTGGCGTCATTGAAACTTGATGGATGATCATAGGCAATCATGCAAAAAAAGAAATTATTAAAAAGCAGGCCCGTTTCCCCGCAAAACATGAGCAGTTTCGACTTTCGCCTCCCTCCCAGTCGCGACTTGAGGATTTAGGGTTCTCGCACTGCACTAATAACCGGCCAGCGTCGCCCACTCGCCCTGCGACCAGGGTCTGTGTGTTGCTGTCCAAATGCTGCTGCCCTTCTTCTCTTAATGCAGGTGCCCGATGAGGCACTTCGGAGTTGACTCGTGACGATCAATAACAGTAAGCAGTTCAACTACCGTCGTTGGGTCCAAGATCCGTTGCAGAAACCGGCCTGAATCGTGAACTTCAGCCGTGGCCTCAGGGAAGTGTCTGTAGCTCCAAGTAGGATATTCCAGGCCCAAGTTTATGGTTCTCGGTCGGGTAAAGAATAAGCTCCGTTCCTGAGGGCACTGTCAGTAGACTTTGGGAACCATGGTCGGGATGTCAGTGATCAGCGGTCAGCAACGCACGGATGTTGCGTCTTTCTCCAGCTTTGCCAAAGCGGTATGTCGTTAAGACTCCCAAAGGAACAGTTCCCACTGGCGGGGGTATGGTTTCCAGACGCAACTATCGAGCGGGTCAGCGCGGTTTCGTGTGGATGTGCAGGTTCATTGGTTTTCTATTTTGCCACTCCAGAAGAGACGAAAGAGAGCTTGCATAGTCTCTGTGCTCGATCCCCGATCAGGCCGTGGGCCATTCATTGAATTGCGAGTCAAGCTCGAAGTAGCGTCCTGACACGCCGAGACGTCTGGGATGCTCCTGTTGACAAATCAAGATAATCCGGTGGCCCAATGGCCGGGAATATCCAGAATCAAATTTCACTTCTGGAAATTGTGGCGATTGCATTTCCCATCTCGAGCTGGGAGAGCGAGTCGGCAATTTCGACCGTTCCTCATGTGGCCAGGCTATTACACCAGCGCCTGCGAGACGGTCGTAGACGATCGGCATCGATACAGCGAATGTGGAACAATAGTCGTCCAGGAGCTCTAGATCAAGCTACTGGCTTTCCCAGAGTTTCCCAATGTAGCCGCAAACTCGGTGCCATGGACGCCCGTCCAGCTTCCGAAACTTATTCTGATAGCATCTTGCCTGCGTATGAACCGCGGGGTGACAACCGTGAAGTTTCATTGCTCAACTGCCCTCGTCTAGAGGATGATCACCATAAAAAAATAAGCTTCCCAGCTTGTAGAGCATACGAGTTTCTCAAGTCGTTGTAGAGAAGAAGCAAATCCTGGTCAAGAAGAAACGGACGGGGATCAAGCGCCCAACGTCCCAGGATATGGAGACTTTCGGTTCACCAATTGGATGATCTTTCTCCAGTGGCTGGACCTTTTTGCTCTGTATGTATTTGTTTTCCTTGCATTAGCCTGAACGTCATGTCAGCCACAAGGATGTACTGACAGAGACAGTCGGCCAAGAATCCTAAAGACGTACTTTTTTTTTCCGTTGCACCTTTAGTTCTTGACCCAATCAGAGCACTGCTGCTGTTGACAGAAATGATATATTTGGGTTCGCCCAACTCTCCTCGATTGCTTCAGGTCAAAAGCTGAGCCAACAGTCTACATCCGGCTATTTTCCAACTCTCTCCTCAACCTTCTCATACCTGCACGCACCCAGAGTTAATCGAAGATATCAGAACTTAAGTCGGTGTATCTCACCAAGCATGACAAGTCCAACATATAGAATGGACCCATTGGGGCAACCCGGAATGGTCAAGGACGAAGAGCACCGTCAGATGGTATCGTATCACGATATGACTGCTCAGTCAGGGTCGAATGTAGGAACCCGGGGATGCGCCCGCTTCAGAATGATGACCTGTACTAACCATGACCCCGTATAGGACTTCCAGTGTCACCAGCCCACTCAATTTGCGCTCCCATACTCTCACTTTGCCATCATGTACATCGACCACCGAGGAGAACTCCAGGCCGAAACATCATCATCCATCACCGGATACGAGAAGGCAATTTTCACAGACGAAGTGCAAGACCGGTTTTTGAAATTGGCCAATGGAGAATGGCAGCCCAATGTGCAAAACATTCACTCAGGTAAGTCGGGGAAGAAAGAGAAGTTCAAGTTATGTGAAGTGAAGGAAGCCGAGAAGCTCACTCTTTCCCAAACAGACATGGCCTTGTCCAACTCTACTACTCCAAGTTCCTGGTACCACCCAACCCAAGCACGACCCGTAGGCCTCATTCCTTGCGAGTGGCAGTCGCTCCAGAACAAGCGGCACAGGCGCGGTCTGCGACGCGTTGACTCAGGTACCGGACACGGATGGGAGCCTCCATCTCCCAGCCCGACCCTTAAGAGATCAACTCTCCGGGTCGGGCAGACGAAGCTTCTAAGAGCGTACTACGAAAAGGCATTTGATTGTTTCCAGCAACTCAACTGCCGAGTGATTGCAAAGGCTTTTGTCAAGCTGGTTGAGCCCCGAAAACAAGTCATGCATCCATACAATGGTCGAAGAACAGTGGCCGGATCCTCCCAAGAGAATGACCCCGAAAAGACGAAGCCGAAATGGTGGCCCACTGGAGTAACACATAAGGAACCTGATCACCTGGGCAAGCCTGGTAAGATCCTTGTACCTGTCCCTGTGCCATGTTTGTTGGTGGTGCTAAATGAACCTGTCCTTGCAGAACGAATTCGATTGCTCGTACATATCCTCTGTGAGCTGAGGGAGAGTCATGGGGTCACTGCAGAGAAGCTGAAGGATGCTGGACAAGATGTAAGACGGCAGATAGTACCAGCAATGCGCTTACAAGTTCTGGATGAAATTTATTATGTTCGCGGGATGGAGGAACTTTACTTGGATGGAAAAATCAGTATGACTTCTCCCATTCCTGCTCAGATGGATCAAAGCACTAACGTCTTGTCAACCTAACAGGTGGCGACACCACAATCCATGTGTCCCATGTCCATATGGAGGAGGAGCTACAAGGACAAGTGATCAGCAACAATACTTACGACCCGCTGGCCACGATGCCAACCGTACAAAGAGATCAACAGACCGTACGCAGATCACAGCGGGACATACCTATAATTTCAGAAGACAGCCATTACCCGATCATGAGAAGCAACAAACGACCAGCCGACTCCGATTGTTACCAACCCATATCACCGGCGTCATCCTCTCCGTCAGTCAGCCGCAAGAGTTCCATGGAGAGAAACCTCCCTGCCTATTCATCCGACATAGACCCGGCTATACTATCGGGGACTGAGCCCGTCAGAAGTCCGTTAGAGCCCCAGGGCCTCCACGCTGCAGGGCCTACCTCTATACCCGACTACTTTGCCCACCAGTTCGCAACGCCATCTACCGCACACAGCACCCATCCCGGATATTGGGGCACACTGGCGGCGCCTAATGTGCACCCGCAGTTTGCCTTTACCGGATATTGAATATATATTGCGGCCTTGAGGCCACAGGTCACACGACGTATCTTATACATATTTTCGTTTCTCTGTCATTTGCTTTTTTGTGCCGTTATAGCGGATATTTGGTATATATGGGAGCTTTTATGGACATATACATTAATCATATTTTCTTTCGGGTTGCCCAGGATAGCAACAGATATTTTGAGGAAGCTTGAACAATATTTCACATTTCCTATGTTCGTGTGGCTAGATGTATAAACGTCCGGTTTGACGTCTCACCGTGTACACAGTAAATTCTGAGACTAGGGCATGGAATAATTTTAACATTATTAAAAAAAAAAAAAAAAAAAAAAAAAAAATAGATATCATACAAGTGACCAATACACAATTTGAGCGCCTGGCTTATCTTATCGGTCACTGAATATATGTAGGCTCGCTGCGAAGCCTGCGAGTCACTCAGTAAGGCTGCTGGAAGGCTGTACCCTGAATATGTATGCCTGAGGTATCTATTGCCACCCATGATGGAACCTTCAGGCCCCGCTATGGTGCAGATCCCGTGGCCAGACCCCCAACTCAAGCTTCAACCAACCACAAGCTGCAACGCGTGCACACGCAAAACATCGTCACTCCCACTTGTTCCCAGCTTCTCTTTGCAACTTCGTGAGCCCTCCCTCCTTCGCCGCCCCGTGGTCGCTTTCAGTCCGTCCGATATTCGTCCCTCCCAAACACTGGTCCAGTCATGCGCCTTGGACGTTAACGATCACTGGCGCATTCGTGGTCTCGATTCCCCAACATATCCAGAGTTCGTCCTTCGTTCGCGCCGCTGAGGGCCTGATAAGTCAGTACTACATCTAAAGCGGAAGGTATGTCCCTACTACCCCCCCACCTCCAAGATCCTTTGCCATGAGTCAATAAAGGCTTCCGTATATCTTCTCTCTGCCCCTCCCTTCCTCTTTTTTGTCTTCTATCCGCTCTCAACTCTCCCCGCCTCGTCCGCGAGTGCTAGCGATCTTGTTTACTTCTTCGTTGCGAAGTCGGTAGATGAACGATGGGCTTGCTAACACTCGCGCGTTTTCTCAGTCGGCCATACCCACACGACACGCGTGGCGGCCCTACGATATTCTCCTTCCAGCAGAAACTGATCATGGACGAAGGCGGCCCTTATCAGCGACGAAAGTCGGATGCGAAAGGCGGAGAGACGCCTGAGCTACAACCTGTGAATATAGAAGATATATTGGATTCGGAGTCTGATTATTTCTACTCTCCGCCGGGGTCCCCGAGCACCAGGCCTCGACTCTCGCGCAGTTCTTTCTCCTATCAAGATGACTGGGAAACGTTCCCACCCCTCGACCAACTCACCGTTTTTGACCTCCTCGACAATTTATCCTTGTCTCAGAGACTCGAGAGAATACAGCAGTCTCTAAGCTCGCAGAGAGACAAGGTCAAGAAACAGCAAGAGAAGCTAAGGTCAACCTCGAAGAATGCTAGGGACCGTGTCGTGGGCGAATGGAAACGAAGAGTGCCCACTGCTGATGAACAGCTGGAGAAATACCGCCGTCGAATGAAGACCGGGGTTGAGCGTCTATCTCGACGGTGGAACGCAGCCTCCGCAGTCACTCTGCGGGAGAAGATCTCGTTCATAGCGGGTGTTCTCAACATTTTCATCAGCGGCTATCTGCTTGGATCGTACCCTGAATACTTCTATATCTGGTTCAGCGCGCAACTCGCCTACTTTATGCCGATCCGGTTCTACAGGTACCGCTCAATCGGATACCACTACTTCCTGGCGGATCTCTGTTACTTCGTCAATTTACTCTGTATGCTCTCCATGTGGGGGTTCCCGAAGTCAAAGAGACTCTTTATCAGCACCTTCTGCTTGGTATTCGGCAATAATGCAGTTGCGATTGCCATGTGGCGGAACTCTATGGTCTTCCATAGTATGGACAAGGTCGTCAGGTGAGTAGTATTCTTGTTTGTGCCCAATTTATTTTGCAGCATCACTAACTGAGCACCATAGTCTCTTCATCCATATAATGCCGCCAGTCTCCCTCCACTGCCTTGTTCATATGACGCCATTGGAAATGTTGAAGGAGCGGTTCCCGGCGATTTATGAAATCAAGACGAGCGAACCCGGTTCCCCTGAGCATTTCGGGCTCGGGTCCATGGTTATATGGGCGACGGTTCCCTATATTGTCTGGCAGCTGTCTTATCACTTGTTTATCACCGTCCGTCGCGCGGATAAGATTGCGGCAGGGCGCCCGACCAGTTTTACCTGGCTTCGCAAATCATATGCAAAGGCTTGGATCGGCCGAATCGTCCTTAGCCTTCCTGAATACCTGCAAGCCCCCGCATTTATGGTGATTCAATATCTCTATGCGGTTTTGACCATGCTTCCATGTCCTCTCTGGCTTTGGTCGCGGTGGGCGAGTGGAATTTTCATCACCGGTCTGTTCATTTTGAGTATCCACAACGGTGCCACGTACTATATTGATGTATTCGGCAAACGCTTCCAAAAGGAGCTTGAGGAGTTAAAGAGGGATGTCGCACGTTGGCAATCCAGTCCCGAAGGAATGGGCCCCATGACTCCCGCAATAGACGCCACCGTTGGTAGTCCCGAAGGAAAGCCAGATATATCTCAGGACAACAACTCGGAAAAGGCCAGCCTTGAAAAGATCCCCCTTCTCGACTCCACTGGAGTCTCGACCGCTATTGAAAGCAGCACGAAATGAATCGATACCAACACTACACAACAGAACTATTATTAATATCCCCTGGTTTATCTCTCTTCGGAATATTGTTTTGAAATTCCTGCCGCATTTAAATAGTCGCCTCGCCTCATGATACCCAACTTTTGATCCGGTCGCTCCCTTGTATAGCCTTTCGCTATCGTTAATACTTGCCCTGTATACGAAGACATGGCTTTTTGACTTGTTGATTTTCCGTTGTTACTTAGTCTTGCGTACTTCCTATTTGATTACAGCTTATTAGAATGATGGTAGATGTCTCTCCAATGTTAACAGCCCATAACACGTTGTGGATATTAATTCTGTGAACTAAAATATTGTGTTGTGTTAACTTCATTAATTTCACTGTACACAGTTTTTAAGGCCTTTTTTAAGGCACTTTTAAAGTTGCTGATGCCAAGGCTTGGCGGGGGGCGAACCGGGGAAAACCCATAACTCCGAGATCACGTGTGCACCGCCCGGCTCTGCTTGCGGACTTCGTTGCAGGATGAGATGGCGCACACATCACCGCCAGCCACTCATTGCAATTCGATTCATCAATCTTGACCGTGCCAGCAAATTTTTTGACAACTCCTTAATTGTTTACTAAAGTTGTTGTGCCTTTTTTCTGTTCTCGCTCGCTCCCTCGAGCACCCTGAATTCTACTAGGCTTCCGCCATGTCCGTCACTATGAGGTCCGCCCGACTGCTGCGTACCAATCCAGTCCTTAGGCCCAACTTCATCGGTGAGTCCTCCCTCCGTCGGATGCTTCTTATTCTTGTGCAAATTCTTCTTGCGCCTTCGGAATCCTTGTGCTCATCCTTCCCCTTAACCAGCCCGACCGCGTTATACCGGAGCTCTAGGCGCAGTCAACGCAACAACCCTCCGATTGACCGGAAGAGACTTCCCATCCCAAGTATCGGCCCTCGCGATCCTAGTTCCGAAGCGAGGATACGCTACAGAACAATCAACATCCACGTCTAGTTCTTCGGACCTACCACCTCCCGGCTTTAACGCGGAGCAAGCCAAGAAACCCATTCCGGCCGATCAGGCCAAGTCTGTGAGCGCCAAGGCAGGCCAACAAACCAAGCCCGAGGGTGCTCTTTCGGTGCCGACGCAGAATGTTGCTCAGAATAAGGGCAAGGAGGGTGGTTTAGTAACAAAGGCTGAGGAAAAGAAGGCTGGGGAAGAGGCGAAGAAGGAGGCTAAGAAGTTGACTATCGGGCAAAAGATCAAGAAGGAAGTTCAGCATTACTGGGACGGTACGAAGCTTCTTGCTACTGAGGTGCGGATTAGCTCAAGGCTTGCGTTGAAGATGGCCGGTGGATATGAGCTCAGCCGGAGAGAACATAGACAGGTTAGTTTATCAAGGATGCCAGTTCTATTTGGAATTTACTAACGCTTTCTAGTTGAAACGAACCGTCACTGATCTTGGTCGGTTGGTTCCATTCTCCATGTTTGTTATCATCCCGTTTGCTGAGTTGCTGCTGCCTGTTGCGCTCAAGCTGTTCCCCAACCTCCTACCTAGCACATATGAGGGCAACTCTACCCGTGAGAAGAAGGCGCTAAGTCTGAGCTCTACCCGGAAGGAAGTTTCTACGTTCCTGAAGAACACACTAAAGGAGTCGGGCCTTCCTGTGACTGCAGCGACGGTCAGAAACGAGGAGTTTGCCGAGTTCTTCAAGAAGATCCGAAGTACCGGGGAGGCGCCATCCAGGCAAGATGTCATCAAGGTTTGCAAGATCTTCAAGGATGACCTTACTCTGGACAACTTGTCCCGACCTCAGCTCGTTGGTATCTGCAAATACATGAACCTCAACGCCTTCGGAACCGACGCAATGCTCCGGTATAACATTCGCCACCGCATGCGCCAGATCAAGCGGGATGACCGTGCGATTTTCTACGAAGGAGTCGAGTCTCTCTCTGTTCCTGAGCTGCAGATGGCATGTGCTTCTCGGGGTATCCGTACCCACGGCGTTTCCCCCGCTCGCCTGCGCGAGGATATTACGCAGTGGCTCGACCTTCGATTGAAGCAGGGCGTCCCCTCGACCTTGCTAGTCCTCAGCAACGCATACGTCTACGCGCAGGGCGGTAAGGAGGCGGAGATGTCCACCCAGATCGAGTCTCTCCAGTCTGTTCTGTCGAGTATTCCTGAGGAACTCTTCCACGAGATTGAGCTCGAGGTGCACAACGCCGAGGGTGCCGCCACCAACAAGCAGCGCTTGGAGGTCATCAAGGAGCAGCAAGAGCTCATTGAGGAGGAGAACCAGCAGAATGAAGAGAACGAAGAGAAGGGCGTTGCTGCGCCCAAGGACACCGAGGACATTGACGAGGAAAAGTACGATGCTAGCCAGTCCGGAGAGGCGTCGGAAGCTTTGGCGGAGGGTGAGAAGGCCGAAAAGGCTGCTGATGCTGAGCCTTCAGTGGAGGCCGAGAAGAAGGAGACCAAATGATTTGCCACTTTCCTTTTGCTACTAACCAACTCTCTACCTTCTTGACTTGTGTTATGTTTGTACGATAGACTTTGTTTCCCGTTCCCTCGAGGCAACTCTCTCTCGCCTCGCACACTCACCATCGCCAACACTTTATTTCCTTTTGTTTTTCAATAGATGGGGCAAGCATAATGGACTTCAGAACCAGACTGGTGGTTGGAGTCTCATTGCGGTTGGCCGGATACAGGATGGATTTCTGCGATTGGATGTGTAACTAAATACCACAATATAAACTGTACATTCTGACTGTTGTCCCTGCTTTTACTGTTTCGTGTTGATCTACGGAGACAATCCCAGCTGTCTGGGTTGTCATACTCGAAAGATGTACGAACGCGGTTCGGTCCCACACAACAACCTCGGCAACGCGACTCTCCCAGAGCCACCTTGGGCCGTACGAACTCCTCCCATCTCCATTCACGCCCAATCATCCAGCTAAATGAACCCAGGCGCTCGCTTGCTTCAGTTTCTCTACCTGGAGCGCTCTCCTAAAAGCATGCGAAGAGCGCCCTTCCTCCGCGCCCTTCGCATCTCGTTCTCACCCCGCCATTCCAGCCCCAGATCGAATCCCGTACTACTGAGCGATCTCCACATCCGGCGTCATCAATCCATTGCAAGTTCACCCAGTCTACATCCAAGTGAAACGAGTTCATCGACAGACATGCCGCGCTTGAATCCTATTTCGCAGGTAAGTTGCCTAGTCGCGTTTGGAAATGAATTATGAGTAGATTGGAGCCACCACGTTCCACTCCCGTAGAATGCCCGTGAAATAAGTCAGCGAACATATCTAACTCTCAACAGGCTGCCATCGACCGGCTACGGGCCTTTACACCCCCGGCAACAAGTTATGACCTCGTGCCAGTCTCGCGACGGGCAGCGGTCCTCCTCTTGCTTTATGCCGACGCAAGGGGAGACTTGCGTGTTGTGCTGACCATTCGCGCCAGCACGTTGAGCTCATGTATGTCTTGAACTTAGACCTTCACTCTTCTCCATGGTCGCCGTTTCTCAATGCAGAGCACGGCAAGGAGTATACGATCTGGCTATCTAACACCTGTCAATTTATAGATGCAGGACAAGCTGCTTTACCTGGCGGTAAGTTCAGCCACCTTATTCATGACATATTCGAATGGATATAGAGATATACATAGACAGACATACTAACTCAAATCCCCAGGAAAATCCGACTCTGAATCAGAAACACCCCTCCAGACAGCCCGGCGCGAAGCACACGAAGAAATCGGTCTTCCGGGGCTAGACTACCCCCTCCCACCGCCATTCACAGTCGAGCACCTGTGCGAGATTCCAAGCTCGCTGGCACGCACCGAGCTCGTCGTGCGGCCGTGCGTGGCGCTGCTGCACACCTTCGACGAGGCGAGCGGGCGCGACGCGGATCCTGAAACAGAGCTTATCCCGCGCTTGGATGCCAGAGAGGTAGCAGCGGTGTTTACAGCGCCGTTTAGGGATTTCTTGTTTCAGCTGGGGACCGGGAGTGAGAGCGGGGATGGGAAGGGGGATGAAGAGTGGTATCATGGGCTTTGGACGGAATGGTGGGGGACGCAGTGGCGGAGTGAGTCCTCCCCTATCTATCTATTCCTTGTCTTCAGCTTATTTCTTCATATGGATATTCGGGCTAATATACTGTACAGTGCACCAATTCTTCGTCCCCATCGACCAATCGAAGGTCATAAAACCCCGCGCCCACGACCAGTCGCAGTCACAAGCCGTGCACAAGCTCGAGGAGCAAGAATCCTCCGGCGAAGTCACGCGGTATCGAGTCTTTGGCATGACAGCGCGGATCCTGGTAGATGCTGCGCGCATCGCGTATAACCACGAGCCGGACTTTGAGCATAACCGCCATACGGGCGATGAGGACTTGATTAAGCGGTTGAGGGGGAGGGGGAGGCTGGGGCCTAAGATTTGATTTCGTCTAGGTATTCATGATTTATGCAATTAAGTTAACGAGGGGGGATGGTTTTCGGCATGGTATGTTGTATCTATATAGATCCGGATATACGGAATGGGATACCCTTATTTTATGCACTGCATAATAGCACTGTGTCCGGTAGTTCAAATCATGCAAACCGAATTCTATAACTAGTGAGACTGGGAAATGAGGTCAAGCAACAAGCATACCAACCACCGTCCCTCGTCCACGAGACAAATGACAGCCATCAGCGCCGATCGGCTTATCGAGGAATGCCAGGGCCATCCACATGGCATGTCATGGCAAGCCTCTACCCAATAACGGCGCCGCTGCCCTAATAAAGTTCTCTAATAAAGTTCTCCGGTATGTGGGCGTCAAGCTAACTGACCGCTAGCCTGCCCCCTCGAGAATCAAACTCGCGGCCCAGCCGCTTGGCCGGAAAGGCCTGAACTTGAAGCATTCCAATCTGGTCATGGCCAGTGCCCCGTGCTCCAGGGCTCGCTCCAGGGTTCAGAGGCTGGGAAGGGGAGGGGAACTCCACCTAAATTCCAGTATTTAGGCTCGCCAATCGCAGTCTACAGCTATTCGCTTGAAAAGGCCGAATACGCTCGGCAATTGGCCCCTTTTATCTTCCTGGCCAACTATCACGGAGGTTATCATCCGATTGGGTTATGGAGAACAAAGAAACCAAAGTCAGAAGAACCGCAGGGATGCCGACCGCTTCTTCCCTCTTATTTTTAGTTTGCCTCTTTTTCTGCCTCATTCCTTAAGTAGGTAGCTAAGCGAGCTACGCAAGTAACTCTCCAGGCTCTCAGCCGGGAAGCTCTTTGCCCGGGCCAGTAGCAGAGCGAGCCTCGGGGCAGGTCGATGACTCGGAGAGATTTTGGTTGCACTGCTGCGGACGACATACAGATGGAGGGCTGGGGGGTGATATTCTGGGTTAGACTCTGGGGTATGTGTGTACGGGCCCGGCTGATGGGCGATATTTGCTTCTTTAACTATATTGTTTGATGATGCCAGGCGGGCGATAGGCAATAACATGCAAGACAGCGAGCTCGGGGATGCCGACTCGATTGTAATTGTCAGGCATGTTTGAGGTTGAGCCTGAGAATGAGAAGACTAGGCTCCCTGGACATAGGCATGAGGTGCAGATGTCTGTGGGTGCGGAATTCATACATGACACTCGCAGAAGGATTCTGCATGATGGAGGAGACACTGGCAGAGGGCAAGCGGGTGGCGGGCGCAAAAATGAGACGTGCAATTGCATCATATATTCTCCGTAGTTTCAAGGCCCAGAGAAATCCGGTTGAAGACGAGGATTCGTAATGGACAGGAAGAGAGGATGCAGTCACTGTCGGTGTGATGTGATGGGCCGGATTGGGGAGAGCTTGTTTGCCAAATTGATTTTGTTTGCGGAGGCAGATCCTGTCAATCAGTCCATCGATCGAGGCTGGACAGGTGGAAATACGAAGTTAGTTTGTTTCCCCCCCTGAACGGGTGCCCAGTGCTGAATCTGACGGGCAGTGCTGCTCTCCAATGAGTCTGCGCCAAGGGCCCAAAGTCGGGCATCCTCGAGGCCAGGCCGGGGGTCATCAGTCTTCACGGATAGGCACGTTACTACTAGCAAGGAGTGCCTGGAGAGCCCGGCCAAGGGAGAGAGAGTTTCGAGGCTTCTGGTCCCAGACAATGCAGGCGATGGTGGAGAACAGCCGACCAAAAATGATGCATCACATCACTTTGACTCGCGAACCGGTTCAGGCCACGCGAACGCTTTCTTTGTTCCAGTTCGCTTCCAGAATCCACGGAGTGTTGGGGAATGAGACAGTCTCGCAGAAGTGAGTTCTCGAGTCCGTGGGTTGAGTGCGATCGCCAGCGAGCAAAGACCTCGTTGGAATGACCGGGACGGATTGAAATGCTCAGCCGATGAAAGATGAGGATGGGCCTCCCTTGCATCTGTGTTACCTCAGTAATCAGCTCACCTCATGCAAAGGGATGCTATTTCTATCGCTTTCTGCCCTGGCCTTTGTCTTGTCCGCCGTTTCTTTTGCTGCCTCTTGTCGGTTTCAGCTCTTTGCCGGGGCATCCAAGAGCCCCAGTTCTGCCTGCTGCGCCGTCTTTGATAGACAAGCAGTGAGTGCATCGAACTGCAGAAAAACAAACGCTGCCGCAGACGATTTAAGAGCCCGACGGGCTGATTGTCATTTGTCGCATTTTTGGTCCACTTCTGCTTCTGCTGGTGCATATCCCTGTCGCACAGCCTGACCTTGACTTGACTTATTAGCTCTGCATCTGCTTCTCTTCTGCTCTCGTTCTTGCTTCCCCCTCGTCGCCAGAGGGGGATTTCTCTCGTTGCAGCCCATACTCGCCATGCTCTCTCCGTCAGCATACTCGCTTTCGAGGCAACTTCAGCCTCCCCCGGTGCGGCCCTCCAGGTCTCTCGAGGGCCTGGAAAGGGTCATTCCTCCCAGCTCTCTTCCCGTTGTCCATACTCGCTCTCGGCTGCACTTGGACAAGCCGCTGCCCGACCTTCCTGCAAGGTCACGCACCCAGTCTCCAGATCACTTCATCGGCTCGACGGCGTGGAGCGACGACAGCAGCACCGTCAACAGCTTCGAAGACGACGACGACGATGACGATGAAGATGATCTCCGTTGCCGCCGCCGGTCCAGCATTTCGACAGAGAGCTATCCCGTGTTCGTCCGCGCCGGCTCAGACGATCCAGATCGAGCCGGCTTCGTCGATCATCCTTCCGTCTCCACGCTGGACCACACTGACACTCCGTCCGCGGATCCCTACGACAACCACCACAAGCCAGCTGCTGCCTCGTCGCTGCCCGGCCTCACATTCCTGGCGAACGAGCACTATACTCCCCCGCCCCCGCCGCAGCAGCAATGGAACAACCACGTCGGCCCCAACCACTACTTCCGCGAGAAGAAATGGGACTTCTTCCCCGAGCTAGCCACCCCGTCAGCCTTACAGAACTCGCCCCACAACAACTTCACTTCACGCCCCCGCAAGAAAGACACTGCCCGCCGATGGATCCCCATCCCCTCCGACAAGGGCGCTGCGTTCGCCAACGACGTCCGCAATTCAATACGCTCCATCCAACGCCGTCTCTCCCGCAACTCCATGGACAAGGACAAGCCCAAGCGGGGCCAGACCGACGGCCGGCCTACGACGTCCCCCATTGAGTTCGCCCGCGGTCTGTATAGTTCTAGTACTAGTTCCCCGCCACCACAACTCCAAACAACGCTCCCCTCAACGGATGACTACTACTTCAACCACCGAGTCTCTTCAATTCCACAGACCCCGGTCTACACCAGCGTCGACGAAAAACTAACCCGCCTCTCCATCTCCCCCACCGGCTCCTCAATCTCCGACCAATCCATGCTAGCGCGTGAGACACTCTCACAGTCCCTCTCGAGTATATATTCTCACTACGAAAAACCCCTTCCCAAACCGAAAAGCAAACAACTTGCCGTCCCTATCTCTCCTTACCAGAAGTACGGCGCAGCTATCTGGGATAAATCCGGTAAGGAGAAAAAGCCAAAACCAAAGCACCGAAAGCGCCTCAGCTACCAGCATCACCGACAGCCACAGCGGGTGCGTTTTCTCAAATATCGGAACCGCAACCGGAGGGAGTCGTCCCAGCTCAAGGGAAACAATAATACATTTGTCTCCTCGACGGTGCCGCTTAAGCCGCCCGGTCGCAAACAGACACGCACGCCGTTGCGGCAAGGGACTCGCTACGCGGTTAGGGCTTTGCAAGACGGGACGAGCCAGGTCCTTGTTGCCATTGATGGAGCGAAGAAGAGGATGGCCGGGACTTCTCCTTTTGTTTCCAAAACATCGAGGATCAAGTCGGCATCAACATCGAAATTGGACATGAGAAGGACACATCTGAAAAGCCAGATTCGGCTTGTTGGACCGGTGAATCCGTATACTACTTCTCACCGGAGGGACCCGTGGATATGATCATTATGGCTACGGAACTAATCTTGTTACGCTTGAGTAGCTTTTCCTCTTTCTCTTTTTCCTTTATTTTCATTTTCATTTATAGCGTTCTGTCATCCTTCCCTTACTTTTCTTTCTTGCTCCATTACTTAGTTGATATTGATACCTATTTGGGCTTACTACTATCATGGCAAGGCTAGGTGTTACGGTGTTGGAATGGGCATGACAGGGGGATGAACTTACTATTTAGCACCTGGATGCCTACTATATATTGCATATTGTCTACGAAATGAATAACTCATCTTCATTCTGATGATCGAATCGCTTTCCCAACAAGCAACCCCCTAGATGACACGATCCTCCAATCGTAAAATAAAACCCCAGACAGAGTATGCAATCACGGCAAATTGTCGGAATCCTCCCTTGGAGATGCATCAACCACCTGGGCAAATGAACCCTTGCTGATCGTGGGCACAGCCTTGGACCCCTGGACTCCCGCATCCCCATCCGCCATTTCACAGCCTGTCATCTCCGCTCCACGCAATCAGTGGCGCCATGAAATTAAGATGAAATGAGATGACGAAGGCTCTCGCCCCGTAAGACAAGGCAAAACGGGCGCACCCAAAACATTGCCCTGGAACTCCGTGTGACGATCGCCGGCCCTTACTATTCCTGCAGAGCAGTGCAGATCCGGTTCGAGATTATCATAGGTGTCAGGTTCACAGCATCGCATCCAATTTGGTCATCCCCATACGATTACACACATTGGACAGGTATGTAACGAAGCAACGCGCAAGCGAGATTAGATCAGGCGAGAAATTAACAGGGATACCCCTCGTCCCCCCTTCTCCTGCCGGCTTTGTGTTTCTGGGATCTCCGGTGCTGGGTTTGTAGCACGGCAGCTCTTGAGCTTTGATTCTCCGCTGCACTGTGATGGGGGTGTGTATGACAGGATCTGAAACGGGGATGTTGTGCAGTGGCTTGGTTGTGGGACTTTGGTTCGGGGGGGGTACGTGGTGTATCCCTGGTTGATTTTGCCTGGTCTACTTCTGGACATGGATTTGGATTTGTGGGTTGAAGAAGGATTCGGCAGGTTGCGCTGTTTTTATTCCTAATGTCTCCTCGAAGTGGCCTGTTCATGGGTCATTCTGGGTAAGTAAAGCAACCCTCGTCTATTAGTGATCTCGCTAGTATAATATCCGATTTCACTTTGTTGTGCTTAGGGCTTTAGATACGGCCCTCTATATAGTATATCCATTTACTAAATAGCACCATCTTTCTTTTTCCATTTGAAATCCTTCTAGAGACAAATATAAACCAGATCTGGTCAAGAGAAAGCCCCGTCAGCTAAATACTGTCGGCGCGGGGAAGGAGCAAGTTCCTGTTGGGTCGTTCTTTCCTTTAAGGTGGCAGCAACCAGAATTTGTTTTAGGTTATTAACGACTGCCTCTGCTGAACGAATGTTGATATTCTGCTATTGCAGCAGTCAATCGATGGCCTCAACGTCACTGTACATATTGTTGGCATATAATAGAATTGCTAGTGGTTCTATGGCCCAATGGTATTTCGATGCATGTAATATAACTTCAGCTTTTAATAACATTTATTAGTGGACAATACCCAATTTATTTTTTTAGTTAATTTCTGTTTACTTGGACTCTTGATATATAATGTTGGGATGCAGTTATTATGGTTTGGTGCCTGAGGAAGATTGGTGGTGTGAGATTCCCCGGGGGATTCTCCGCATGCGACCTCAACGTCACAGCCTCCAGCACAGGTGACCCCGTTCCTGGCTCCTTGCACTGCATTCCCTCTTGATTTATCCATCCCTCCTTTGTGTCCTCTTTCTTAGATCATCTAACCTTATCTCTTATCCGTTGACTTAGTTTTTTCCCAGTAGTTGGTACTCTTACTTCCTGCCTCCTGCTTCCACCCCGCAATCATGGGTGGAGACGTTCTCCGACAAGCTCCCAGCTCCCTGCCACGCACGCCCGATGGCCCCGTCGGCCAGCGCATCAGGAGCATCTACACAGACCGTCTAAAACAGTTCACTTCCAAGGGCCAGTACGAGAATCAGAATTTACTAGGGTGAGTTCTTCCGCCTGCCCAATACCCACTTCCACCTCACTCCTCGATTCTCGAGGTGTCGGCCTTCCCCGCATGCGAATGGCTCCGCTCACACCCCCTCCCTCAGGAAGCTCTTCGAGGCCACCAACTCGGACGAGGACCACGTCAAGCTCTCAGTCTATTCCGTCCCAGACCTTCAACGCCCGACATTCAAGGAAGCTACCTCCCATGACTTCAAACGTACCCATATCGGGGCCTCTTTCGGCCCTAGTTGGTCGACCCACTGGTTCCGAATTCGGTTGACCATCCCAGAGGACATGCGAGAGAAGGAACGGCTAGAGTTCCACTGGGATGCAAATAACGAAGGCTTGGTATGGACCGAAGACGGCCGCCCGTTGCAGGGTCTTACCGGTGGTGGGGAGCGAGTCGAGTGGATTATTCCTGACGCTTGGCGCGATGGGAAAGAGCATGTCTTTTACATTGAGATGGCATGTAATGGGATGTTTGGAAATGCACCTGGCTCAGACTCGATTCAACCGCCGAAACCGGATACGTATTATACGCTGAATACTGCACGCATTACTGCGGTCAATCTGGAGGCGCGGGCTTTATTCTATGATTTCTGGATTATTTCTGGTATGTCGAAATAGGATTCACTTGCCGGAGTTACTTTACTAACAGTACACAGATGCCGCTAGGGAGTTTCCGGGTGAGGGCTGGGAATCCCACGAGGCCAACGTGGTGGCCAATTCCATCATCGATGCTTTCATTGCGGGTAATGGAAGCTTAGAATCCATCAAAGAAGGACGTAAGATTGCACGGAAGTACCTTGGAGACAAGGTAGATTCCGCAGAAGTATACGAAACCGGTACTCAGCCGATTGTGTATGGCATCGGGCACTGTCACATCGACACCTGCTGGCTTTGGCCGTGGGCAGAGACCAAGCGGAAAGTCGCGAGATCATGGTCGAATCAGTGCGACCTCATGGATCGCTACCCGGAGCACCGTTTTGCTTGCTCTCATGCCCAGCAGTTCAAATGGCTGAAGCAGTATTATCCTTCGGTGTTTGACCGTGTCAAGGGCTGGGTCAAGAAGGGCCATTTTCAACCAATTGGTGGTAGCTGGGTCGAGCATGATACCAACATGCCCAGTGGTGAATCACTGGTTAGACAGTTTCTCTACGGACAAAGGTTCTTCGAAAGCAATTTCGGGGAACGCAGCACAACCTTCTGGCTTCCAGATACTTTCGGTTACTCCACACAGATCCCACAGATTTGTCGACTTGCAGGCATGAGCCGTTTCTTCACTCAGAAGCTTAGCTGGAACAACATCAACAACTTCCCGCATACAACCTTCAAATGGGTTGCGCTCGACGGAAGTCAAGTTATGTGCCATATGGCACCGTCCGAAACATACACTGCTGATGCCCACTTTGGAGACGTCAAACGCAGCGTAACCCAACACAAGTCTCTGGATACGGACAATACATCGCTTCTTGTTTTTGGAAAAGGTGATGGTGGTGGTGGGCCTACGTTTGAGCATCTAGAAAAGCTCCGTCGCTGCCGTGGTCTCAGTGACAAGACCGGCTCGCTTCCGCGAGCGTCAATGGGCGGGTCGGTTGATGATTTCTTCGCGAAACTGGAAAAGAGATCCGCAGAGGGTACACCGTTTCCAACATGGTACGGAGAGCTCTACTTTGAACTGCACCGCGGCACCTACACCACGCAGGCGAACAACAAGCGCAACAACCGTCGAGCTGAGTTCTTGCTTCGCGAGCTAGAGTTCCTGGCGACACTTGCATCTGTGACCCAGTACAACTATGACTACCCTAAGAAAGAAATTGACGAAATGTGGGAAGGGGTGCTTCTCTGTCAATTCCACGATTGCTTGCCGGGTAGCTGTATTGAAATGTGCTATGACGATTCAGATGAACTGTACGCTCAAATCTTTGAGACTGGTCTCAAAGCACGAGAGGGAGCTCTCGAAGCACTTGGATTCCGCAGAGATGGCACGATTCCAGTCGCCATCAATACCCTGCCTTGGAACAGGTCCGAGGTGGTTAAGCTTCCCAAGGGGGTAGCCACAACCGGGTCCAACCATGCGCCGATGAGTGGAGGCCCTGGTGTCATCCCACAATCCGAAGCCAACGTAGGGACCGGTAAGGTCAGTGTGAAAGAGACCAAACCCGGAGTCTTTCGTCTCGACAATGGGAAACTTCGACTTGACGTGCAAAACGGCATTATCAAATCACTATATGATGTCGACGCAGACCGTGAAGTCATTGCTCCAGGCGGCAAAGCCGGCCAGCTAGTCATATTCGATGATAAGCCTCTCTACTGGCAAGCATGGGATGTCGAAGTCTTCCACCTCGAATCGCGCAAAGAACTCCAATCCGGAAAAACCAGCATCGCTGAACAGGACCCCTACCGTGTCAGCGTCGTCACCGAAACGAAGATTAGCGAGAATAGCTGGGTCAAGACAACCATCAGCCTTGCCGCTGCCTCAGAAGGCAAACAGTCTTATGTCGAATTCGAAAGCGAAGTTGAATGGCAGGAAACGATGAAGTTCCTTAAAGTCGAATTCCCTGTCGACATCACAAACACCGAGGCGTCCTACGAAACTCAATATGGTATCATCAAACGCCCAACTCACTACAACACAAGGTACGCTTCTCTCTCTTCCCACTCTATCATCATTCCACGTACTAACATAATAAACTCTCCAGCTGGGACATGGCCAAATTCGAAGTCTGCACACACAAATGGGCCGATCTGTCAGAAAACGGCTACGGCGTATCCATCCTCAACGACTCCAAATACGGGTTCGCAACATGCGGCAACCTCATGCGTCTTTCCCTCCTCCGTGCCCCCAAGGCACCTGACGCCCACGCCGACATGGGCCGCCACTCAATCCGCTACGGCATCCTCCCCCACACCGGCCCTCTAGACTCTCGAACCATCAGAGCCGGGTACGAGTTCAACCACCCTCTCATTCTCGACAACTCCCTATCTCTACCCAACAAATCAAGTGTAGACTCCGTCACCGCAATCCTCCGCAAGATTGGACTCACGGGATCCCCGTCCCTGGTGCTCGACGCAGTCAAGCGCGGGGAAGACGACGCGGATATCAACAGTGACCCGGATATCTCGCTCCCCGGCGCAAAGCGCAAGGGCCAGAGTATTATTTTGCGAGTTTACGAGAGTCTGGGCGGGAAGAGCCGCGGCGCGATTAGAACTGAGTTCCAGGTTAAGAGTGTGTGGAAATGTAATGTCCTTGAGGATGATGAGACGCCGCTTGATGTTGCGGATGATGGGCATGGGTGGAAGAGAGTTGCTATTGAGCTCAGAGCGTTTGAAGTTGCGACATTTAGATTGCAGTTGTAGTTGCTTTTTTCCCTTCCTATCATATTTGGCTATTTGGTTGTCATGTTTATCTTACAATTTGCTTGTCTATATCTGGCTTCATTGTGAGGTTATCCTGAGATAGTGGTCGAAGACCTGGAGTATAGATAGAAGCAGAGGATATCACAAACAGAAAAGAGAATAGCAGAAAAAAGATATTCTAGAAAAGACCCAAGTGCCTTTTCCTCACCATGACGATAAGCTACCATGCCATCTCTAGCGCCAAAGCTCCCACCAAACAAATAACCCATCCAGCAAGCACACCTAGTATAACAAGCCAGTAACTCCATACCCAAGCAAAATAAACCCGTACACATATAAAACGGCGAGAATCGAATTAATCTCTCCCATAACTAATTTTCAGCCGCTTCGTAGGCGGCTTGTCATCATCATCGTCATCCCCTTTATTCGCAGACGCAGACTTCTTCTTGTTCTTCGATGACGAGCTTCCCTTTACACTCCCGCCTGCAGACGACGTATCCCCACCATTGCCTGGCTTCCCGGTCGATCCATTATATGTTGAGTTCGGCGTCGGTGCTTGCGATGGCGTTGTTTGTGCCGAAGGGACTGGTGAATCCTACCAAAAAAAAGGTAAGTCAACTTCCATCCACCCAAGTAATATCAGACATCACAGGGAGAGATGTCACGTACACGCATAAAACTCGCGGAGCTCTTCGAGAATACACGGTCATTATCCGTCACGGCGGCCTTACGTCTTGATGCGGTGCCGACGCCCGATGAGCCCAGTGAGATTCCGCTCGCGCCTAGGCTCGACCCTGTTGAGGAGCCCTTGATGTAGGTGTCGAAACCCTTGATGATGTTTCCGGCGGTGGTTTCTTCGAGATATGATTGTTCGAACCGGTAGATTTGGTCTTCTAGCTGGGCCTGTGGGTTGAATTCTCGTTAGTATCAATCAGGGTGTCTGGCTTCTTAGGGAGGAGACGCGCGCATCGCACGCACCATGGTCTTATCCATCAGCCTCTTCTTCTGTATTGTATCGCGCAGCTCACGGCGGAGTTTTTCGTAGTACGGCAGGCCGCGGTTTGGGCGTTGGTCTGGGGGCTGGTTTTCGTTGTTGCTGTTACTGTTGCCGTTACTGTTATTGTTGGCTGTTGTCGCTGATGAGGCATTGTTATTTGTTTGGGTTTGGTTTTGGTTCTGGTTCGTTGATTGGCTTTGCTGTGTTTGAACGTTTGTATCGCCTGCTCCTGAGCCTTGCCCTTGCCCGCCTGCTTCTGCTGGCGTATTTGCGACGGGGGCGGAGGGTGTCGCGGCTGCGGACTCGACCATTCTGCTCGTGTTCCGAGTGCTTGTTCGAGGGCTTGAAGTTTCCACCTGAATATTAAATGTTTAGATGGGTTATATTATTGGCGATAGGCGCGACAATTGGGACGCTGGGACTTGGTCGGAAGCCGAAAGGTGGTGATGTGCGGAGGAACAGAATGAATTCCGAGTTGGTGATCGACTGAGCTTATCAGTGTTTGTTTTGTTTGCAATCACCTCATAGTCAGCTCCAACTCCTCATCCTCCCTTTTGTCGTTCTCTCAATCCATCAAGGTCTCCTTTATATTGATTTAAAACGAATATAGGGCCGATATATATCTTTTGTTCCTCCCTGCTATTATTCCGTTGCTCTTGGGTTAATAGTACCGCCCATATACCGACGTAAATTAACCCCTCTCAACACCCGACCAGCTATCATGGAGATGCACCACATGGGAATGGACATGGACCACGGCCATCACGACCATGGCGACATGGATATGGGAGAAGGGCAGTGCAACATGAATGTGAGCTTTTACGTCAATATCTATACCTGGATATTTCGTATCCTTTAAACATGTGGCTGATACACTTTGGTGGTAGATGCTATTTACCTGGTCCACGAAGAACCTCTGCATTGTTTTCTCACGATGGCGCGTAACGGGTCCTATCTCCCTCCTTGGTTCCCTGGTTGTTATTGTGCTTCTAGCCGCGGGGTACGAGGGGACTAGACAAATTACTCGACAGTATGAGGTAGCACATGCCCGACGACTCAGTGCGTTTTCTGGAGCCACAGTTGGAAGTAAGTTACTCCATTTCTTTGTTTACTTCTGTATCTCTATGTTATGTATTATGTTCTATATATGTCGATGGACTTGATCTCCTTAAATACCAGTGTTCTGTGGTGGAGCTGCCATTGACGCCCGGATTTGAAGGCAATGATATCGCCGACGAAGCCGTCTCGGGCACTGAACCTGAACCTGAAAACCACGCATATTTCCGCAACGCGAGCTCACGGCTACTTGTAGGTAGTGATAATAGGAGGGCTGTCGAGCGGAGAGGAAAGATCACCATGGCTGCACTCTACGCGGTGCAGGTGTTCTATAGCTTTTTCATCATGTGAGGCCCGGTTTCCCTTTTTTATGTTTTTGGGCCGTCGAAGTTGACCGGTATAGGCTTTTATTCATGACTTATAATGGTTTCGTTATGCTTGCAGTTGCTGTTGGCGCGTTTGTTGGATATCTGGCGTTTGGAGACAACATGTCTGCGTCCAAGTCGGTTGCTTGTCATTAAAACCGAAGATATGGGTTCGCTTTTTTTTTTTTTTTGTTCTGCCACGGCGGGTGAAGCATACATTGATTTAGTTGTCGCATATAAGAATCTGAAGAGTTGGTTCATGGGACTTCCGCATCACTGTCGTCACCGAATCCGAAGCTAAATCCACCGGTCTCGGGCTCACCATTTGCATCATCTGTGCTTGGTTTGCCGTGGACGATTTCATCCCACTTACGTTTCTTGCCTTCGGATTTCTTTTTCAGCTCATCTAGAGCACTCTGCAGAGATTCTGGATGGGATTCCTGCATCTTGGCCACGAACCGTTCGTATGGGTTAGTAACGTCCTTCCGGAACCCAGATACCTGGTCGGCTTTATTGGAAAGGAAATCCAACGCAGCGGTCAAGTGGGCACGTGGAATAAAGTTCTGCGTCACCGCGATAGCGGGTTCAAGGTTTACTACCAGATGCCACCATCCAGATGGAACGTGGAGGATCTCTCCTTCCCCGCAGATGCCTTCGATACAACCTTGTGTACGGCGGGCTTCAGCATGGAAGGTCAAAAGCCACTCCGCAATACTCAGTGGGGAGGTCACCTCACTTTGATCCTCCGACACGTAGACTCCAGGTGGAGGCGGGAGTTTAGTTGAGGAAGGGAACATAATCCAGTATTTAGAACCACGAACGACAGCATTCCAAGCGCTGGTGGCATTGGGATCCTTATGGAACGTACTACCCGACCTTTCAGGTCCGATTATCAGCCACTGTCTATCAGGTCGGTCGTTCCCAAGAACTGAGAAGAAGTCTTCTCCGAAGCAAGGTGGTGGCCAGTACATAGCATCTGGCTCCTGGTCTCGAGGTCCGGCTTTGATTCCCATCTTTGATACGAATTCCTTGTCGAAAAGATACAGGGGCCTTTCATCAGAATTATTTTTCATGTAGTCCACGTATGTCCTTAGAGGCCAGTCCACCGCCTCTGCTCGGAACAGTGTCTCTCCATGTTTAGGTAGCAGTGTTTCCACTGACCATTGGTGGTATGCTGGCCATTCTTTCACAGGTTCCGTAAGGATGAATGGCGTGTCCGACCATTTTTCCTGGAACTCTTCAAAGCTAAGGTTCGGTAGGCGGGTGATTTGGTTTCGAGCAGGGATATCGGAGGCGTATGGATCTAGGGAAAGGTGGGCACAGTAAAACGGCCGATGCAGGGCGTCTGAAAACAGGCTCGAACAGTCCAGATCGGCGACTCTTGAAGGTTGCAAGTTCAGGTACGTGGCACGCCATGTTCCCCTCCAGGCAAACGATGCAGGGGGGGAGCTAGTGGGCGTTAGCGACCAGAGCCCTTTCAATGCAGCTTTCGAACTCTAAACATCTTCGAGGTCAACCTAATCTTACCTGACAAAAAGGGTCTTCCAGAAATCCTCCGTCCTCGTGAAAGCATAAAACGCCTTGCATGTCTGGCCCAGCTGCAAAAGACTCCGGCAGTCAAGGAACTCCAATAATATCAGAATCAACTCGTCGGGTACCAGATTGAATGTACCAATCGCATTTCGAAGACTCTCAGAGGCAAAAAGAGCATTGCCACTCGGTTTGACACCTAAAGGATGACCTGGAATTGCATCATGTGTGATGGTCTCGTCCACAACCGCATCACCGCCGTTATGGCTGCCCAAGGTGGTTATGTCTGGCATTTCACTTCTGGGGTATCCTGCCACTTTGGTTCGTAGGTATAGATGTTCGGTGGTGACAACCCGTGAGTAGCAGTAAGCGCTAAGCAGCTTTAGGATGATTCAGACGGCAAAATACTCAATATTTCCCCCAACTATGAGTCAAAGATGACTATAGTTCAACTCTTAGGAGTCAGACCCTCGAGTAGATCCCATGATACTCGCAACATCGGCAAAAAAGTAGCAAAGTGGGATGGTTCAAAACGGCAGGCGGTTTAGAAGCATTGGGCAGAAAACTCGTACGAAAGTTCAGGCGGCAAGGGTAATTTTGCCATACAAAGACAAGAGGCTGCGGTCACAACCAGTAAGATTTGCGGAAAGAAAAAAAGTTCGCTTTCCCCAATCCAGAATAATTCTTTTTTCCCACCACCAGAAGATCCACCACCTCTCCCATCTTTTTTCTTCTCTTCTTCCCACTTTCCAAGTCTCAACTTTTACAACTTCTATATCATTACTACTAGTTCCTGTCAGTCTCTCCTCGGAGACCTTGGTTCTAGTCATTAGCACTCCTGTGAAGAGTCTTTGACTGAGATTTTAGCGACAGCAGACACCCCACCGGGCCGCTTCGTCGCTAAAGGAACAAACCCTTCAACTCACCCAAACCCCCACCGTCTTCGTTTGATCACAGTCCGCTTCTGTGATCACCCCTCTACACCACCGCGAATATGGCTTCCAACGACAAGGGTCTCGAGGAGATCCCCGACAGTATGTGACTTATTACCCCCAATATATCTATCTCCTCTTGTGGCGGCGAAATTTTTTTTTTCTTCTGTTTCGCAGCCTTGAAAAGATTGCGGGAGAGAAGAAAAAATCTTACACCACCAATGACGGGAACAACAGTGAACGCAGATTTTGCTAACACTTTTCTTCAGCCCAGATCGAGTCCAACTACGATGAGATCACCGACTCTTTCGACTCCATGGATTTGAAGCCTGAGCTCCTTCGCGGTATGTGATACGCAGTCTCTTTAAGATACAGATGTGGGGGCAAATTCTGACAGGTTCTGGCTGTCCAGGTGTCTACGCCTACGGTTTCGAGCGTCCATCTGCTATCCAGCAGCGTGCTATCCTGCCCATCATCAAGAGTAAGTCTAGAAATCAGTGTATCCTACTTGACCTGCCGTTAATCAATTGCTTCAGGCAACGATGTCATCGCTCAGGCTCAGTCCGGTACCGGAAAGACCGCTACTTTCTCCATCTCTGCTCTGCAGAAGCTCGACCCCAACGTCAAGGCTTGCCAGGCTCTGATTGTCGCTCCCACCCGTGAATTGGCCCAGCAGATCCAGAAGGTCGTCATTGCCATTGGTGACTTCATGAACATCCAGTGCCACGCCTGCATTGGTGGTACTGCTGTCCGCGATGACATGAACGCTCTCCGTGACGGTCCTCAGATCGTTGTCGGTACCCCTGGCCGTATCCAGGACATGATCCAGCGCCGTGTCCTCAAGACCGACCAGATGAAGATGTTCATCCTCGACGAGGCCGATGAGATGTTGTCCGTAAGTTGCCGATTTACCCAACCAAACTCACAAATTCGGGTTTGATACTAACGTTCACAGCGTGGTTTCACCGAGCAAATCTACGACATCTTCCAGCTCCTCCCCCAGTCTACCCAGGTCGTCCTGCTCTCTGCCACCATGCCCCAGGATGTCCTCGAGGTCACCACCAAGTTCATGCGTGACCCCGTCCGTATCCTTGTCAAGAAGCAGGAACTTACCCTCGAAGGTATCAAGCAGTTCTACATTGCTGTTGAGAAGGAGGAGTGGAAGCTCGACACCCTCTCTGATCTCTACGAGACCGTCACCATCACCCAGGCCGTCATCTTCTGTAACACTCGCCGCAAGGTCGACTGGCTCACCGACAAGCTCACTGCCCGTGACTTCACTGTCTCCGCCATGCACGGTGACATGGAGCAGGGCCAGCGTGATGTTATCATGAAGGAGTTCCGCTCTGGATCTTCCCGTGTCCTCATCGCCACTGACCTTCTGGCCCGTGGTATTGATGTCCAGCAGGTTTCCCTGGTCATCAACTACGATCTCCCCGCCAACCGTGAGAACTACATTCACCGTATCGGTCGTGGTGGTCGTTTCGGTCGTAAGGGTGTTGCCATCAACTTCGTCACTGCTGACGATGTCCGTATGATGCGCGAAATTGAACAGTTCTACAGCACCCAGATCGAGGAGATGCCCATGAACGTTGCTGACCTCATCTAAACTCCTTGATTTCCGAGCCACCTAATGTCTTCGATGCGGGTTACGATTGCCGCTCCAAGGGCTAGTTGCGGTGGGAAAATGACTTTGTTTTTGAACGTTGCAGCTTCTCTTGGTACAGGGGAACCCTTCTAAAAGTGGCTTTCTGTGTCTCCAGCATTTTATGTGTTATCAATGGCAGTGGCAGTTGAAAAGCTGTCTCATGGGCTGTTGTTTCATGGTTTCCTTTGTTTATCTACGCTTATGGAGATGCGACATGTTTGTGCGAACTTTTTTTTATGCTGTAATTCATGATTGTCTCTTCTGGGATTTCTTTTCACCTCTTTTCCTTTGTCCCCTTTTCCTACTCTGCTCGGCCAGCGATGAAAAAATGGCGAGCAAAAAAAAAGTGTTAAGTCGCTCGTGAAGGCGTTTGTTCTCCGAGCAATTGGGGGGATGAACACCTACGATACATACATGTTTATGGATCTGGGGTGGTTGCTTAAAGTATGGAGCACAATAGACAAGAGGTAAATGCCATTCCGTTTGGTTAATTTCGTACTTTTCATATTTAGTAGTAATGTCGTACTTTATTTTCGTTGGATGTAGGACAGGTTTCGAGGCTAGTGGTTCTCTACCTAACACAGCAAACAAACCCTCCCAGGGCTCTGGCTGCACTGTACCTGCCAGTACCCTTCAATCAGGCATGATAACAACAATTCCATCAAATAATTCACTCTTCCTTCACCTATCCACTCATGTCTCCAATCACTTTAGGTGGCGTACCAAACAAACAACACACCGATAAACAGACTAATGCAAACAACACACGCAAGGTTTTGTTTACATTGAACCACAATCCCAAACTCTAACGCAATTCTTTCTTCATACATTAATCGAAGGTATTGAGAACAAAAAAAGGCCGAAAAGGAAAAAGCAAACAAAAGATGGAGGTGGCCCGGTCGGAGAAACCTCGATTCTGAAATCTACCTACCTAGGCACTTGAACATGGAACCATCGCAGCTGCAGCAGGTGCAGCCAGCATCACTCCTCTGGGCTCACGAACTTCGTCGCGAAAACGTCCATCTTGTATCACAGATGGATAAGCTGAATACGATACTCACGTCGGCTACGAATACCATCAGCACACTGCACGAGAGTGTTGAGATCTTGACCGCTCGTATGCAACATCTAGAAGAGCAACACAAGCAACAACAGCAGGAGTTTGAGCACAAGCTTATTGAATTCGAGGATGACAGGAGAGAAAGTCAGAACCGGGCAGTGAGTCTCGAGCAGGCTTATGAGCAAGTTGACACTCTCGTGGTTGAGAATGGGGCGTTGCGGCGCGAGCTTACCGACATCCGGGTGAAGGTTGATGCGGTCGAGACAGGTAATTGGACATTAAGGGAGGAGGTAGGCCAGGCTTCGAAGAAAGTCAATACAGTTGAGAGTGGGAATAAGACGTTGACACGTGAGCTTGGAAAGGCTTCGAGGGAGCTCCATGCGCTGATAGCTGAGAATGAGGGCTTGTTGAAGGGAGAGATCCAGGGGGTTTCGGAGAAGTTTGATACCTTCGAGACTGAGAATGGAACATTGAAATGGAATCTTGACAATGTCATTCAGACGTTTGAGAGGATCGAAAGTGAGAATGACGGCGTGAAGGAGCGGGTTTGCGTGCTTGAGAAGGGGGCTGCGGTGCAGGAAAAACACACCGCGCGCTTGATGAAGTGGATGTCTATGAAGACTATGGGCGATAATAAGGAGACAAGAGGTATTATATGGTGTTATGGTCTTGCGTTGAAGATAGAGATATATGCTAACGACACTTAGGGTTGAGGGGAGCTGCAACAGATCAAGATCAGGACATACATATGCCAGACTCAATCCCTACACCAGCATCTCGCCAATCTGCTCGGTTATCTTCGCAACGGATGCTCTCCGACACCACTTGGGGTTCGTTGACTGATCTCGATCGGCCTTGTACTAGTGTTAGCAACAAGAATTCCGGCCATGGCTCACAACAGAAATCTGTTGGGAAAAACAAGGATCAGAAGATTCTTGAATCAATACGCCAAGAAAGACGGACGCTGGGGGAGTATATTTCGCTGACAGATACGCTTCGAGCCCGTCACACATCCATACCGGAGGAAGCATTCGTTATGGCCTTCATGGCTGGATTGGATGATGACGACCTGAGGATGAAAGTTATAGACGTCACGCGCCAAGCTGGCCTCTCATGGGATAGCGTGATGTCTTCCGTGCAGAGCAAAGGACAAGGATCTAGGGAGCGGGCGGATAGTAATAATAAACATGCTCCAGGGCGGCGAAATGGAGCCGTTAGGTTGGCGGGCAAGCGCAAGGAGAACAGGAGACGAACGATACCCATTGTGCCAGCCGATGAGGAGGATGAGCTTTTCGTTACGTGAATATCAAGCCCACCAAAACAATACGGTCCAGACTTATGAATAGTGAACAGTGGCCGTCCAAGTGGCCCGTAGCAATAAATTCGGAGCTCTAGTGATATATGTGCACTGTTATATACTTTATCAGCGTGTTTAGGTCTCGCCATAATCATACCTCCCCTCCCGGTCCTTGACCTCAACATCAATCTTGCCCTCTTCAATCTCCTTCCCATCAACCTCAATCGACGCCTTCATAACATCACCAGATTTGACCTCACCAACACCCTTGGGTGTTCCGGTCAAAACCAAGTCTCCTTTCTCCAGAGTCATCACGCGCGAGATCTCCGCCAGTAGTCTGGGAATGCGGTACAGCATCAATCCAGAAGAGTCAGCCTGGCGCGCTTGGTTGTTCACGCTCAGGCGGAGGAAGGCATTGTGCGGGTCGGGGATTTGGGATTTCAGGATTTGCTGGGAAACGGGGAGGAAGGTATCGAAGCCTTTCGCAATGGTCCAGGGCAGGCCCTTCTTTTTCGCCTCGTCTTGGACATTGCGCGCGGTCATGTCAATTGTGAGGAGGTAGCCTAGCAGAGATAAAACGTGAGCGATATTGGTTTTTCAATGATGGAACGTAATCAATTGGAGAGGTTGGTTATAACTGACTGTGAATCGCATCCAAAGCTCCCTTGTTATCGTTCGGGTCCAGATCGCGAAGCTGCTTGCCCATTACGAGACCCAATTCGACCTCATAATGTAGGTTTGTGCCTCTCGGGCGCAGAACGGGGCCCTCGCCGGGGCAGAGAATTGAGGATGACGGCTTCAGGAAGAAGAATGGCTGCTTTGGTTTCGTGTTGTTGAGCTCTGTGATGTGGTCGCTGCAGTTGCGACGTTAGCTGAGAAACCGGAGATAAATAGAAGAGGGATATGCGCACGCATAGTTACGGCCAATACAGATGACCTTTCTGCAGTTTGCTCTGATTGAGGCTGCCATTGTGACGGATTTCTGCGTGAGGGGAAATGAGTAATTTCCAATCCGCGAGAGGCGGGCCCGTATATAACTGAGATCGCTCAGGCAGCCGATAAAGCGGCGGAAGTCCGTCCGAGGATTGTGGGGAGACTCGGAAGATCCGACATTCGGAGTTGTTCCTCTCCTCCAACTATCTCCCACTTGTTCGCAATCATCGAATTTTATCGTCGAGAGGCCCTTCCAGGTTGTTAGTGATTATTTACTTGCCCATAAACTGTTAGATCAGCCAATTCCCTCCCCAGAGTTACCGCGCACACTGTTATGAGCCTTGAGGCTCGCATCTCAACAACTACAACGATCAACAAAGTGGTTCAGCTAAACCGGATAAAGATCCGGCGAGTTTGTGGGGATATATTCATACTATCAAATAGAGACTCCATCAATTTGGGGCATTCTACCAGTAACTGCTTCAGCGCAGCAACCGGGCCCTTAGCACCATGAATGTAGCAGAGATCTTATCCGATCTGACGTCTCTACGTGCCTGTGTATGTTGATCCTCATCCTGGACAGCCAAAAACAATAGGGTCACTCCAATAAACAAATACCTCGAGCAGATGCTGATGCCGGATAGGACTACAATGATGCCCTCAACCTAGTCACGGTCAATGAAAGGCTCACGAAATCGGAGACAGCGCCCAAGCCTGTACAGGCAGAGGCGGCTAATGAACACCTCCGTCTTGCATCCGAGCTAGTGGAGTTACACCATGAGATGAAGGCAGTCCACAAGGATGGCCGAGTAGATGACCAGCTGCGCCGTGGAAGAGAGGAAGTGAACCGTGTCTTGCGGGAGCTGGCATCGCCGGCATTGCACTAATAGCACCCTCATGTGCGAGTTAGAGGCCTTCTGAAGCTACTAAATACCTTTACGTGTATAATAATGATGATAATGAACAATTTATGGTCAAACTATAGAGAATCGGAGGTGCAATACAGAGTATAGTAAAAGAAGCTGCGACTGAGCATGGCTTCCTAATTGGGATATATTGAGACTGCTCAGCTCGGTCCGACCTCCTCCGAGTACAGGGCGCGACAAAGACCAGAAACGCAGCTCTCCGACACTCACAGCTTCACGCCCTCGCTTTACGATCGCAACATCTCAAGCTCCAGCTCACTATAAACATACGTCAAGATGGCGACCCGTGTGGATGCAAAGATGCTGCGGCAAACAAAGTTTCCTCCAGAGTTCAGCCAGAAGGTGGATATGACCAAGGTCAACATTGAGGTCATGAAAAAGTCAGAGTCCCCGGATTTTTGTTTTGCAAGATTTACCTTTGCTGATAGAGCTATCCTTGCCAGGTGGATCGCGGGAAAGATTTCTGAGATTCTAGGAAACGAAGATGATGTTGTTATTGAGCTCTGTTTCAACTTATTAGAAGGGTCTCGCTATGTATGTCTCAAGTCGCTATATCTGAATGCGTCCCAATCGCTAATAATTGCGCCCCCAACCAGCCCGACATCAAATCGCTACAAATTCAGCTTACGGGGTTTCTTGACAAGGATACTGGCAAATTCTGCAAGGATCTATGGTCGCTATGTTTGAGCGCGCAGCAAAATCCTCAGGGAGTTGCGAAGGAAATTCTTGAGGCTAAGAAGCTAGAACTCATCCAAGAAAAGGTTGGTTTAACATGTCCAGCAAACCCCAGGAAACGCCACTTCATTGCTGACATTTATCTGCCAGATCGAAGCAGAAAAGGCTGCTGAAGAGGCTCGCAAGAAGAAGGAGCAGGAGCAAGTGCGTGAGCGCGAGATTGAGGAAATACGACGCAGGGAACGGTCAGACAGAGACAGAGGCGGAAGGAGAGGCGGCTTTGGAGGCCGGGACTTTGACCGACGTCGCTCACCTCCGAGACGGCGCAGCCGAGATCGTTATTGGGACCAGCCTTCGAGGCGAGAGTTCGATTCGTATGTTCCCTCCGGTCCTCCTCGCAGAGGACGTCGGCCCTCTAGATCCCCCAATCGCTCACGTTCGCGCTCGCGATCTGTATCATCTCCCCGTGAACCGCCGCGCCGGCAACGCCATGACCGCGCCAGACGACGTCGATCAGCTAGCGGTTCCGTCTCACCGGACCGAGGAGATCGCCAGAGGCAGAGGAGACGCAGTCCTGATTACGGTGATCGAGCAAGATCCATATCCCGCAGTGATTCTTCCCGCTCACGTACTCCCAGAAGAGACCGAAGACAAAGATCCGTTTCTTCCAGCTCGTCGCGATCCCCCGCCCCTAGAAACCGACACAGAAGAAGGGGCTCATCTGTTTCAAGGTCGCGCTCTCGATCACGAACCCCCGAGAGGAACCATGGCCGGCGGAGATCATCGCCTTACTCAAGATATGACAAGAGAGAATCAAGGGCTAATATTGCAAAGGGCAACAAAACCCGCGACGATCGCCGCTTGAGCCGCAGCGGGGACCGCAACGGGGACCGCAGGCGGCGGCGGTCCCCCAGAAGCGATAGTCGCAGTCGCAGCCGAAGCAGAGGCCGGTCTTTCAGCAGAAGCGCTAGCCCGCGGCGTCATGGTTCTCGCAGTCGAAGTCGCCACGGGGACAGGAAGCGACGCCGCTCCATTGAGAGATATGCTCCTGCCGCGCGAAGAAGGCGCAACACCTCTTCTGTATCCGTCCATACTGAGAAACGACAGAGAATGACTGATCAAGATGAGGATGCCACGCGCAAGTCGCCGCCTCGTGAGACCAGTAACGAGAAGAGCCCTGCTAAAGAGGTGGGTGAATGATCCCAATACATATAAAGGTACCACAGTTACATACCATCGGCCCCAGCTACAAACCCATTATGTTTTCGAGAGGAGACTAATCATTGTCAATAGCATTCCCATATAAAACCACATACACGCATCTCCAGCACCGAGCTACGAGAGAAAATTCTCCGCGAGAGACTTGTTGCCATGCGTCGAGCCACATTGAACCAACAAGGTAGGTAGGTAGCAATTAAAAGTCTCCGACTCCAGAGAAGGCACTAGATGCGCATAATGTCCTATCCATTCTAGGAGGGTATAATGAAATCCAAAAATCACTATCTTCACCGCTGAGTCCGTATTCGTATTCCTACAAGTCAAGGCCAAGCCCGGACAGTGTTTACTTCTTCCTTGAGTAGCTAGCTGTACTCTGTATATTACGTCGTACGGAGACGATAAGCCCAGACCATTGCTTTCGTCGGCTCCTTCGGCACAGCTTGCGCCATCGCTGAGGCACCTTGGTACATATCCAGCTCGGAAGTAGCGAGCAGCGAGGACGAAGATCAGTCGCACTGAACAAGCGGCGCACCAAGGAACCGGCGAATTTTGACAGCATCGTTCGCAAATCCCCTTTTCCATATTTGTATGAGTACGGATACTAGTGTCCTCACTTCTTCAGCCAGCCAGCCAGCCATGTCGGTGTAAGAGCTCGGTCTAAGATGGCTCAAGGGTAGTGACCGTTGAAGGGTGAAACACGTGCCCCAACTCAAAGAAGTCCACCGGGGTCACTCAAGACCGCGCCAACGACTGACTAACTAGTCAATTGCTCCGTAGTAAGCCAGCCAACTTTGTTTCGGTTCCTGAGCTCAAGAGCGACACCGCCATAAATCCCGGGAAGGAACTATTCAGGGGACGAACAGTTAATATTTATATACAATATTTTCATCCAGAATAGCAGGAATCAGTGAACCACGTCCTTGAAAAGTAACAAACTCCCACCAGGCTAGGCTAAGGGGAAGAACTAAGAAGGCTCTCCGCTCCTCCGCACCCCACCAATAATCACAAGCGATAATTAAAAACAATGTCAATGCCGGCTGCTGATCTCAAAAATTGGAAAATTGGAGCCTGCTGAAGGAAATCACAGTTCGAGTTGAAAATGGCAAGGGTGGGGAACGTCCTTTTTGCAATAATACCATAAAGGATGAGTGCTCTGCAGTGTACCATCTCCAAACTCCATCAAAAGCGTCATCTGTCTCAGAAGATAACAAAAATAAACAAAAAGAGACGGAAACAGCACTGACGAAGGAAAGATGAATGAAATCATATGGGTGGACGGGAAGGCTATGGAGAACCACCCCCACAGTCCACCTCCATTTAATTTCGACATGTCGACTGTCGGCTGTCGAGCCCATATTTTCGGCAACAACTCACGGACTGGCTGTTGATGCTAATAGAATTAATGCGTACCTAAAATAATAATGTTCTCCACGTTATCGCACAGCCCTCCAGGCCACGAGTCCACGAGTCCAACACGTTCTCCAAAAGTAAAACAAGCGGCGGTTTGTTGTGATGTTATTATTGGAATTAACATTATATGGACCACAGGAATCAGGATCATGATGAGGCCGTGCGAGAAGGAACGCATCTAACTTTTTTAAGCAACAGGCAAAATAATGCATGGATGATTGCTCACCCCCGGAATACACTCCGCAACCGGAAGGCGATCGCAACCAATCCTTCAGATATCCACAGCGGTCACAATTTCACGGACTCCAGCGGGTTTGTTGTGGCTTTGCTAGTCAGGGGAAGTGGATGCAGCAGACTGGTGATTGGGTGCCCTCCACGCGATTGACAAGACGGTCTGAAGCTAACACTTAGATTACGACTGGATGGAGGACCATTGCAGATCGCTGATCACGGGAGGAGACGACGTGTCGGGGTGGCTTTGCTTTGGAACCAAAAGTGGAATAATTCTATTTTCGCAAATTCAAACCGTTGCGGGTTAGATATACTCTAATAGCAGGAGCAAAAACATCATGACGCTGTACATGTACATACAAGCAGCTGTACCTTTGCATTCGCAGGCCATCTGCAGAGAAGCGTAAGTTTTAAGGAATGTACTCCATTAAGGGGGATATCAAAAAAAAATGTCCAAGAAAAACGTCAAAAAAAAATAGTACAGGTAAATTCCAGAACAAGCTTTATATCGATCTATCTCCTCGTGCTGTACCAGGAACGTGCGCCGAGCTTCTGGTCAATAGGATCGACGTAGCAGTCTTGCTCAAACGGCGCCAAGAAAATAAAAATTATGAATTAGGCATGTACAGCAGGTGGTGCCATTGGGATCGTCTCGTTAGATGGATTGGGTTGAACTCGGGCCCCTTAGTAGTTGGGAGGGCAAGAGGCAACACCAACCGTCTTGGTGACGGTGACCGTAGCGACGCCGCAAGAGGCGCAGCTGCCGGACTGAGAGGGGGCCTGAGTGACACCTGGGCCAGCCGGGGAGGTGGTGGGCTGGACGTTGGTGGGGGCAGCGGGAGTCTCCTCAGGGATAGAGATGGTGGAGGAGACCACGCTCTCGCTGGTGAAGGTCTCGCATGGGGTGGAGGTCTCGCCAGGGCCGGCGGGAGAGTCAGTGGTAGGCTGGGCGGGGGTTGGGACGGGGGTCTCCTCAGGGACAGAGATTGTGGAGGAGATCACGCTCTCGCTGGTGAAGGTCTCGCATGGGGTGGAGGTCTCGCCAGGGCCGGCGGGAGAGTCAGTGGTAGGCTGGGCGGGGGTTGGGACGGGGGTCTCCTCAGGGACAGAGATTGTGGAGGAGATCACACTCTCGCTGGTGATGGTCTCGCAAGGAGTAGAGCTAGCTTCAGGGGTCTCAGTGTTTGCCGGGCTAGGGACAACAGGAATGCTGCTGGTAGGGACAGTGGTAGGCTCGACATTGGTAGGCGCAGGAGTCTCCTCAGGGATGGAGATAGTGGAGGAGACCACGCTCTCACTGGTGAGGGTCTCGCAAGGAGTAGAGCTAGCTTCAGGGGTCTCGGTATCAGCTGGGCCACTGGGGACAACAGGAACACTGCTGGTAGGAACAGCGGGAGAGTCGGTAGGTCCAGCAGGGGTTGTCTCAGGGATAGAGATGGTGGAGGAGATCACGCTCTCGCTGGTCAGGGTGTCACAAGGAGTCGAGGTCTCGCTAGGAGACTCGGTGGGCTGAACATCGGTAGGACCAGCGGGGGTGTCAGCAGGTCCGGTGGGGGTCTCCTCAGGCACGGAAACAGTAGACGAGATCACACTCTCGCTGGTGAGGGTCTCGCAAGGAGTAGAGCTAGCTTCAGGGGTCTCGGTAACAGCTGGGCCGCTGGGGACAACGGGAATGCTGCTAGTAGGGCCAGCAGGAGAGTCAGTAGGTCCAGCAGGGCTTGTCTCTCCAGGGACGGAGATGGTGGAGGAGATCACGCTCTCGCTGGTCAGGGTGTCACAAGGAGTCGAGGTCTCGCTAGGAGACTCGGTGGGCTGAACACCGGTAGGGACACCGCCGGTCGAGGTAGGGCCGGAAGGAACAGAGGGAGTAGAGCTGGCAGGAATAGCGGAAGTGCTGGAAGGAAGGCTGGGGGTGTTGCTGGAGGTAGAACCGCCGCAGCACTGTTGGCAACCGGTGAGCCAGCCAATAATGATTTCCTGGATAGTTTGCGTGATCTCAATACCGCAGCCACCACTGACAAGAGCGATTAGCTGAGTACGAGCCTCCTGAGAGATTGAGAGAACACCCTTGCCAGAGAGGATGAAAGAGATGAGACCGTGGAGCTGGGTGCCGAGCAGAGAGTCGATTGTGCCAGTGAGGAAACCGGTGAGGTCGCTGACAAGGCTAGTACCGACGTTGAGAGAGACCTCAGAGGCGGAATCAACGCCTTGGGATAGCCAGTAAATAAGGAGACCCTTAAGCTCGCTGGTAAGCGTGCACTTGGAGCTGGAGAGCCAAAGGGCGAGTTGAATGCGCTTAGCAACTTCAATTTTGATGGCGGAGCCTCCGTTGGCAGAGATGTGAAGGAGGTCCTTGATCTCATCCTCGATTCCAAGGCCAGCGTCAGTTTGCAGGAAAGCAGAGAGGGAAGCCTGAGCGCTGCTAACTAGGGCACCGCTACCCTCGACGAGGGCCTCGATGGTGTGACCGAGGGAGATGGCGGTGACACCACCAACAGGCAGGGAGGGAATATGAATAACATCGCCACCAATATCGCCCTGGATCCAGGAGATGACGGTCTTCTGGAGTTCAGTGGAAAAGGTGCACTTGCTGCTGTTGAGCCAGGCCTTCATGGCGTTGACGATCTCAGCGTCAAGGTCGTTAACAACACCACCGGCGGCACAGAACTCAAGACCAGACCTGACCTTCCAGTCAATCTCACCGAGAGCCTTAATGGCAGTCTCGAGAGTGGCCTGAGCAGTGGCGGTGAGAACACCAATGGTTTCTGAAGCCAGAGAGAAAACACCGTTCACGGTCATGTAGAGACCATTCTCAGCAGCAATGCTGACAGTCTGGGGAAGGAAGAAGCCGAGTTGAGCACGAAGGGGGACGTCGAGCTCATCAGAATCACCCTCACACCAAGACAGCAGTTCCTTCCTGAGAGAGCTCTCGAGGTCAGCACCGGCACCATTCTTAAGCCATGAAACAAGCTTCTTGCGGTACTCGAGGTCAATGGAGCCAGCCTTGCAACCAAGAGCACCGCCGCCAAGAGCCGCAGCAGCCTCGGAGCTGATGCCACCAAGGATGTGTGCTGGGGTTTGGCCCTGAAGAAGATTCGTAACGGTGTCGACTAGGCCCTCAACGAGGCCGAAGGTACGGGCGTCGAGCTCAGGGCTAGCAGTGGGAAGGGCGAGGGCCGAGCCGGCAAGACCAGCGAGCAGAACAAGGCTGGAACGCATGGTTGCGTTAGTATAGAAAAAAACGGTTTTAAAGCGACAACAATAATTCGCGGGGAGAATTCGGAAAAAGAGGGAGCGAATGACGTATCAAACGATTTAACGATAGACTGGTAAAATATGTTGTAAAAACGAGGGACAGGCACAGGGCCAGAGAGTGACAGACAAAGAAAGCTTGCTGGTTGGAGAACGAGGGCGAGCTGCTCGCAGGGTTATATACCTCCCCTGAGTGTCCTGGCTTAGTCTGGTCCGTCAGCCCACAGGGGGGGCTTCACTCCTGACCATCATCCATCATGCTTGCCATGCCTGGTCAAGGATCTTCATGGTCTCTGCTAAGTGGGCGCCGTCGTTCGGACCGCGGAAAATGTACCCACACTACCGTTTAGTGTGGAGACATTCAGGAACCAAACAAAGTTGAAGTGCTATTTCAGGCCACGGGGTTCACCAAATGAAAAAGGGTGAGTTTCATGCGTTGTGGATTGCCTGCCCTATTTGGCGTGGTTGTCGTGGTGGGTATGGCCATGGTTCAGCAACTAACAAAGTAACATGGCCTTCTTGTCAACCGTGCCATTGAGAAACATGTTGCACTCCGTATTTTTACTGCAAAATTACCCCGTAGATACAAACCTCCTTCCCTAACAATATTAGTTGGGGCTTGAGTACCCAGGGTTAAGGGGATAAAACGACAAGACCTGCGCACGCACGAACTGTGTTCTTGGGCTTTTTGACGGCTGCCAGGCAGCCAGGTGAGATTTGTGGAACTGAAGTGCTCCGCAGCGCCGCATTGTTCCTGCATCGAGCAGAACAATCCAGTCTGAGAGACGATCGTGCTGGCCATTCGGGATAAGCCAATCGGCGGGGATCTTTAAGTCCAAATCTGCAAGAGTTCGTCGGGCGTCGAAACTAATCCCCGATCATACTTGATCCGAATTCAGTTACACGAGAACATTCGAAAAGGTTTAGGCCCAAGCACTGGTTCGTGGGCCCATCGCATGGCGGTTTGAGAATATGCTCAAAAGTCAAAACAGGCTCGGTCCACTAATCTAGTTTTTATAACTCCAAAGTGAAGAATCATTCGAAGGCCCGTCGATTGAATTCGGCATAGTAAAGGTTCTACGAATTGCCATAAGCCGGTATCCTCACACCCGTATGCTTCGTCTCAATAGAAAGCTCGTTTGCTTTCACAGTAAAATTATTGAGTCTGACCCGACGATTCCGCGCAGTTGGGCACGACTGCTCAAAGATGCAAAGGTGCAGGGTCCAGAGCAAGCAGATCAGACAGCCAATGAGCAGCAGGTCTCGAGGAAAGATCCGAAGGAAAAGGCTTTCCCTCGATGAAGCAATGATGGGGTTCAAGAGGCAAGCTATTATGGGCGAACAAGGTGGAGTGTTGTTTGAAGGAAGGCAGGAATCGATGAATTTGGATGATGGCCAGGGCGACGGAGCACTCGGAACTCTGATGTAATCACAAAAAGAGAGCAGACCAACTCTTGGCGGCTTTGGCGGGGGCTTTCTCTCAGAACTTGGAAGCTGGCTGGTGAACCAGCCAATTATGATCTATCCAGGGACTCCGGAGTTGTCTGGGAGTGAGACAAAACAAAAGAAGTCTCTGACAGCGGGCTGATTTCACCCAGAGGAAAGGCTGGTGTCTTCATCCGAGGTTTGTCCATGAGCTTTTCCAGCGATCGTTGCCGAACATGTTCCTAAGCCAGATTCCACGGCGAAAATTGAAACCTTCGGTGTGTCGAGACCGGTTCGTGGTTCCTGGCCCACCGGCTGAGGCTCCCGCTCGAGGGTCATGGATCGCGAGATCCCAGGATCATGATGGATCGTTTCACACTGCCGTTGTTCGCTTGATCGTCTCAGTAGTGGCTCAGCCTAGTGGTAGCACACTTATGGAGATAGATCGAGATCGGAAAACCTTGATTCTAAGCTGTTGTAATCTGTAACTTGTCAGTTGTCACCCGTCCACTCGACTCGCGGCCAGCTGCTGAGCAGTGCAAAAGCCGAATTATTTTGGGCCTAGCTAGCAGACAGCGGCCTTGTGACAATGAAGCCACTCAGTCAAAACCAATCTCGACTCGGGAAGGCTGGTTCCTGATGGTGCAGCAAGATACAGAATTGGCGAGTCAAGCAAACAGAGAGAAGGCCGGCAATTCGCTGCCGGAGACATGTGATTCGCCCCGTCGCTACCCATCCAATTCTTCGGCCCTCGCTCTCGCTTCAATCAATTGCTTCTATCTTTGGTTCCTCTCTACAAGTCTCGGTTGTCGCAGAATCTCCCGCAAGCTAGCCCCTTTCTAGTTATTGGACTCGAAAGGGTGGGAGGGTCTGGATCCTGGATTCTGGATCGATCGAAAAGGAATGGCCCCAGCTTCACAGCTCCACGTACTCGGCTGATTCTGGAAAACGGGGTCAGGATAGGGCAGCGACGAGTGACAGCGAGTGGCGAGAATGCATGCATCGTCGGTGTGCTGTCCAGCAGGGGCCTTGGTCGAAACACGCACATCCCGTCAACCCCAACAAGGAACCGTCTCTTGTGCGGCTTAAGCAAATATCCCAGCCAATCCGACAAGCGCAAGCAAGCAGTGGCTGCAGACATGGATGCCGGTGATGTGAGACATATATCCAGCCTTGGCTTCCAGGAACAGGAAAGAGGGGCTTCTCGCTATCCAGACCTCATTCTCGGCTGTCAATTCCAAATATTGTAGCCATGATCCATGGGAGTGGATGGGTTGAATAGATTCCCGGCTTGGATCGCATAATGGTTCAACAACTGACTAACTTATCAACTCTGCGTGTATCCACTGCTCGGAGAATTGATACAAATCTTGCATCTCCTCCGATCCTCCCCCCCCCTCCCTCTCCAACAGTCTACTGAGCAAACGTGTGGCGGAAAAGCAATTATTAGCAACAGCGAGGGGTGATTCCGGCTGTATGTCAGCCTGATCCTCACACTCCTTACTCTCTTGTCTGTACTCTTGTACGACTGTGGCTGTGCGGCATTTATCACCTATTGCCCCTCTCTCGGTCTAGGATAAGTCGATTCCACTTACAAGGATAGAACTAGGTTTAGTCAATGGGTAGTGCGACAAAGGCGTTCGTTCATAACTGGGCTTGACCACCACAGTATTCACGACATGGCGCAAGCCCAAAAGGCCAGATTCTGGTAACAAGCCAAAGTAACAAGCACTGGATTAGCGATTGACAAAGTTCTAGTGCTCAATTGGTAAAAATTAATATAGGTTTTGAAAGACCTTTAAGAACTGTAGTGAGCGAGGTGTATGACAGCGTCTAGTAAAGCAGGCAGGATATCTTGACCCCTTGGTTCTTTCAGCAACACTCAGTCAGGTACCGTACCATATTTAGGTTGTCCATGGACGAGCGACGGTCCGGTGTTTTGGGATGATATTGATCGACGCCTATTGGTCTGTATCCAAGTAGGGCCCCACGGCCGCCGCACGTGATTATCGGCGACCCTAAATTGGTGCGATATCTGCACTACTACGTACTCACTCTGCTGCTATACAAAAAACTGATATCCTCTCTAATAAAAGTTCTGCGCCGTTCGGGAATCGAACCCGAATCAATCGCTACCACATGGAAGGCGACTATCATAAGCTTAAATCTTTTTTTTCCCACACCATGAAAAAGAAAAATTATATAATTTGCGTTGTATGGGAATCGAACCCATCGCACAACCTTGGAAGGGTTGTATGTTACCACTACACCAACAACGCGTTAATTAGTAATTAATTATATAATTGCGTTGTATGGGAATCGAACCCATCGCACAACCTTGGAAGGGTTGTATGTTACCACTACACCAACAACGCGTTAATTAGTAATCTTAGAAGAATATTTATTCTAGAGTTGATATTGGATTGATATAGTGTTAATTGTTACGACCGCGAAGGCTGCTACACGTGATCCCCCAACCAACCGGCTACCAACAAGATTAAGCCACGCCGCTCACCCCTCCATTCAGACCTGGCTACTGTATAAATTAAGTTGCTGAAGAAGATGAGTCGTCAAACGAAGCGGACAGTCGGGTAAAAATAGCAGCGTCGTAATAACTAACTAATCGTAGCTAGTTCTCATCGGACTATTCGGGGACCTGATGGCGAGAGTAGACGAAGGCAAGCTTTAGTTAGTGGTAGACGAACGACAATATCACCACAACTATACCGAACTCGGGTATAGCAAGATCCTCCTTTTAACGAGGGGACACTCGTGTCAAAATTAAAAAATCCCACCTATCTTATTAAGTCCTCTCTATACTGAAAATTCGTACAGTTTTCCTACTTGGCCATACAGATTTTCAGTATATAATGCAATTAGAAAGACGGCCTAATATCACTAGGTGGGTTCTTTAGTCGAATAGTATTTCGATACAAATATCGTTAGAGGCTAGTAGAAATATATAAGCTGTAAAGTCCTACATAAAACCTGTATAATGGGTGTAAGTATTTATAGAGCTGATCAAACATAGTGAGCCTAGTGGAAATATATATGTGTATACTAAACAAATATGGCGGGATTTCCCGCCGGTCTTATTGAATTTGCTACAGTGAGGTCTGACTGTAGTAAGTCATACACCTTACACCGTAGACAGGTACGGGGTATTATCAAAACGGTAGCTATTACCGTTCGACCATAAGATGCCACCAGCGGTATTAGGCCGTGTTTCCATTGCATTATTATATGCCAACATATATCGCCGGGCAGCCCGGGCTAGACCTCTATCCTCGTGTGGTCAAGCAATGTATATATATTCCTAATCGTAAAGGACTAACCGAGATACTTACGCGAAGTTATCATCTAACATGAAGACAAACCAATACCAGCTCGACTGTGGCGAGTATTTTTATCAAGACTCTACCCAGTAATACTATATTTAAGTGGTACATTACTATATTCCCAGACAATAACTATGATGGGATAATTTAGTAGTCCTACTATATTTGTTGAATAAGGTGCGTCGACCTTCAACTTCGAGTCAAGGACAATCGTCTCGCTATCGATTGGGTAAACGCTATTGCTATTTGCATTGACAGAATTGCAGGACAAAATTTTGTCAAAATTCGGTGGCTGGTTTCACAAAAAGAAAAAGAAAAAATATATTTGCGTTGCGTTGTATGGGAATCGAACCCATCGCACAACCTTGGAAGGGTTGTATGTTACCACTACACCAACAACGCTTCTTGTTGAAAAATTCGAGTTTATTGAAATCTATGACCGAGTAGAATTTATAAACGACTTCTTTTTCTTTTTCTTTTACTCGCACACCTTACCCGCGTCGAATATAATATATAATCCCGCGTTCGCGGCTCATATCTTGAAGGGTTGCACCCTGGGCCGTATAAAAGAATGTGAGAAAATACAGCTATCTACGGAGGAACATTCCTCAAGCACCTAGTCTTATGGTGCGGGTCTACTCCGTTTTCCTTTCATGTTACAGTACCAACACACACAAGGGCATACAGCTCAGCTCAGCGTTGGTTGAAGTTCAGCGTTGGTAGGAATTCTCAGAACGTTGGTTGACAAGTTGACGTTCATTGTGGGAGATTCAAGCAACGTTCTGAGAATTTCAACCAACGCTGAGCTGTGCCACACGGAGCCCTAGGCCGATATAGAAACCTGGGTCACCTGACAGAATACCATTGCTCTAAGATTACCAGCCACCAGGGGACAAGAAATGAAACTATAGGACCGTGTTCGACTTCTGACTGGGCAGCATTCTTGTTTATTTGCATGGTTGATAAGGTGCCATTACATAACCTACTTTTCTTGCACCCAAATCGTGAACAAAGCCGCTGCTGCTAGAAGGATCTTATCACTAGATTTGCCTACCTTACGGTAACCAGGTATGTAGGTAGGTACTGCTGCGTCGCGCGGAAATCATGTGGAGGTCTGGTGCTCCTGCCCTTAGATCACCGCCTAGCGCATTGGCTTTATCCTGTTTCTCCGAGTCAAACTAAAGCGGCAGAAGCCTCTACGACATTCCATTGTCTTGCTTCAGGTTGGGGTAGAATGCTCTTCAAAATCATTGCCAGTACGGATAGTTTTGTCCATCCTGTGAGTAGGTTTTGGTAGTTATATAGATAGGAGGATAAAGAAGGATAGAATTTCTGTGCTAGATTTCTTTGATGAAAGGAGCGGTTTCGATTTAGAGACAAATTATGTATTTTGGGCCATGGTCGAACAAGTTCATACTCCCGGTCTCGAATCTTGGATATTTTGCATGAAAATGGCGCCCGCTCCCAGCTGATCTAAAAATCAGAAATGCATTGATTAATGCTAAATATCATTTGATATACTTTTTTGGTAAATATACTGCGACGACAGTGTTACACGCCAGAAACGCCATCCGTGAATAAACAGTGTAGAACATCAGAATTCTAGGACATGAAATGGTATCAAGAGGTAAAAGCTAGACAGTCATTATGTCTCTCTTCGGCGTCGAGATGATTAAACGAGGAGGACACTGTTATGAGGTTTAGCTAATATAATTCGACATCGAGGAAGAAAAACATACGCATTGACGCAGCCGTCGTTCTCAGGTGTGTTCGTCACCTGGGCGTATTTACCCCAGGCAACCTTTCCTCCCGCAGTGACAATACCAAGTTCGGAAACGTTGACCTCAATGACGGTTCCCTTGGTGAGGACACCGAGTTGAGTGTAAAGCGGGTTTTGAGGGTTCTTCTTGACGGATAGAATAGGAAGCTGGACAGTGACGGCCATCTCGGGGCTAAAAAAGGTGAATGTTAGCAAAAGTCCAACCATCTTTGGTAGGAGCTAAACATACTGCGTGACGTTGGCCTTCTTGTATCGCAGACCCATGGGACTGAAGCAGGTTAGCATTTATTTGCGTAAAAGCGCCGCAGTCAAATCTCACCGAATAAATCGTTCGTATTTCACAGGTCTCCGAGTGAAGTCGTTACCAACGAACGTCGGCTTTGTGATCATTCGCTTCCATGACTTCTTATGCGTCTTCTTTCCGGTGTTGACAACCTTGAACATCTCCTCCTCACTGATACCCTTAACTTTGGGGAGAGGGACAGCGAACTTGGCTGCCTTCTCCGCACGCTTATCCTTAATAGCACTGGACAAAGCTTTGGCATTCGTAGCCTCCGAACGGTCGAGCAGATATTGTGGAAGGGGCGTCTTGGAAGGCTCGCTGGGCGCAGACGACTTGACGTTCTTCTCTTCCTGCGCCTTGATGCGCTTCCGCATCTGGATCTTCTCGGAATGGCGCTTCTGCTGGTACAGCTTGGCCCTCAGACCGCGGAGATTCTGGGCATCCTTGGACTGCTTGTGGCCCTCACGAGCCTCGCGCTTTCGAACACGCTCATCGTGGTCCAAGCGCTTACCGTGCTGTTTAGTCCAGCGCTCGATATACCTGGTGACTTGTTAGATGGTGGGGATGTGGGCGGGAAGGAGTGAGACGAACTCGTTCTGGGGCTGTATTAAAAAGTCAGTTAGCGGAGTTCCTAAAGCAAATATTTCTATTTTAAAGCACGGCAACGTACCATGATGACTGAGTATACGGTGGTGGTGAATGGATGAAAGTGGTGGTTTCCATGGAGGCGGGCTCAAAAAAGTTTCGACCGATAATCGCGCACGTGACCTGTTATCTCGACCTGAATTTCTCGTCGTCGGCCGGAACACCAGCAAATCGCCAATTCCAGCCGGACCACCACCAAGACACAGGCAGAGTCAGGGCGTCTGCACCCTTTGAAAATGTTCTCCCGATCAGCACTGGCAAGGGCATTTGCTCTTCCTCTCGAGCAAGCAGCTCGCCCTTCTCTCACAACCAGCACTACCTTCCGGGCCTGTCTTCACCAAGCAACAACGACAACATCGTCATCCAACACGCACCTCGACGAACCATTGAGCGCTGCCCCTCGAGCTCAATCCTCAACTCCCATCCCACAACAAACCCAAACCACAGCCGCTACTACACGAACCCCCTTAACCCGCGCCGACGTGCCACCTTCCAAACAACCCATCGCCCCAACCTTCACCAAGCCCCTAACCGTGACAAAATCCCTCCTCGAGACACTGCCGCATCTCACCAACCAGAAGCCCCACTACATATCCGCGCACCTGCATGACCGGCCGTACCTCATAACGGAAGGAGACCACCTGCGCCTACCCTTCCTTATGCCGAACGTGCAAGCCGGCGATGTTCTGCGCCTTAACCGCGCGTCTATCCTGGGTTCCCGCGATTTCACACTTAAGGGGGCGCCTTATGTCGATGAGCGACTGTTCGAGTGCCGGGTGCGGGTTATGGGCGTTGACTCGGAGCCGCTGCGGGTGAAGGAAAAGACGAAGAGGAGACGGAGGCACGTGCAGAAGGTCACCAGTAAGCACCGGTATACGCTGCTGAGGGTGATGGAGGTGAAGGTTAAGTCTGTGGAGGAGTTGCAGAAGGAGGGGGAGATTGTTGTTGAGGACAAGGAGTAAGATTATATCTGGACTCTGGTTATTTGTGGCTTAGGGCTACTATGTACAGATAGATTTTGATACTACGTGCATTGTATTGTATTTTATGTTGCTATTGCAATGGGAATGTTTAAATTACCCTTCACACAATAAATTGTTCCGAGACTAAATTTACTGATAGCTACGGTGCGACTGTGCACCCGCCTGGATTGCTTAAAGATGGCAAGGGTGGCACCATCTAGTAGTGGAGCGAGATGATTAAATTCGCTATTCTCGAAATGGTCGAATTAGAAATGAGAAGATGAACTGAAGTTGGTAAGTAATATGTACACCGAAGGCGAAGAGAGTCATTAAGTATATTCCAATATAATCAAAACACCACGCTGACAGCATTCCAGGCTGTATGCAATGCCAGTACACCGAACACCTGCCCTATTCAAAAGAAAAAATCAATCAAAAAACACCGAGAAAATGTTATACAAAAAGGAAAACAATCGGCTGTAGTCGAGTTGGTCGTAATCAAGTCGTTCAAAGATCCAAAGCGCCAAAACAAAGGAAATTGGTAGTCCAGTGGGTTAAGGGTTTTCTTCCAAGGCTGATTTAATCTTTGCGAAAAAACCTGCGGGCCAGGCAGCCAACTCTTCATCGCTAGGCACCCCGCGAACTCGGCAATGATTGACCACGTTGATCAGAATCCTGCCCAGAACATCCTGGGTGATGGGGACGGCACCTTCAAGCTGCGCATCAGGATATAGGAATGGGTCCTGTTGGCTGAGGAGTTCGCTGATGCTTGGCCGCAGAGTCTGGTCTCTCTGCAGACATTGCTTCAATGTCCGAATGAGTCCTGGTGGGACTTGGACACCGCCAATCCCGAAAGCTGGGAAATCGATTTTCACTTTGGGATTGGGAATGGCCAGAATACGCTCCAAGTACTTGGAGATTTTGGCAAATGGAGGCTGCCCATAGACCATTTTGTACAAGATACAACCCAGACTCCATACATCACTCGGCTTACCGAGCTTCATCATCTTCCCAACACTTGCTGGCAACCCGAGAGACGCATTGGAGTCGACCAGAGCTTCAGGAGACATGTAGTTTGGCGTTCCAACCTGCTGTTCCCGGTGTACATTGACAGTGTGGTCTTGGATAGCGTTGGCTATCCCAAAGTCAATCAGCTTGAGTCGGCCTTGGACGAGGAGGAAATTAGCGGGCTTCAAATCGGAGTGCACAATGTTGTGCTCGTGGACCGCCTGGACACATTCCAACATTTCCTTCCAGTAGTATCGAGTGAAGTTGACGTCAAACGTGGCATCCTCAGCATTCAACTTATAAGTCAATACTTTCTCCAAGTCCGACTCCCCAATTTCCATAAGTACGCTGAGGGTATGCTTGTCCGAGTTGAGCTCCCAGTCAAACAGGCGTACAACGCGGTCGATGTTTTCTAGCTTCTTAAGAAGATCAATTTCTCCCTTGTATCCAGCCAAGGTGGTGGGATCGACATCTTCCAGGTTCACACGCTTCAGGGCGAAGATTTTGTAGTTCTCTGCCATAACTCGGTAGACGCGTGAGCTACCTCCGCGGCCAATACAATCCAGGCGTGTAAACGGCTTGTGGTTGATCGAGACCTGATTCCGTTTCTTGCGAGACTGGGATGCAGTAGCTGCTCCTCCTGTGGTAGTGGCAGTCTCTAGAACAGACATCTTTGGAGGAGGGGGCGCCGGTCTGTGAGGGGTGTTGTTGCTTCGATTAGACAGGATCTTCCTGGGGGAGTTACCCGCTGGGGCTTCCTGGTCTTTCTTTTCATCTCCATAAATGACGGAAAGCTTCTCTGGTTTATCAAGGAAATTGAAACCCTGTGGCTTGGCCCGCTTAAATGTTGGTGGAGGTTCATTTTCTTGATCACGGGCGGATGGCAAGGTTGGGGGAGGAGGTACTTTGAATATGGGCTCTTTTGAGCTTGATGGTTTCGAGGACGCATCGGAAGATGATCCTGGGGTGGATTTGGAATGTGATACATATGACTTCGGAGATGAAGACCTAGAGAAGGGTCCACCACTGGGACGGTAATCTGTGCTCTTTTGTTGTGGCTCGGGATCTGCCCATGAGACCTTGGGGGATGATGCTCTGACACTGCTTTTATAACCGTACTCAGCATTTTGGTCTGCGCCTTCGGATTCTTTGGAGTCGGAGAGATAGCTGGGAGATTGGTTCTCCTCACTCTGGCGTTGCAGCACGCCGCGTCTCGCGGGGCCATTAAGAAATGTACCCGTCAATCTGCCGACTCTCTTCACGCGCAATGAGCTTTGCATGCCAATGTCTTCTGGATTACGAGAGCGAAGCACAGAGGACGTCCCGACGGGCGGTGCATAGTTCTCGTGTCTAGATTTTCCTTCGTCTTCGAGGCGTTCAGCACTTGATTGTTCACCAAGAGGGCTGCGGCTGACCGATCGTTTTTCAGATGGTGATAGGGACGTAGGAGATCGCGTATGGCTACGCGACGCATTGATCCTCACACTGCGCGTTCTTGGGCCAGGTGTGATGAAATCGTTCGAGTGACTCTTTGCTTCAACTTCCACTTCTGCCTCTGCATTTTCGCCGTTTGACAAAAGAGATCCCTCCCTTCTTGATCTCAAGCCGCTACCCAGGGCAGAACCTATGCGAACTACCCGCGGGGCAGGACTGCCGTTCGATTGATCCAGTGGCGAGGTGGTTCGAGATCGTCTTTCATTACTGGATGCAGACGATCCCACGCGCATATTTCGAGGGTGGTCATTTGAGTGTCTGTTTCGTAGACGAGGAGAAGCATTCACGTCATCCTCGTCGAGAAGAGCCTTGACAGACGCGCTGAATTTTGGTTCTGGGACTTCATCATCGGAGCTATCGCCGGTGGAGTACTGTCTAGAAATAACTGCAGCGCTGCTTCGACGAGCGAGAGGGTTGTCGATTTCGGGGGAGGTGCGTCTAGACCCAGTGCGAGAGAGAGAGGCGCGGGACATCTGTCGGGACTGTTGCCGATGGAGGGCTGTCGCATGGGCGGTGGAGAGAGAATTCGGCGAGGCCATTGTTGAAATTCACAGGGTACGGCAGCCTCATGCGTTCCGCTGCATCTGTCGTATATTCCCCGGGGTTGGGCGGTCGCACCTGCGTCGGTTGTTGTGTTCTTATTGCTGTATAGGTCGAATAAACAGAAATACTTGGGAGGCTGGGAAGTCTCCCGCATCCTGATTGGGCTTAGCTCTACACGTGATGGTTGCTAAGGGCAATGGCGGCATGTAAACAACATCTACATTCCGGGGTTATCTTCTCCGCTCGTCCTCCTGCCCAGATGTACCATGAAATCCAAGGATTAAACAATAAAATACGCGTAGTTATTCTTTTGAATCTGCCGTGAATTGTGATCTCAGCGTAGCATGTATTAAGCTCCTATTCGAAGTAGAACTATCTGTACGGGTGAAGCAACGAAACACAACTGGTTGTGACAAGAGAGCTGCTCCGGCTTTTACGGGTACAGAGTACGTATAGTATGGTCCAGGGTAAGCTATAGCTGGGCGATCGCAAGCGGACTTCCGAAGTTGTACGTGGTCAAATTAGGTCGGTCTATGCTCGACTTATATATATAGTCGGACCGCGATAGTGACCACCGAACCCAAGATGTTTAGTTACCAGAGTAAACGCATCAAGACATCAAAAGCCAAATAAGATAACCAATCCCGTCCGGCAACTAAATAACTAATTGACTGGTTTGCTGATGGGCGTGTAAAGAGAAAGATGTAGCTACGACGGAGCAATCCAAGTACCGCAACAACACGCAGCAGGTTGCTGGGATGGATTTCAGTTAGAAAGCTAACACGAGAGATCACAATGAGACATGCGGTGTCCCTATTGGGAAGTCACCTGTCTACTCCCCATTCGAGGGCCGGTCAATTCTCCAAATTTATGATCATCGAGGTTTCAAAGTGAACAGCCGAGAAAGAAATCGATTGTAATCCAGTTACTTCATCTACTGAAAATGAGTATAATACAACAAGTATATCAAATGGAGAATCTATACTTCTGAGATTAGTATATCCTGCTGCTGACAACACATACTTGAAGTGAGAAAGCATTAGCGCGGCTAGTATGGCGTCCTACTCAGTTATCATAGGCATGGGCGCGCTTTAGGGCGCATTGACGGGAACCATCGGTCTGGTAGATTTGATCGAATCATACTTATATAGAAAGTAAAACTGGGGCTCTGTAAAATCTGATGGGTTTAGTTAAGCCTGTTGTGCTTGTCTTCGGCCTCTTGCGAGCGTAAGTTTACTTTATATCCTGTCCACAATTGATAGAATCATAAGGCATAAATCATTACGAGCCAAATAGTAATAGACGCTTGTTAAGTAAAATATCAGACCAATTCCAACGAAAAGCAAGTAACATTTGCCGCACAATGTACCGTAAACTCTGGAAACGCCAGAGCTGGAAGCATTAACTAAGGACTTCATCAATCAGCGACTGGGCGCCAGACCGGGTGTCTTACAACCACAGTATAATAATGAGGAGGAGGAGGCAGTACTAAGAAGCTCCAGCCGTACTTCATCACCTTCAGTGCTGGTGCTCGCGGGTGTATCGGCCGGAATATAAGCTATCTGGAACAGACCATCATTATTGCGTCCATGGACCATCGCTACGAGTTTGAATTGCAGTCGCCTGATTTCGAGCAGGCCGTTTACGAGCACTTCATCTTGGTTCCTGGACCACTTCCACTTAAAATTTGGCGTCGTCAGATAGCCTATTAAGCACTTTATATGAGATATGGCGTCAATTTCTTGTTTAAAATAGTTCATATTAGGTATTGCACTCATTGTAGCTGTTGAACGATAAAACTACATTCATATACGAGATTTAGATAATTATCTGTATTTCTTAGACTGAATAACATCCCTTACATGTCCCTATACTTAAGAGCCCTTCATACTTGGGATGAGGGGAAGGTTAGTTAGGGCTTGACAGCCCTGGTGATTAATCATCAACTTCCCCCCGCATTCTCCTCTCCCTCATCTTTCTCTTTCTGAGTTTCAAGAACCATAATCAATCTATGTAACGAGAGTTCTCTCATTTACTGGTATTTTGATAAGGGAAGGCTCCGTTCTACACGGTGAGACTGCAGATTCGGAAGCATGGCTCAATCAGACCGATATCCCTACGGCAAAAATCTCGCATAGAGACTTACTGGGGGGCGAATGCCAGCTTTCACTGTTTCAGCTGGACTTCCAAGCGAGTGAAGTTAAAATTGACGCCGCAAGAATCGGCGATTAATGCATTACTAGACGTCGACCCCGTTCTCCAGCGGCCTCTCTCCCTCCAGTCAGAACACTCCCTTGTGGCCCCTCAGGACGGAGTACGAAGCGTCACTTTTTCAATATTTTCTGGTTGGGCTTTCCCCTTGGGTAAGAACTCATAATTCGAAGCATTTCTTTAAGTTTGGCTAACTTACTGCTTGGCTAGTTTGACTACTGTGATCCGCGAAAGCATTTTCGCAACCATGTTGCCAATGCTGCTACCACCGATAGGACACTCTTATATGCCATCTTTGCTGTGTCCGCACGATACCAGAGCGCTTCTTCACGCCGACTGAGCATATTTGCGGAAGAGTGCCAGCAAAGCTGTCTGAACTCTCTTATCTCTGCTCTAAATGACTACGATACAACAGTTGGAGAAAATGTTTTTGCGTCAGCCTTAATCCTCCGACTTATAGAGGAAATGACAGGTAAGACCATGGTCCATACACCTTTTCCTCACTACTACTTGCTACAGGGCCGTATGGCTTACAATTACCAGTACCACATCCAGGAGTAGATACTGTTTCCCACACGCTGTCTGCTCAACTCTTAATCTGCATAAGGGCCGGCAATATCACCACATCATTAATCACGGATGCTGCTTTTATCATCATATTACGCCAGGAGATATTCGTAGCAAATCTAACCCAACGACCAGTCGGATCAATCACCGAACACTGCAACATCTACACATCTCTAAACCCAGCATCCGAGCCAATGTGGGCTTACAGAGCCATTGCACTCGCAGCCAGATCCACCGATTTCGCGTACGACGGTAACCAATCTCGAACGAAAGAGCGTTAGGAATCTCTAATGCAATATCTCCACGACTGGGAAGCCATGCGTCCTCCCTCATTTCACCCGATCTTCTGCAAAGACCGAGAGCACGTATCCGATCCCTTCCCTAGGCGGTGGTTTTGCAGCGACTACCACGTCGCCGCAAGTCAATATATAGAACTCTCTCGCATTCTCCTGCTTGCGTCGGACCCGGATACCTGTCAAATACGCATCGGCAGACTGGGCCAGCAGGGCCGGAACCATGACGACGCTATCCGGGAATCGGTACGGTTGATTTGTGGAGTGACTTTGTCTAATCGGCAGTATATGGGCGCGCGGTCAGTGGCTGGGCTGGTCATCTCTATGTGCGGCGAACTGTTTTATGATGCGCACGAAACTCGTGTACTTCTGGAGCTGCTTTCTGATGCGGAGTCGCACCTGGTGTGGCCGTGCTTGAAGCCGAAGGAAGATTCGAAGCGGCTTTGGAGGTTGTCTGATTCTGACTGACTTGTATATTATTTCAACCATGGTCTCTGTTCAGGATGCTCGAGGGGTCCAATTATGACTTTCATGAACAACGGGAATGTTAGATATACAGATAATGGCTATAATTAATATCAGAAACATTTCTGTACTTTGTATACCGCCACTTGACGGGGGCATGCTCCCAGTTAGGAAATCAGAGATCGCCCTGAGGGAACATGCCTCATAATCGTAGAGTCGACTGGAACTACTGGTGGGCTTAAGTGAAGTATGCACATCGCACAAGGTGTGCTGTATAGCTTGGTGGTGCGCTTTCATGCTTAAGTGTTCTTCTAGCCTTCAATGCGTATTTTGAAGCAACCTCGAAATCTTCCGACTTGGTCACGGTTCAACCATCCACCCACCATGGCGAATCTATACGATGGAGATAGAGAGATCTGGCCGCCGCCAGTATCGGCGCTATAACCATATCTAGTTTTGGCTCAGCGTTCGTTTCGGGTATGGTCACTCCGTTGGATACGCTACGTGCGCAGCGTGCGGGTGCTGGGGGTCTACATGGGGTACTGCATGTTCAACGGATGGTTCTTCTCATGGCCGCTAGTTGCATCCCGATTGGTAGCGTTTAGGCTATGTCGCCCTATATTCTACGCTTTGTCGTCAAAGGCGCCCATGTTGCCTCCAAGGCCGGATCGTTTATCCGCATGAGCTTCATTGGGCTCCCGACGCAGGTCTTGTACGAGGCTGGCAAGAGACCCTGGCAGCTCCAGGGCGATTTCGATGCGGTCATGGCCACCGTGGGCCTAAGCACACCCATTAATGCGGGCTTGAGCTGGTTTCTAGCTTTCAACGTCGACACGGGTCTTGACCCGCCCTCGGCTCGTGCCTAGTTCATATCCTCCGGACCACTCCATTGTAGCTGTCGCTGCTCTTCAAATCACCGAGGCCACGAAGTTCGGCACAAATGAGCTGCTTGGAGGCTTGGGTCGGCAATCTTTTACTGCGTAGTTGTTACCGTTGTAAACTATCTCGCTGTCGTGCTGCTCTCGATCTGGCTTGAGCTTGCAACCCCGCATTGGGGCAATGGGGGCTCTTCTGGACTGGGTTGCCGATTGGCATGGCTGCGATTGCCGGGATCGAGGTGCTTTATATGAGATTTATTAGATGGGAGAATTGCGTCCTTGAGCTCCGGTGACCGTGGGTTCTCGCGTTCTCGCTGCGCTGCTTTGTCATTAATGGGTTAGTAGGAGCAGAGGGCTGACCTCGGCCGAAGCTCAGAACATCGTATGGTCGCGATGAAGCCGCACCGTCTTCACTGGTCTCAAAGGATTGTCGCGATGAAATGTACCAGAGGTATCGATAAATCGTAGAAAGTTGATCTAATTGATGACTGAGGTCGTGTTTTAGTCCATCCAGACTGCTGTTGCTTTGTGGTAGTTGGCGGGGCCGAGGTCGGCGCAAGTTCAGACGTGACCAAAGCTGCTGCAGTGTTCAATAGTTATCTGTGGAATCCGACAGTGAAATTCGACAATGGAGTGTAATCTGGTAGAGTGTCGAGAAAAGTGCACGGCACCTGCATCTGTCCCGGCGAATCGGCGATCTTGTGAATGGCTCGAGTCAACCTCGGCTTCGGGAAGGCAAACGACGACGGAGGGCGGTGCCGAGACGCTGTCGTCTCCCCGGACTTTCTCCATCTTTCGTGGCATCGCGCTCGGGGCTCTCCTTCTGCTGGGCTGCATTCGTTCTTTCATTCTTGCCCTCTTCTGTTGCTGTGCATTTTCCAAGGCAATGCCCTGTTGATTCTCCTCTGCCCCTGATTCCTGTGTCCCGCGTGCCCCGTCCCTCCGTGCGCCCCTCGCTCAACTCCGCTCCCCATCATGGACTTTGAACGCCCCGACTTGAGCTCTGGCCAGCCAAAGCGCCGGAGAAGAAACCATGCTCGCAATCGGCTGCGTAACAGGGCGCCCGTTTCTGCGCGTCTCTCACTTGACCACCACTTGCGGGGCAGCGTCGGTGTCGTGTCCGACGACTTGGCCAACAACCTCTTCCAACCCTCAGATCCGACCGGTGAGTTTGTCTACTTACCGTGAAGGTTACTTAAGCTAACCTTTGCTATTGCTATGAAACTAGATGACTTTCAAGACGACTCCGGTATCCGCTACATCGCAATTTCCCCGTACTTACCCGGCCCGAGCTCAGTCGAGGCATTGAACTGGACCGTCGTCCCCGTCCGCCCGCAATCCGCTGGTCGCTCGAATGAATCACTGCTCCCAAATTCTACAATCATATTCCCCGACTCCGCCGATTCTTTGCAGCCGTTTGTCCGCACTTTGAGCAAGTTGGACCCTACCCGGCAATCTCCGCAGACCTTGCGCTTAATCGAGATCCGAGTCTTGGATGTGGTTCCTTTGCCTCTCGATACAATATATGTGACTGTGGAGCGAGACCTCCTGCGCAACCACGACGATGTCCAGAGCAAATTTGGTGGCGGATTCAATTCCAACGTACCCAATGGCCTCTGGGCCAGAGGGAAAGGGCAGGAACCCAAGAGATACTCAAAAAGAGCAGCAGCGGAGGTAGAGGGGAGACTTACAGCTGCTGTGCGTGAGGCTTTGGGAACGCAGCGGGTCGTACATACTGGCGACTCGCTGCCGCTTCCATTGCCGCCACATCCGATTACCTATGCCCCGGCCCATCCTGCGCTCATTTCATTCTGTGAACCCGTCTCCCAGGGACTTTTGCTTCCCACCACCAAGATTGTACTCATTCAGGCACGTCCACATGGCAATCGACCACAGCGAAGCATTCACCCACCCTCCGGTTTCCTCAAACAAGTGGCCGAAGATGAGGCGGACGACACGTCCAATGAACAGTTCTATTCGGCCGCAGAGGATAAGCCGGTTGACGATAGTACCGAGATGGAAAGCACATCCAATGCGGAAGAATCGGAAACTGAAGGCTCTGGCGGAAATCTGAGCGACTCGTCGGATGATTCATTGGACGACATGATTTCGCTCAGTGCACCCGAGCTGCCGCAACCGGCCTCTGGTGTGATGTCCGGGATGACTTCAGCTACACCTCGAGGCCGACGCATGGATGGAATACACACGCCTGGGTCCATAGTGTCGAACCTTACCTCTTCAACCATACGCCCCGGCCGGCAAGGCGGCGGAAAAGTGTTCAAGGCAGAGGGATTACTCCGGAGCATTCCTAACGAACTTCTCTATCCGAAACCCAGGGCTGATGACGATGTGGAGGCCGTTATCTTTGTCGACATCAGCACATTGGCGAAGATTGGTTGTTTCTCGGGAGATTGGGTCCGCATAGAACCCTCTGAGGAGCCCCAAACGAATATCTTCTCCTCCATTAAGCTGGGAAGCTTTACTGAACAATATGAAGATGGCGACTGGCGCGCAGTCAAAATCTACGGACTTCCCGGCCTCCCCTCCGCGAAGCCCCGCTACGCAATTAAACAGTCTGGGGATAGGCGTATGAGCTTCTCGCAGCGACCCGGAATGCGCATGACGCCGTCCGTCTTTGTGCCTCCAATTCTTCTGAATAACATCGACAACCCGAAATATGTTCGACTATCTCCGATGAATCTCAATGTTGGAGGACCCAAGTCCGGTGTCTTACATCAGATGAAAACCGCCGCTCGCAGCCCCCCGTTGGCGAAGGAAGTGACCTTGCTCAAGGTTAGCACACCGCTATCGATGGACCGTGTCCTGCAGCCAGCCCTATTTGCCGGACTGAAGCAGTACTTCGAATCAACACGCCGTCTGCTAAAGAGCGGCGACCTAGTTGGAATAAGCATTGATGAGACTCTTGGTAAAGCAGTTTTTTCGGGGACTGCTGCCAGCGACGGCGGGCAGGATGATGATATCGCAATCAAATTAGGTCCTGGGGCCGATACTGACGGATCCGGAGTGAAGAAAGTTGGTGTCGCCTGGTTCCGCGTCGGGCAAGTTATCCCTAGCCTACCAGACGATCAGGATGACATTGGAGAGTTCGACTGGGGTGGTGTCGCTATTATAGATCCGGCTACTACGCGGATGGTCCAGGCTGGAAGCGACGTCAGCCGTATTCCAAACACTCTCAACAATGGCTGGGAGTACTGGCTTGGAACCAAGACTATTCCTAAGCCCGTGGTCGACGCTCAAACGATACACGGTGTTGTGACTGAGCTGCCGCAACCGTTCATTTCCCCAGTACAGCAACGTATTCGAGATCTCATGTCGGTGGCCACAAGTGCGCGCGCGATTCAGCTCGGGATGAAGCCTGTAGTCATTCTCCTTAGATCTCAGCAACGTCATATCGGAAAGGCCAGCCTAGCGGCTCGCGCATGTTCGGATATCGGACTTCACACCTTCCCCATCGACGCCTACGATATCCTTACCGAAGGCGGTGCCAATGGCGGCGATGTCAAGACCGAGGCATATTTGAAAGCCAGAGCAGAGCGTGCGTTCCACTGCGGCGCGGACTGCACGGCTCTTTTGATCAAGCACATTGAAGTTCTGACTGCAGACCGGATTGTTTCAGCCATGACCGAGATCCTGGCGGACGCTCGGGTTATCATTGCCACGACCACAGACGTTGAGCAGATTCCCGAGGGTATCCGCAGCATGTTCACACATGAATTTGAAATAACCGCCCCGGAAGAGAAAGAGCGAGAGGGAATCCTTCGAAATGCCGTCTCTGAGCGCAGCATCAAGCTAGCACCTGATGCTGACTTAGGAACGGTTGCTCTCAAGACTGCTGCGCTTGTCGCGGGAGACTTGGTGGATGTCGTTGAGCGCGCTGCGGTAGCGCGGTCAGGACGACTTGAGAAGCTCGCTGAGATCGCTAGCAAACAGTCCTCCAACACTAAGGTTACCGTCCGCGATGTCCTCCTTGCCGGAGGAGAGGCAGTGCGAGGTGTCACCAAAGCAGACTTTGACACTGCTGTCGAAGCGGCAAGGAAGAATTTCGCCGACTCTATTGGTGCTCCCAAGATTCCCAACGTCAGCTGGGACGACGTCGGTGGTCTCACAAACGTCAAGGACGCTCTGGTGGAAACTATCCAACTACCTTTGGAGCGCCCCGAGCTGTTCGCAAAGGGCATGAAGAAGCGAAGTGGTATCTTGTTCTACGGTCCTCCTGGTACCGGAAAGACCCTTCTTGCCAAGGCTATCGCTACGGAGTTCTCTTTGAACTTCTTCTCCGTCAAGGGCCCCGAATTGCTCAACATGTATATCGGTGAGTCTGAAGCAAATGTCCGGCGCGTCTTCCAGCGCGCACGGGACGCTCGGCCGTGCGTTGTGTTCTTTGATGAACTCGACTCTGTTGCTCCCAAGAGAGGAAACCAAGGCGACAGCGGTGGTGTAATGGACCGAATCGTCAGTCAGCTTCTTGCCGAGCTCGACGGTATGAACGGCGGAGAAGAGAACAGTGGTGGTGTGTTCGTCATCGGTGCCACAAACCGACCTGACCTTCTCGATACGGCGCTTCTCCGACCTGGTCGTTTCGACAAGATGCTTTACCTTGGAGTTTCTGATACCCATCATAAACAAGCCACCATCTTGGAGGCGCTGACGAGAAAGTTCGTGCTCGCTCCAGAACTTTCCCTGAGCCGAGTTTCCGAGCGACTCCCTCTCACCTACACCGGTGCTGATCTCTACGCTCTGTGCTCTGATGCCATGCTCAAGGCAATCACTCGCAAAGCTACAGCGGTGGACGAGAAGATTAAGCAGCTCGCTGGTGGTCCAGTCAGCACCGCATACTTCTTCGACCACCTTGCCACGCCCGATGATGTTGCTGTAATGGTCACAGAGGAGGACTTTGACTCGGCGCAAGGCGAGCTCGTCCCCAGTGTTAGGTACGTTCCCGACCCTATATTTTAACACTTTAACGTTAATTCTGACAACTTGCAGCGCCAAAGAACTAGAGCACTTCGAAAGAATCCGCCAAATGTTCGAGTCCACCGACAAACAAAAGCAAGAAAACCCACAATCCGCACCCCAAACCATCGCCGAAGCAATCGAGGCTATGAAGCTCGGAAACGACCCTGACGGTATCATCGGCGGTCCCGTCACAAACGGCGATGGCGACCAAGCTGCCGACACCGGCAAGGGGAAGGGCAAGCAAGCAGCGTCGGCTGGCATGCGCAGCGCCAGTGGTCACTCAGTTGCCAGTAAAGGCAAGGGAAAGGGCACGGCAGGTAATCCCAGAAAGGGCAGGACTATTGCCGTTGCCAACGGCGACTCGGACTCGTCCCTTGATGGGACCGACGGAGTTAATGGCGATGATGACTATGTTATTCGTACGGATCACTTGGCAAAGACGGACGGGGTTGATTGATTTGGCTGATGATGTTTCTCCGGCCTTTGTTGTACATATATCTTCGTTTTTATGTGTATTTGCATTGCATCCCTGTTATATACTACCGTACTCCATGAGAACTGATATCCACTTGAGTGTTTGTATGGTAATGTTGATTTATCCAATCTGTCCAGTGACTAGTCTCGTGCTTGAACTCTAGGTAAATCCCTCGATAAAGTAGTTTTCTCTGTGAGCTACAGCTAAAGCATTGCTGTTTTTAAAATTGGACCAAGGACGGGCATCACGTTTGACAATCAAGCACGCTCATACGTGTTCGCTCAGAGTATAGAACCCCTATCTCAATCGTGCTATAACACGGAAAACCAAGTCCTTAAAAAGCTTTAATTACAGGCAGTCAGACAAGGCCTTCTAAAAGATTGTATTGCAATCCCAACCCAACTTTCTTCCTACCTAGATAATGGATGCAGCGACAAGGTACCCTGGGTGGGTCATTTATAAGATTCGTTCTCAAAGAAACACTTATTGAATGCTAAGTCTAGAACTGTAGTAGGGTATATGTGCTTGTTCAAGTCTAGTATTCTCTTCTAGAAGTTCGATGAGCCTCTTTGATGCTCTTACCATCGTAGCTAAAAGTAAGCATCTATGTCTTCGAGAGAGCTTCGAGCCGTGTAGAAGGAAATGGATATCAACGGTTTCCAATGCTCAAAAGCCCATTGTCGAGTAGAAGGAATGTACTCAAGAGCCTCAATGACTTCCAACTTGGCAGGAATGTAGATATTCAGCTGCCTGCGGACGGCGGGTCAGGTAGTACGTGTACTTCGAACACTCAATTAAGTTTCTGCACAGATCCATCTGCGCAATCCATCAAGCCGGCAAGTAGAGCCTCATCAGATGACCGGGAGCTGGGGAGCTCCGGCTCGTCTGTCGCTGGGGACGCCGCTTTGACCTGAGTAATGAAGTATGAAGGTGTACTCCGTAACAAGTATAGTCAAGGCCGCGTGTCAAGACACGATTGCGTCAAAGTCGTCAGCACTCTATGAGAGAAGATATGTTAATGCCTTGAGAACCCGGAGAACGGAATTCCCCGACTCGGATCCGGGGATTCGGGGATTAGAGTAGACTGGAGTGCAGTGCATGTGTCGCGTAACACGAAGGATGCGGTATTTTCTTTCTTTGTCTTGTGGCGGAGTCATCCTTTTCCTTGCGAAAAGGATCTCCGTGTTGGGCGGTCGTGTCGTCAGCAGAAGGGTCGAAGTAGGTACCAGGATTTCCCTAAGTTCGCTCTCGTGTTCTGGATCTTCGACTGAAGTTTGGATTTGCGATGCCTAGTTTTCCTCAGGCGTCGACATTTCGAAGACGAGGAATGCGGACGATGCCGCGGGTTCCGCAACTCGCAGAGTCGAAGAGGGAACAACCAGGGTCCAACTTACTCCAGGGTGAAAGACAAAGTCAAAGCTCCAGAAAAGACACCGACTCAAAGAGCCTCCACCAGGGACCTCATTGGCCAGGGGCTGAATTTGAGCGGTCAAACAATCCATCCGACTCCGTCGACCGAGTCCGCTCGTGCAGATTGAGGCTCACTTCCTCGACCAATCTGAAGCGAACTAGTGGTCGAAGTCCCGCCTTCTTCCTCACAGTCCAGGTTGCTGAATTCTCGTCCTTTCCGTTATGGACTGGATCTGATACGACCGTGTTGAGTTAGTTGAATTAGAGGTAACATAAGATTAAGCTAGTAACTGTGGTGGTATCTTTGGGGAGATTTCGGGATATTCTGGCAACTTCCAGCCGCCGAGATCATCGCCTGTGAATCTGGCCAGGGAACCAGATATACGGAGAAAGAATATCACTCTCATGGACGATACGTAAAATCGCTCCCCCCAACTGCTATTGTGCATCGCTAACCTGAGAAACTGGCCTGGATTGTGGCGTTGAGCTTCAACGGCCGCAGGGGCTCATGATAAAATGCTTGCGGGAGATCCGCAGAATGTTGATTGATTGCACCGCGGCCAAAACATAAGCGCCGACTGCTGCTCGTCCCCATGCCGCTCAGTGGAGATGGGCAACGAGTAGCATCTCGAACGAGAACCATTCGTCCCTAATGCCATTTGCCCATGCAGACTTGAACCATGGTCGTTTCCATGCCTTCAAGAAATCGAGCCGCCTGCCATCCAGCATCGTGAAATTGTTGAGCCCAGAATTCCTTCTGCTGTTTTCTCCGTCTTGATACGGGGCACGACCCAGTAAGCCAGTAAGCCAGAAGGTGAGAGTCGGTCCAGCGATACCGCCCCCACAAATGGGGACCCTCAGAAACTGTCGAGCGCTTGGTAAGTCAAATATCTTGGCTTGAATAGGGACAAGCCTTTTGAGATAAATGTGTACCGCAAGTTTGGTGGCCGATGATGATATTCCACTTTCCGAAAAGGGACAGGCTGCCCCAGAATTACAAAAATGAAAGCCACGGCGTGCCGTCACTGGGGAGAAATACGGGATGGATACTTAGGCAGCAAATTAAAAAAAAAAAAAAAAAAAAAAAAAACAAAAAACTCAGTAACCACGATCAAGAATACTGCCATCATCATGTCGATTTGAACCGCCGTATGTCATCGTATGCGAAGGAGTTGTTCGTGGTCTCAGCATTAGCCAATAAAAACACAGCAATCATTATCGACTGTTGGATGGTGAAGCAGCACGGCTTACGTCGACCATCACAGTGGCTGTGTCCGACACAGGGTTCGAATACGTATCCCGTGGATTTGCGGCACTGCTAGCATTCGAGCATCTCGAACGCTTTTACGATATATAAGTCGGAGAGACCCTGAGGCTTTTAAGGATGGAAAAAAGCTCCGTCCAACACTGCCTGACTGCCATCATGGTGGAGTTTCTGTTGGACTGATCGATGGAGGATCGTCGATGAGGAGAAATCCGCAGCAGGCCGTGGTGGGTTGTTTACTATTTTCGGATCGGTTCATGTCCGTAAGAACGTTTCGAAACGTTCTAAAAGCAAACCATCTATTGGATGATACCTCATAAGTGGAGAATGGACGGCGTGCCGGCTCCGGAGGATTTGTATCCGGGACAGAAACCGTAATATATTACAACTAATCTCAAACAGGCCTAGCAGGGCTTGTCAAATCAGGCAGCATCGAAACCGCGCCTCCAGGCTCAGCCGCAATCCATCAAGAAAGCGTCGTCGTCCCTGATCTCACCCTGTTCTCTTTCCCTCTCTCTTCCCCAAGTTTGCATTATCTTTTCTCTTTTCATTTGCATTTTCCATCGACTCTGCTAGGTTGCAACCATTCGTATATTTATTCATAACTAGCATCGCCCAGACACCCCCCTCCCCACCCTCTCTGCTGCACTGGGTTCTGCTATCCCGCCGACACTCAGGGCATCACTTGCTTTCGACTCGAGTATGTACTCAAATGGTTCCCCGGCTCCGATCATCTAAACAGGACCGATATATTCCCCGCCTCCCCCTTGTACACCGTCTAATCATTTGCAACTCGGCAGACCTGCCAGCCGTTAACTGGCTGCATCACTCTTCGTCAAACCAGAAACTTCCCTTTGGTTCGGTCATTCATCAATAGTGAGTCATTCCTTTCCATTCAGGTGCCCGCTCGCCCTTGCTAACGCCCTTTTCGGAACACTAGGGACCATCCACCATGAGTTCAGCACAGAACTTTGACTCTATAAGAGCCCACCCAAGGCGCCGTCCACTCAGGGCAACTCAACCCTCAGTCGACCCGTCCGAAGAACAATCACCATCCCTACCCTCGCGGCTCCGACTTCGCAAAGGTGAAACATTTAACCCATCCATCCTTCGCGCTTCCGACCGTGACCCTTTTGTGCCCTCGCTACCTCGACGCTCTCCCACATGCCCTGGCGCTTTGGAAGCTATCGCCGCTGGACAACAGCGTATGGCCGAAATCTTGGACCGCCTTGACTTGAACGACGTCACACCGTCGACCTCCGAAGATAAAGAGAACCTTCCTACCCCCAAGAGCTTTGCCCGGCTTCACCTTGAAACGCGGAAAGAGGGCTCTGTTGAGCGCTCACGCCAGCCCAGCCCGATGCCCAAGGAACGTTCTCGGAGGGCTCAGAGAGTCCACTGCCATGCTTCTGATAGTGGAATCGGCTCCTCTATCAGCAGCAGTCAGTCTATGTCGTCTAACAAAGGTACATGGTCAAGGCCGGGTTTCTCCGCGTTTGCATTCGCTAACAACCTCTCAGTAAAAGCTGGCCAGCTGTCTCGTGGCAGCAACTCAGTCCTCACCCGTTCTCAATCAGCCATCACTCGTTCTATCAGCGCCATGGAGGTTGAAAGCTCCAAGAAGCACAAACTCAGCTCTGATGGCTACGCGGAGATTGAGAAGCACACCCTTGGCCCCCTTCTCGAAAATGAGCGACTTAAGTCATTCCACCCTATTCTTGAAGATGTCCGTCAACAGATTGAAGATGAACGCATTTCCTGCTTGCGTGACCTTGAGAAGACGGTGTTCTCGCTCGCTCCGGCAGTCAAGACCACCGATGCTGCCTATGTTCGGTTCTGCCAGCATACCATTTTGTGCCTTGGCCAGACCGTCTCTTTCTTGAACGGCCGGGACTTGTGCACACCAACCGACAAGCCATACAACAATGGCTACTTTGTGGATCTCTTGGAGCAGGTTTCGCAGTTCAAGAGAATTCGCGACGAATGGCGGAAGAAGCACGAGACCGATGAAAAGCTGAAGTATGTGATGGCGTCCTTTTCATTTTACAGAACATCAATTAACCGACTATCTTATAGAGCCCCTGAACTCCGGCTTGAAGGCGGGATCTCCAAAACTGGACGCCCTCTTGAAATGGTCGTCGAGCAAGATGGCGAGGCTGTCTCTCTGCGCACTGGGAAGCCTTACGAGGATCACACTATTCCTTCAATGAAGCGGACTCTTAGCGCCGCGTCCGCGGACGAAGGTGCTCAGCGATCTATGGCTCGTCGCAAGAAGAATGCGCCTCCCATGAACATCAACAAGAAGTGCAAGGATTGCGACAAGGTCTTTGCCCGACCGTGCGACCTCACGAAGCACGAGAAGTCCCACTCTCGTCCTTTCAAGTGTCCCGTCGCTTCCTGCAAGTACCACACCAAGGGGTGGGCTACCGAGAAAGAGGCAGAGCGCCACTACAATGACAAACACTCTGACGCACCCCGTTTGTACTCGTGCCAGTTTGAATCTTGCTCTTACAAGTCTAAGAGAGAAAGCAACTGCAAGCAACACATGGAGAAGACCCATGGATGGGTGTACATGCGCTCCAAGAACAACGGCCGAGTAACTAAGCGGGCCTCCATGCAACAGAGCCCCACCCCATCCAGTGGCTCTGCCCAGCCCAAGCCCGATATCTGGAGCATGACACCTCCCTCTGAGGTTGAATTGAAGCAGGAGTCGGTTCACTGGGGTTCTTCAGCTCTCACACCGGAAACTCTAGATTTCAATAACTTTCAGCATTCTGTGACTGGAATGCCAACGCCGGTGACGGGCACAGTGGATGCTGTTACCCCGACCACGGGTACCATTAACTCGCCCTCTGAGCCATTTGATATGCCACCACTAGAAAATGCTCACATTCCACTGGATATGTTCCCAGAGATGAAGGACAACTTGTTGTTCACTGGAGGAGACATGGACTTCGCAGACTTCGGCAATAACCCAAACATGTTCAATGACTTCTACGGTGATTTCACCTTACAGCCACAGGGAATACATTATGGAGACGTGCAGCAGCAACCTCAATTCGAAGACGACTCCGCTGGCTTTTTGCTTGATGTCTACAATGACATGCACACCTACGGGATTAACCCCGGCCCTGGAGGCGGCCTCTGATCTCATCACATGCTGTGATTGGGACAAAAACCCCGGTGGTCGAATGTTTTGATCAACGTGTTACGACTTTTCTTTTTTTTTTGGGTAGGCGAATGCTCCGTACCATTCACAATTTTGTGCGAAAATATTTTGAATGTTGGGCATTTGCCTGTAAATAATATCACCCTTTCCAGTTTATTTTTACTTTTTTTTTCAATGAGATGCATGTTTCCTCTGGATTTTACTGGCTTTTGAGTATGGCAACCTAGTCACCTAGAATGACGATGACCTCTCGTTTGCCTCTTCCTAGATAGAATAACAAGCTGAAAATAACAAGCTGAAGAATGCTCTTATAAAATCCGGCTCAGTGCTGTTGCAACCTGAGTAAACCTCAGCAACACCAAAGAACTGCTATGGCTGCTCACTCCGAGAGATTCGACTTTGATCAATGACTTGAAATAGCCATAACCATGTTCAGAGGCTTGGGCGTTCAAATCTAACAAAATAAACCTGCCTCCGAGGGCAACTTCTCAATATCGCACCCTCTAGTCTCTTGGTTCTGCGCAGGAAGCGTCCGTCTCAAAGGAGCCTTCCTCATGTAAATGGTGCCATCCTCTTTAAGAATCGACACCCCTAGTTCACACTCCTATTATATCCGGTCATAGACGCACTGCCAGTTTTTTCTCAATGCGGATAAAGTGTGCCATGGGCAGTGCTGGCTTTTACGCTTCTCGAGTCTCGACACTACTCTTCGAGGCAGTGAAAAACATACCTGGACAGCTCATGGTTAGCCCAACGTCAGCCTGAAAAACACAATTGAGAATTTCCACGAAATGAAGCTTTTAACTTTGGTAGCTACAAATAAAACTAAACTCAGATAAACTCTCTGCCTTGTCTAAATAGAAATAGACTGTCCTCCACCAACCCCAATCCATGGTAACTAAGTTACAGAGTATCATGGATACGAAGGCGCAGAATTATCAAGAACTATTTGGTATTGCATACAGCAACAATAAAGATATGTTGATTTTGAGTATATTACTACGTGTCATGATAACATGTTCACTTTTCTATATGATCCAACCTCCTAGGCAGCGATCATCGCTTACCTCGACAGCGCAATGTCATCAATTCTCATAATCATCTTCACCGTCTCCGCCGCAAGCTCAATTGCACTGGTGCTCACAAGCAGGGGCTGCAGGATGTTCTCCTCGGTGATGTCGTCCTTCACGCCACCGCTGCGGATGCTGACTCCAGCGTTGTGCTGGCCCTGAGCGTGACGGTGTCGGAGCTCTGTGACAACCTTGATAGAGTTGAGACCAGCGTTCTCGGCGAGCGTCGTAGGAATGACCTCCATGGCGTCCGCGAAGGCCTTCCAGCAGATGGACTCTGTGCCGGTGATTTCACGGGAGCGCTTGGCAAGGAGATTGGCAACTTCGATTTCCGGAGCACCACCACCGGCGATGAGGGCGCGCTTCTTGACCAAGCAACGAATGACACACAGAGCGTCGTGAAGAGAGCGCTCGGCTTCGTCGAGGATGAGGTTGTTGGCGCCGCGGGCGACGATGGACACGGTCTGGTTGGTCGCAGTTGCGGGGGCCTTGATGCCGGTGATCTTGACATAGCGAGCACCAGACGACTGGACCTCTTCTACGAGGTCAGCGGTGCCGAGCTTGTCTTCTGTGAAGGAGTCGACGTTGGCGACGGGCTTGCAGCCCAAGCTCTTGCACAGGAACTCAACCTCGTCACGTTCAATGTCCTTGATGGCGAGAATCTTGAGGCGGGAAAGGAAGTGGAGTGAGAGGTCGTTCACAGCATCACGGAGAATGGACTTCTGGATCAGAAGGACGTTACACTTTGTCTTCTGGATCTTCTTGACCATGTTGAGCAGGTACTGGCGCTCCTCCTTCAGAATCTTGTCCATCTGGCGGTAGTCGTTCACAACAATCTGGTTTTCCATCTGATAAAAACGTCAGTAAGTGCATTACACAGTATCCGCGATATCAAGAAACGTACATCAGGCTTGGGCGGGCTGAGCTGGAACTGGATCAATCCTATCCGGGCCTTCTCAATTCTTGTGGGACCACCGCTGCTCTTGATAACCCCCTGGTTCAGGACCAGGCCATCAACCATCGCACTGTCCTCAATTGTTCCGCCAACCTTCTTGACAATTCTAATGTTCCTGAGGTCCACGTTCTCTGCCGTCTTAGGGTCAACCACCTTCAGCACGGAGTCCACGGCCATCGGTCCGAGAAGGCTGGAGTGCTGTGACACAATCTTGGAAGAAAGCGAGGTCGAGGCGGCTTGTAGGAGGGTGGCACGGTCCATCAGGTTGATCGGGCGGGACATGTTGTGAAGTATCTCAACAGCCGCAGCGGCGGCTCTCTGGAAGGACTCGGAGATCACAGTTGGGTGAATACCCTTTCCAAGCAGACGCTCAGCAGCAGCCAGCAGACTTCCGGCAATCACAACAACCGATGTCGTTCCATCTCCAGCCTCAACATCCTGGGCAGCACTGAGGTCGACTAGCATACGGGCAGCGGGGTGCATAACGCTCATATCTCTCAACATCGTGTTTCCATCGTTGGTCTGCGGGGGGTAAGCGGTTAGTGCCTTGTATCTCGGAGTGTCAGGCAGGCATTCGTACGATAATTGTGTTTCCTTTGGGCGTTTGGATCTGTATTTAAATTAGTGGCTGAATCGATCGGAATGAAAGTCTGATGCCTACCATCTTGTCCATACCCCTGGGTCCCAATGACTGTATAACGAATTAGCCCCTCATCCCGATACTTCCATCATTGCACGCGTACCGTTCTAATTGCATCGGAAACAGCTGCATCTCATTAGCATGGTAATTTATTTTCAGGATCACGCATAACGCACCTCTAGCAGCGAGAATGTTGGATGCCCGCACGGCGACAGGCTTCTCCTTGTCCTGCAAGATATCAGTTTCGGCCCACAGTAAATTCCCCTCCGCAATAGACGCACCTTGAAGGAGGTGCTGCTAGGAGCAGCTGGGGGAGCAGCGGAAGCCATATTGTGGGAAGCTATGATGCAGACACCGCAGCCTATGAAGACAAGAGAAGAAAGAAAAGGGGGGTGGTTGAGACGGAGAACAGAACTGGTCCAAAGGCGGCTCTCGAAATTCTTCCAGGCTGCGGGTTTGCACTTTGAGCGGTGTTGCGCTCTGGGGCTTGGCGCCCACTAGCGTCAACAGCTCAAGCTGGGACCGTCGGACAGACTGAACAGCTCTCGACGACATCACCTCTCTTCCATCTCTCACTCTCGCACCATATCCATCTCGTTTTCTTCGTTTCCCTTCTCACGACCCCTCTATCCGTTGACACTTGTACATTATTCCATCTCCGACTGTTGTTTCGCCTCTAGACCAGCTGTTTAGCCACATCCTCTCACCATGCCTTCCGCCACGGGAGACAACTGGGAGAAGTACAAGAAGAACTTTGCTGATGAGGAAGAGCCCGAGAAGAAGATTACTCCCCTTACAGATGAGTATGTCGCTTGCTATCACCCTTATCGCCCCAAGCGCCGCGGTCGCTGCGCTGTGATGCCAGTTGCTGACGAACCGCAGGGACATCCAAGTACTCAAGACCTACGGCGCGGCTCCGTACGCGAACGCATTAAAAAATCTAGAGAAGCAAATTAAGGACAGACAAGCAAGCGTGAACGAGAAGATTGGCGTCAAGGTAAGACCTGACTTTCTCCAACAACATCCGCGTCGCCGCAAGGAAAAGGAAGGGAGCTGACGTGCTTAGGAATCTGACACCGGTCTTGCACCTCCACATCTTTGGGATGTTGCCGCAGACAGGCAACGTATGGCGGAGGAGCAGCCACTTCAGGTGGCTCGCTGCACAAAGATCATCCAAGATGAGAAGGACCAAGACAAAAGCAAATATGTCATCAACGTCAAGCAGATCGCCAAGTTTGTGGTCAACTTAGGGGAGCGAGTGAGTCCTACAGATATCGAAGAGGGCATGAGAGTAGGGTATGTTTGTATCTTTATTAGATGGATTCCTCTTTTAACTGACTGTTTTTTTCAGTGTCGACCGAAACAAGTACCAGATTATGTTGCCACTCCCACCTAAGATCGACCCAAGCGTTACAATGATGACAGTCGAAGATAAACCTGATGTCACATACGGAGACGTTGGAGGTTGCAAGGAACAAATTGAGAAGCTACGAGAAGTCGTTGAAATGCCACTATTGTCGCCCGAGCGTTTCGTCAACCTAGGTATCGATCCACCAAAGGGTGCCCTTCTCTACGGTCCCCCCGGTACTGGAAAGACCCTCTGCGCGCGAGCTGTCGCCAACAGAACCGACGCAACCTTCATTCGTGTCATCGGTAGTGAGCTTGTCCAAAAGTACGTCGGTGAGGGAGCCCGCATGGTTCGCGAGCTCTTCGAGATGGCCCGAACCAAGAAGGCCTGCATCATCTTCTTCGACGAAATTGATGCAGTTGGTGGAGCCCGTTTCGACGACGGTGCAGGCGGTGATAACGAAGTTCAGCGTACTATGCTTGAACTTATCACACAGCTAGATGGTTTCGATGCTCGAGGTAACATCAAAGTTATGTTCGCGACCAACCGACCGTCAACACTCGATCCCGCTCTGATGCGTCCCGGCCGTATCGACCGTAAAATCGAGTTCTCTCTCCCCGACGTCGAGGGTCGCGCTAATATCCTCCGTATTCACGCCAAGAGCATGTCCGTGGAGCGCGATATCCGATGGGAGCTCATCTCTCGACTCTGCCCCAACGCAACAGGTGCGGAGCTTCGCAGTGTTGCAACAGAGGCCGGCATGTTCGCCATCCGTGCTCGACGGAAGGTCGCGACGGAGAAGGACTTCTTGGCGGCCGTGGATAAGGTTATCAAGGGTAACCTGAAGTTCAACTCGACAGCGACGTACATGCAGTATAATTAGATGGATGCTTGCTGGGGTTTCTGTCGTTGCATCTTTGGGATTACATTGCATGGGCTGGACGTGTATGTTATGATCAATTTAGCTAGGGATTCAGTCCACGATGGTTTCGATAGTCATTGGTCCTCGACAGTAAACGTTTGTGTAGACTTTATTGCCGTTCTATCTCGGCTTGATCTCCCGAATAGTATCACATGACTGCTATCACGGCTCATCTCGGCTTTTCGAAGAGCACAAGAACAACCAGCGGCCGACTACAGTCGCAGAAAAGCCAGCCCCGTAAACAGTGTTTACGTGCCATTTCGGTCATACAATACCCGAATTGCCCTACCCCAGGTAATCACAACCCCATCACCACCCCCCTAGACCCCGGAATTTCTCTCTTTAAATGTATAGCCGGGATAAAGGAAGACCGGCCCACGTGCCCAGCAGCGACCGCGGCCAATGACAGTCTCCCGGCTGCCCGAGGTGATTACCACTAGACATAATCTAATTGGCCGGCTCGGCCCCGGTCCTCCCCGTCGGCAAGTGAAATGCCATGATTAGGTCAGCCGAACTTCCGCTCTTCGCGGATCCAGCAAAAGTGTACCGGGAGCTTTGCAAGTTCACTTCACTTGCACTCCCTCGTTGCTGCTGCTGCGCTAATTGACATCCCTCTCCCCTCCTCCGCCGTCCCTGGTCTGTCTTTTGTTAGGGAAGTGCTAGGTTTCTTTTTTCGTTTTTTTTCTTCGTGCGGTTTGACACCATGAGCTCCCTAGGCTTGCGGAGCTTGGCTCCCGCCTCGAAGGTTGGTTTATTCGATTTGAATATTCGGCTGTGCGAATTGAGGCTAATTAAGATGTTGGGGACAGATCTCCCGTGCTTTGAGGGATCAAAGACGTCTATTTTCATCCTCCCGACCTGCAGGTATGCATTGAAGCTCGAGACAAGACAGAATTGCGGTTTCGCCTGTTGCTAACACGCCCTTGCGCAGCCCGCATCTTCGGCAGCAATCCTCTGCGCGCTAAGGCCGCTGAAGGCTACATCTCAGATAAATACCCGGTCATTGTAAGTAATTGGACTCATTGGTAGTCACAGGAGTCGCGGGGGAATTGGTTCTGATTGTGTATAGGACCACGAGTACGATGCCGTCGTCGTCGGTGCTGGTGGTGCCGGTCTGCGTGCCGCCTTCGGTCTTGCTGAAGCTGGATTCAACACTGCCTGTGTCTCGAAGCTTTTCCCTACTCGATCTCACACTGTCGCTGCTCAGGGTGGTATCAATGCCGCCCTTGGAAAGTAGGTGTTTCAACTGCTTATCAAATTGTCTCCTATCGCATCGCGCTAATATCTGCCGATAGCATGCACCCCGACGACTGGAGATGGCACATGTATGACACCGTGAAGGGTTCCGATTGGCTTGGTGACCAGGATGCTATCCACTACATGACGAGAGAGGCCCCTGCTAGTGTTCGTGAGCTCGAGGGTTACGGTTGCCCCTTCTCCCGTACCGAGGAAGGTCTCATCTACCAGCGTGCTTTCGGTGGTCAATCGAAGGAATTCGGCAAGGGAGGACAGGCCTACCGTTGCTGCGCCGTCGCTGATCGTACCGGTCACGCTCTTCTGCACACTCTCTATGGACAGTCTCTGAGCCACAACACGAACTACTTCATTGAGTACTTTGCTATGGATCTGCTGATGGAGAACGGCGAGTGCCGCGGTATCATTGCTTACAACCAGGAGGATGGAACTATCCACCGCTTCAAGGCTCACCACACTGTTCTGGCCACTGGTGGATACGGGCGTGCCTACTTTAGTTGTACCTCTGCCCACACCTGTACCGGTGACGGTATGGCCATGGTTGCCCGTGCTGGTCTTCCTAACCAGGATCTGGAGTTCGTCCAGTTCCACCCCACTGGTATCTACGGTGCCGGATGTCTAATCACAGAGGGTGCTCGTGGTGAGGGTGGTTACCTACTCAACTCCGAGGGTGAACGTTTCATGGAACGTTACGCTCCTACCGCCAAGGATCTTGCTTCCCGTGATGTCGTCTCTCGTTCCATGACCATGGAAATCCGTGACGGCCGTGGTGTCGGTCCCGAGAAGGACCACATCTACCTCCAGCTGAGCCACTTGCCCGCTGAGCTCCTTCACGAGCGTCTCCCCGGTATCTCCGAGACCGCCTCCATTTTCTCTGGTGTCGATGTTACCAAGCAGCCCATTCCCGTCCTGCCCACCGTCCACTACAACATGGGTGGTATTCCCACCAAGTTCTCCGGTGAGGTCCTGACTGTGGATGAGGCCGGTAACGACCAGGTTGTGCCTGGCCTGTATGCTTGCGGTGAAGCCGCCTGTGTCTCCGTCCACGGTGCTAACCGTCTCGGTGCCAACTCTCTTCTGGATCTGGTCGTCTTCGGTCGTGCCGTTTCTCACCGTGTCCGTGAAATCGCCTCCCCTGGCAAGCCCCACGCCGAGCTGGCCTCTGATGCCGGTGCCGAATCCATCAAGGATCTCGACTTCGTCCGTACCGCTGAGGGTCCCAAGTCCACCTTCGACATCCGTAACGCCATGCAAAAGACCATGCAGACTGATGTCTCCGTTTTCCGTACACAAGAAAGTTTGGATGAGGGTGTTGAGAAGATCACCAAGGTTGACGGGACCTTCGACCAGGTCGGCACCAAGGACCGTAGCATGATCTGGAACTCCGACCTTGTTGAGACTCTTGAACTCCGTAACCTGTTGACTTGCGCGTAAGTATTCCTTTCAAGAAAGGGTTAAAAAAGAAGTTGATGACTAACAAACACCGCAGCTCTCAAACTGCTGTTGCCGCCGCCAACCGTAAGGAATCCCGTGGTGCTCACGCCCGTGAGGACTTCCCCGAGCGTGACGACGAGAACTGGATGAAGCACACCCTCACGTGGCAGAAGACGCCTCACGGCAAGGTCGACCTTGGCTACCGTAGAGTCGTCGACACGACCCTGGACGAGAAGGAGTGCAAGCCTGTTCCTCCCTTCAAGCGTGTTTACTAAGCACGTTCAGTGTCTTTACCAATCGTTCACCAGATCCAATGCCGCGTTATTGCTGATAGAGATCTGGCTTCAGGTTGTTTCTTGGGAGGCGGGATTGGAGTAGACTTTCAACTCGAAGGAAAAGAAGCGTCATGAAAATTCGAACGGAATAATTTCCTTTGTCTTTATATGTGTATATCCATTGTTTATCTTCAAGGCGATGAGTTGGGAGTACTCACGTTCTATTGTTTTTTATAGCCCTTTTGTTAGCTTATACAACGGAGTTTTCTTTGCTTGAGCCCTCGATGAGGAACGTACCTTGCCAATCCGCTCATAACGATGGTCGCTTCAAACGCCCGTTAGCTTGGTTTTTGGTTGGCAAAAGAGACTAAAGGCTGACAACCCGGTCTGGTGGACCTCGTGGTTCTTTGTCTGTACAAAGGGCCAGCCCCCTCGCAACGTGCTTGAAAATCATCAGAAAGGAAGGCCATGAAAAGGTGTGGTTACCATCGGCGACCGCATCAAGGATAGCCGTGCTCGAGTGTTTCCAATTCATTCCAGAACCCTGATCGTCTCGCGTTGAACAGTCTTTGCCCACCAATAAAGGAATGGATGCCAACCAACCTTGACGACATCGCCTAAAATACGCTGAAAGGATGTCTGGGCTCGTGATACCCCCCGTTGAAGGACCAACGTCAGTTATCCGTGGGACTGTTCATTGAAGTAGTTGGTTCGCAGATATGACATCTTCATATGTCTGGATCTCACTCCTCGCACAACATTTTCTCCATCGTTCTGATTCTGTACTCGAATGCTGAGCCGGCCTCATGCGTTAAACGCACTCGTTAAATCGCTCTTTTGCTAGCGTTTTTCTTTTCTTCTTTTTTGTAAGACACTGCATTTTAATGGAGGAAATAGTGGCTCGTCAGGATACGGCGTGTGCACCCAGCACAGAGTGGTATGTCTGCTCAGGTGGATTCCGAGGTTGCTGCTCCGTTGATCCCTGTGGCTCAGGATGTCCGGATTCGAAAGGTGACAAGTCGCTTTCGACGGAGCCAGAGAACACTAAAGAGACGATATCGGTGACAACGGTCACGGCGACCGCCACGTCGAAGACAAGCACGAAGACCACAAGGACGACGAAGACGACAGCATCATCAACAACAGAGGCCAAGCCGACGACAACAACGGATAGCACTCTCACCAGCAGTGTCGACAGTGAACAAACGACTACCACGTCTGCTACCTCCATAACAGAATCTCCCGATTCCCAATCTACCTCAATCGGGACCACCTCGTCTTCCAGCCAGGGCCACACCAACTCAAAAATGATTGGAGGCATTGTCGGAGGCATAATTGGCCTGTTGTTGATTCTATGTATCGTCGCATTCCTGGTGATCCGTTCGAGAAGAAAGCGTGGGAAGCGGTTCACCCTCCTTCACTGGAGATGCCCTCGGACGGAGTATACAGAGAGAAGCGTCGAAGATGGCAATGCAAACAGCACGCAAGCGGCTCAAGTGCAAGCCCAAAACCAACAAGCGTCAATGGCCGTCCGCAATATCGTCACCGGTCCACCTAATAATCAGTCACAAAGTACACCGATAGAGCAATCACCAGACATCTCGCCACTTCAAAGCAACCAAAGCCATTCACCACAAACAATCGCATCTGTCTCCTCGCCATCCACAGTAATAAATCCTAGACGTACCAGGAATTCATGCTCCAAGTCCGCAATCATCGCCCCTCCCCCAGACGCTGTACACCCGGCCTTCCGCGAGACCCAACCCCCTCCAACAGCACCATACTTACCACCCACCTCCATCCCAGAAACCACCACCATAAGTACCACAAAAACTCACCGGGACTCCACCCCCGAGCTTTTCGACACGGGTTTCTACCTCGGCCGCCTCGAACTCCCCGCCAGCTCCTCCCGCGAGCTCATCAACATCCCCTTCAACGAGCGCCAGCGCCAGCGCCAACGCCAGGACGAACAGAAGCAGATCTACCGCGCCGCAGGCCTGCCATCTCCAATAATTACGCTCGACGGAGCAATCCTATCGGCAAACTTCAACCGCTTCCCCGTTGATCCTGACTCGCACGCAATGAGCTTCATGGAGTATGACTCGACGAGTGAGCTGAAGCCGTCGTCGCAGGCGCCGCCCGGGTCACCACCACCGGTTTATCATTCTGACTGGAGACGGGGCTCGTTCCAAGTGAAAGAGAGGGTGATTGAGAAGTTTCGGAGGAGGTCAAAAATGACATGATTGTCAGAGGTATACCGTATTTTTCGGGAGGCTTTCGGCCCATGGCCGAACAAGTCGTTGAAACGAGGAAGCTGGGGATGAGAAAGATGAGATGAGACGATACGCACAAGAAGAATAAAGTAATGGGGATGGGATGCTCCTTCATTCCCACCTGCACCTTCCTTACTACCCCTCTTCCCCTCCGCCGTCTGTTCGTTCTTTCCCGACGGGAGGCCCGGGAAACTCCAGCCTCTTGGAGTCGTTCTTTCCTATTTGGGTTCCTTCGTTTTCGTCGTCTTCCACCCCAACAACCCTAATGCCCTACATCGCCGGAACGGCTTACTGGTTTTGGTGAGATTATCCAGGTTGTATTTTTCGTTGACTATCCCCGCTCTTTTTTTCTGTCCTTTTTCCTTCTGCATTGGTTAGATCGGTTGTTAGAAGGCTCTGTTGAGGTGAGCCTGGTTTTGTTTACACGATACACTTGCTGCATGCATACATGGCGCATGGCCTCCTTACTAGACTGTCACTATACTGTACCTGTTTATTTTAGTTGTTAGGTTGTTAAAGGAGAACGGGATTGGAAGAGGAATAGAAACCCGAAATGCTTCTCTTTATATGCATTAATCCATGTATCTTGTATCTCATTTTGTAGATCCTATCCATCCGATCATGATGCTCATTTTTGTATCCTTTTTTTTCCCTTCTATATATCCCTTATCCAGCGGGGTGCGAGTAGGGCAGACACGCCTACCTTAGTAGTTGTATTTTATAGGATGCTCTTAAGCACAGAGGTCTGCTCGAGAACAGCGCGCTTGCTGCAGCCACCGATGGCATCCTTCAGCTCAACCGCACGCTCATAGTCCAGGCACTCCTGGATGTCGTCGCCAAACCGGGAGTCAACGCCCTTGAGCTGGTCCAGCGACAGCTGGTCCATGGGCACGTTGTGCTTCTCAGCCAGCGCAACGACACGGCCGGAGATGTGATGGCCCTCACGGAAGGGGACGCCCTTGCGGACGAGGTAGTCGGCGAACTCAGTGGCCAGCATTTCAGGGGCTAGAGCAGCGACCATCTTCTCGGGGATGACAGTGAGGGTGGAGAGAACGCCGGTAGCGATCTGGATGCTGTCGCCGACGGTCTTGATGTGGTCGAGGAGAGGCTCGACACTCTCTTGCAGATCCTTGTTGTATGTTGTAGGCAGGCCCTTGATGGTCATCATCAGACCAGCCATGTGGCCGAAGGCGCGACCGGACTTTCCACGCAGAAGCTCCAGGCTGTCTGTTACAAGACATTCAGTTAATCATGTCATATAAATAAGGGAAACAAGCAGGCAATGACTCACCAGCGTTCTTCTTCTGGGGCATCAGCGACGAACCAGTCGAATAAGCATCCGACAGACGAACGAATCCATACTCCAAACTAGAGTAGATGATCAAGTCCTCGGCCCAGCGAGAGATCTTGAGCATGAACGAGCTACCCCATTGCATAGTCTCCATAGCAAAATCACGGTCACCGACGGCATTCATCGAGTTGTAAAGGAGACCCTCAAAGCCCAGCTCCTTAGCCATGGACTCACGGTCAATTTGGAACGGGTTTCCAGCGAGGGCACCGCAGCCAAGAGGAGAGCGGTTAACCCGGGTTGTGACCTGGCGCAGACGCTTCAGCTCGTCGGCGAACGCAGTGGCGTGCGAAAGCAGCCAGTGACTCCAGCGGACGGGTTGGGCCTTCTGCAGGTGGGTGTATCCAGGCATGAGGTAGTCAATTTCAGACTCGGCACGGGCAATGCAGACCTTGATCAGGTCGCTGAGGAAGTTATCCAGCTTCCGCAGCTCATCCCGCAGCCACAGGCGCAGGTCGGTTGCGATTTGCTCGTTGCGGGAACGGCCGGTGTGTAGCTTGCCTCCGATATCCTTGCCAATGATCTCCGATAGACGGCGCTCGTTTGCAGTGTGGATGTCCTCGTCGTTCTCCTTGGCGACGAAGGTGTTGGTGCTCCATTCCTCTGCGATCTGCTTGAATCCGCGCTCGATCTCGGAGAACTCGTGTGCGGAGAGGATGCCGGACTTTGTGTTGGCGCGGGCGAAGGCAATGGAGCCAGCGATATCCTGACGCCAGAGGATGCGGTCGTAGGGCAGGGATTCGTTGTATTGGACCATGAGGGGGTCGAGGCCCTCTGTGAATTGAATGTTTGGTTAGTTCTGGGTAGTGGGATGGAGAGCCATTGAGGGTGTAACTGACGAGTAAATCGACCTCCCCACAGCATGTTTTCAGCTACTCCTTTGGTACCGCTCATTTTGGAGGAATTGAGGTGTTTCCGAAGGGAATTGACACGAAATCAGCGCTCTGTAGTTGTTGACGAGGTTAATCTTTGTTGTCGATAAATCGAAAATGAATCATTGAGTGCGGGTGGTTGCGCTAGCCGTGTTGGGATGACTCATGTCAATCCAGTCAATCACAAGCGTTCTCTCCGGTTAACAGCGAGACCTTCAACTGCAGTATATACTACGGATGACTCCTCGTGTGGCATTCAACAGGTTATAGAGATCGGGATCCCTCATTTAGATTTTATTGGAACGCCTCGACATTTATAATTTTCTTTGTATTACTGAAGTAAACTACAATTCAATGTATATATATTTGGACAAATATATATATATATTTGTCTATTCGATAGCCATACATAGCTCAATCGCAACATCAACATCCAAGAGAACAAAGTAATAGGTTAGCAGGCACCTGATGTTCCTACGAAGTGACGAAACCCAGATGCCACCGCTCTACTAACAACGTAAACAAACCTCCAGCCAGTCACCAGTCAATAAAACTGCAACCGAGGCAACCAAGCATATCAATATGTAGCACATACCCCTTAGTCGTCTCGATCACGACATGATCCCGGCTATAGCTAGACAGGGTACGTACGGTGTAGGTGCCAGCTAGCCTAGGTGCCACGTATCCTACGCAGAGCATTGCAAAGCAAGCAATGGCAAAAGAGTAATCACCGCGACAAGCTGGAGACACCAGTGCTATCCTAGTCCAACAAAACCAACCCCTGCCCTACTCTAGGTGTCAGGATAGACACCCAGGGCAGTAGAAGTATTTGTCAACCCAGGGCGGACTAACTAGCTTGATGATCTGAGGAAGAATACGAGACGCCCCATGTCTCCGTCCGACGTCAAGGAATGTCCGAGTGTCTGAGTGACGAACAAGTGCGAGCGAGCCAGGCCGCAGGCGGCCCCATACTGATCCTCACAATCGCCCGCAACCGCAAGTGGGTTCCGGGCACCTTGTATGGAGCACAGAGGGCATCGACTGGGCTACGGAGAAGACTAACAAGTAATGACAGGTGGTGGACAGTGGGCTAGCCAAGGAGCATTACTGAAACCGGCTGACTCGCGAGTGTCACTTGCCTGTCACTTCACGGTTCAAGGCGAAAATCAGCGACCCGAGTACCTGGAAACAAAGGGCGCGTCCGCCCCACTGAGGCTTCGTGTGGGCTTCTTGTGCCGCTGTCAGATGCGGAAAAGGGGTAAAGGGGATGGATCTCATTGTGGCTGGCTGGGTCCGACGCTTCGTGAAGCGTCGGTGATCCTCGGGCATGACACTTGTCGATTGTCGATCCTCATCAGGATCCAGGATTTGAGATCGCTGGCAAGTTCAACCCGTTGAGCTGGTCAAAGGATTCACTAGAACGATTTAGATGAAACCTCAGCCTGGGCATCAATGGGAGGCTGGAGTCTGGACAGGGGATCGGGCGAAAGTCTCAGATGAGGACTTGGCCTAGCGGGATAATGGCTTCGGATTCGAAATGTCAGTCGACAGTTGACTGGTCAAATTAATTTAGGAGTGCATGAGATTTGAATCTGACAGCTGAGACACGAAGGGGCCGAAACCGATCGAGGGTTCGAATGTCGATGTTTGCGATGGAGGGATCCTGTTGTCTCATTGTCACTGTTGTTCTCCCCCTGAGTCAAGAAACCTCTCTGGGACTGAGTCTTGTGGGGTTCAAAATCGAACTGGAGAAACCATCAAGTGCAAGGACGGGGGTTGTGCTCCATGATGATGTGACAGAGTGGAAATCCCCGAATAACGTAAACATTGCAGAAATGAAAAAGAAGCTCCTGATCTGCAGCTGCATCTTCCGTTGCTCCGTTCTCTGTAGGGCTCGGGGAGACCGACTCGCAGTTGTGGCTGTGCACAAATAAGGTACATGCAGAGAAAAGATTTTCAGTTTCGTCTCGCATGGCTTTGCCCGTTTTCTGTCAACGACCTGACTCAGTCCTTTCTTTTCTTTTTTTTTTGTCATCGAATTCTCCTCTTCGGACACACGTCAGAAGAAAAATAATAATAATAATTCTCCACCTGGTATAAACTATTCGGAGTGTGGGCACGGTCCGGCATATTCTCAATGCTCACGTATTCAATTGTCTTGATTATATGGATAGGTTGAATTGGTTAAATTGCAGGATTCCATTTTCGCTAGAAATAACTCGATAATGACAGGGATTTGGGCACTGAGCCTATGCAAGTGCAAAAAGAAGGGTAAAAAAAAAAGAAAAAGATTCAGGGGAAAAGAGCGACAATGCTATAGGTCATAAATCATCAAGTCATGAGCAAACAGCTTCTTGCTTCATTTCACTCCCAAGGACTACGTGGCCCCACCATCCAATCTTCCATAGCGAGCCACTCGCTCCAATGCTTTTCGGCCTCGCAGAGCTCTTCTTCAGTTGCGTCGTGGAGTGGTCGTATGAATGGCGTTTGCTCGTCTGGCAAGATATCGTAAGCGGCCTTTGTTGATGCCCACCCGTTACTCTTTGCGGTGAATAGATAATTCATCCTCTCCTGCCTGCGGATGTTGCCGACGCCATTAGACCAGTCGGCGCCAAAAAATGCTTCGAGTATAGGTGCCGTGTCGTTTCCTGTCACGACGAGGCGGCGAATATAGTGCCGCAGCGAAATTTGCGATGAAGGGCTAGAGGCGCCAAAGCGCGCGACAGGATTGGATAGTTGCTGACAAGGGAGGCGGATGTTTATGTATGCTGCCACGGATTGCACAGGAAGCGAATGTTGCGCGTGGTCAAGGAAATGCTGTGTGCACGCTGTGTAGTACGAATACCAATCGGGCAAATGCACCTGGTAGATACTTGCGCGTTCTGGAGTTGGACCATCTGGCGCAAGAACCGGTTCGCTTGGGGCGTCTGGGCTGGAAGGTAGATCCATCGAGGAAGGACGGAACGGCTCAAGTCTGCCGAAAGCGTGTTCAGCTTCCAGATGAATGGGCTCTGTCAAAAGGGGAAATGCGCTTTAGCGACGGGTCTTGAGAGTAGAGAACCGCAGAAAAGACCCATCGAGGATGGAAGAAGCGACTTACTTGCGAATGGAGAAGGCACTGCGGCGACGAAAGAGGGATCGGGCATACCCATAGACAGAGAGGCCTCCCTTCCAGAATCGTGTACGTTCAGTGGCATTTCCGTTGTTGCGCATATGGGGAGAGATAGTCAAGAAAGGGTCGAGGCAACCCAAGAGTACTGGTAACTATGGAGAGTAGAAGAGCAGTGGAAATTGCTTCCAAGGTTGGTAAATGTGTCTTAGAGAGAAATAGCTGAATAGATTGGATGTTTTGGCTTGCGGATCTAAGGGAGGGACATGGAGGGGGAGGAGCCCTCCTTATAGCAGCTGGCAGTACATCCCCATCCCCCCAACAGGTGCAGGCCCAGCACGGTCATTCCGAAGCACGAAGTCTGGTTCCAGCGAAAAAAAGAAAGTGTAAGAAGGACCAAGAATAGAAGATCAATGGTGTAAGAACCGTCCAAGTAAGCTATATGCCGGTCCCGCCGGGGGCAGTGGAGCCCGGGGCAGGATATTCTTGCAAATCCGAGAATCTGAAGCTATCGCAGCAGCGCCTATTGAAAGATGGTGTCAAGCCACAGGTAGTTGCAGCCACAGAGAGAACCCAGCCACGGATTGTGGAGCCCTGGTTGGGCCTCGGTTCTTCGGGGTCAGCGAATATGCAGTGGCTGTGTTCGGAATGGGGCTGGTGCATCGGTGCCTGAGGCCCCAACAGCCGATCATGCCCGTGGCGCAGCACGCCCTATGGGCCCCTCTGTCGCATGGCAGGTCGCGTCGTTTGCCCGTTGAGGAACAGCGTGAGCACTGGCCAGATAGACTATTTGCTCTTAGTCGCTGCGTGGTTCCGAGAACCTGGACCGAGGACGTGCGAGCCATCGTCAATCTGATCCAATGGCCGCAGGGATTTGGAAATCATCTCGATTAGCGCATCCTCCCTTGGGTAGGAATGGATTAACTGGGGGACTGATTATGTGACTAAGGATTACGGGGTCGGTGTTGAGTCTCGAGTCTCGGCTCTTGCCCTGTTGGCGCCAATTGAGGCCTAATCTCCTCCTTGCTGATTGTGCCCGAACCTCACCGTTCTCGGACACATGATTGTTCATCTCTGTGGGAAATGAAATTATGAGACTGAGGGTGAGTGATGAAGTGCCATCATCGTCATTAATCAAATAGCCGTCGAATCTCGATCGTAGTACCAGAGTCACCGAAGACCAGGCGACTGGCGAGATCCGTGCCGAAAAAATCAATAGTGTGTGTGGGCAGGTTGTGACAGCTCTGGTCCCCAAGCTCGTAAAGCCACGGCCGCCCGCCCAAAGATCTGAGGACGATCGCAGAAAATCATGACGCATCCCCACCCACCGCGATTCTCACTTTGATTCTTGGAACCTGCTCTGATCCAACCTAGGCTAGCAGTGTAGAGATAGAGAGAGGTCAGATGAGGGGAGAGAGGGGAAGAGGGGAAGTTGCGCGTTAAGGCCTCATCACAAGCGTCATCCTACATATGCAGTCACACGGTTGTCCAAAAACGTGGAGAGAGCCTGAATTTGGAGGGGGTGGACGCAAGGGGCTCTGGGAGCAATTGCATCGTGAGTGGGAGTGCGAGGTTGAGATCGAACACTGTCGGGCACTCCGGCGGCATGAGATCAACAGAGTTACGAGTAACAAGGAGAGACCCTGTCGGCGTGGGCTGCGGTGGATCCCCAGAGTCTTGGGAACTCGGGAGCCTGCAAAGCCCAGAGTAACCCACCTAATTTGCTGGGCTGCTGCAGTGCTTGACCGCAACGCTGGTGCAGCCCTGGGCGAGCAATGGTGGCTTGGACTGCCCTGCTGCTCATCAAGTGCGACTGCATCCCGATGAGACCGAACCTCTCCGAATGGACACCTCCAAGGCGCCAACTTGGCACATTGCGCACTAGTTATCTTTAGCGAGGCACCATCCGGAGGTTAATCGACTAGTGCAGGCACTGGCGCCCCCTGATTGGTCTTGTTTGTTGACTGCGGGCTGTTGGAATGAGATGACTCTCTGCGTGGAATTCAAATCATCGGCTCGAGATTCGATCGTGGGTCCCCAATCACGATGTCACTCATGGCGCTAGAATGGCCTCGAGTAAGCGGCGGATTCCCAGATTCCCACAGATTGACAAAAAAAGAAATGTGCAGCTGATTGCAGGGTCTCCAGACCATGCGCTGGACTTCTCCACACCGACACTGTCCGTACCACCGTCGGAAAGTATAAGACCTTCAAGGTTTCTCCCGCTTGTTGACAGGAGCAGAGCCATCTTCGATTATCTCCATCTACAAGTCCTCAAAACGTCACTCGACTGTCATCTCGACTTCGATTTACTTTGCATCCTTACAGTATTCCAATCTGCACATCAACACAATGACCTACAAGTCCAACTACGAACCTTATGTGGGCTCTCCCACCACCTCAGTACCAACACCACTATCCGACCGCGCTCCGACAAGCCATAGTTTCGATACGAACGAGCTTCGACCCTCCTTAGAGCTGCTCTACCCGCTAGGAGACCTCTACCCTCACGTCGTGGCGCTGCAGTTACAATCCGAGGAAGAAAACCCATGGTCCGCAAGCAAGAACTTCACCGGATATCAAGACACCGCATACTGGGCGGAGGTTGTCTCATCACCACGATCACTACCGGAACATTTCTCGAAACGATCCTTTCGCAGGTGCAGCGGTAAGTTCATCAGCAATCCACGTTCCCCAGCCCGTCCCGTTCCTTGTGACATGTTCCTTGCCTGATATGACCGGTCTCAGCTAATGCGGAATCCAGGATCCACAAAGGCACGATTTGTTTCTAGAATCCGCCGACTTCTCAGCCGCGATGAACTACGAAAGCGCCGGTGTTTTGCTTGAAGACGAACTGTCTCAAACACGCAGTCTCCACCTGTCTTCGTTGCCTTCTTCTCAGCTCAGCCAGCCAGCCGTCTGCCGTATACCCCCATGAACTTCGCTTCTCATCTCCATTTCGACTTGCGCAATTCTTCGTTTCTCGCTTTCTGATCACCCCCTTGCATCATACATACTTGCATCACTCAACGAATGACGTTCCATTGCCTGCATCAGGCGGGCTCTTCCTGCGTGCCTGCGGACCGGAGTACCACTATACTGCCACCAGTCTACTTTCCTTTGTCACAATGATTATTATTATTATTATTATTGCACTTTGCCGTCACACCGGCATTCCAAGCTGCCTACGTCGACTGCTCTTTCATACCTCGACTGTTTCACTTTTTTGTCTAATATTTTCGGCTTCTCATTCGGCGTTTTGTTTTAGCGAGGCGTTCGTTGGGCGTTCATCGGCAAGGGACGGACGCATCGCATTGCCATGGGCATTTCGGTCATTTGATTTAATTCTTGTCAGCCTGCATTCTTCTGTTTTGTGTTTTGTATCTTAGCGAAGTTAGCACCCTGCACCACGTTTCAGAGCAGCGCATGTGTTTTGGGTTGGCGTTTCGGATCGAGTTTCTTGGAGTTAATATAGCACTTGAAATAAATTCCAATTCTTGTTGGACAATAAGCCCTCATACTCCCATCCACATTCTTACTCCTTCGTAGTGTACAGCTTGCATGGCCCTTTTCATCTAAACTGCTCCTAGGAGAGCAGAGTACGAATACTAAGCCACCTCGCTTACATTGTGATTACTCGTCATTACCTAGAGACTTGGAAACGATTCCCATCACCACCACACCGCTCCAGTCTCCAAAGTGACCAGTCCATAGATTGTAGATTAAGTTCCGTAATCACGAACCAGACTCGAGAACCCTTCTCCCGCAACCCCAAACCTACTAGCACCGACAATTAAGGTAGAAACCCAATCTAATCTCCATTCATCCCGTCTCACTCATCACCCTTCCTCTCTTGCCGTATCTACCCGTGACAAGGAACTGGGGGAAGGTTAGCCCCCTTGCTCACATTCAGTTTCAAGTCAGGCCCCCAGTTGCTGTCGCCGTATCGACGCAAGGGATGGATACGACCACGACCACGACCCCGTTCGGCTTTGACTTTCGGCTTGACTTGAACGGGGATGGTCACGAGTCGAGTCTGAGTCAAATCATACGTACGCCGTGATCTTATCATGTCGCATTCGAATCACTGCACGCTGCGTGTTTTCTGTGGGCCCTGCCAGGTTGGCGTCTTCCTCTGTCGGACTCGTTCCTTGCATACAACCCACTGTGAATACGGCTTACGGACTACGGAGTGGCAGACCGAGTCTGAGAGAGGGGAGGAAAAGCAAGAAAAGATGAGTCAATGTGACACCTCCGTCATCAGGTGCTGGATAAGGTTTGGTCCCTGGTGAGGTTGGAATCAGGTTGGGGTTCATGATGATTATGATGATTAATGGATGGATCTGCAGGTACGTGTGAGCAGCCAGTCCAGTCTGGCTGTCTGGCTTAGTCCAGGCGTTCGAACTGAAGATCTGGGTGGATAAGGATAAACTAGGTCGGGCCCGAACGGGTTCGTTGTCGTTTACCCTGATTAACCGCTAATGCTATAATAGCCTCACTATTAAATCCCGACAGAGTGACTGACTACTACTGACTATTGAGAAGTGCATGCAGCGACTGCAGAAGCAACTACAACTGCAACTGCAAACAAGTTTCAATCGGCTCACCCCCGCACTCGGCTAGTCTGGACTAGACTCTTCAGTCTCAATGATTATCGCGGGATTTTAATCAGAGCGTCATTATTTTATATCTCAGTCTGGAGTTCTGCAGGGGCAGGGTCATGATTCAATAGTCGCGGTAAACCCCAGAGTAGATCTGTGCCCTGGATGACCCGAGTGCTGTGTTAGGGAGGCTACCTGGGTCACTCTTGAGTAGACTAGAACTAGCACCTGGCCAAGTTCAACCCATCCCAAGCCCATGCATGACCCTGGGCTATGGGCCATTAATGGCATTGCAATTAATCGCTTTCGCAGCATCCCACCTGTTCAGGTTGACTCCGATACCCCACGGTCCCACCCAGCCGAATAATGACAAAGCCTCAACCCAACCCAACCCTGCTGCTAGACGAATGCATACTTATGGTAAATGGGTAAACCCAAGCTTAGCCGCTTGGGTGGTTTCAGATAGCTGCGCTACTTATGCAGGTCCAGTGCACCTAGCCACGGCTATGCTATGCTATCTTAGTTATGAGTGCTGACCTGCATAAACACACTCCCAGCTGCAGTTTTCTAACAGTCGTGTTGGAACTAAAATCAATATCAAATTCAATGGTCCCAGGATAACACCGCACTTTGCGGGGTTGCGAGAAAAAAAAAGGGGGGGGGAGAAAAAGCATTGTTTTTGCAAATATTATTCATTTGATTTGCTCGCAGGGGCCTATTTTGTGCGTGGGTCTGTCTCTCTTTGCTTTTCTTTGGGTTGCTTTTTTCGATTATTTGTGATTAAGCATCGAAGATCAAATGTTTAACCAAGCATTTGAAGCTGGAGCAAGTCCTCGATGAGCCGGTTTCCACGCTCATGATTGGAGGAGAGGATAGTAGTGTATGAAAATGGAGCGACTCAATGTCGAGTTGAGTCGGTGAAGGTGAAGATAACGTATCTCCCTCGTTTTATTGCATCTTCTCCGATTGCCCTGGCATATGTCACAACAGAGTTGGACTTGTCATAGTGGGGGAGACAATTCAAGGCGGGGTGATATGAGATATCATATAGTCCACTTCGGCTTTGTCTACAGAAGAATGCGGACTAAACTACGACACTCAGTCTTGTGGAGCACTTGGAAAGAAAGCTTTTGCTAATTGTTACACCCCGTAGCAGATACAAGTAAAACTAATAATGCAGCAGTATAAAATATTAATTCCCTCAAGTGTATGGTGGGTTTGGATTCCAAATAAGCCCCTGCGCCTGTGAAACCGGACAATCTTTGTGTGCAAGCAACAATGTCTTCAAATTTACAATTTCCTCCCGCAACTGAGTAACGGTGGTCGTGAGTGCGTCATTCTCTGAAGTGAACAGCTCAACCTTGGCTTGAAGGTTGGCAAGCCACTGCTTTTTCCGTTGTCGACATTTGAGCGCCGCAACTCTGCAAATATCATCAGCCAAGGGTTCATTATAATACTGCATGGAGAAAAAAAAAAAAAGGTAAGGCATACCTGTTTCTTTCGAGGAAGTTCTTCCTCTTCTCTTCGTCAGTCATTTTCTTCGACTCGCCTCCTTTCTTTTTCTGTGAGGGCTGCTCGTCCTCATCGTCCGATTCGCCCTCGGATGGCGATTCGGTGCTTACCGACCCGTTGTTGAGTTTCGTCCTCTTATTTGATCCCTGATTGGAATCTTCTGTCTTGCGTCTGTTTCCGGCTGTACCTGTGGCCTTTGTAGACGCGTTTCTCTTGCCTCTGCCTTTGGCAGCAGGCTTAGTCTGTTCGTTCTGCATATCTGAGCCATCGCCGCTGGCTTCCCGCGTTGTATTCGCTACGCTATTTACATTGACCGATTGACGTTGTTTGGCATTTTGGTCGCCCATGTTGGCCTGGAGAGTTTGAGGTGGTATTGCGGACTGGTTGGGGACAGCGTCAAACTGATTCGTTGTCGATTGTCCGCCTTTAGCTAGCATGAACAGCCCATTAGCAGCATCGGCTGCGTCATGGTGGCCAAACGGATCAACCGCGGCGGGCTGGGTGGTCTTCATATCCATAGTGGTTGCGGCACCTTGGGGCAGTTGGTCGTTTTCGGCAGTTGGGTTCGAAGTTGGTGCACCTCCGTTCTTCTTGGCTGCGTTCAATGCTGTACGATGAAACTCAATAGTGGAGGGAGTCGCGCCTCCGTTTTGGAGTTGGGCTATCAAAGCCTGAGAGTTGGGACTTGGTGCCGGGAACATAGAACCTCCGCCACCAGGTGTTAAGCCAGTGCGAAGCGACGATTCATTTGGTGTTGGAAAGCCTCGTCCAATACTGTCGAAGTAGTCACCCCCACCGGCAGGTCCCGCAAGCATAGCCGGACTAAGAGGACCCGAGCGCAAGGAGTTGGACCAGTTATATGCTCCCCCAGCAGAACTAGTGCCGGGCAGGGCAGGAGAGGTTATTGATGCGACAGGAGGAAGGATCGACTTTCCCGGTGTCTCGCCAGAGCCCCCACTGAATGATTGTTCAAAGGGGTTCGGCTCTAAAGAAAAAGGATTATGAACGGAGTTGAAGTAGTCAGGTGTGTCGGTAGGTGCTGATGGGTTAGGCCGTGGAGGAGGTGCTAATGAGTTTTGGGATTCGCCGTCTGGCTTTTGTTCTTTAGTATCTGATGAGGCTTCTAGAGAAGCGACACGTTAGTATACAAGAAGGGAGAGGAAGTCGCGATGAGGCGCAGCATGAAGAAGGTATAGAGATGGAGGTGGTAGATGTGCGACGTCATTAGGGGGACAATAAGGATTGTATGAGGTCATCCCGACACGACGAAGGGAACGACAACATTGAAGCCGGAAGTGTGGCACATAACCACAGATTCAACATTTGGGAACCAAATCTGGAAGAACTCACCGTTATCCATTTTGATACTGGGCTTTTTCGCATCCATTGGCGAATTATGCGCAGAATTATTAGTTGCGAGGTTCGTTGAGACTGTTGGGGCCACGGCGGCGGACATAGTCTCTCCGCGATCGGGTTGATATATTAGCTGAATAATATGGCTGCAGAAGATCCGTGGTCCCGAGAAAAAATAAAAACGAATAAAAGAGAATTAAAAAAAAAAACCCCGATAAGAAAGTATGAAAGAAAAGACCCAAGGCCGATTGGGTGGAGTGGCGAAAGGTGATTAGAAAAAAACGAAGAATCACTAAGGTAGCCAATACAAGATAGTGAAGCGAAGGGGCAGGACTGTCGACGCTTCTTGGAAGTATCGCACGGGACCGCGTCAAAGGTGAAAAAGAAATGAAAAAAAGTGACGTAGTGAGTCCAGCAAAAACAATTTAAGTGAGCAGATACAAACAATCACGCATTATCGAGTACGCGCAGTGAATGCAGTGGTTGTCCCAGAGGGCGGAAAGTCACTGGGTATGATGATGATGATGATGATGGAGAATGGAGAGGAAGGAAAGAAAAATTGTGACGTAGGTCTGGGTTGGACAGGGAGAAATGCAATAAATTTAGGGGAAAGTCTGAGGAAGAGGGGAGGCGGTCGGCTATGAGGTAAGCGGCAGAAGTCCTCGATTCCTGCAACCCTGGATTCGTACAAAAGCCCCCAGTCTGCCTGCCGGGTTGCACTCTGGGCTCTTGAGCCAAACTTCTCGAAGATCGTGGTTGTATCCAGACCCTCCAGTGTCTTCCCTACTCCGTTACCTGCTTGTCCAGACTCTGGCCTTGCCCCCGAATCTCGCACACAAGCAAGCAAGTCTTGAAAACAGAAACTGAAATTCGTGAATGAAACCCGAAAAGGGAGCAGTATCACGTTCCGATTGGCCGGAACCGAGAATCTCGAAGATTGACCTCTGTTGCTTGATGGTGGGTTCTTTGCGCCAAAATGTGGATGACGCAACCCCGAGACCAGATTACTGGATTTGTGCACACAACTCCTCGCACAAGTAAAGGGTGGGATTGATCCAAGGGATACAGAAGGTAAATGTCAGGTAAATCTGCTGGTCACAGCTCCAAACAATCCGAAACCTTGAGCCTTCCAAGATTCGTCCGATAGAGCTGGAGGAAGGGGGAATTGACTGACAGATGACTTCACCGTGACGACGACAGGAATTTTATCTGTACTTTGTGGGTCGGTCACCCTTGACCAGCCGGGTGGATAACCACTGACAGGTCGCAATGCCTGATGAATCCGCTCCAATCTCGCCACTCATTCGCCCTTTTTTGACCCCCGCTTCTGCCGTTCTGGATTTTGGCGAATCAAAGCTATGAATTCGGTTGGGGTTGGTCTGGGCGGTGAAAGCTTTCTGGCCATTCAGGGCCTGTCTGTCACCTTCTTGACTCCTTCGCGCCGTTTTCCTGTGAAATCAAACCACCCAGCCAGGATTTGATTGGGCAAGACAGGTGATGACGCAATCTCTCAAGAACTGGGAACTGGGTTGTCTGTGTCTTTGGTCACGTGAACAGGCAATGTTCGTTCTCGTTGGCGGGCAAATTATCAAACCAGTTGCCACTCAGATTCTAGACGCTTGCCGACATCTGGACGAGTGCAGTGCAGAGAAGCGCAACTGCACGAAGCAAGTCCAAATTTAGCGGCGCTGATCTGAGATTGGAGTGCCCCAGTACACATGCTCTCTCAGTCGCAAGCTACCTGCCAAACTGTTACTAACTATGATCACTGCCTTGTCATGCAAGCCTATCTTTTAGTTCTGACACGGAAAGCCACCCGGAAACTCGCATGCTCCGTGGTGCTTTTGGCTTGGCTGGCTTCGTATCAAAGTACGTAACACAACTTTCTATGAGTACTTCTACCTTGTGGGAGTAGGGTCTCGTAGAGAATTACTGGTATTCCTAGGTAGAGAAAAGGTACAATAGAAATTATTGCTACTTGACAGTACAGATCACATTATCCATGGCAAGGCGTGAACTGTAATCAGTAGGTGGTTTAGACGCCAACCGTGATATATAGTCACTTGGGAGACAGCAATATAGAACATGATGAGATATCCGAATATGGATACCAATTTTGTCTGATATCGAAATTAGTAGAGTTAAGGGAACTAAGCTGCCATGCGTTGTCTATACAAAGATCCCGCTAACGGGTCTCCACAGAAAGTCGGATATATATGTCGGTGCAGAATGCTTATACGGATTACGGTGAATTCATACTCCAAGCCCAAGGGCCCACGTACGTCATATTTTATTTTAACCTTTACACAATCGATAACAATGCGATAAGATCAATTCCAGAAAATACTTATCTATATCAAATTTGAGCCCGCCGACGTTATCAACCACCAAACTTCGGGTTCGGAACTTCCTGGTAGGTAGAAATCACGACCCGCGATAAGTCGAATAATTCCAAGGCCCCAACAGCACAGGAACATGATAATGCCTCCACCCGCCCTCGCCTTCCTTCCCACGTCCTTTAACCGTGAATTTAACCTCCACCTCGGGCCAGAAACTCTCGACGCCCTGCGCTTCATACCACGGGCCGACCTCGAATCGTACAGCCCAGTTTGTCTTGCTATCGGAGGCTGGGAGAGATGCAAGGAGGGCTGGAACACTTGGTGATGAGCCCGCGGTCGTGGGACTGGGACTCCAATTTGCTACTCTGCCATCTGCATTTGTTGTTGCGGTGAAGGTGGGGTTTTGGGCTGTGGTTTTTGAGGATGGGCTGGAGAGGAGCGTGAGCGTAACGGGGAGGTTGGCGGCAGGGGTGCCCGTTAGGGTGTTCAGCACGTGGCACGTAATCGGGTCGCGAGACATTGGGGTTGATTGTGATTGTGTTGTGCTTGTTTGTGGATTCGAGATGGAAGTAGTTGCTGCTGCTGCTGTAGACCTCGATGATGAGGAAGAAGCAAGGTGGTTCTGGTATAAGCCAAGACGGTCTGTGACTTTGCCCAGCTGGTCGCTTGATAGGGATTGATTTCCGGAGCCAAGGTCCATTAAGCAGAAGCGAGAATACCAGGAAGTTTACTGAAAGGGAGAGGGGATAAAGCAGGAGATAAAGCTACGTTGTGCTGCTTTTTGACCTCCGCTCTTCTTGTGTCGGAGGCCACCGACAAGGAGCTCTCCGGAGTATACCTTTTGGTGGGGTATTCAAGATCTCCGGCGACAGTTGATCATTTGGCTTCCAGGGGCCAATTGCAGCTAAATGTAGCGTGTATAGGTTTATCAGTACCGTAGGATCTTCTTAATCCAAGAGGTCAGGTTTAGCTTCCAGGAACCAGGTTATTCGCAAAGAGCTTTACTTGCTGGCGGGGTCCAGCGTTACAGCCTGAGGCACGAAAGGCTCCCGCACGTGTCATTTTGACAGCGGCCAAGACGCCTTGTGCGCATTTTACACATCGCTGACCGCACTGACAGTGGACAAAGCAAGAATTTCTCCTGGTTGTTTTTGTCTTGGGGCGATATAGTGCGGATTTGGGCGATAGACGCTAACTCTTCTTTCCGCTTCCTCAAGCTTCGGCCAAAACTTTTTGACCTTTGCGGGGAAGACTCAACAGCCTAGCTAGCAGAACCAGTAAGTACAACCTCGTCACACCACTGGCCCTTTCGGATATTCCCATCTGACTGTATTCATTTAAGCAGACCCACCAGACTCCTCATAAAACGCCGTTGCGATCTCTAGATACGCACTTGTTCAGAATGTCCTCGACCGCGGTTGTCCAGGATGACGACCTTATGGAGCCTAACCTCCAATCGATCGTGAACCAGAAGACCCTACGATGGATCTTCGTTGGAGGCAAAGGTGGTGTTGGAAAAACCACAACCTCTTGTTCTCTCGCAATTCAGCTTGCCAAAGCTCGCAAGTCTGTTTTGCTCATCTCCACCGACCCCGCGCACAACCTGAGTGATGCTTTCGGCCAGAAGTTCGGAAAGGAGGCTCGCTTAGTCGATGGATACACCAATCTCAGTGCGATGGAAGTTGACCCGAACGGAAGTATCCAAGATCTCCTAGCGAATGGCGAAGGACAGGGCGACGACCCTATGGGCGGGCTCGGTATGGGGAACATGATGCAAGATCTAGCTTTCAGCGTATGTTGCGATATCAAGGATGCAATCTTGCCAGAACAATTACTAACGGTATTATTAGATCCCTGGTGTTGACGAAGCCATGTCGTTCGCCGAGGTCCTCAAGCAGGTCAAGTCCCTGTCATATGAAGTTATTGTCTTCGATACTGCCCCCACCGGCCACACCCTTCGCTTCCTCCAATTCCCCACGGTACTCGAAAAGGCCCTCGCGAAACTTTCGCAACTTTCGTCTCAATTTGGGCCGATGCTGAACTCCATTCTTGGAGCTCGCGGCGGGTTGCCCGGTGGCCAAAACATGGACGAGCTTCTGCAGAAGATGGAGTCACTAAGAGAAACCATTGGCGAAGTCAACACCCAGTTCAAGAACCCCGACATGACTACATTTGTCTGTGTTTGTATTGCAGAGTTCTTGTCTCTGTATGAAACCGAGCGAATGATCCAGGAGTTGACAAGCTATCAAATCGACACACATTCGATTGTGGTCAACCAACTTCTATTCCCTAAGCAAGGCAGCGACTGTGATCAATGCAACGCGCGGAGGAAGATGCAAAAGAAGTATCTGGAGCAGATCGAAGAGCTCTATGAAGACTTCAATGTTGTTAGGATGCCACTGCTCGTTGAAGAAGTGCGAGGAAAGGAGAAGCTTGAGAAGTAAGTCATAACCCTCCATATGTACCTACCATGCCTTTGCTTATACTCGTGATGTGATTAGGTTCAGCGACATGCTTATCAACCCTTATGTGCCCCCAGAGTAAGCAGCGTAACTATGCATTATAATGGGTTTAGTATGAAGTTGATGCTGTTGATGGGCATGAGTTATGAGAAGATAGACAGTAATATACAAAGCTTTTTGATGCATCACGATTTGATTATGCCTGACTGTGTAGTTGGTGCTTCGCGTCCAACGTTGTCTCTTTATCGCAGGATTCCGTATGTCTGATTGCGATTGTCCAAGTTCCCGTCCGCCTTGTCAATGCTTTCATTGTTTCATCTCCTCCCACCTCGTTTCTTCTCCATCTTCAACCTCGCGTCAGCCTCTAGGCTCTCGCTCCTTCTCGGGTAACGCTGTGAAGCAACTGGCTATCTTGGTATTTGCCACCTTGCCTCATTATTGCCTTCGCCAGGCTGTCTCTTCGCATCAACACTCATCACATGATCACCTCCTTTCGAAGATTACCAGCTTAGCGCTCCAATTGGGCAGAGAAGCCAACATTTTCGGATACTTACTTCTTCTGATAGGTCGAGTTATCTTCCATTGTGCGTTTCCCCGAGGCTGGCAACGTTTAGTATTTCTCCTCGCAGCGGAGCGACTACCTCGTCACATATGCCGAAGAGATGTGTCCCTCAAAAGGAATCGCGTTCCACCTACGAAGGACTCTTAGGACTGGCAGGATCCCATCCTCCGTGTATCACCAATTATCCAAACGACAGATAAGAGCCAATCTTGACAAGCAATGGGAAATATCTACGCCTACCGAGGTAGATACTTACGGTGTTATTGTAGGTAAGGTACCCAAGAAGCAATACTCCAGGATTTGTATCACTGCTTCACCGACTCGAACTTGGTCTTCGACTTGGTCCACCAAAAAGACGGTCCAGCTTCTGGCCACTCAGTTCCACAATGGCCGGCGAGATTCCAGACTGTCTAGTATGTCGATCAGATTGAGCAGACCATACACCGACTGAGCCTAGACTCTTCTTATTTCAAGGGCTTATCTATCTTCGGTGGCGATGTTTGTCCTTCAAGTGTAAAGGAACAACAGTCACGTCTTCCCTCGCGGAGTATTGTGCAGAGAGTTGTGGATTTGGAACACTAACTGACGCGTACGTTTCAACTACTCTGGTTATTTGGGACTCATGGGCCACTCATACCTGTCAGCTCTACGGCTCTTAGGTACATACCAGACTGCTTCCGTAAGTTTGTGCAGCAGTAGATGTTGACAACGTTACAACAAAGACCGAGGAATCAACGGCCCCCAGTTAGTCACCCTGTCGAGGAGCTTTATCATTGTGGAGTACGCTGGTCTTGGGCAATGGCATGCTTTGTCTGGGACTCTTTGCGAAGTGGACTGGAGAAGCATGCAGGCCCCGATACGAGACAACATGGATTCGTTGGAAAAGACAATGGAGTATGGAAAGCCAATCGCGACCGTAGTGTATCCATATGTGCGTTTCTCTTTACGCCTACCCTGTCAAAGACACTGCGTGGGCAAAAAGCCAAGCACCTTTCCCAAATGGGAGCCTTGCATAAGGCGTCGAGATTTGGTGTTCGGACGATTCTTATCCTGTTTTGTCAACTCTGCATCCAACCTCGCAACCCGGAGCCGGGGCGCCAAAGACCCAACAGGGCGGAGAGCACAGGAGCTTGGTTAGAAAAAAGAAATGTTCGATCCTTCCAAGATGCGCCGCAATATGATTGGCTTCTATTCAAGCTCCAGGGAGGGCTGAGCTCAATGTGGGTTTTTACCAGATCTACACATCAAGATTCTATCCTACCCGCGTCTGTTTAATGCAGGTGTCACTACGCTCGGTTGAGGAATTTGGGCCCCCATGATATTGGGAACCAAGGTATTCGCAGTCTGCCCCTTAGTCCCAAGCGAACAGACCAAAATTGCGGGACGCACCGAAGAGGAGCTGCGAGATGGGCCTCCGATGCCCCATTCCTGGAGCCACGGCATCATACATAAAATGGCGGATTGCTTTGGATGCAGGGAGAAGGTTCACCGCAGTGTCGGCCAAGAGGGTCAGAGAACCGGAGTGACGCCTGGGATTTGACCGGCAATACCAGAAATTGCTTCGATTTGTTGAAAAGAGCTTAGTCCCTATTGTGGTCCAAGCCTCACTTTTGTCTTTTAATTACCGGAGCAAAAGGGTTGGATAAAAGAGTGAGGCGGTTTCGCCGGGATCCGACATGAACTGTAGGCCAGAAACAGCCTTCGCAACTCACTCCGCTGTTCATCTGTCTGTCACAGGATCCATCGTGAGCTCCCTTGCTGTCCCAAGTGCAATATCGCTGCTGATTGTTTATTAGACTGTGCTGATCAGCGAGTGACCCGACTCCTCCTGGGCGTCGCCGACCTTTAAAGAAGTATCTCCACGTAAAAACGCAGACCGTTTCCATTCCTCATTCTTTTTACTAATAATTCCGTGCATGGAAGGAATATGTGAAGCATATATACCTCTATAAAAGGGGCTTGTATGTGTCTGCTTACGAGGCCCTCATAATCGTCACTACCCCCGTCATTCCGCATGATAGTACTTGTCTTAAAGCGGACTGACTCTTAGCCACACAACACACGCGCATGTACACATACAAATACATACGACACTTTGCTCTCATAGAGAACGGTCCTCGGGTTACAAAGAGAAAAACGATATGTCTCAAGTTCAGCAATACTGGTTGCCAGGATATGGACTTTCCCGCCAGATTGTATTAGGCCACATCCAATACTTCCTGGGACCATCTGCAACTGTCCGGCCATACACTTACCAGGTAAACCTCCGACATGATCTCATGGATCTATTCTTCCGCACCGCATGAGAAGGAAACACTCGCCCTAACCACTTATACTTATGAGGCTAAAAGGGGCGTGAAGGTTACTTGATTGTTGGTGTACCTTTAACAAGAGTATGTCTTTCCTCTTCCGCTTTTATATCTTCCCTCCATCCATTCATCCACCATTTTTTGATAATATGGTCGTGGAGAGCATACGCTGACCTCCAAACCAGGAACAAATAAACGACCTCGCAGTAATGTCCCGGGAATATGAACGACAAGAGACGCTCCGAATGGCCGGCGAATCCAATCCGCAATCAGAACCCTACATCAACGAAATAATCCCCGTTCGGCTTCCATCGGGTCCTCCACGCAGACGACCAGGGGATTATGAGTCCAGACGAGAATGATAATTAGCGGACTTATCGAAACATCTTCATCAAGTCTCATCTTTCCCCTTATCACATTCCACCAGACTTATCCTGCTACCATTTCTCTAATTCTTCCCCGCGCGTTCTAATCCCCATCTCGTCCTTATAACTATAACGCTCATCTAGCTCCAGTCCAGGACATTCTTATTTAGCCATCGACCTACGAGTATGGTATTCCATTATAAGGACGAAAGCCTCACCCCAGCATTTCTTTTTCGGTGTTTCGGGCTCCATCTATTAGACTCTGCATCTCCCGTTCCCTATTGCCTTCCCTCCCTTGCATACAAGACTGTGTGTCTGTCTGTTTAGTTGTTTTTCTTGGACACTTTTCCACCAGGTTGTTTGTTTTGGACACCAGAGATATCCCCTGTACTAGATTTCTATTTTAATTCCCGTCTATCTTTGTCTCGCGTGTTCAGTATCCCCACCTGCTTTTCCAGAGGGTCAATACAAAGGTGGGTGTCCTGTGAACCCTAGTTGAAATACCTAAATGTATATAGAAGAGATATGGTATATCGATACAAGGGGAACTGGCTGGGCTGTGAGGGACGAGAATGATAGACACAGTACAACTTATAATCTTATAGATGCCAATTCTATTTTTAATTTTATTGTGGAACATAGGAAATACCAAAAATACTAATTACTGCAGAGAATCAAATATCGGTTTATTTCCATCATCTCTATAGGTCATTCGTAACAACATCGATCAGGTCAATACATGTAGGAAGATAGTAGACGACTTGATGATTTTGAGTCGTGAGCGTACATAGTGTGGTGAGACCAAAGTATCACACCTGAGCCACACTCACACTAGAGGGAAGGAGGTAAAAAAAGTGGGGGAGAGAGACAGTATTCCCATCGTTCCCTTCTACCTTGCTGATTTGTTCCTCTTAGCACTGTAGATTCGACAGGCCAAGGGCCAGACGAGCCGTTTAAGAGTAGGTAGAAGAAAAGGAACAGAAATGATGGATAGGTAGACAATAGGAAAATAAGTAAGAGGTAAAAAGTCGAAAGCGGGACCACCTGAACGCCGGCCTTATGCCACTCTGCTGGGTTTCCATCATTCAAGAAGAAGCCCGCGCATTCTGCAGGGGAATACTACCAACATGAACAGAACCAACAAGGGAATATAAAGAGGATTTCTTTTGAATATTCAAATACGACGGAGTTTGAATTTATTTCGCAACGGCGGCGCTGAAAAGGTACGAGTTAGTTAGGTTTTCAAGGATAACGTGGCTAACATGATTGACGAACCTGAGGACCTGCGTCCGGAAGAAGGCACCCTTTGTCTTCTCAATAACTTGCTGGTATACAGACTGAGGGGGGTGGTTCATGATCACTGTGCCTTCCTGGTAGTCAATCTTGGCGTCAACACGGGTATCGCGGATCAGGTTGACAATCCACTTTTCACCCTCGTCCTGGTTTAGGCCGAGGCGGGTGGACAGATCCCTAGTTTAGCGGTTAGCATTTCCTTTAAACGTTTTGCTGCCACATATTTCCACATACTTGATATCAATCCGCTGGTGGATCTTGCAGTAGCTCTCGGAGATCAGGTGTCGGGCAGCCTCGATGAATGCATCGGCGGCAGAAACAAGGAAGAAGTCGCTTCGCAGCACATCCTCAGCCTCACCAAGCTTCTTTTGGGCCTCCTCGAAGTCGAAATCAACGTACAGCGCCTTGACGAAGTCGGTAATGGGGTCTGTGTATTCGTAGCCCTCCTGGCGAACAACGCGAATAAGGTCCTTCAACTGCCTCTGGTAGACGCTGTTGTTCTTGTGCGCACGATTCCGGTTCGTGATAACAGCCGCAGCGAGGTATCGGAGAACCCATGGGCAGCTGGTCTGGATGGTGTTGATGTAGGCGGGAGAGAAGAAAAGATCGGTGAGGACATCGCGGGCGGGGTCGTGGTTGAAGTAGGGGAAAAGAGACCAGTGGATCAACCAGGAACGGTTGTGAAGCTGGCCAACGGGGTTGTTGAAAAGTCTTGTCTCGATTGAGTCCTTGGCCTTCTGAACTTCCTCCATAGCTCCCTCCCAGTTGGTGGTGAGGATTTCACAAGCCAGCTTACCCCATGTGGCCGAGGCAACCTTGTCGTTATCGGTGGAGAGAACACGGAATTGGTACAGAAGTTCAGCAGCATTGCCGTAGCTACCACAGCTGTACTGGAACCGACCGTAATCGAAAAGACTGTTGACCATCCCGATCGTAACTCCGTGTTGTTCCTCAAGGAACTTCAAGTTTGCAACCTTATCACTCCGCAGGTTGCCCACAACACTCTCATCCTGCAGTAGCTCGGTGATTTTCTCGCTCTCATCCTGATAATGTTGCAGCTTGGCAAGAACCTCCTCTCTCTTCTTCACAAATTCGTCGGGCACCGAGTCGGAGTTGTTGATTTCCTGCCACAAATTGGCTACATAGTCGGTCATGTTGGTGTGCTTCAGGAGCTCATATTTCGCGCGAACAATTTCGGAGTCGTCATCCTGGCCGGAACTGAATTCGAGCAGAGGGAAGACGAGGTGGCGGTCGAGATAGGGAATGAGCTTGGGCAGCAGGTCATACTGGATGGCGATCTCTTCAGCGGTTTTGTGGGCTGCGGCGCCGCTGAGAAGGGTCTCAGCGGAAGGAGGGATGTTGGCTGCCATGGCGAACAGCGACAAGAAGGAGACCGGGGGGATGGGGAGGGAATGCGAAGGGACGGAGACTTCGTCTTGGATGAGGAGCAAAGTGTGCGGCTTCTTTTCAGATTCAGAAAATGTGGGCGGGAGGGTTGGTTGGGGCGCTAAGCCTTTCCGGGACTAGCGGAAGGTCTCCGCTCAGAGAGCAAAAAGTCCTGCTTCTGTCTCGATATCAATCAGACCATCATCGAGTCCCTTCTCGCTCTTCCCACCTCCCCCTCGCCCTCTACCCGCGTGGTCCATTATCCTTCGGAGGGAATCCAGCACCAAGCTTGTGCTGACTTCTTCTTCTTCGACCCTACCCGCGTATTCCTTGCAGAGATGGCTTCTCTCATGCAGTCTCTACCAGCCTCCGCCGTTCGCAAGCAGTCGACGGTGGTTTCAGGCTATCTACAACGCGCTGCAAAGCCTGTTATTTCTTCAGGGTTATGTAGCTCAGTGGCATCCCAATGCTCTCAATCTAGATTGATCAGTTCTCGTACGTTATAGCTATTCCGTTAGCCACCGGCGCCAATACCATCCAGCATAGCTCATATTTTATATCGCGGATACGAAGAAATTGACGGATTTTTACTAACATTCACCCTAGAAACACCTTTCCAGTCCCAGCGCGCATCTTCTCAATTATCTATCTCCACGCAGCAACGCCGGACTTTCCTCGCCCAACTGAAACGCCAATCCCAGACCCTCAAAGAAAACACATCAACCATCACTCCCCCCCCGGCGGCCGCGAACCTGCAACTCACAAATCTCCCCTACTTCATTCGCCGAACACCCTCGAACCAACTGCCCGTCTATCTCATTACCAAGGCTGGTGGAACCAAGCAGCAGACGAAAATCCAGAAGACAGAGGGCGACCTAGACGCCTTGAGGAACGACCTTGCACGATACTTGGGACTTGAGTCCGGCGAGCGCAATGCTCCAAAGAGTTCAGAAATTACCATAAACCGACTAAACGGGCATATCGTTGTTAAGGTACGGCTCTCTTCCCCTATGACTTTTGCAACTTTATACAATGCGAACTAACACATCATTCAAACAGGGCTGGCGAAAACCCGAGATCCAAAAGTTTCTTCTTGAGCGTAATTTTTAAGCCGTGATTACGACTATCCGTACTTCGATCGCGTCCTAATCCACGACCTGTCATCTTATTCCATACTATTGATATTTTCCACCTCGCCCGAACAAACTCGACCCAGCATCCGTGTTAATGCCAATGCCACTATGGGTCATTTCAAAAGACGACGCGAACGCAAATAATACGTGTGAAAAGCAGACTAGGGAAGGAAGGTTGATATCCATATCAAAAAGGCAACCTTTGACCCTGCCAACTGAATTACATCCCACGTTTTTTGCCTATCTCTTTGCATAGGCAGGTAAACTAGGTACCACCACCTGTCTACCTATTTCCTTTCCACATCGTTATTTTTTTTCGATGCGGTGTGTACATTTCCATATCTTGTCATTCAGGAGTTGCGCTTTTCTTTCTTCCTTATCTCCTATTTCTTCTTATATCGCCTCTTCTCCCCGTCTCTGGTTTCTGGCTTCTGGCTTCTGTATTATTGGCGTGGCTCAGGCATTCCTCTGTATGTAATAGTGCATATTCAATGAATCTCATGGCTATTCATCTTGATATACTATTCTTGTAACTGTTCTGCCGTGTTTCACTCTTCATGCCATGTAGAAAGACGGCTGGAACGGCCCATCGTGATATTCTGATACGCGGGTGGTTTCGCTTCTGCCGTGAATTCGGTCATGCATTCATCGGTAGCTTTTAGTTCGATTACTGGCTCTTATTAATAGAGCATGGGATGGCCGGTCAAAACGGCCTCGTGAAGGAACTATTCTAGGGGTAACATGCCAAATACTTGTACACCAGGCATACAGCATCTGTCCCGCCGCGGATCAGAGGTAGATATGAGAGCGGTTATGACTTCTACTTAGAAAGCTAGGGGTCATATAAAGCACCATTTTAGACGTCGTAATATCTCTCGCCCGAGGGTATTGAGCATTGTACAGAGCGTAAGTTAAAAAAAAAAGAAAAGAAAAAATACACAATTGTCGCGCCTCACAAAGTAGTAGTAGTCCCTTTTCCACCGGCGCCAGACGAAGTGAAGAAACTGCGAGAATGAATAAAGGTATTTGTATAATAGTTTACTGAGGATGAATAGAAGACATGACAGAAAAAAATGTCACTTATGAAATTCAAAAACAGTCAATGCCATCGCTAGAAAATAGACCAAAACAAAGAGGGCGTGGTTCATCATTCCGCAAGCCGTGCGTACGTTATCAGTTGTCGGACGACACTTGGGTCGACATTCGGCATCAACAGTGCGCCAAGTAGACTTTCCTTCTTGGGGAGGATTCCAGATGGGAATCGCAGCGTTGAGTTTGTATCAGCATATTTCGACTTCTCAGCTAAGCGCCGAAGAATTGCTAAACCTCGGTTGATGATAGAACCGTAGGCTTCGGCCTCAGCCTCAGCCTGCGCCCTGGCAGCGTGGGTTTGACGAGGGTTCGGGAGTGGCGGTGGAACACGCTCTGTGCTTAGAAGGCAAGAAAGGCGGAGGAGATGTATAGCAAATCCATCCACGGATTCAAGCCAAGATTTGGCAGTTGTCCCTTCAGCAAACCCAGAGAGAATGTCTGCGGCCAAAAGGCCCTGCATGAGAAATACTTTGCGACTGTCTGCTACTGCCAGCGGCTTCCTAGGCTGATTAGGAACAGGGCAGATGGCCAGACTAAAGGCCCGGGTCAGAAGCTCTTGCTGAGCGGTGGAGGCCCCATCGCTGGAGAATATTGAGCGGAAAAACGTCCGATTTGGTTCGTCTCGTGCCAAAAGTTTTGCCAAACTATCAACAGCAGCCGGCGTATATTTATGAACAGACGGATTATAGGTTGTGAACATGACGCCATCGGATAACATAGTTGGCCCCGGGAACGGCGCAAAGGATAGAAGAAAGTGTAAAAGACAATCAGCATCTTCTTTGCTTGGTAAATGGATAGCATGCGCCACATTACTCAGGTAGGTGACGGTATCCTTCATGAAATCCAACGTGTTCTGGTATGATCTGAGGAGCATGTTCCTGGTGCCAAGATACCGAACGATTGTTGAGATAAATTCAACAACCGGAGGCGTCGATAATATGTCAAAATTAGACTCGATGAAGGAAAAGTTGCGCAGAATTGTGGAAATACATATGAGCCTGTCGACAGCCCGATCCAATTCGTATTCGGTGCTTCCAAACTCAGAAACTGTGGCCAGGGAAGACCATTCAGACTGACAACCCCGTTTAATCTCTTCATAAGATGGTAATAGCATCATTTCTGAGACCTCTGGGGAATGCTCCGCTAATAAATCGGCTTGGTCCTCTGCGCATTCTACCAGGCTGTCAACCAAGTCATCACAGTTATCCAATGATATTTGGACCCCGGGCTCGGACGAAAGCGAAACAAGCGTATCTAATGCCATTCGAATTTCTGCATGAATTCCAGATTTGATGCCCATAGTCAGAGCATGGATATCAATGACACCAAGCTCAGCAAACGTTGGCACATTTGGTTTTAACCTTGTAATTTCCTCTCCCAGTTGGTACATCTCCCCGACAGCAACTGGACCATGGAGTTTATGATCTGAGATTACCATAGGCTTGAATGTGTCTTGAATCGGATGCCCGAGAGGTCGGGTAGAGGACTGATCAACCTCATCGGCCGGTTTCCCAGCGGCAGAGCCAGGTCCCTTCTCAGACTGAACTGGAGACTGGGTAGACAATGGTCCATTAAGGTCATGAGGTGTAGCTGGTGGTTGAGATTGGCGGGAAACACTTAGACGATGTTGGTTTTGTTGCTGTTTATTTTGTGCTTTGGCTGGCGTGGGAGTCGCGAAGCCATTAACAGCGCCTTGGTGCGCACTACTCGGAGTTGATGTGCTAACAGGAGAGGCGTGCCCTAATTGCTGAGAGCCGTCGAATCCTGGTGCGGGTTTAACAGCGGGAGATTGGAATTGCATGCCTGATGGATCACTGGGCTGTCGTGGTACAGAAGGCGGTTGAGCTTGGTCTGAGAACTGTTTCTGCTGACTGCTGAGAAAAGCTTGTTCGTACGCAGCGAGATTTCTCTGATAAAGTTCGCGAATCTCCTGAACAGCCATGGGAAATTGAACAGGGGGGAATTGGAGTTGTTGGGCTATCACTGGCCACATGTTTGCAGCTGTGACCTTTTTTGAGCCCCCAAGTTTCATAACAGTCGCATAAAGCTGTACAAGATTGATAGGGCGACCAGAGACAACAGGATTAGGATCAAGAGGCAAATTCCTTGACATCATGAATTTCTGCAAAGATCGCATAAAACCCTCTGGGTTCGGGGGTTTCGCCATGGTCTGCTGCATCTGCCTGATAGCAGCCATTTGCTGTGGATTTGCCATGGCGTTCATGCCCGCTACCATGGGACGGCCAGCCACTGCGGGATTCATATTCATAGCGCGGTTTTGGTTCTGCATTTGCATAGCATGTATCCGCTGTTGTTGCTGCTGCTGCGCGGCGAATGCCTGTTGGTAACCCTGAGGCATACCACCGAATTGCGCCTGCATTGGCGGCTGCCCGGAAGAGGATGTCATTGCGGGCGAGGGCGAGAAGCCAGGGCCCATTCCTTGTGGGAAATGCTGACCTGGCATGAACGAGTTGTTTTGTGGTGTATTGACCCGACTTGGGTGGTCGGATTGTGAAGGAGACATTTGAGTTCCCATATGAGGACCGGCAGGCGAGAACGGGCTTGGAGAAGCCGTCCCCATTCTCTGGGCGCCATGTTGATCAAAATCTTGCACAATTGGAGATTGTGAAACATTTCCGGACGCGCCTTGCTGAAGATGCGGGAACTGCCCTGGATGGGGGAATTGAGGCGCCCCATTGACAGGTCCCTGGTATCCAGGATAGGGAACCTGCTGAGGTGTTTGTGAACGCGAAGAAAGTCCACCAGGAGCTTGCCTCGGCGACATTGAGATTCCATCTTCCGGTCGCGGGCGTTTGGATGGAATTACCTGGTTAGGGTTGGCAAACCCAGGGGATGCATTTCGTGGGACGCCATTATTGAACATGCGCTGGAACTGGTTAGGATCGGGGGTGGGAGAGGCGTGGAGGAAGGCGGCAGAGGGGTCAATGGTCGCCTGATGAAAAGCGCCATTCTCATGGTTTGGGAGGCTCGAGGCGTCAAGAGGCCAGGCATTCATGTCGTGCGGTTTTACCAACCCATCTGCAAGGCAAAAGCGCTGTTAGAGAAGATGACACAGGTGCAACGTTTTTCATCATTCAACGAGCGACCGATAGGGAAAGAAGTAATAACAAAAATGGCCACATTTCACATCGTAGTGATTAGCAGGTTCAAATACACGAATTGCGATAGATGCTCGAGGTCTTGACGCGTCAGTTTGGATAGTCAGTCGTCGCGCCTGGGCCTGCGACACGACCGAGGCGAAGCACAGCCGAAACAGATCAACCCAACGCGAAGACCTCGAGCAAAGTCAAAAAATAGGGAATTGCATTACAGATTTGTCTCAGGCAATCACAAAACAATAATGAATAAGATAAAGAGAGAAAAAAGGATGTACATACCGACAAGGCTGGACTATTAAAATGCCGACTCGCAAGCGGACGATGGTAGCCAGTCCCGAAATAGCAGCGGTTGGCAGGTTGAGGGAGGCTGCGAGGGATTGGTGGTCACGGGACCTGTGAAAGGGAAACAAGAGTGTGTCTGGTGGAAAAAGCCCCAGTCAGCGAACCGCTGCGGATGGGAGCTGCCAAGATGCAGAAAACACCACAACAGTGTTTCAATATAGACTTTCGTGAAGGGAATAAATAAGCTTAAAAAAAAAATGGACACATAATAAGAACAACCAGGCCCATAAAGAGAGGTCTTGCAAGGCACGGTGGTTCCGTAATGGCCGGAAGCCGACCAGTCGCGGTGCGTGGCCACAAGAGTGCGAGGCGTGTAACAGACCAAATGGCGGGAAGAGAGGCGGCGGGGGAGGATTGTAAGGAAAAAGAGACGTACCTGGAGATAGTGCACCATACACTGTAGTACGGAACACCCTTGGCCAAAGTACTGTATTTTATTTCTTATTTTAGTTTTTCAGAAAGGCGGAATTTTCGATCGCTTGGAAAAGCCGGTGAGTGGAGGCACAAGGGGATGGGGGATGCCGGAATGGGGACGGGCGTGGAGGAAGGCAGCACCCCAGATTCAATGGGAGAGAGGGCCAGGGATATCAAGAGTCAGATGGAGACTGGCGTATAACTTTCCAGTAAGTTATTTTACCAGATCTGAGCAGTAATAATCTTAGCAGCAGAGACACAGGAGAAGCAAGTCAGTCGGTCCGTTCTGGAGGTTAGCAGGCGGAAAGGGGTTTCCAACTTCCAGTGGGAGCGTGCCGGGAGCGTGCGTTGTTCCGCTCCGGATGGAGCCGGTGGAATGCGCTCTCTGCGTTCTCGGCCACTCATCGCCCTCTCACCGTCCACAGCAGGGAACACGGTGCTAGCGGGGGAACAATCAGAATCAAACTATCTCTTGGGATCGATCTCAATCTTGCTGCCAGCTGCCTACTGCACGCTGCTCAACCCGTTGGCCATGGTAGCAAAGCATTCTCTGGCGCGGCCCTTTCCTGCACCGTTAGTTCTCTGCTTTGTGAGCCGGTTTGTATTGCCTATGCCAGTCCTCATCGAGGTGGTTTCCAGAGCCGAACAGCGACACTTGATCATAGCTGCCGTGATCATTGTATGGCAGTATATGCTGGCGTAAAAGCCTTGTAATTTAAATCAAAGGCGCCAGGAGTTCATCATTCCACTGGTAAATGGATCGCTCTCCGCACTTGTCGTAGTTAGTAGACATGGGACTAGACGCAGGTGATGAGCGTTGAACCCAGCTTAAACAGAAGGGAGCCGTCAAAAGCGGGCTGTTGAAAATAAATAAAAAAAGGGCAAGAGAAAAGAAGAAAGAAAGAAAAGGGATTTGAGAGTTCGGTCACGGAGATTATAACGGCTCATGCTGCCCACCTGATGGAAATGATCCGCCCAATCTCGAGTGCGTCAAAGGGTATGGATGGGCAGTGACAGAGCTGCAACTGTTTGGCAACCGTTACAAAACCCCTCGCCGTATTCAAACCAATACTTGGGTGCATCCAACTTTCCAGTCTTCAATCACGGGTTTACGAAAAGAGATCCGTACCCAGTCCATGGATTGCTGTCCCACCCGCCACGTCCATATAACGCTCCACTATGGAAGATCACGATTGGGCCGATTTCGAAGTCTTGGGCCAGCGAGAAGGACTGGACACGGAAGAGACTGCGATAATGTTCTACCACAAAGCCAGCCGGTCTGCAGCTGCCCGGAAAGGGGCTGAAGTTGCGAATTACTCCGAGTCCAGTAGACTGTCTTTCTGGATGGTTCATCTGCGTCATCTGGAAACTCAAGCGATATTTGGTGGTAGCTGCCGAACCGGCGATCAACTGTGGTAAGTTGATGATGTTCTTCAGATCCCGAGGGAAATTACCGTTACACGTCGCAGGAAATGGTTATATTCTGGCACAGGAACTGTCTGTCTTCCTTTACTCAAGGGTGCCATTGCATGTTTCATCCAGCCGCAGGATCAATTATGTCGGCCGGTGGCTGGTGGCTAATGGCTGCTGTAGATTGTTCCTTCCATTACTTATTGTTTGCTGGCTCTCGGCTCCGGCTTTTCAGATCCTAACCCAAACCAAGCGCTTCTCCTGCCTGCTCTGGTCGCGATTATGAGTTAATTGATCATGGGCCAATACTCCTCCGTCGTCCCCTCGCGTCGCCAGCCTGAACCCACCGCCGCTCGGCGCTTGCTGCCGCGGATCGGCCTCATGGATCTGACCATCGTCTGAGTGAGATAATTTTTGTGAATTCTGACGGTCCGGCCAGTGCGTGCAGGCCATGGGAGTTCTACTCTTGACCGGACTCGAATTTGCGCCTTCCATTACTAGGGTCGCGTTGATCGCCCTTGCCGCTTTGACACTACTCCGTACAAAGAAGTGCTCATCTCCAGACGACGCCCTCCTTCTGGCCCACACCATCTCCCACGCCAGGTACACGGCCTTCCAAATCTTCCTGAAAGATCCCTCCTTATGTAGCTCTAACCCGATATCTGCCGCTTTCCGGTACAGTGCCAAGTCATTTTTTGGCAAGGGATTGGCTCTTTGGGGTGGTTTTCAAAAGTAGTCTCTTCATGCGGAGCACCTTGAGATATTCAGCCTGCCTGCTATGTAAGGTTTTGCTAACCCAGAAGGAATGGAGGGCAGAGTATTAAGCACTTCTACGAAAATGGTGGGGTGATCGATACATACTGTAAAGACTCCGCTTAGTTTTCTAAAGTATACTATTCAACGTAGGATAAAGATCGGATATCCACATCTGGTAAACGGGAAACCTCGCCTAGGTGGATTATATATAGAATAGAATACGGTAGAATCGTTCAATATGCAAGTACGATGCGACGCAAATTGCTAGTTAACCAAAGGAAGGAGTAGTTTAAGATGTAGATTTACTTTCCAAATTGTTTATTACATTTTCGCATCTTTATGCAACTTGATTGAATAATTCCACATCTGCTTTGAAGCCCCGAGCTTCTGATGGTTCCTCGCCACGCCAAGCAGTGGAAGATGCCAAGCTTCAAAGTCACGTGCCACCACCGGGCGAGAGCTACGTGAGTGATGCGTCTATCGTTGTTGCTGGCGAAGCTCTGGACAGACAAGGCTCTCGAAACTCCTCAACCACAACCATCATTTCGCCCGTTTTTCCATCTCCCATATACTCACAGACCTCCACTTTTTTCTACTTCTCATTTTACGCCACCCGCAATGGGAGACGTCGCCGTGGAGAACCCGGCGAGCGCCCTCTCGTCTCACACGAAGGCAGCTCCCTTGGACACGATTCCCAACATAGATTCGCTCGAAGGTACAGGGGCTGACGACGGTGATGAATATGCTACCTTGAAGAAACTGCAAAGGCACCTGGAGTATGTTTGGGTCGGATTTTGGAGCCTGGTTCTTGAGCTGACTAGTCAAATCATAGATACATCAAACTCCAAGAGGAATACATCAAGGATGAGCAAAGGTTTGTTCAGCTTTCGCGAAGCTGCAGAGCGGTGTTTGCTGACCTGGATCAATAGGAGTTTAAAGAGGGAGCTGGTTCGTGCACAGGAAGAAATCAAGCGGATACAGAGTGTACCCTTGGTCATTGGCCAGTTCATGGAAGCGATCGATCAGAAGTGCGATAGTCGAAAAACTGTGATCATTCTGAATTAAAGCTAATATCTGTTTTAGCACCGGTATCGTACAATCGTCGACCGGCTCGAATTATGTCGTCCGCATCCTCTCCACCCTTGACCGCGAAAAGCTGAAACCGTCATCCTCCGTCGCACTGCATCGCCATTCTAATGCTCTTGTCGACATCCTTCCTCCGGAGGCCGACTCCTCTATTGCCATGCTAGGCGAGAATGAGAAGCCGGATGTTACATACGCAGATGTTGGTGGTCTTGATATGCAGAAGCAGGAGATCAGAGAGGCCGTCGAGCTTCCTCTGACGCATTTTGACCTCTACAAGCAAATCGGTATGCGTCTCCCCTTTACGCGACGTCTTTACTTGCGCCGTGTCTAATATTTGTCTCTTTTTTTAGGTATCGACCCCCCTCGCGGTGTTCTCTTGTACGGCCCTCCAGGTACCGGAAAAACTATGTTGGTCAAGGCGGTTGCGAATAGTACCACCGCCAGCTTTATTCGAGTGAACGGTTCAGAATTCGTGCAAAAGTATCTCGGAGAGGGACCGCGTATGGTCCGCGATGTCTTCCGGATGGCTCGAGAAAACTCACCAGCAATCATTTTCATTGATGAAATCGATGCCATTGCCACAAAGCGTTTCGATGCACAGACCGGCGCAGACCGTGAGGTTCAGCGTATTCTGCTGGAACTTTTGAACCAAATGGACGGCTTCGAGCAGTCAAGCAACGTGAAGGTCATCATGGCCACCAACCGAGCGGATACCCTCGATCCAGCCTTGCTGCGACCTGGTCGTTTGGATCGAAAGATTGAATTCCCGTCTCTGCGCGATAGGCGTGAGCGACGACTTATTTTCTCCACGATCGCCTCAAAGATGTCCTTGTCTCCCGAGGTGGATCTGGATTCTCTCATTGTCCGAAATGAGCCGCTGTCCGGTGCCGTTATTGCTGCAATCATGCAAGAAGCTGGTCTCCGCGCAGTTCGCAAGAACCGATACAACATCATCCAGTCTGACCTTGAGGATGCTTACTCTACTCAAGTTAAGACCGGACAGGAAGCTGACAGGTATGTTACCCTTTCCCTCACTTTCGTTATATATGGTTCTAACAGGTTCTCAGACTCGAATTCTACCGGTAAACTGAGAGTCGTTTTTGATCATGTGGTGGTGGTCCTGGCTGTGCATAGCAAGAAGGTAGAAATAAACTGTATCACCAAGATCCTTGGCTAGCATATATGTAGTCTTATAGTTGCAACTGAGCGGCGGCGTAAGATGGTAAAGATGGTTGCCTACGCGATAATACGAAATAACACTCTAGTTCCCTGAATCCCGAAAGGCCATGTCTATTTTTCGAGGTTTGTTCAACTGAAGTATTAGGCTGATTCGGAGACGAGAGGCCCAAATAAGATCGCCAATTATAGAACCCCTCAGCCTTCCCTTTCAACCTCTTGACGATACTTGACCCTTAAATCGTGTCTACTTCATTTTAGTATCTCGTACCTTCATCCTACTCGGCCTCTATGTTATAACAGTTCATGTTGACACCCGATTATTTATGTGATGAGGCTGCTTACGGGACTGTTTATAACATCACTGGAATAGTATAAGGTATTCAATTCCCTCAAGTCTCCCCCTTCTCTCAATTTATACCTAAAAAAGATACCAAGGCAGTATTTCTTTCGAGACCATTGCCTTCATCCACCCGATCTAAAATCTCGAAACAGGCTACCGCTATGTCTCTCCCAAATCTGCCCAATGAAATCCTCAAGTCCATATGGGATAATTTAGTTTCGAGACACCAGAAGAATTCGCTTATCCAGTCATCTCGCCAGTTACACTCCGCTTTGAACACTTATCTCTACCGGGATGCAGTGCAACACGACCCTTCAAGTGTTTCGCGATGGGCAGCAAAGCACGGCCGCGAAGATACCCTGGAGAAGTTAGTGAAAGAAGGGCTGGATTTCAAGGATGACCCCTCCATGATGCTACTCTTCGAGGCTGCGCGGTACGGAAGAGATGGTGTTATTCGCTTCTTAATCCGACATGGAGTTACAGATTTAGATATCAAGGAGAACCGGGGTCATAATGGTGGATCTGCACTCTCTTTGGCTGTTCTTATGGGCCGTGAATCCGTGGTTCGCTTGCTACTGCAGCATCGCGTCGATCTTGAGAGCAGAAACCTGTTTTGGGAAACCCCGTTACTGACCGCGGTAAAGTGCGGTTATGAGCAATTGGCGCTTCTCCTACTCGAGGAGCGTGCTGATCCCGATGTCGAAGACGCACAGGGCCGAACTACATTATGGCATGCTGTGAATGGTAGCAATATGGAAATTATCAGACTCCTTATCGATCGATTGCCCAAGTGTCGTATTGACCGAGGCGTTATGAATGGCACTACCCCATTGCTCCGAGCCATCGAATTAAACAATACGCAGGCCGCCAGGCTGTTGCTCGAAGCAGGTGCCCAGGTTGACCCACTGAGCAAGATGGATCTCCCTTTTGGTTCAGTGGAAGATGAATTGTGGGCTCGTCTGCACGGCCTGACTTCGGCTCAGGCGCGCCTCATCAGGCAGCAGTTCAGCGCGGTGGGTTGCGACATAGATAAACGACACGGAACAGCGTTGCAAATGGCGATATACCACAATTTGATAAGCATAGTACGTCTGATACTCGACGAAAGCATCGTGACCCAGGAGTCTGGGTCGTATGCCGTAGCTTGGGCGACAAGTCGGGGAAACCAAGAGATGGTGGAGCTTCTGTTACAAGAATATGTCGACCCACAATATCCTAAGGCTTTGTTATTTGCGGCAATGCATGGCCTTGAGGGGATAGCTGAACGAATATTAGAAGTCAGTGCCGAGCCAAACCCGTCGTCTAGGCCAGGTGTATCCCCCTTGGATTGGGCTGTCCGCCGTGGCCATTATGGCGTGGTGGCCCTGCTTGTTGAGAGAGGAGCAGACATTGAGCAACAAAAGCGAAAAGACCTGTTGGTAAATGCTATACAGACAAAAGATAGCAGGCTATTCAGAGCACTCTTTAAAGGCGTCGACATGGAGCAGGAGGAATATCAAACCCTTCAACCGCTCCTGAGGGCTGTGCGTGGCTGGGTGTACAATAATGGCTAAAACATTGGGAAATAAGTTCCGAATAGCCGTATTGAAGCATATTAGGATGATGCCGCCCATGGAGTGAGTAAGAGCGACCCAGCCTTTTAGGTATTTATCAAAGAAGGCCTGGCTTGTATGTAGCAGATTGGTGCCTGGAGATCCCATTCCATTACCTCAGGCAACAAGGGTTTACTAGCCTGATAAGATGAAGGACCACCGGCGCTTATCAGGCTCCAGCCACCAGCTTGCTTGCGTGCTATCTTCCGTATCCGTCACCCCATTCCCAACAAGTTCGGACTGGAAAGTAAATTAAATAACCCACGGATTATTCAGAGCAGATTATCTATTATTAGGCACTATACTCATGTAAAGAATGAACAAGAAATTCGGTCAGCTCGACCTCTGTCAGCCCGAAGATGCCCAGGCCGATGACGCAGCTGGGGTGCTGGTGATTGGCTGCCCTCCGGGTCGCTCCGCAACCGCCAGTCACCCGCTGCAGGCCTGCATCATCTCACCTGTCTTGCTCGCTCTCCTCTCTCCCTTCTCCAACTCCTCCTATCACCTCTCTACCCCTTCCATCATCGTTTGATCCTTATCTGTAAAGTCCATTCTTTCAGTTCGCTTTCTCGCTCCTTTCGCGCTCTTGTCGCCCATCATGAAGACCTCCTTGCTCGCAGCTTCGGCGCTGCTGGGCTGTGCCTCCGCCGAGGTTCACAAGCTTAAGCTCAACAAGGTTCCCTTGACTGAACAGTTTGTGAGTACCCCAGAGCCCAGCTGATTTGAATCGGGATTATGAAACACGTTTGTACCTGTTACTGACTGAATAGATCACTCGCAACATTGCAGATCACGCAAATGCCCTCGGCCAGAAGTACATGGGCCAGTTCGGACAGCAAACACTCCAGGATGAACCCGTTAATGCCATGGGCCGCCACGATGTTCTGGTTGACAACTTCTTGAATGCGCAATGTATGTGGATTATCCGGACTCCTCCATGAGAGGATGATGACTGACCTGACTAGACTTCTCTGAGATCGAGCTCGGTACCCCTCCTCAGACCTTCAAAGTCGTCCTCGACACTGGTAGCTCCAACCTGTGGGTTCCATCGTCGGAGTGCGGCTCCATCGCTTGCTACCTCCACGAGAAGTATGACTCTTCTGCATCATCTACATACAAGAAGAACGGCAGCGAGTTCGCCATTCAGTATGGCTCCGGCAGCCTCAGTGGATTCGTGTCTCAAGACAACCTTAAGATTGGTGACTTGAAAGTCAAGGGCCAAGACTTTGCCGAGGCCACCAGCGAGCCTGGTCTGGCATTTGCCTTCGGCCGCTTCGATGGAATCCTCGGTCTTGGTTTTGATGCCATCTCTGTCAACAAGATTGTCCCCCCCTTCTACCAGATGATTGAGCAGGGTCTTCTTGATGAGCCAGTCTTTGCTTTCTACCTTGGTGATGCCAACAAGGAGGGTGACAGCTCTGTTGCTACATTCGGTGGCATTGACAAGGACCACTATGAGGGTGAGCTGATTAACATCCCTCTTCGCCGCAAGGCCTACTGGGAGGTTGACCTTGACGCCATTGCTCTTGGCGACGACGTTGCTGAGCTGGAAAACACTGGTGTCATCCTTGACACCGGCACTTCTTTGATTGCTCTGCCTTCCAACTTGGCTGAGATGATGTGAGTGATACCCCTTAGATTGCCTCGAAACTATATGCTGACTCTCACGAAGTAACGCCCAGATCGGTGCTAAGAAGGGTTTCACTGGCCAGTACAGCGTCGAGTGCGACAAGCGCGACTCTCTTCCTGACCTTACTTTCACTTTGACTGGCCACAACTTCACCATCGGTCCTTATGACTACACCCTCGAGGTCCAGGGATCGTGCATCAGTGCCTTCATGGGCATGGATTTCCCCGAGCCTGTTGGCCCTCTGGCTATTCTCGGTGATGCTTTCCTGCGCAAGTGGTACAGTGTGTACGACCTCGGCAACAGCGCCGTTGGTCTCGCCAAGGCCAAGTAAACGACCTAGAATTTATTATATATGTGTACCCTACGTCGTTTTCTTGTTTTATTCCAGGCTCTCGTTTGAATAAAGTCCTCTTTGAGAGCCATATTGGAAATCGTTGTTGCAAATGATTCCAGGGCTTGGGAGGTGCCGTGGACTCTCCATTGTTTCCTGAATCGGCGATTCATTATTGTCATAATGTTGAGGTTCATCGTTAGTGGATTTCCCGAGCTAGTGTTACGCTTTGGCCATGAAATAACAACTAGACCTGCTGTCAGAAATGACCCTCTCCAACCAGTAAATTCATGAAAACAGTAGTGCGCATACAGTAGTAGTGTTAGAATGTTAGTTGTGAAGAAGGTCAAACTGAGGAGTTGTCTTGAAGAATGAACCTGGCCCGCATCTGGGGGTCGCCCCGCACGCGCAGCTGCCGACCGCCTCCGGAACCCTGGTTAGTGGTTGCTGCCTTACCGACCAGGCTGCCAGCCGTCTTTGAGCCTTTGAGGTCACTCATTGACCTCCAGCTCCCTTTCATCACCCCATCTCCGCGACCTGCTCCATTCACCTCGACTCCCGAGTCGTCTTGTGTTAATATTTTAAATCATCGATAAATTGTTTTATCTTATTCAAGTGTTGTGAAGTGCGACTGGCCCTTCTCTGACCGCGAACCTCTTTTTCTTTTCTTTTAAAACCCCGTCGCGTGAGCTTGTAGCGGCCGGCTGCAATTACCCATGTTGCCTACCTTTTCGGCACGGTCTCGAGAAAACTAAAAAGCTCCTCTATATACCAAGCCCTTATTCTCGCTTTCGACTATCCTTACTCGCTTTAGTCGCGGTTGGAGGCTGGGTGTTTCGGCGACGGCTCGTAAATCCTCACCCGTCGACGGGCATGGCTCCCTAACTGTCGGATACGAGATTTTGACATCGCGATAATTGCTACTCGGCGGCCTATCCCTGCCTACTGTATCCATCGAGGCCGCGGAGAGCAAAAAGGATACGAGTTCGACAAAAGACACGCGAGAAACACAAAATCGGTAGAGCATGCTTCTTCGATTACCGTCGAGTCTCTACTACCCCATCACCGTTACGTCGTTGCTGAAACAACCCGGTGATGAGGTGGAGAGAGATGAGGCGATATTCTGGTATGTGTATCAAACTACCGTTACAGAAGGGGATGGGTTGGGAAACAAGATCGATGTGAAGCGAAGTTTCCCGACGCGGTTTGAGTCGACCGTTGATGGGTCGATTGTGCAGTGGAAAATTTCTAAAGGGGACATTATTGATGAACCGTGAGTGTTTCTGTTCATGCCGTTTAGATATTATGTGTGCCGGTTGCTGACCCCGTTCTAGCGTTGATGTTGTTGAGATAGATGAGCCATGCGCGCACGAAGTGCAGTATGGTGGGCTTTGCGCTGAGTGTGGGAAGGATATGACTGAGTAGGTGGCCCTTATCCATTGTTTGCGCTATGTTCAGACCAGCAACTAATTTGTTTATAGGGCGACGTATAACACAGAGATCACAGATTCCATGCGCGCACCAATTCAGATGACTCATGACAATACAGCGCTTACTGTAAGCGAGAGGGAGGCCGTACGTGTGGAAGAAGATGCGAAACGGCGCCTGCTAGCAAATCGGAAACTCTCGCTTGTAGTTGATCTCGACCAAACCATCATCCATGCAGCCGTTGATCCTACTATTGGCGAATGGATGGCAGACAAAGATAATCCCAACCATGGTGCCGTGAGTGATGTGCGGGCGTTTCAATTGGTAGATGATGGTCCTGGGATGCGTGGCTGTTGGTACTATATTAAGCTACGACCGGGACTAGAGGAATTCTTACAGAATATCTCGGAGATGTATGAGCTGCACATCTACACGATGGGAACTAGGTCATACGCACAGGCCATTCATAGTATCATAGATCCAGATCGGAAACTCTTCGGCGACCGCATCCTCAGCCGTGATGAGAGTGGAAGCTTGTCCGTTAAAAACCTCCATCGGCTGTTCCCCGTGGATACAAAGATGGTCGTTATTATCGATGACCGCGGGGATGTTTGGCGATGGAGTCCCAACCTTATCAAGGTTATCCCATACGACTTCTTCGTCGGCATCGGGGACATCAACTCCAGCTTCCTGCCCAAAAAGCAGGAGATGGAGACTGCCGAGGAGAAGCAAGAAGCCAACCGAGTCCCGGAAACCACGGAACACCATGTCAATGGATCGACAGAAAAACACGACGCGACCGATGTATCAACCCTAGAACAGCTGGTGACCATGGGCGGCGGAGATAATCCGAGGTTGCTCCAGGAACAAAGCAATGCGCAGGACGAGACGATAATGCACCAAGTCGAGGACCGTCCACTTTTGCAGAAGCAAAAGGAACTAGATGCCGAGGATGAATCGGCAGAATCCAGCGACTCGTCGTCTGCGGTAGACGAGTCGCAAGATCCGTCAAAACATCGCCATCATCTCCTAATCGACAACGACCAAGAACTTGTTAAGCTAGCATACCGGCTAGAGCAAGTCCATACCAAGTTTTACGATGACTATGAGAAGAAGCGAGCACGGGGTCTAGGAGGACGGGTGGCTGCATTACGAGGCGAAAAGGCCATTTCCAAGGAAAAGGACGTGGATCTAAAACTAGTTCCCGATGTCAAGGATATCCTACCAGAGATCAAACGCCGTATCCTGGGTGATGTGGTCCTCGTTCATTCTGGACTATGGAAGTTGAATGAGGACACGGCAAACCTCGAAATTACGCACCACGCGAAGAGTTTTGGTGTCACATTTGCAAACAAGATTAACCAAAGAACCACCCATCTCCTAACCGCCGGCAAACGTACCGCCAAATTCCAAGAAGCAACCCGATACCCTCACATCAAGATCGTCCAGAAGCAATGGCTTATAGACAGCTTACTCCAATGGAAACACCTAGACGAGACGCCATATCTTATTCCGATCCACCCCAACGAGCGTGGGCCACCAATTTCACCCAGTTCCAAGGAGGTAGCCGAGAGCTCATGGCTCTCATCCTCTGACGAAGCCACAGGCGAGTCCTTCACGGATAATGAGGAGACTTCCGAGCTGAATGACGACATCCTGAAGTCCTCCGGACTCAACGAAACGTCTACTATCGGGTACGACGAGGATGAGGAGGCTGCAGTCCACGAAGAGCTTAAAGAGTTTCTAGGCAGTGACGATGAAAGCGAAAGCGACAGTGAAGCGTCATTCATGGAACGCGACGAAGTGCCACCCACATCAGCCCCGGGCAAAAAGCGCAAGCGCGATGAAGGCGCCGACACTGACGAAGGCGATGAAGACGAATCAGAAATCCAACCCGAATCGGGTGATGCCACTGGCTCTCGTCTCTCGCAGCGTATTAAGCGGTCATATGAACGGAGCACCGGGCTGAAAGAAGTCGCTAGTGCTGGCCCAGGCGGGGGTACTTCGGCTCCCAGAACGGGCCCCGATTCCGGCACAGAAGTTGTCGCCGGTGCGGAGGAAGAAATCCCAAATGTCGCATTCCCCGAAACAGAAGAAGAGGCCGCTGCGGCTCAGAATCCAGACTCAACTTATCCCCAGGACCCAGTAGAGGATGACGACGAACTGGAACGCGAAATGCTTGCTGCATTCGAAGAAGGCGAGCACGACTCCGAAGCCGAAGAGGAAATTGGTGAGGACAACGGCTAGTTCAGTCTCAATTTACGTCGGGATCCCGCTACATAGTGTTGTTGTTCAATTCGACATCTCTTGACGATTTTAACTGCATCTACTGTCTTGGAACTAGAGGAGAAAAGAAAGGAAACGATTGGCCATGTGTCGTGCTTTTGCTCTGTATATTTTTTGTTCGCGATTGCAGCCGAGTCGTCCGGAAGCTTGTGGTTATGAGCATCGAATCGATCGAGATCGCATAGCGAGGCGTTGGTGACTTCGATTTAAGGGTTTGGTTTTATTTTCCTCTATCTTATTCAGATTGTGATACATATGGCCTAGGTGGGTTGGCTGTATTGACTAGCTTGGCCTAGATACCAAAAACATTGAAAATATATGAATGGAATGGACATTGAATTTGATATTGCAACATCTCTCAATCAATATAGATATATAAAACCAATAAACACAGCAACGCTACCTGATTATACGCCGGTATATGCATCGTTAAACATCAACATGGAACATAATAAAAGGCAACTGATAGGATATAACCCACATCCTCACCTGACCTATTCACATACATCATAAACCCACCAATCAATCAATCAATCAATCAATCAACCAATAAGCCGACAAGGCGAATGAAGTAGAAATGTAATTGCAAGACTCAGACTCAGAATCGTAATCAACGGCGGTGGTGAACATCCCGATGAACCTTCCACGCCATAACAATCATCCACGAAAAAAACACTGTATTTACCAGCTCGAACGCGAATGCCGTTCGCCAGCAGTTACCTATCAACGAACCAGTCAGTATTAACCTCATTCAGCATAACAATAGAAAAAGGAAACGACATCGAGCAGGGAGAGTGGAGAGGGAAGAAAGGGCATACAAATATTACTCTGCGCAATCCATGCCATTGTATCTAGATTATCGCCGCCCTGACGGTTATCATCCACCCAGATTTGGCAGTTACCGTTGACGTTGGCGACGACGCCGTACATCTGGAGCGAGGTCTCGATGAGCCCTGTTAACCAAAGCGCGAAGAGGATAAATGTCCCGACGAGGATTATCCCGGGAAGTAGGAAGCCTTGTGCTGCTAGGACGAGAACGAATATTATAAAGAAGAGCGCTAGAGCGGAGGTTGTAAGCATGTATGGGAAGAGCCTATATCGTGGGTGTATTTTGTTAGTTACAGAGTCGAGGAGGGATTAGTGTGTGACGTACCATGGTATCCCGAGTCTCAGCTCTGCTTGGACAGATATAAACCAGGCGAAGATACCCAGGCAGATGCAGGAGGCCGCGAGGACGGTGAGAATCCAGATGTTGAGCTGGATTTCCGGCCACCGGTAATGTTTTGGGGCATGGCGGCGTGGCATTGTTGTGTGTCGGGACTGCTTTCTTCTCGTAGGCTGGGATTGATTTTTGTAGCGGTGGATTGGTGGTCAAGTTCGAATTATTGCTGCGAGGTTCTGCGTCTCATATCAATGACACTGGGCTGAAGATGCAGGTGTCGGTCTGGCTATAGGGCAGGTATATAGGGATAATCGGGTAGCGTGAGATGTGATGAGTATGCGCCGCACCAATAGGGCCAGTTCGGTGCAAATTATATCGTATAATCAGGTGTTAAGACAAGGCCAAGGCCAGCGCATCTGCGCTGTCCGGAGTGAGGCTGTATTGAGCTGGTCGGTGGTGGTGTCTCGAAATGCGATGCGCTGGTCGAGATCGGCGTTAGATAAGCGGGGGCCCTGCAGGCTTGGGTTGTCTGTTGGGCTTTGGAGAAAGCGTTGAAGTTGGAACTTTTTTCGTTTTTCGAATATGACGATATGACGATATGATGAAAAAAGAAGCTTGGTATTTTCGTGGCGGAGGATTGAGAATGCGAAGAAGGAAAATGGGGGGGCGGGGGTTTGTTTTTCTATACTCCAGACTGTTTAATTCCGGTGGCAGGACTCCGCTCCCGCAAGTTACAATCACTTCACACAACAACTTCAACAACGCGATAGCCGGGCGATCGCTTCATAAATCATTATTATTGTATAGTCTCTTTTTATCTGACTTTAATGACTGACATACATTACAGTTTACAGCAAGGTATCTCCCAACGCACTGCGCACCAACGAGCACCCAGTCCGAATCGTGTCCGATGCCCCCACGGCATCGAGGCTGGGGTTGACCTCGACCAAATCCATGGAGATGAGGTTACCTGTCTCGTGCACACACTCGCAGATGAAGTCTCCCTCGCGAAGAGTCAACCCCCCACGCACGGGGGTTCCAGTGCTAGGTGCCCACTGAGGATCGAGCGCATCGACGTCAAACGACAGATGGATGGGTGTGTCGTTTCCAATGTGAGCGAGCGCCATCTCGACGACGCGGCCAATTCCGTGTCTAATTCGTTAGCAATTGCCGTACTACAAGCGAGAGGGATGCCAAGATAGGAAAAAAGAAGGGGGTTTTGTTGGGGGGTGGGGGAGGGTGAGGAGGGGAGCCTACCGGTCAACGTCGTGCATGCTGAAAGCCTTGATGCCATTCTCACGGAGAATCTTCTTCTCACCACGATCAACATCCCGCAGTCCGATATAGACGAGCTTGCGGAGGTTGACAATGTGGTTGTCCTGCAACCACCCAAAGACGTCCTTCTTCTCCTCCTTCGCAAGTCTAGTCAGGAAAGCCATTGGCATCCCATGGATGTTCCCACTGGGACTCTGCTCGGGGATGTTGATATCAGCGTGAGCATCAACCCAGATAACACCGATCTCCCTCCCCAGGCGCTCGCGGGTCGCCTTGGCAATACCCGAGATGCTCCCAATCGCAATCGAGTGGTCGCCGCCGAGGGTTAGAGTGAACTTCCCCTCCTTGGAGTGCTCGTAGGTCTGCGAGCTGAGCGTCTCTGTGACAGCGCTCACAGCGCGAGGCTTCTTCATGCCCCGGTGGTCGGGGTCTTCAGCAGGGATCTGCTTCTCGTAGTAGTGGACGGTGTTATCGTAGTGAATGTCATAGTCAAGGTCTTCGCGCAGCTGATCAAGGAGACCGGATTCGATGAGAGCCATAGGGGCAGCCTCGACGCCAAGCTTGCACTGTCATAGGACCGGGACAAAGCCCGATATGTTAGCCTGAATGGTAATCTACCCCTGCAGAGTGCAGAAGAGTGGTGAAGCGCATTGCAGAAGATCGGCACCGAGCCGCGGGTATCCGTACCTGGCCGCCATTGAAGCCCACCGCGACAACACCTAGCTGGTTAGGCTGAGAGAGGAATCTCTGCTCGATAGTGGAGGGTTGAGTCATTTCGGCAGTAGAATGGAGTAGCAAGTGTCGGTAAGATGGGACCGAGATAAGATCTGAGCGATGAGAAAAAGTAGACTAAAAAGATTCTAGAAGGCCTAAAAGGAAGCCCCCGTCAGTGGGTGGAGCTGAGCCAAAGAAGACGGAGCACCAACAGTAGAAGAGCAAGAAGTACAACAACCTCGAGGGAAATTATTGTAGAATGCTAGTTGCTGATGAATGTTGAACGGGAGATATGAGAGCGAAGGAAAAAGACCCCCTTGATCAAGGGCGCGGGCTTTCTTTATGTTGCTGGTGGCCGTGGGGCGGGCATCGCTAATACCTGCTTTTAAGAATTAGCAGAGAAAGGCGCATCCGTTAAGTGCAGGTCGAGGAGAAAGACGGCTGCCATCCCACTCCACCACGCGGTATCTTCGGTTTCTATTATCAATTTGGTTATGGCGCTGAGAGATATAACTGAGACACATTTGGATAGGGTTAAGTGAATTGGGTATCGTTTTATTCTATTGCTGCCATGACATCATGGGTATCTATACACTATATAGAGTCCTTCCCTACCACTATCTTACACTGACTACTTCACGCATGAATGACTACTGTGAGCCCAAAATCAGCTCCCGCAGCGTCGCATCGGCCTTCTGCGCTTCCACGCGGCCCTTTTCGCCCATGCGCATCATCTGGCCCACGAACCAGCCTAGCTTGCCCAGCTGGTTTTTGCTCCGAATCTGCTCAACCATCTGTGGGTTAAGTTCTATAGCTGCTTGCGCGAGAGCAACGTATTCTTCACGCGAGAGAGGGCGGAGGATAAGATTTTCCTCCTCGAGTAGTTCAACAATCGATCGCTGGTCTCCGTCAAACACCATGGCAAGCACCTGCTTGGCCGTCGCCCCGGTGATTTTTTGCCGCTGGAGCTGGTCGATAATCGAGGCGAGAGACTCAGCAGTCACCCTTCCCGCATCCCAGGCTAGATCAGCTTTGGTCAGCAGACCGCCGAGTTCATGGAGGACCCAATTGCCAGCGACACGCCCAAGAGCAGCTTGAGCCTTGGGATCGAGATCTTGCTGAAGATCGCGTAGAATGTCGACAACATCCTGGTAATATTCCAGTCGTGCCCCATCTTCAAGCTCAACAAGTGGCTTGGCATCTTCTATCGGAAGGCCATACTGGCCGACCAGCATGTCAATGAGCGCGTCCGGAGCCGTGGGTAGATTATCTCTGAGCGTTGAAATAATGTCCTCGCCAATCCGGAGGGGAGGGATATCTGGATCGGGCATATAACGATAGTCGACCTCGCCTTCTTTCCCTCGAAGTTTCCGTGTCTCTGTGCTTCCAATAGTCCAGCCTCGCGTCTCGCCCTCGATTACACCCCCGCTTTCAAGGACTGTAATCTGTCGGTTCTTCTCTGCGATAATAGCATCCTCTACTGCCTTGAAACTACTCAAGTTCTTGATCTCGGTGCGCTGACCAAGGCCCCCAACCCCTCCGTATTGGTGGACGCCTGAACCATCGCCCCGCAATCTGACTGAAACGTTTATATCAGCACGGAGACCACCCAATTCCATTCCCGTCGTCACGGCGCTACAAGACTGCAGGATTGACTGGACCTTGCGGACAAATGCGGCTGCTGTGGCGGGTGTGTGGATTTGCGGCATCGTAATTATTTCAATGAGCGGGTGGGAAACGCGGTTGAAGTCGAGAAGCTGGGTGGAGGGAGGGTATTCTTGTGACTTTGCGGTATCTTGTTCAAGCTGGATCTGCTTGATACCGATACGAACTCGGTCTCCATCTTCAGGCGCAATACCATCGTGGGTAAAGAGGTCGAGGTAGCCATTTCTCGCAAATGGTTCTATTCATGTCAATGCCTAGTCTGTAGTAGTAGAGTGCTATTCTTACCGTAATACTGTGTTATTTGATACCCCGCTGGTTGATCCTGGTAGAAGTAGTGTTTCCGGTCAAAACGACTAACGGGTTGGATATCGCAGTTCAGAGAGATGGCAGCGCGTAGGGCAGGAAGGAGGGTCGCCACTTGAAATTCCTACGCCATCATCGATCAGCATTCCACCATGAGCACACAAAATATAGGAGGACCAACAGGTTGACTGCCCGGGAAAGCGAGGTCGAATAGAGCAACGTTTGAGTTGGGTTGTTCGGTGGGAAGAGTCGGCGCTCCTGTTTACACAAGCCAATCGGTTAGCGATTGTCCGCGCAGTATCAAGCCTACAAAGGGAATGCCGCACTTGAGAATAGTTTCGTCTCTGTATTCAATTGAGCATGGATCTCAACTCCCACGGTCAGCTCCCACTTCTGCCGCGAAGCCTCCTCCTGTTCTCGTCGCTCTCGCTTCCGGGATTTCACGGCCTTCGCATCTTGCTTAAGTTGTTTGCGAAGAGGAACACGATTCTGCGAATCTGCCGAGGATGTTTGCAGGCGACGGATATGAGAATTTAACGAGACTGGGTTCTGTTGACGGGCGAAAGGTAATTGGGGAATTTCACGGTGCGGGCATCGCGGACAGGAGACGGATCGGACGGTCGCGCGGGGACAATGGCGCAGGCATGATCGGAGCATGTGGGATAGGATGGTATTGCGAAATAAAGAGGAGAAATTGACTGAAGCGAGAGACGAAGCAAAGTGGGAGTTGTTTGCGATGGAGACGTCGACGCTGCGAATTGGAGCCCAAATTACATCAAGATCTCCGAATACGAATCTAGACGGCGGGAATGCTTGTTTTGTGCCTGGGTACGCCGGCGCAGTCGTATGATACGGTAATCCTCACCGCAGTTGTTGCCTCAGGCCTCAATTCAACAGTTGTATAGATCCTGTTCATGCAATGGATAGCCTTGCACGAACCTCGGCCTGGAGCTTCCCCAAGGAACTAGGTTGATTCAATGGTGTAACCGGGCGCATTCAAATTGAGTAAGGGGTGAACATGTGGAGGGGGAATTGTTATGCATCGCTGGAGAGGGCGGAGTATCTGATACATCTCTGAGGCGGGCTGAGCATCACGCAAATGAAGAAACTGATATCATACCCGGCGATTCGCCGTCAAGGGCAAGCAAGGGAGAAAGCATCCAGACTTAGCGGCCAGGATTGTGCGTCTGCCAACAGCGAGTGAGCGTCAGACAACGCACCGCCTGTACTCAAGCGGGTGTTGTGCAGGACTCCATCAGGCAGTCTCCATGCCTATATTTTGAATTCCTGTCCTTCACCATTCCAACGACTGTGTTGCGCCCGTGATTGAAGTTGATTCCATAGTCTTATCGCTATCTTCAACCTTCCTGAGAGCCAGCCTTTCACAGATCGTCTTTGCAACCCCCAGCGCGATCTGTAACACTTGGCGCCGTGTCAGGCGCGTTTGGACGAATCGAACCCCTCCATGATCTTCGCCCGCGCCCTCAACTTCGTATCTTTGAAACTACGAGAGTAAGAATCGCAGCGATCCCCGGGGGCCGTCGCCCATCACCAAGCTAGCTGGGGGCCGTTTGTCAAGCTGTTGGTTTATTTATATCCGGGTCAGCCTTGGGGTGCGCCGTCTTTGTGCCTCAGTCCACGCTCTATACCCAAACCGCCGGCGGTTCCTCCCACTATTGCTCCACTCTCGCTGCTTGAATCTGTTGGCGCTTCGTTTCTTCCGAGCTATTGGAATCCAAAGAAAAAGTAAAAATTACAAAAGGGATCGGGGCGCCTGAGGAATCACGCATTTTGTCCTACTTTGTACATTCTTCATCGCCTTCCGCCTGGAATTCCTCACGCCTCCCTGCTTCGTTTGACATGCTCCCACCTTCCCAGTCTCCTCTTCTCGCCATCCTATTTCTTCATGTTCTCGTCCCTTCGATGTTTCCGGGTTCCATGGCCTGCAATTAATCCAGAAAGCGCTGATCCCGTTGTTATCACCGTTTGTCCCGGTCCACTATAGCAAACCCTACCCTACTACCATCACAATGCCGTCTTATTCTGGGTTCAGTCGGCCAAGGAAGTCGACAAAGTCGTCTGGAACTTCTACAATTTCCACCGGCTCGAAGAGTTCCAAGTCCCCCGTCGAGAAGTCTACCAAGAAAGATAGTCCCCAGAGTCCCCGCGCTGTCAAGAACGCGGATTCTAATGGCTCTGGCTATACTTCAAAGGCGCAGCCTCCGCCGCCGCCGCCACCTCCTCCGGCTCCTCCAGGAGCCAAGGCGAAGGGCGGCAAAGATGCTGACGCGCTGAATGTGTTTGAGTATCTTGAAACAGAGAGTGAGACCGACAGCGACTCGGATATCACATCATCGGATGACGATGACCTACGGCCTCCGTTCCCGCCCAATTCTAAACCACCCAAGGCTGCTCCGACCAATCGACAGCCAAACACAGCTGTTCCAGTACAGAACCGCAACCGGACGTCGTCTATGAAATCCAAAGATTCACAACCACCCGGCGCATTCGATGCCTCGCCGCCCACCGTGCCGTTGCAGCTCGCTCGACACAGTGCCGCCAATCGACGACCTTCCACTGATGGAACAAACAGCGTTGTTGGGTCTGTCGCTGAGTCCTTTGACGGCTCACTTCCGCCTGAGCACCGGAATCTAGAGCTGGTTCCAGAAGACTATTACCCTAGGGCGTCCACTTCCCTACGGCGAACCTCATTCCCCCCTTCACCTCCCCAAAGCCCTGAGGAGGACGTGCATCGTTCTAGTCGGAAGCTTAGACGCAATACAAAACCATCGCGACTTCCAACGGGATACGGGCTTCTAGCATGGCGGTTAAGTGCCTCAGCGGAGAACAAGGAATACACTCTCCCTCCGCTCTATCGTCGCTTCGAAGATGTTAATCATCGTGTGCTCCTGTATCTCCAGGATGAAATTTCCCAGCTGGAGGAGGAGCTCCGGATGCTGGACGAATATGAAGAAATGCAGCGGAGAGGGGCCGCTGAACAGGAGGGAACCAAGGTGATGCCTGCCTCACGCCGTTTGGACGTACAGGCACAGGCCTACTCGTCCCTCCACTACAGGCGCGAAGAGGTCATGGGAGCATTGATTCAGAAGACAGAGCAATACAGTAGGTTGCACCAAAGTTCCTGCACCCATCGTCTATTTCCTGCATATATTAATACCGAACCAATCAGATAATGCTCTCGCTGCCTATAGTAAAGTGCTGCAGACGCTGCCTCAGGCTGCGGGTTCCGACGTCGAAACGTATCGGAAATGGATGAAGGGAAACAACCCCGTTGCCAGCAATGAGATGCGCTTTCTCGACCATCCAAAGGATTTGGTCTCACTCACACCGCAAACTGCTTCCGCCGACTCTAAAATAACGCCTCCTGTCTATTCTGCCATCGTCATTGCCTCTGCGGCTATCATCCTCCCGTTGCTAGCCTTTGGTATGGTCCGAGAGTTCGCTGGTCGAATCCTCGTCGTCGCAATGGTTGGTGGTACATCTTCTGCCATGGCAGCGCACTACTCTCGTGGGACAGAGCACTTGGTCAAATCGCAGGATGGCTGGCGGGTTGCTGGCTTGTACGCTCCCCTCCCTTGTTCTTTTTTGCACTAATACCCCCGATAACTAACATTTGCGCTAGATACTTCGGGTTCATGACCATCGCTGCACTATTTATGTCTTGATCCTCCCACACACCTAATGCCTTCACTCTATTCATGATCCAAGTGACACGTCACACGACATATACCCCTTTACGCATAACCTACAGCACTACCTACCAAATAATCCACTCGTACGATTTTACGAATCTTCTTCGGGGTACTTGCGCCCATCAAGGACTTAGGCTCCCACGGGCAAAAAAAAAGAAAAAAACAAACAAACAAACAACCGAGGATGAATTACGTTAGATGAAAGGAAGGCGTTTCGGAACCGGACTACCTGTGTGAATGGTCTTCTCTTACGGATGGATCTTTGTTCAACACTATGACTAAACAATTGGTTACTTACTGGATGAGTATACCTAAATACTGCCTATTTAGCGACGGGATTTGGGATTGTGATTTCTTCAGCGTTCTTCCTTGGGTGCATGCCATACGATGCGGTCTTTTGCTTGCTTTCTTAGCCTGTCCTTCGACTGAACCCCTCTTGTCTTGAACTTATGTATCCTCCTGTTCTGATTGTTCCCATTTTGGTGTATTATACGACGCTGTTTTTTATCCGTTGATAGTATACTTAGTTGTTGGTTATTACATAGCCAGGTAGTCTTTGGTAATATGACCCCCTTTTTGGCATCTGGACGTACACAGTAGATAAGAATTTTTGGCAGTGTGGTTGTTTCCACGGCGATTAGGATATTAAAATCACCGGGTGATGAAGTATTGGGCTCAGATTTGATGAGAGATTAGCCGATAGTACTTGTTACTTAAACTAGCCTTCCTTCATTATGTACAGCATGCAACAAAGGCTTTAGAGAGCAAGGAGAGAATCTTATTGAGACCACATTATCCAAAAGAGAATAGTTAGAATAAATAAAATGTTTAAAAAAAGGTGATAATAGTAATACTAATACGTGCTACACCTGCATCCAGGTGCAAGGCATGAATGGGTAGAAAAAAAAAAGCCCATATCTCCCCCCTCTTTTTCTCTCTCTTGGGTGCCTGGTGATAGGATTCTCGGTTTAGAACCCGATGAAGATAGGGTGATAGAAAATATGAGAAACGAAAGGGTTAAAAAAAGTTGATATAAGGAATCCCACAGAAAACAAACAAAAAACAACTAAAACCTTTACCTAAACACCCCTCCCTCTTTATCGGTAATAAAAAAAGCACTAAGACGTAACATTCAATAAGATAAACAACGAGATTCAAGACCTCTTAGAGAATTCGGTAAGTTCATGCAGGTACCGGCGTGCCATTCTGCTTGTTTCCAGGAGTGACGCTCCGGTCTTGGGAACTGCGGTGGTCCACCGCAGGCTGAGACTGTGGTGTTCCTCCAGGGGAACCCTGTGCTGCCAGCTGCACCTTGTTTCGGTCCATGAGCGCGGCTTGCTCGGCCGCACTGCGTGCATAGGTCATTGCTGCAGCTGAATTTGAGTAAGCGTTTGCATTTTGGTTGGGAGTGTAGTTGCCGTATGGCGTTGATTGTTGGTGCGGTTGCGGGTGCTGTATGAACCGTTGTTGGGGGGTGGAACCGGGGGGCATAAACGGGCCCCGTGGGGTTGCGTATGTCGGCGGCTTTTGAGGGGAAGCACTGCGTCCAGGCCCAAAAGGTGTCACATTGTACGGTGCTGGTTGCCCTGGCCGCGGGTTGTATTGCTGTGGAGAACCTTGAGCAGGATTGGGCCCTGGCTGACCGGCATATGGATTAAATCCGTTTTGTCCTGGTCGTTGATATTGCGGGACTGGATTCCCCTGGTTGAACTGCTGTGTGGGTTGCCCGTATCCTTGGAAGTAAGCGGGTCGTTGACCAGGCGTGGCTGGAGGGCGAGCTCCTGGGAAAGGTTGTGGGTTGCCCTGTGTGTAACTGCCGGGAGTCGAAGGTTGCCGTGGCGGGTAGTACGGTTGTGGAGGTTGGAAACTTCCTGGGGGCTGAATCCGAGCATTGACGTTGAAAGCACGCTGGTTGTACGGTGGCTGGTAACCGCTAGAACGCGAGGGAGTCGACGTCCTGTTTGGAGCGGGAGCTGCAGCAGCCACAGCTGCCCTTTCCTGTTGGATTGTGTGATCGTCCTTCTCCATGCTGCCTGGGTAGTCTGCGTTGTCAACTAATATTTTTTGACTGATGTTTAGATCTGCTAGTTGGTCTCCGTTCAGCTTCGCAACGGCGAATGGCGGCAACTGAGACACAAGCACGGATAAACTAGAGCGCAGCGTTTCATAAACGTCGAACTCCGCATCAGATGGCTTATCCGGGTTCGTTTGAGTGGATGGCGTGTCTTTAGCTTCGGCACTTTGGTTGGGCGTTGGAAGCTCAAGGTTGCGAATTCTCTGGTAGGAACTCAGAGTCTCCAGTAAGTCAGAGACTTCGGCTAGTAGATCGTCTGTATCTTTCTCCTCTGGCGATTTTTCGACCCTTTCTTCCTCTTCTTCATCATTTTTCGTGGCGTCGGGCGGGATAGAAGCATCTGCAAAGTCATCGGGATTAAATGACTTCACCATCTCTTCTAGTGTGCTTTCATCGAGATCACCGATACTTCCTGGTTCAACTGTTGTTTCGCTAGACTCTTCTTCGTCTGGTATTGACAGCAATACATTCAAGCGTTTTGCTCCCCGCTTGTTCCACCATACTAGGTTCTTTGAGTCTGTTTGTACCACCGCGCCAGAGCTATCAAAACTAGGGGCAAAAGACGAATATACGCCCTGCAACATGGACGCATCCTCGTCTGGCCAAAGGATTGGGTCCTCATGATACTTCTCTTCACCGTGCTGCTGCGAAGGTTGCTGCTTCTGGCGGCGACCCCAGAAAGACGGAGAAGACGTCACACCACCGTATTGAAGCCAATTCCCTGAAGGAAGTTGTGCAAAGGAGTAATTATTCCGGTCCCCAAGGAAGTTTCTATAGTTGGTGACTGAGTCAAAAGGGTCGATCCAGGGAACTTGAGATGTACGGGACGAGGACCGAGCCCTTCGTGGCGGCTCCAACACGGGCAACGTTGATTTTGGGGCGAAAACTTCAGCGAACGTTCGCTTGGTCACTTTTGGCTTCTCGCCATCATAGGGAGCGACCTTCGTGGTGGTGATCCCGTTCGGCAAGCCATCTTCAGGTAGCGGTGTCTGTACTTCGACATATTTCTTCGTTTCCGCCTCGTCCGAGGACAACGGAACCTTAACGGACTTCTGTAAACTTGAGTAGAGCTGTTTGGGATTGGCCGGATTCCCAAACAACGTCAATACTAAGCCATTGTTTCGGGCTTCTTCTGTCGAAGTGGACTGCTTCTCCGACACCTCCGTGTCATTGCCTGGGGTTTCCGCTTTGATGCTGGCCGGGCTCACATGGGCTTGACGCACAAGACTGTTGAGTAACTTTTTGAAAGCAGCTATACGGTTGACTGTCTCTGTAAGCGGTGTGCCATCAGTTGGAGTACCGCTGGCTTGGGCCTTGTTCCTCTCAATCACTACCGCGGATGCCTTTTCGATATCGCTTAAGAACTCGGAAAGCGTGTTGTAACGGTCTGACACGACCCGACCTTGAATACTAGCCGCTTCATCCTTATCTCCAGAAATTTTTGCGCGTTTTGATCGGGGCTTTACGGGCGATGATGGTAGAGGGCAGGACAGTAGTTGGAGTTCGGTATCGTTTCTGGTCATGATTAGCCATCTCTGCTTATTGATCGATCCCTAGGCTTCGCGGAATTTCTTACTTGCTCAAGATATCAACTAGGTTACGCAATGTTTCATGCAGTTTTGTCCTTTCATCCAACAGCGACGAAGCGCTTGCCTCCTGGACGGCCTTGTCATCGTGACTAGAAACTCGCTTCCGCTTGCCTGGTGTCGCCAAGGTGGACGGATCAGGGGTTGCCGTAGAGCGTTCGCCGTTTGTGGCAGCCATATTTGCCCTTCCACTGTCGTCTGCGCTCATTGCCTCGGAGACGCGCCGGGGGTGCGTGGTTTTGCCTGAAACGCGAGAGCAAGATCCCCTTCTATTCTTCAAAGGGGGGTTAAGCCAGCGCTGTCGAAAAAAGCAGGACGCGACAGTGCGCCTGAAATCGTACGGTAACTTAATAGGAGTGGAAGGGTAAAGAGCACCACCCAAGTATTTGAAATCGAAGTGCCAGAATTGCGATCGAGAGTCTTGATCTCCGAAGCGGATGCGCCAACGGTAGCTCAAGAGAGGGAACCGGTGCGCAATCGGAGAAAAGAACTTCACGAGGCGGAGAACTAACACAACAATAAAAGCAAATTGGCCCTACACAGAACGGGATTTGCTTTAGGAATTGAATTTCGCGCAACGGCGTGAAAAAGGGTCAAAAATCGCGTGTGGAGGGGACTCTGAGACAGACAAAGAGGGATCGATCGAACTGTTTCCTCGCCCGCGCCATGCCAAAAGCGCAACCCGTGACAGCATCGCACGTGACCAAGATTTTTCACTGGGTCCAGCGTCAGGTCCGGAAAGACAACAAGTGAAGACATCGCCGGCCAAGTCACTTTTCTCATGATTCCCACGCTGGATCCCTTATTTATGGATGTCATTGGCTTGGAATCATGCTCCACACCGCTCCATGGTCGTGTCTTTGAGAGCGGCGCATTTCAGCAGCCGTTCGCTCCGAAAGGTAGCTATCCAAGTCAAAGCTATTGTCCAGCAGTGCTAACGTACGGTCTTTTTGTCTGGTCAGCATTGCTCGTATAGCACGTCTTTTCGTCCAATATATGCGAAATCCTTGGATTCGTCCACCGATGCTTTCCTCAGTCCGTCAAGTCCGACCCAACGAGATGCAGTTATACACGGGGGAGGCGATTGGGCGCACCCATCATCTTGCGAATATTGGTGCACCTCGCGGCTCATCCAGTCTCGTCTGAATCAACAATCATCTACTTTGGCCAAGGTTCCAGAACCGTGGGCTCCTGTTTACGAGCGCGAAGGGGAACTTCATGATGCAGACCCAAGCCCCACGAAGGCTTCGCAATCTCAGCGAGCCAATCGCCGAAATTCAAAAAAGGATGGCTCTACCATTGACGGCTCAGGGGCGCCAACAAAAATGCTATCCCGAATCCAGGGACCATCACATTACTTGATTGACACCATTCAGAATCGGGCGCTCTCCTCCACCAACCCGGATGACTGTAATTGGACTTTTTCTGGACAGTCTCGAACCCCTTTAAGAGCCCCTTTGACATGGCCTCAACGACGTATTATGCAGCGCACGCAAGAAACTTCCTTGCAAAAGATTACTGCGGATTACATCGACTCGGTTGAACCTGTGTTACGGGGTCGGAACAACGCAAGAACTTTTGGCCCTTCTCTTCCTGCATTGGAACTCGATTACAATCTGCAAAGTATGCTTCGTGGCAACTACATTGATTACTTAACGGCCCGGAAGTATAACTTCACTGATGTGATGGCATGGGCTTGGGTACTCACAAGTAATACTACTTACGAGGCCACTCTTCGTATTTACCTTCTGGAAGCAGACTGGGGAGACAAGGCAACCGCTTCTTGCGCAAGCGTTCCCACCTTTATCCCACTTTTGCTCCTCCTACAGGAAATCGACTTAAAGACGTTTCGCTTACTCCTAGTATACTGTCTGCACATTGTCGCCGGGCGACCGGTTCCTCATCTCGATCACTCTTTTCATCCTATATCGAACCATGCGATATCTACACATCTACACAACCTTGCCCACACAAAATTAATACCTTCGGTGGATCATAGCACATGTGCAAAATTCGTCGTCCGCTTGCTTTCTCACGCGCGACGGTTGTGGCCGGAAGCACAGCTTCCCATTGCCCAGGCATTCGCATTTCATTTGCGCACTACTCAATCTAAGGGGACTAGCTTCGTGACGAAGAAGCTCAATAAATTCATACGGTTGCTTTCTTTGCCTTCTGGCCCTCGCCCGTTTGTTACGGCCTCCATACAACAACAAGCCCAGTTTGAGTTGTTAAAAGCCGTGGCAGACAAGTATACCGTCTCACCTATCACACGGCGAGGATACCAGGGTTTAGCTTCTGTTCAGCTAGCTCATAAAAAGACTGCGGCCGAACGCGAGTCTGCAGAACTGAAGACGCCATCATGGCCGCCATGGAAAGAAGAAAGATCGGGAATTGACTCCGATAAAGGCATGGAGGGAATGCGAAGCCGCGCGATACGTGTGATCTCACAAATGAGGGAAGCGGGGTACCCTTATTCTCTGTGGGAAGAGGTCTCGGGTATCTTGGCTGGTTGGGATACGGACAACAGTCCTACGATACAGACCAGAACACTGGCGCGGCCCCCGGAGCATTTACGGGGGAAGTCTGGGAACCAAGGCCACCATGCAATTTGGGAGGCGCGAATCCGTGCCACAAGGACAGTTCGGGAGGCTTGGGCATGCTTTACGACTTATGAAAGCTGGGGTCATGCGCCCCATGCCTCTGTTTATGTTGCAATGGGCGAGAAGCTCGTTTTCGAAACCAAAGCAGCAAGGCGGAAGAGTGATCAGTCTAAGTTTGTATTGCCTGGCGATGGCCCGGAAGTTTTCCCAGAACCTGCCTCTGCGCGGGACTGGATCTATACTCCCACCGAACCACCGACCTTGAGTGCGTTTCTCAAAACAATGCTTTCACAAGGTTTCCGCCCATCTGGTAGATTCCTGGCTTTACTTCTACATAACGCCCCGACCTTCCACGTGGGGTTGGATTGCCTTAACTGCAGCGATCTGACCAATCAACAACTAAGGGTGTTGTTCAGCTTTGGCAACGAGGTTCCCGACAATGACACTGAAGCGCAAAGGGCGCTAGATGAGCTGCCCGAATATATTTTCTCTGCTTTCATTCGATTCTTGTGCAGGTTCTCTACTGTCACCAGACAGTCTCCAAGAATTGACGACATCACCACAGCAGATGCTTTCCCCATAATCACGAATAATTGGCCAATGTGCCCTCCACATATTCCCACTCTCTTTGCGTACACCGACAAACATCGGCATCGGCGGAAGGCTTGGTATTCGAAACTTCTCTCCCATGCGATACGGCTGTTGCAAAAGCGAAATTCGTCGAATCCCCAAGGATGGGTGCAGCTCTTAGCAGGCCTTCGCTCGACGCGCATTCTCGGTGGCTCATCTAATATCAACCGCAATACTCAGATCGTTCTTGCCTGGCATGAAGTTTTGGTGGTTTTGAAGTGGCTGGATGAGCGCAACATTGAGATAGGATCTGAGGGGTTTCAGATCCTATGTACCAGTTTCTCGAAAGCTGTGGTTGCCGGAGTTAAAGATCAATATTCCGCGGAAAGGGGCATGGAAATACTGGCCACAGCTGCGCAGGGAAGCGGTTTGCATCCTGAACTTGTTCCTCCAAGCTTCGAGGATATGGTTGAACACGGTCTGAAAACGCTGAAAAGCCAGTTTGATCGGCTTGTCCTTCTGGACCCAAAGACGTCTCCCTTGTTCGAATCCCTCAGGTTATCTCTGGATGAACAAACCGAATCACAGGTGTCCGTGCCTAATTTAGCCCACGTTCCCTCTCCGCCCGTACTCCATGCGTTTGTCAGGTCTCTAGGGTTAGCCGAAGACTCGGAAGGTCTATTAAACCTTCTTCGGTGGATGAGCCAGCATTCATTGGCCCTCAAGCAGATGGCTGACGAGTATTCAAATGGTGGTATAATAATGCGACGCACTATAGTCGCAGTGCGCATGTTCCTCGAGGGATACTGGGGAAGACAGCCGGCGCAATATCAGTCTGGATTTACGGACCATGTCACCCCGAGCGAATTCAACATGCCGACATTCTCGGATCCGACCCTTCAAGAGGCATATGATATCGTTGCGACAACGGAACTCTGGGGTCCTTGGCCAAGCGATGACGAAGTTTGGGATTACCTTGCTCATATGGAGCAGTAAGCCTTGACATGGTTAGGGCGAATTTTTCACTTCGTTTAATGTACAAATAGCTAGATTTTGTAAGATAAAGGTCACACAAAACGAATAATGATACCCATATAGTGAGAATAAAGAAGACTACTAGAATACCCGCGCTTATTATCGGCTGAAGTTCCCCGCAGCGCCGCAGCTCGGTTTCCCCACAGCCTTCCGAACGTGACGGAGCTCCATCTTTTTACCTTGCACGAACCTGCTTCAACAGTCAAGCCGCATTCTCGAAATAACAATCGACTACGGGACGTGACGAATTGGTACAGTCGCCTGCTTGTTGAATTAGCTAGTGACCATCCTACGATTGACCATGCCTCCACGTCTTACGCGCTTCGCAGCGCTTCCAGTCCGAGCTCCCCCGACCGTCTCGCTGCGCGTGAAAGTCGCCAGATACAGCACCGCTCCCGAAGATGCCGTGATCCAAACCCAATATGTCCCTGCGCCTGGATCTGGGAATATTCGTGTTCTCCTTCTGAACAGACCTAATGCTCGAAATGCACTGTCTAGGAACCTCCTGACCTCGCTGGCCCAACATGTGCAGTCGATCTCCTCTGAAGGCGGCAACGGGCCGACCAGAGCTCTGGTTATCGGCAGCAATACTGACACAGCCTTTTGCGCGGGTGCTGACTTGAAAGAGAGATTACATATGTCGAAGGATGAGTGCGTGCTCTATAGTTTCTCTGCGAGTTGCCGCGACATCAGAAGCAGGGCTAATCAATTGACTCGAGCAGGACGAACGCATTTTTGGCAAAGTTGAGAGGCACATTCCGCGACCTTGCAGCTCTCCAAGTCCCTACGGTCTCCGCCCTCTCTTCAACGGCGCTAGGAGGCGGCCTCGAGCTCGCTCTCTGCACACATTTCCGAGTCTTTGGGTCGAACAGCACCGTCGGCCTTCCCGAGACAAAGCTCGCAATCATCCCAGGCGCAGGCGGCACATATCGACTTCCCTCGATTATCGGTGTGAACCGTGCTCGAGACCTCATTCTCACTGGACGCCGTGTTGCCGCGCCTGAAGCCTACTTCATGGGACTCTGCGATCGACTGATTCAGATACTTCCCGAGGAGGAGAAGAAGGAGGGTGGCGCGCGTGATAAGGTGCTACGTGAGAGTATCAAGCTTGCTATGGATATCTGTGATGGCGGTCCCATCGCTATCAAGCAGGCGCTCAGTGCGGTGAACGGGTTCGAGAAGGGTGAGGTTGCAGAGAATGCGGCTTATGATGGCGTCGTTGAGACAGAGGACCGACGTGAAGCTCTTCTTGCATTCGCGGAGAAAAGAAAACCTGCGTTTCGAGGAAGGTAGGTGCGTAGGAAGTGATTGGGCGGATACTTGATCTCAGCTGTATGTATACCATCTCTTAGAAGTGCTTATACTGGAATAATGAGTCAATTTCCTGGGCATAAGAAATATTTCGGTTGAGGCATTTAACTTTCATGAGTTTAGGTTGTCATCATATCATCATATGAGCAAAACTCACTTTCGCTTGCACTGTGTTTGATGCCCATAAACGCACAGATTAAAATGAATCTTTGTGCCAGTTTTACGTATTGCAGAACTTCCATCTGCTAGCTATCAATCGCTCTTTCATCTGTTTCTAGCATCCATCCGCCCGTCCCTAAACACCTGCGCCTGACACTCACCCCCACCCATCATCCAGCATCCAAGATGTCACCAAGAAACCAAGCACGCAAACGCAAGCATTAGTACTCAGTCGATGATGGGTCAAAAGCAGTAGCAAGGCGGAAGATCAGAAAAGCCAGAGACAGCTCGGCTAGCTGCGACCATTTTGAGAGTTGAATGAAAAAATTACTAGCATCATCCTCGGTCTGCTTCCCACGGAAAGGGTGAGCAGAAATTGGAAAACGTCAATCAAAACTTGGATCGAAGTTTTTGGTATCCATACTCGCTTTCCACTGAGCTGGGAGCCCATATCTCTCCGAGATCCTGCCCACGCATCCAATGTCTCTCATTACGATATCTTCAAGCAGCGTGGTATTTATCTCCGGTGCTGTATTTTCCAATAAACGCAAGTACTGATGTGAGAAGCCCGCCGGGCATTTCTGGTACAGATCGGCCGTTCCATTAAACTGACCAAATTAGTGAAGGCTAGAACTTCTGCGGCAGGGGGAGACTACATTGCATGGTCAGCGACACCAGACAGGACAGGACCAAATTATATCTTCTGGCAGTATTTTCCACGGACAAAGTCAAGCTGTAAAACTTGGCCAGAGCGGATTTCTGCCAATCGTTTCCTCCGGGGGTCTATTGTTCTGGGCTTGTTCATAAATGAGGATGGGGATTTTCTTGTACATCTCCAGGTACGGGGGACAGGCGTGACTGATAGGTGAGGAAAGAGCCCTTCATTTCGACCTTTGTGATGGTACGGCTAAATGTGCGTTTGGCACGTTGTATACTCGACGATCGAGAAAAAAATTCTCTGGAGCGAACACTTCGATGGCCCCCGCACATCCAGGCGACCCATTCCGATTCTCCTTGGAAAAAGTTCAATTTATTGTAAGAAGGAGATGCAAGATGAATATACGATATCTGCGTACGACATTAGATCCGGCAAAGTTCTCTACGAGTCGCCTGAATATCCTCTATTTCCGATGCAGCGGACGAAACCACAGGCTCTCGGGACCCATGGGAATACGAGTGGATTGAAGATGGTACCAAACTTTGGAGGATGATGGGCGTAGTCGTTGGTATTATCTTGAAGCACTATTATTCAATGATCCGTGAACCATAACCTGGCATGCTATATGCAAGCTGCACGATAGCCCTAGGTCACGTGCACTTATTGTGATGAGATGAGATTGGCAGATTCGACCGGGTGGTTTCACGGGAAGTCCGGGCATAATGGTTTCAATGCTGTGAATCGTCTGTCTGCTATGGAGAGGTCCTGAGTAGGCAATAAGTTAGGTTGGTATGGCGACAGATAACGACTTTTCTAGCTGGCTGTATACTTCATAAGCCCGGGCATCAGCTGCTCCGCAACTTGTAGATATCAAATGCTGTCAGTATCGCTTTATGCTGGCTTTCCGATATCCAGTTCAGTCTTATACCACCACAGATCCCCTGCCGCACTTCCGTCTCCGTTGCCCACAAGTAAGCCTGGTGCTCCTTTGGGTCCAGCTTGATCTCCGTGCTCCTGGTAATGCCATCGACGTCGATGAGAAATACGAAGATCCTCCAAAGTTTGGTACCATCTTCAATCCACTCGTATTCCCCGATCATGTCACCGACACGAGATGCGACAAGGCCGACCTCCTCGCGGAGTTCGCGGACGGCACATTGGACGCCTGTTTCGTCGGCGTCGGCGGTGCCACCGGGAGTTTCCCAGAGATTGGGCTCGTCGTCGTCGGCAGCGCGCTGGACTAGCAAAACCTGGTTGTCGTGGATGATGATCGCTGAGCTGACAACGCCGAAGATGTTTGGTCGTTGAGCAAGGTATGTTTTTATTGGAATTTCCCAGGGATTGGGTGACTTGGCCATGATGGGTTGTGTGGGTAGCATGGATGCTAATAGCTGGGCGCAGAGACAAACGTTAAGTAAAAGGCTGAGCGGTCAGCGGAAGAGCGTGCTCCAAGAGGTTTCCATATCGCAGGCGAGAGAACGGGCGATCGACAGACCTCGAAGTATACTCTGAGAAGAGCACTGGTGGCCCTGCGTCCTGGCAGGGGATGATTGGTGCCTGGAGAGGCAGACACTGGATCCTGGTGGATTGCCCGGTCCGATCCAGGCGCGGGCGCTGGATCCTTGGTTTGCTGCAGGAGATTCCGGAAATGCGATCGGTGATTTGCTGCGAGCTGCTGCTTTGTATAGATCGGGGCGCGGTCAGCATCACTGGGCCGTCTGAGGTAACTGGTTGCGTGGCACAGCGTCGACATTCCCGCTGCCTGCAGACTGCTGCATGTCATTATTCCCCATTGTTGCTGCGATCGGGCGGGTGCCACAGCCCGCAAGGCTTAAACCGAAATAACAGCGAGTTACAACTTCCTCGCACTGCGCCCTGTGAGTCAGGGCCCCACGAGTCATCCACGGGGCTGCAGACAAACCATGGAGCCTGGTGAGATCACCAAAGGGGCCGGCCGCGCCTGACTGGTGACCTTGAAGGTCATGCTGCACCTTCACGCTGTCGCCAGATTTCACTGCACGCTTGTGGCAATAGTTGCGTCCTCCAGGAGAGCCGCACAGCACAGACTGTCATTCGCCTCACGACACGAGGTGATCAACGACGACTAATTCCACAGCCTGCCGATCCGCGGGGAGCTGCATCTCTGCATCTCTGCATCTCTGCATCTCTCTCTCCATCCTCCATCTCCCCATATAACTGGCTCCCCATCCCAGGAACCTCTCCAAGCTCCGACCTCCTTTTTCCTGCAACCCCCTATACCACTTTTCCGCTTTCCAGCCATCTATGCCCGGGCTCGAGTAAACCACAACCTTTCCAGGCCACTGCCTATCTCAGTTTTCCTGCGATGGACCTCGCAGCGCGCATTAGGCAGTACGGCCTGAATGTCGTCTACCAGGCGCCAAACCCTGCCGTCGATATCGTCTTCGTCCACGGACTCAACGGCCATCCCCATCGCACCTGGACCTCGTCCAAAACAGACACTTTCTGGCCGGCCGATCTGCTGCCTGATGTTGTTAGCCAGACCCCCGTCAGGATTCTGTCCTACGGGTATAACGCGAATGTCACCTCGTTTACGGACGGTGCGTCCAAGGATCGTATCCTAAACCACTCTGAAACTCTTGCGGCAAGCCTTGCCGCGAATAGAGAGGTACGTGTCTTCACTTCGTGTCTGTTGTACTCTGTGTTCGTGTTTTTATCATTGCTTTTGCTGGGGCTTTGTGTCCTCTCCAATCGTCCCCATTTTACAGCTTCGAGTAACTTCCTCGATCCGTTATCGACTCCCCATCATTTGTTCCGTTCCAGCGATGATTCCATGTGTTTCATTTGTTCGTGTTTTAGCTGAACGCATTTTGCCCTTCGTATAATCACCCTGTTGTGTGACTGTGCTGTTTCCGTTGTTTTGCTTTGGTGGCTTCCTTGTCGCCCCAGCCTTGTCCAATATGTGGCGCTTCTTTCTCTAGATAGACCGCTGACAAGTACCCTGCTCAGATGAAAAACTGCTCTGAACGGCCAATCATCTTCGTTTGCCACTCGTTGGGTGGTTTGGTCGTGAAGCGCGCCCTAATTTACTCTCGAAGTCTTTCCAACGAAAAGGTCGAGTACCTCCGCTCGATCTATGTGTCGACCTATGGCATTTTGTTCCTAGGAACTCCGCACAACGGGTCCGAAGTTGCAAAATGGGGCCTGCTTCTGCAGAATATCTGCTCTGCAGTGCTTCCTAGGAAGTTCATGGATTCTTCGCCTCACCTCGTCAAGGCTCTCAAGACTAATAACGAGACTCTGCAAAACATTAACAGTCTCTTTACTGACATGATGCCCCGCTTCCGCATCTATTTCTTCCACGAGACTCTTCCTACTGATGTCAAGGGGACCAAAGAGCTGATTGTAGATGAGAGCTCGGCAGCACCTTATGCGGACGGCGCCGAGAGGATGGGAATCGAAGCCGACCACAGTCATATGTGCAAGTTTGATGACGATGCCTCTCCTGGCTACGAGACCGTTGCAGTGTCTATTTTACGATACGCCCGTGAGGCACCTGCTACAATCCAGGAAAGGTGGCGTGAAGAGGACAAAACTCGAATGATCATCAAGACTCAGAAGGCAAGAGAAATATTCGGTGACATTCCTGCACCTACCGGAGGGTCAGATCGTCAAGGTGGGGATAGGTCTCTTGGGGGACAAGGCCCTAGTGACGCTCATACGGGTACGACTCTCCAGTCCCCTGGTACTCCACGTTCTATTACTATGAGGGAGCATGAGATCGAGGAACCTGTGGACTCTGAATCCGCATTTACCTTTAACCACCCTCGTTGATTTATGTTCGCAATGTTTGTTCAGTTATTTCCCTCGACTTTTGTGATTCCACATCGTGCACATATAGGTTTCAGCTGTACCTCTGATGCGGTGTAGTTGTTCCTCTGTGGCTGTCCGCTGGTTATCGTTCTTTCCTGTTCCATTTGAAAGTGATAATTCTTTCACGATCTTACATGTACCCTAGCTTCAATGCTTAACAAAGTTCTTGTGCTGACTTTGGTTTCCTCTTAGTTAATCCACCTGTACAACCCCCGTATTTACCGGCCCCGGAAAAGAAGTCCTATCCAACATCCATGGAAAACAGTATGGAGCTGGCACTTTCTCACTCGCTGCACAAGGAGCCGGTATGGGTGGCACCCCCCGGGTTCCACCGCAATGCAGTGTTTTTTGGTATGGAGCGAGAACTGGAAATCCTACACACAAGGCTTTTCAAGGCAAAGAAACGGTCCGAAAATCTGATGGCAGTGCTGATATCTGGGGTTCCGGGGTCGGGAAAATCGCATCTTGCGCGCCAATACGTTTGGAATCATCGCGACGATTACCCAGGTGGTATATTTTGGGTCGATGCGAAGAGTCGCCAGTCCACATTCAAGTGTTTCTGGGATATTGCTCAAGCAGCTACCCTGACCGACGGCCAAGAGTTTCAGAGCTCCGACACCAAGTCGTCTAGTAGGTATGTTGAGGCAGTCCGCCACTGGCTGCAGTCGCGGCAGGAATGGCTCCTCGTTTTCGATGGAGTGAGCTTTGGACGCGATGAGGACATCAATGACTTCAAGCAGTTCCTTCCGTTCAAGGAGAGATGCGGCATCATTTATACCTCAGTTGACAGGACTCTACGGAAGAAACAACGTTTATACGAACCATACCCCCTTTCAGTGAATCCACTGGAAGTTGAAGATGCATGCAAGCTTCTCTTCAAGGACCTCGGCATTAAACGGCCCACCAAGGACCAAGCTCGCAAGGCAACAGAAGTGGTAATCCACTACGAATGTCTGCCCTTGGCTATCCATGCCATCAGCCACCGACTGAGTGCAACGGGAAAGCCAATTGAGAAGTACCATATCCACTCGCACCTCACGGACGAGAAGCTTGCCGAACCATTTCTAAGCATCATGCATGACCTATATCACGGCGGACATTTTGAGGCACTCAACCTCATTAACCTTTTGTCGTTCCTCGGCCACCATGTCCCCGTTGGATTGATAACACTGGGCAAGTCGTTCTTGCACGCTTGGAACATTGATGTCTTTACAAGTAGCCGGCAAGGTGACCATGGAGACCTTGACACGACCCTGGGGATTTTGATCCGTTACGGGCTTATTGAGAGGACTTCGGACATGTATCCATTACTTCAAACACCTTCATCGCCACTATCCGAGAAATATCCAGTGGACTTGAAGGCCGTCATTCCCGACTTGTCGGAATCTCAGACTGAGAGCAGCAGCCAGGAGGGATTTTTCGCTACATTCCAAAACTCCGGCGTTTCTGATGTCGTCAAGATCCACAGCGTAGTCCAAGGCTTCTGCCGTGACGAGCTCAAAATCATTGATAAAGAGATCAAAGCCGCTGCGGGATTCCACAATGGACACGACGCCGAACAAAGCACTGGATATTACGACTCCTGGCTGGTTGTTGCTACCAACGTCCTTTGCACATCGTTTGAGTGCGCCAAAAGCCGCATGGACCGTGTTGATGACTGCGGCTCGGTCAAAGACTATCGCGAATACGAAACTCATGTATCGCAGCTAATGAAGAATTATCCCAAGCGAACCGCCGATAGCAAAGTCAGGGACGCACAGAAGCAGTTGAAGGAAGTCTTGAAGATTATCCGTAGCGAGATTGTCCGGCTTTCCCCAAGTTCTTCACAGGAATCTATTCGCAAGCATCGCTCTGTCTTTGACCGATCGAGCAGCTCGTCGTCTTTTCCAGATTCAACAGTTGATGACGCGCCGTCTCGTCAATTGACCCTGGATTTCAGTGAAATCGTACCTGTGAGATCGGAATCGCCCCAGGAGGCCCGGATGTCGCCTCCACAAGTTAACCTAGGCCCTATCATTCCTCATATTTTCAGAAACTCGAGCAGCCAGATCAAAGAAGATTTCCTGAAAGAAGAGGCACTCTTGAAGAATGGATACATGACCGATGACGAGTCCACCAGGGCCAGGTCTCCGGCCATGTCGCAAATGAGCCACTCAACCGAGCGGCCAAAACCATCGCAGTCTGCTAGTCCTCGCCCACACACCGACGACGAGGGATGGCACGTTGTCCATAATCCTTCCAAGACTAAACCAACCGCGAAATCAAAGGTGCCGAGGTCGCTACAAAAGCACAAGAGGGGCCTGAAATTTCCTCGTGGGATTGGAAATTCTAAACCTGCGGATCCGGTTCTTCAAAAGACACCTGCGCAGTGGAGGAGCGTATCAGGTGGTAGCGACCCTCTGAGTGAGCTCAGCCCCCATAGGACAGCGTCCGAAGCCCTAAACGCTGTCAATAAAGCAAACAGCCCGATCCAGCCGAGGGGATATGGGTTTGGAGAAACTATACCACAGGGAAAGAAGGAGAATGCACCTACTTATGCATACGTTGCGTCGAAGCTAGCTGGTGAGCCCTTGCCCTCGACAATGAACCAGCGGTCTTCTTCCTCGCCCGGTGCAAGACAACGCCCGGTTTTCTCGATGCTTCAGAGCAGGGCCTCGGATGAATCTCTGTCGAGCAATCCAGCATTCTCGGCAATGTCCGCCGAACCGATGGCCCAGTCAACATACAGCGAGCCGGACCACGGACTCATGCAACAAATGAATGCTGTAGACCTGAGCTCTCAATATTCCGGCATCCAGTTTGGTAGCAGGAAAGTGGTCCAGGCAGATCTCTCCGCAAGCACGCCAATCCTCGGAATTCCTTACGAGAGCAACATTGAAGTCAGTGCCCCTCGACGCCGTGTACAACGCGCTGCGACTCCGGCCTTCAGCAACAAGTCCTCAGCAAACATGAGTAACCCCCACCCTTCTGCAATCATGCCTGGAGCATCTCCTCCCTCGGACCATGCGCCTGAAATGATGTCGCGCAATCCCTCAGGTCAATCTCATCAATCCTACCATTCCTGGTCTACCGAGCCGACGACCCTTCGGTATCCGACACGCATCTCACCACTCCCTTCAAACTTAGCCGCAGCCGCTGCCCCTGGCCCAGGACCAACAGCGGGGGTGTCGTACCAGGTCGTGCAGAATACGGAGCATCAAATCCTGTCAGGAGCTGGAAGTTGGGTCTCAGATTCGGAGATAAGGCCGACTGTACAGCGACAGTATCCCAATCCGAGTGATAACTCATATGCCGCCGTCGCGCAACGACAATTCAAGCCTCCACCAAACCCACACGCTGCAGTGCCCGATGCAATCTGGGGTACACCAGTGCCCGCCTCGCAGCCTCCAGCTCTCCACTTCGGGGCACACAGGGTTGACATTGAGGCTGCACGTCAGAGGCAGTATCAGTTGCAGGCGGCACATTCGCAACATCACCCTTATATTCATGATAATCGTTCTGGGCCGCTGTTCACGATGCCACCACAGCAAGCAGAGGCCGCATACACCCAGGGATACCTGATGAGCGGCGATAACCGAGTGCGGGCGAGGAGCGGGAGCACGCCTTCCACCCAGTACCCTGGGCTTGGATTGGACTATTGACAATCAACAATCACATTACGCAAGGAATACCTTGCAGCTGGCGACTTGGAAGAGGGGAAATGAACAAAAAGAAAACAAAACACAGAAAATAACGAAGGAAAACGAAAAGAAAAAAAAGGATAGATATGGACGGAGCATATGGAAGGTCAGGTTCGTTGCATACTCGAGGTGTTGGATTCGATGCATATTTTGTTTTTGCATACTTAACGGACAGGATACCCGGACATACACCATGCGCAGGGCATATTTTGCATTGCATTGCATTTGTATGGCGATTAATACAGTAGCTGGGATGGAGGATTCTTCATACAAAGGTCATTATTGACGGTGACATAGTACAGGCGTTGTACGTTGTATCTTCGGGTGTTTTTAGGAAGGTTTCATCCATTGTTTGAGTCTATACCATTTTTTCGGGGTTCAAAGTGCATTTTCTCAGGTCGACGGAATTTCTTGCATTTCTAGAATACCAACACTACTGTTCAATTGTTGACATGAATGACATTTAATTACGGAATTGGAAATCTAAGAATCCGGTCCCATAACCTGGTGTGGTGAGGTAGTTTCCTTGTCTGTAGTTGGTTTGCGCCGACGTCACACTGACATGAGCTCCGTATGTATGACATCAACTAAGGTCAAGCAACAACCATGACCACAGCATAGAATCACAGTGGGAAACTTATATATAGACGAGGCAAGAACTAAAATTCCTGAACTCTATGCTATATGTCATTCAAGCTCAAACTCAACGAACTATTCCTGTGCAACATCAATATAAACACCAGATCGACAATGTCTTTCATCGCCCGCCTCACAACGACTGCCCGCACTGCCGCCCCGTCGGCCAGACTTACCACAAACACAATCACACCATCTCTCGCAGTTTCAGGGCAGAGACTCGTCTCGTCGACGACCCCGCGCGACAGCGGTCCCGTCGATGCCACAAAAGAGACCCTCAAGAAGGCCGATAGGAAGGTTTCGGATGCTGCTGTGAAGGGTATCGAGACTGGTGGTATGTTTTCCTTTTTCTTTTCTCCTTTCCAGTTCTTGTGCTGTGCTTTAAGGTGGACAATTACTGATTGCTTTTGTTGTAGAGGCCGCCGCGAAGAAGGTTAAGGATTCTGTTGGATCGGGCAGTGCCAAGGGCGAGGCGGAGAGGAAGGCTGGCGAGTTGAAGGGTGAGGCTGCGGAGTTGGCTGGAAAAGGGAAGGGTAAGGCTGAGGAGGTCGCTGGTGAGGCGAAGGGGAAGGTTAAGGAGGCTGCAAAAGAATTCAAGTCATAAAAAGGCTGAGTCTCGCTTGAGAGATTGAATTTGAGCGTTGTTGTCTGTCCGTCCTTGAGAAAAAGGCGTTGACGCTTGTCATTGTACCGTAGTAGTAATTTTCAATATTGATTCAAATCATTGATATGTGACCATATTGCGATCGCCGACTATTAATCAGGCTGCGTGAGCATAAGGACGTATTCGCGAGAACTGTTTCCAAACTGTAGCATATCCTTATCCCGCAGCTCGATGTATCGTCCACCAGGGATCACATCCCCGTTAACTTTTGAGCCATTGGCGCTCTCCAGATCAATCGCGTACGGTTTGACCTTGCCAATGCGATCACCAAACTCGTTCCTCTTCTCGACATGCCGGAACTGGATCGCCGCATGCTGTTTCGAACAACTCGGATGATCAAGCGGAAAGTCCACAACCAGTCGTTCGCGACCGATAAGCCAGCAACTCCGCTCATTCAGTTCCACCATTTCCAGCAAGTCCTTGCCCTTGAAGACGTAGAGCCGCCAGGACTCCTTCGCCGGTGGCTTTCGCGCTTCCACCGGTTCATGGTATTTAAGCACGACTGCGTCCCCGTTGACATTGACCGTGTTGCTTTCGGCGGCTAGGCGCCCTGTGTTACCGAAGTTGGGCTTCTCCTTATCTGGGGGCGGGGCGTCGCCCTCGCCCGAAGCTTCATTCTTGTATGCGTCTTGTTGAGAGGGCAGCGGTGCTTTTGAGCGAGCCGGGGCGCGCGAAGACGGCGTCCCAGACCGCCTGTCTGGTGACCGTGACCTTGAATAACTCCGATGCCTCCGCGAGGATCTCTCTTTGTGACCGTGCTCTCGATCACCGTGTCTGCGATGTGAGCGTTCTCGTTCTGTGGGGGAACGGTGTCTGCGTCTTCGTCGGTCGTCATCTAGGCCCTCTCCCCGCTCAGAGCGCTCAGGATGGCGGCGTTCATATTCTTTTCGGTGGCTTGTCCGGCTGGAGGGACTGCGCGATGACCTCCGTCTGGGACTGTCTTTTCCAGAGCTGCGATGGTGTCTTCGTGAGCTGCTGTCGTAATCGTCGTCGTCGCGACGCCGCCGCCGGTCACGGTCGCGATCGGGACTTCGAGAATCGGGTGACCGTCGCCGCCTGCGGTCTGAGTAGTCGTCTTCCCGTGGAGTAGGCATGATTTTGTACAGCGAGCGTTGTTGTGTTACGAGCGGGAGCAATAACGAACATAAAAAGACGGAGCTTTGCTGGTGCACGTGATGAGCTCCGCCCCCGGATGGTCGGAGCTGCTGCGGCGAAAACAGCCCACCACTATCTCACTCCATGCATCCAAGGCACGACCGGAGAAGTTCAGTCTACTTCTCCCTTAGAATCATGCGGAATGCTCAAGAAGTCCAAGATTATAACCTATAACGGGTTGCTGCAGCTAGGCCAGTCCTATCCAGCTCCGTCACCGCAGTCTTATGCGCACCACACCCAGCGGCTCTATGCCACAGCCCATGGCGAGTTCTCAGAAAGAGACCTCTCATGGCCGTCGACGCCCTCATTTACTCCATATGATATATTCGGCATATCCCGGGCCGCACCGTACTCGAAACATCGTTTCTACGAACTAGCCAAGGTCTACCACCCTGATCGCCCCTGCAACGGCCACCCATTATGCAAGGACATCTCTCCCGAAGTGAGGCTACAACGGTACCGCATCGTCGTTACAGCCCATGAAATCCTCTCAGACCCGGGTAGACGCGCAGCCTATGATCGGACGGGGATGGGTTGGAGCTTTAACCCTGTAGCCACGCACCGGCGCACCCCGACTGGATCCCCCGACTCTGACCCGATCTTCTCCAACGCAACCTGGGAGGACTGGGAGCGGTGGTATAACCGAAACGGACAGAAGCAGGAGACTGTTGTGGACCATTCGACCTTCGTTACATTTGTTGTCCTTCTCTTCTTCATGGGAGCTGCCGTGCAGGCCTCGTGGATCACTCAGGTCAGCACCGGGTATGAGGATCGACTACGGGATCTCAACGAACAGTCGACGCGGTTTTTGAATGAGCGCCGCACCAACACGGTTAATCAGATGGCGGGCTCTGATGCGAAGGTGCAGCATTTCCTGATTCGGAGGGATCCGTCGGGGTATGGGTTGAAGGAGGAAGAGCAGCCTGTCTATCATAACGTACTTAAGCAACGAAATGGCTCTTCGTCTGAAGAGGGTAGCGCCGAGAAGGATGGCCAACCAAAAAAAAGTGAAGTTGACCAAGCTCGTGGAGGTTGAGGCGGGTCCTTGATCTTCGCGTGCGATATGACCAGAAGTATTTCATCTAGTTCTCATTTCAACCAATATTCGGCATTGACTGGATAATATATACACCGTACAATAAACATCAAACTGGACATCTACACTCTAGCGCCAATTTAGTCGTAAGTAGCCGGTGTACCCAAATGGTCGGGTTGTCCGAGCCGCCAGGAAATAGAACAGAACTTGGCGACAACATTCCAAACAAATGGGAAGCCCGGGATTTATTTCACCAGAGCCTTATTCTCGTGAAAGTTCATTCGAGCTTGATAAGCCCGTAACGGGTTATCCGACCTCCGGATATCCCAGGCTGACCTCCATCGACTCTAAACCCGGACGGTTCAAATACTCTTCTTGAACGAATGGGTTGCATGATTTCATAGGTTCCTACTTGATATATCTCAAACTAGTCATGGGATCTCCGCATAGGCATCCCCGTGGGGAAGCCTTTCTTTAAGAGCTCCTCATCACCCCGCAGAACTTTACAGAATCAAGCATTAACTCCTTTATGCGAGCAGCTGCCCAACAATCAAGATCCAAGGACTTGGTCTCAGGCATTATGGCAGACAAAGATCACGATGCCATAACCGCTCACATCGAAAAGGCCCTGAACAGCACCGACGACGCTGCCGAGCGAGGCCGTCTCATCCAAGAAGAGGAGCGCCAGCTGAGTCTCTGGGCTACAATAAAACTACATCCCCGTGCAGTGCTAGCCTGTATGGTCACTCCAAGATGTTTCCTGGGGCCCATTTTAACACTCAAATAGGTATCGTGGCATTCACGGCCGGCATGATGTTCGGTTATGATCAGATATGCAACGGCTCTACTATTGCGATGCCTTCGTTCCTTTTGTACTTTGGCAATACCGGGCCATCTGGGCTATATCTCCCCTCTGTATGGACCTCGCTGTGGACGTCGATGACATCCTTACTGCAGGCACTCGGGGCTATCTCTGTGGGAATGGTATCTGATAGATTTGGTCGAAAGTGGCCTGGGGTTATTGCTGGGATTATATCGCTTGCCGGGACTGCTGTTATCTATTACGCGAAGAGCAGAGGGGCCTTACTGGCAGGGAAGATGGTCTGCGGATTGGCTCTCGGAGCCGGGATGGCTATTGGAACGACATATGCGTCGGAGGTGAGTACAGGCCGTTCTGGATTGAATTGGGTCTCTAAATTCAGTGTCCAGGTTGCACCTCTGAAACTTCGCAGTCCTATTCAAACGGTTCTCGTGCTCTTTATTGTCTTCATGCAGGGGCTGGCACTTGGGGTTGTGAGGATCTTCGTCCCTAACATGGATGAACAGGCCTTCCGAAATGTTTTCGCTATACAGTGGGCTGTTGGGGGTATCTTTGCGATTGCCTGCTTTCTGGCCCCTGAGTAAGATACCTTGCATGAACGAACTGTAGAGATGTTGATTTGCTCTGTTTAGGTCTCCGATCTTTCTCATAAATGCCGGCCGCACAGACGAAGCAAAGAAAGTTATGGAGAAGCTCTACGGCTCCAGATTCAGCATCGATGACCGACTTGCATACCTAGTCAAGACAATCTCCGAAGAACAGGAACAGCAGAGAGTCTCTGCAGGCTCGTACCTGGACTGCTTCAAAGGGACCAACCTCAAGCGAACCCTCACCGTGATGTTCCTCTACAGCACCGCGAACCTCGGTGGTGCTGCCTTTCTCTCGCAGTCAATTTACTTTCTCCTTACGCTTGGACTGCCCGCTGTGCACGTATTCGATATCTCCATCGGAGGCTTTGCGCTGGCTATTATCATTATCATTTTGACCGGTGTCGTAGGCAAGTTCCTAAGTAGACGGACTATGCTCCTCGCTGGGTGTCTGATAAACCTCGTCTTCCTCCTCGTTATTGGCTGTCTCTACTACGCTCCGGGCATGGACCCAGCCTGGGCCGTAGCAGTCTTAATGTCCGTCTTACCTCACCCATTAACACAGTCTTAGCACTACTAATCCACGACCAGGAACATCCTCATCTCATTCCAAACCAGCCTAATGCAAGCCGTCGGCTGGCCCATCGCGGCCGAAATCTCCAGCTACCGACTCCGCATCAAGTCGCTGTCCATCGGCGTGTTCGCGCAGACGCTCTCGACCTGGGTGATGACCTTTACAGTGCCGTACATGTACAACGTGGACTCGGGGAACCTGGGCGCGCGCACCGCGTTCCCGTTTGCTGGGATTACGGTACTGCTGGTGCTCGGGGCTTACTTGCTTGTTCCCGATACGACGGGCTTGACGACGGAGGAGATTGATCGGTTGTATGAGGATAAGGTTTCTGTGAGGAGATTTGGGGGGTATGTGCGGGGGTAGTTCTTCTTGAACCAGGTTATATTAGAAATATTAGTTAAAGTGAAATGCTTATCACCTGAGACCGGCTTAGTTACCTTACGACTCAGCTACGTACTCGCAAGCCGTGTAGGTAGTGGATCCTCTTCAGCCGTCAACTCAGGCCGGCCGTTTTTAGGCCGTCTACATGACTCCTTAGTCCGCACTAAGAAACGCTTTTCCTTCTTTTCAGAGGACCTATTTGTCGACGGCTTGACTTGTAGGATTCTCAGTCATTGGCTTTCCCTAGCCCCGGGGGCCTGAACCGTAAATATGTAAACCATGTCCTCCTGGAATTGGATTATGAAAATGACTTCGATTCAACTGAACTGATTAACTATGTGTGATACACAGGAGGTTTATCCCCTTGCTAGGGACGTGGCGGAGTCGAGTCGGTGTGTTCTACTTCTCTTTCTCCTCAAGTGTATACTAACCCACTGGCTCTGAGCAGGCTTAACGAGCAACATAATTTTCTCGTCCACGTCACTGAAGGGCTAATCGACAGCTCCATACCACTAGAGAATATCACCACCGTTGCCGACGTCGGGACAGGAACCGGGTGCGTCTATCCTAACGATACCAAGAGCGTCCATATACTAACAGCATTCAGAATATGGCTATTCGACACCCAAACCCATCTAAACGCCAAAATCCCCAACTCTCCACCTCGCACTTTCCACGGTTTCGACATCTCCGACGCCCAGTTTCCCCATTCTACACCCGCGGGATTTGAACTCTCAGTCCAGGACGTCCTGAAACCGTTTCCGCCCGACCACCACAATCGCTACGACTTGGTGAATGTCAGGATGCTGGTCGCTGGGCTCGCGGAGAAGGAGTATGCGACTGCAGTAGAGAATCTAGTTGCTATTCTAAGTAAGCTTAAACCGCTATAGAGATACCTTATACTAACAATACGTATAGAACCTGGTGGATATTTGCAATGGGTAGACCTAGACTGCATCGCCGTTCCCAACTCGAAAGACACGCAAGACACCCGGGCCACGACCGTCGTATCTACATGGCTGAAATTCTTCGAGCTGAACAAACTCAGTATATCTGCACCAAGTACAGTAGTAGATGCATATAAGAAATCTGCATTACTGGATACCGTCAACACGTCGTTCCGACTAGACAATCGCGGGGAAGATCTGAAGGCCAGGGCATGCAAGTGGCAGCTGCAAGCTTTCTCGGCTGTTATACCGCCAGTTATGTTGGCGACGAGGAGAGCGAAGGATGCGGATGAGGCGAGGGAGAAGACGTACGAGGCGATTCGGGAGTTAGGGCTGTATTTTGAGGCCGGTGAGGTTGTAGGGCTTGCGTTTGGGAGGGTTGTTGGGAGGAAGGCTGGATAGATGTATCTATCCAGAGAGATCTACCTGCTGGTGTAGTACGCTGGACGAGAGAAGCAGTGATTCCGAAATGGGAAGGAGTGGTTCCTGAACGGGAAGGAGCTGGGCTGCGCCGCAGTGGCTGAAGACGTCAGCATGTCAGTCAGCCCCAGGCCGGTGATGAAGTCGTACAGTATTTCCCAAGCTCAAGCGTACGACAGTCGACGAATAATATTTGTCTCGGAAACAGTGGTCCTCGTGGTGAGGTGGATGCTATCAGCCCTTGGCACACCTGGATCGTTATACTGGTGCGTGTTGATCAAGCGGAGTAGCTGCATCGGGATGGGGGCATTGTGGTCTCTCTGGGGGAGAAGGGGCGGCGTGTGGAAACGAGGCAAGATGCAGTCTTGCGAGGGGTCTATCAAAAGGGGTTATTGTCGGAATTCTGCATATTTCAATAGACAATCAGAGTACCATTTCCCTGACTATGTCTTGTTCTCTGCCAGTACTCAAAACCCGTGAATGCGATTGGTATAGATGCTACTAGGAGAGCAACGATGCCCACCGTTGCTTCTGTGGAGAGAGGCATTGGGTAGTAAAGTGTTTTTATAAACAAATATTCTGACAGTAAAGAAAGCAAGAACTAGATACTTGATAATGCTGGGCTCCTTGGCGCCTTTTATTTATGACAAGCTGTAGAGAGCCTGAGCACTACAGAGGAGAGACAGAACAGAATTGCCGTTTTGGGAATGTTGTCGTCGATCGGAACAGGTCTATCCGAGCTTGCCCTGACAGCCAAGCCAATCTCATGGCAGTGAAAAGATCGAAAGATGTCATCGCCACGGCCGGTTGACGTCGGAAGTTTTGTTTTGAGGCGGTGCAATGAGTCTCCAATCACGGTCGGCGTCTAGTATGGCAGGCTGACGTGAAATGGAGCTCCTGGCTAGACTGTTCCAACCCGGAGGAAAGCTGCAACGAACGCCCAGACAGAGCCGGTGTACTGGCACTCTTTACTGAGGAATGCGACATGTCACCCCGCAGCCTCTTAGGGGGTTGTTGTAGCAGCCCTGCAGTCTTTCTGGAAATTCTAGCGACTTCGCATATTTCGAGATCTCGGATGGGGCATATACCTCTTGATGCCATCTATATTGTGGAGACACGTTCTTCACAAGATCGCCACCAGGCCAGGAACCACAGCGGAACCAGCCTCGGCTCCGTCGCAATTCTTCTCCGCACTCGCTTTTTTTAATCTCATCTCACCCACTTGAAGGTTAATTCCTTCGCTGGTCGTCTCTCCTTTTCTATACTCTTTCATCTATATTCTGCGTCCGGAAGTGGTACCGCCACCATGAGCGCCCTCGGCAGTCCCATCGCTCTACTCAAGGCGCTTTTACTGAGGGTCCCCCTCATCCTGCGGACCGTTCTCCTCCATGGCATCGGTCAGTCGCCTGGCTCAGGGAAGCAGGACTTCCGAACCGAATTGACTGTCGCTATTATCCGCTCCTTCATCACCGGCCGCGGCGTCCCCGTTGGCAAGCAGCAGAAAGGAAGCATGCGCGATCCGGGGATAAAGGGCCCATTATGGGTGTCAAAAGTGAGGATCCCGCAGCCGGAGTTGGATGTTCAGGACGCCGTCATCAAGGCGATTGAAGAGCTCAAAGAAGGAGGCGAGACATATGATATTCCCGGGGTTGGACCGGTCGAGGCTGAGTGGACAGGGTATCGCAAAGGCGTGGATAAGAATGCACCTGAGCCGGAGATGTCGGAGGAGCAGAAGTATGAGGCATTGAAGAAGGAGAATACTGTGGATATGGTTGTTCTGTACCTCCATGGAGGTGCATACTAGTAAGTTATACTCCCTTTCTCTTTCTATACACCTCTAACATGCTGCAGTCTCATGGACCCGTGCACCCACCGTCCAGCAACATCCCAGCTATCCAAGCGGACAAACTCCCCAGTCCTCTCAGTCCGCTATCGTCTCGCCCCCCAGAACCCATTCCCCGCTGCCCTTGTCGACGCCCTCGTCGCATACCTCTACCTCGTCTCTCCTCCCCCAGGATCCTTCCACGCCCCCGTCCCTCCCAACAAGATCATCATCGCCGGAGACTCAGCCGGCGCAAACCTCAGCACCGTCCTCCTCCAAACCCTCCTCACCCTCCAGCGCACCTCCACCACCATCCGCTTCCACAACCAAGACATCCCCATCACCGCACCCGCTGGCGTCGCCCTCTCCTCACCCTGGTGCGACATCTCACGATCCATGCCCTCCGTCGTCAAAAACGCCGCATACGACTACCTCCCACCACCAAACCCGGCCTCCCCAACCCCAGAACCATTCGCGCCACCCCCAGTCCCAGCAGACAACATCTGGCCCGCCTCCCCACCCCGCGTCGACTACTTCGTCAACGCCCCCACAGTCATCCACCCCCTCGTCTCCCCGCTCGCAGCCCCCTCCCACCTCTGGAAATCCAGCCCGCCCATCTTCATCTCCGTCGGCGAAGAAGGCCTCACCGACGAAAGCCTCATCCTCGCCCGACGCATGCACCAAGCCGGCGTCCCCGTCATCGCCGAACAGACCGAAGGCATGCCGCACTGTTTCGGACTAATGATGCCCGGCTCCGCGGCGGGTAAATCCTTCTACGACTCGCTGGGTGCGTTCTGTCGTGATGCTGTTGCGGGGAGGGCTGGTGAGCGCGCGAATGGGAAATTGAAGTTCATTGGCTTTACGGATAAATCGAGTAGGGAGATTCCGCTGGAGGAGGTTAGTCCGTTGTCGGATGGTGAGGTTGAGGCGTTGTTGCGGAAGGCGAGGGAGTGGAGGGTTCAGGGGGAGAAGGTTCTTATTTCGGAGTGGAGTGCTAATAAGGATCGGGCGAGGTTGTAAGCTTCTTTCCTCATACAAATAGTTACAGTACTTAGTGTACTTAGTATATATGTAGATACGTAAATTGAGTGAAGGGGTTTGCTTTATTAATATAATGGACTAGCGCGAGTTAAAAATATCGCCCCGGCCTAGGGCTTAGAGATATATATCAAGCTGCTATGATTTTATATCGGTTTTTATACGTGGTCCTAAGTTTGTCGCTATTATTAGACCCAAGCTCTGATTAGCTAAAATTAGCGTGAGATAAGCTTCAATATTAGCCTCTGTCTGTCCCACGCGGCCGTTGTACCCCATACAGTGAACACATCCGTGGATAATACGTGCTTAAATTTGAACTTTAACTTTATACTTATACTTCAAGTCGTGAGACGTGTGTCCATTGTGCAGCGTAAGAATATGGATATATAACTACCTAAACGCCGCCCGCTATTTACCATCCATGCCCACATGCAGCGAGCCGTTCCAACGCCACTATGCTAATTTGTTTCAAAAGTAAAGTTAAAGCAGTTAAGACATATAAAGACAAGGTTTGGGTATCTGTTTGTTCAGAGGAATTCATCCTCATCCATCGAGACGTCGTCCCAATTAAACGTATTACTATCAGAGCTCATAGCGGTGGGTAGGTCGATCGTGGGACCCGGATTCTGCGTTGTCTGTCCCCATGCCCAATGAGCCACTGACGGAATGAAATTCTTGCTGGACGGAGTTGCAGCTGGTGCGAAGCTGTCCATCATGTTGCCCTCGACACGGATCTTACCGGTCAGGTTGAGTGCCAGGGGTTCGTCATCCACGTACCCATCCGACAGTCCGAGTAGCTGTGTGAAGAGTCTAAAGAACGCGATAATTATTGCCCATAAAGGAATTAGGATATCCGACAGGTGCAACCAGCGCCATGTCATGGTCGGGATCACATATGGAAAACGAGGAGCATCCGGAAGTAGGCAGTTGCCTTCGCATGTGGACTCGACAATTGGGTGACAGTAATAATCACACATGGTAGATTCCGAAAAGTACCAACCAAGCGCGATGAGAATACACCATCCGAGGCGAGTTGGACGGACCCTCCACCAAGCGCTACCCCGATCCCATAAACGTGGTAGTGAGATGACACCCCGCGTATCGCCGTTCGTTTTGCACTCACAGCCTTGCCGTGTTTGGGCCGGCTTCGACCCGGCTGCCTTGACTGCGGGCTTGCTGAGGGAAGCGGTATAGGAATCGTTGTGGTGAGTTATTTGGTTCTCCAACTTGTTGAATCCCGATTTCACATAAGAAAAGCTCTCGCTCAATGACCGTAGCTTTCTTCCAAGACTTTCCGAGGCCTTCATGTCGGAAGAATCCTTTGAGTCGCTGAAGGTCTTGGACTTGAATGGTCGGATCGCTCGTTTCTCATGTGCCGCACCAACCCCCTCCTTAGTATTGTCCCCTGCCTCCTGTTCCGCAGGAGCCTTGGACTGGAAATTCTGGGCCACTAGCTGCTTATATGCCGCATCGTCCTCTTTCGGAATCTCTTTATCGTTACTTGACGACTGCTCGGAAAAGGCCCAGTTTTTAAACTCTCCGAGTACTTGCTCTTCATATGCTGCATCGTCCTCTTCCTGAGTTTTAGTGTCTTCACTTGGCTGCTGGTCTACAATTGCCTGAAGAGATTCGAGTGTATCGTCACCGGCATCCAAAGGGTTCCTGTTGTTTTTGTGGTCATCCAAGACGGTTTCCAGGGCACTCTTAGCGTGTTCAGGAAGAGGTAGTTTCATAGGCTTCTGAATTGCGTCTGGAGCTTGTGCTCTACGCCTGAGGATTTCCTGTGTCGTCTTCGTTTCCCCGCGCGCTTTGATCGGACTTTCTTTCGGCTGTTCTGTTCCTGGGTTCTGCTTGACCACTTCTTTCTCTTTGATCGGCTCGAAGTTCGGTTTGATATTGTCCATATCATCTTGATGATCCTCTGTCTTAACCGGCCTTGTTGATCCCCAAACACTACTAGGGTTAGGCCCTAGCGCGTTGATCACACTTGTATGCTGTGGTTCGGGAGCTCGCTGGCTCATGGGTGTATCGATCCATGCCCCTGTCACAACTGGTGTTTTGTCATAAACACGCCTCTCCGTTGACACCGCCGGTTGCTGAGGGGTCTGGACTGAATCGGTGGTTTGCTGGTTGGGACTGCCGGTTCGCGCAAGTTTTCGAAGTAGATCATGCGAATCTCGCTTTGTCGGGCTGCGTTTGGTGAACGTTGAACCTGGGAATATCGAAATAGGCGTATTTGGGATTCTCTGGCCGCCTTGGTGAGAATCTTCGCTGCGTCCAGGCGAACTTTGTACTTGAGGTGACCGATGACCATAACGTGGGATTTCCGGGCGTTCTTCCATCAGATGTCGATGTTCCGCAGTCTCTCGTTCAGCGCGCCTCGAGTCGATTTTATGCCACAATCTCGCAGAAGCCTCCTCGGGTTCCTCGTGATTCCGCGTTTTATCCCACAATCTGGTAGGAGTATCCTTGCTTTCATCTACGGTCAACTCAGCCTCACGATCATGATTTCGCTTGAGGCTTTTCATCCAGTTACTGCCATATTTTCCTCGAGTCCCCCAGGTTGAAGGTGCTTTGACTGGTGGCTCAATGCCATAATCTTCCTCCGAAGCGCCTGGACTTCCAAACTCCCGCCGCTGTAGATGCTCTGATGAAGATCCGACCCCTATGGTGGCCTTGTTGAACACCGGTGACCGACCCGTCGTGGCTCGTTTCAATCGCTCCTCGTCCCTCGCGTAGTCGGTGAACCCACGATGCGGCGACTGACTTGTAAAACTTGCATCTGATGCAGTAGAGAATCGTTGTTCCCTCTTTGTAGTCGGTGTGCCCGCCGATCTCCTAAACCTATTGTCTTTGTTAATGTAGAGGGCGTTTTCATCGTCGGATAGATCATTATCCGTCAGGCTGAGGGCTTCGTCGATCTGCCGATACGTTTCATCCAGCTCTGGTGGGTTGGAACGTGAAGACATTGCGGTAACACTGCGTTGTCGTTTGCGGGGTGAGCCTCGTTGCACGTTCTGAGGTAAAAAGATGTCTTCTTCGATCTCCGACAACGGCAGGCGCGATGTGTACTCAAACGCCCCTCGCAGTGTTCCTGTCCGATTAAAGTTCCTGCGGTGTCGCGCAGGAGAATCGCGGGGAGGACTAAGGCCATGGGACGCGTCCAGATGCAGGGAATCACGCCGTGCTCGTCGGAAAGGTGAGTTGTGTTGCTGTTGCTGTTGGCGACGCGCCCATGATGTTTGGCCACTTTTACGTTCGGGGGTGGACATTGTGAGGAATCAGCGCCATTAACGCAATGACGTTTATTTGCGACGCGCGAAGTATTGATAAGAAAAATTATACAGCCCGAAGGAAGTGAAGTAAATAAGGATGTAAACTCAGGACGCCAACCCAACGCATCAAACCGAGGGGATCCTCCGGCCAAATCGGGTTAGCGGTGCGGAGGCCAAAAAAAGCACTGATCTCGATGACGAACCCCGAAATGCTTCATCAGCTTCCCTTCTTCTCTCACTTTTCTCTCACTTGTTTGAAACCCGTGGCAGGATGACATATCAGTTGATCTGAAACAAAACGGTACGTATATCTCCCGTCGCCGTCCTCATTTTGCACCCGACGACTGACCAGCATGTGACCTCATCAGATGTTTTGATCATCAGCCTCCGCGTGGCTTCCTGGACCCTCCCGCACGACATTTGAGTCTTCGATATATGTATAAATAAAGCTTCACTGTGACCCGACGCTTCGATTACGATTGCGTTCCCATTTTTTTTAACGACCGTCTGTTCCCTATAAGCTGTTCAATCGAGCTCATACCCACAAGCTCTGCCATTTTCACACCACCATGGCGAAATCCGCAAGACGGTCTGGCAAGGGTAAAGCCCCTGCTGCGTCTCCAGCATCGGCCTCTGGAACCTCGACTCCCAGCTCTCAAACCGGCCCTCTTCCCCCGTTCACACCGGCACCAGAATGTCTCACTCCGTTCCTCAAGCTCCTATCACCCGAAGAAGTATACCTCATCCACATCGACCGCTCGGACCTCGACCTCAAAAAGCAAACCTTTATAATCCCCGCTGTAACGAACATTCTAATCATTGCACTCATTGCTCTCCGAGTCTACATGGGTCGTACCATGTATCCTGCCCTCTTCGCAACTGTAGTCGGTCTCGCAAGCCCAGTGAATGATACCGCATCGTTAAGCTGGACCGAACTCGCCTCCGTCGTTTTCCGCCGTGCGCTCCCAGTCCTGTTCGACTATCTCCTCGTTGTAACATTCCTCCCATGGCCCATCCGCTTCATCGCAGGACCCATCGAATGGCGTCGCCGCATCGGCTTTCGCAGCCAAGAAATTATCGTCCGCCGCAGCCAGCCAACCGTATCCCAGAACCTCGAGCGCAACCGTTGGATCCGTGAGGACGAAGAAATGCGCGACAAGATCGTCGCTGCCGTAACGCCCGACCGGCTTCTCAAAACGGGCTACCTTCTCGTTGACGCAGATTGGGGACTCGACTACCCGGCCATGGTCAAAGCGCACGAGCTCGTCGGTGCTAGTAGCAGCACACCCAAGGGCTCAGACGCCTCTTCACATCTCCCACTTGACGAATTCCGCACCGCCGTGCTGGTCAACACCGACAGCGACGGGTGGATAATCTGGCACGTCGGCGACGAAAACACCGAAGAAGGACGTACACGCTCCAAGCAGCGCGATCAGATCCTGGACTTCAAGGAGAAGCTCACGGAAATGGGTCACGAAGCGCTTTTCTTCAGGTGGGTCGAGCTTATCCAGTATGAGAGTACGCAACCGGGCGGGTTCACCGCGGAAAGGCAAGCTAGTGCCATGGTCCAGGCGAAGCAGCTGTTTGAAGATGCCGGTGTTGACTTCAACGGATTCTGGCAGGAAGTCGGGGGGATGGAAGGGTTTGGGGAAGATGCCGATGAAGAGGTTGATGTAGATAAGTTTGCGGAGCAGTTGGACTAACGCCTTCGTGGGAACTTATACTGTCTATATGCTTTGCAAGGCGATTATTCCTGCTCTTTTCTGTCCGTTTCTCTATTATTTGGTGTTTATTTAGGCTACGGTGTTTTATGGATGGGCTCTGGACCGGTATATAGAAGGGGTCTTGGTGTAATTCGTTATTCTCAATTTAATACTGACATTGTAAACCAAACTCGCACGTTATCAAATCCGTTCTCGGCAACAAAATATAAAAAGACTACTATAGAAAGGAGAACCAACGAACATCGCAAATAACGAAAAGGGTATCATTTGGACACGGGAACCAAGAGAAGATCAAGCGGGATATGCCATGCCGGTGTCCTTTATATGACCTAACAACCATGACATTGTAATACGTGACATTTCAATGCCTGAAGCTGATATCCCAGAAACAGGGCCTGCAATGTACGTGGTGACCACCAGGGATGAGGGCTAACTAAATAAGAGCCGAACCCCTTTAAGGATTCCCGCTTTCCAGACGATAATCAACAGACCACAGCTTCTCCCACGGACGGAACCGAGTGGCCCTGGCAGCCTGGCGTCGGCTCGGGGTGGACGCCATCGACGACGACAGCGTGTCGGCATTATTAACAGAGGAGGGAGATACGGCACCGGAGCCAAGTTGGCGGGCGTAATCGCCGAGCATCCGGTCATAGGTTCGTTCCAAGCCCTATGAATGATAGGTCTGTCAGCCCCGGTTCGGAGATCATAGAAAGTCAGGACCGCGGGTTTTCTAGAAATATTTTCTTCACGGACCCTGGAGTAGGTCGCGGCGAACCTCATCGAATATGGGAGCTGCCTCGCGCTCGCGCTCTCGTAGCTGGGACTGGGAGCTGGCAGCAGTGTCGCCCTCTGCTGTCGAGTCGTTTGCTCGTGCTGATGTGGGAGCTGGCGCCTTCCTGTTGGAGGCAGAGCTGTTCCTCCGACTGTCGAGGCTCTTTGTGAGTGTTTTTGTAACATTTGCTCCGGCTGGGGTGCGTTTTAACCGGATGCTTCCCCGGGCGTCGACATGCGCTGGCGCGACGGTGCTCTTTCCAAGGCCGGGAGTTGCTGGTGCACCTGGCTTTTCTTCCGCGGCGTCTAGGAGGTACCAGCGGAGGCCGTCTGATAGCTCAAACGGGTTTTCATCGTCAATTGAAGCAGCATCGCTTGCCTCGCCGATCGATTGGCGATCAGGGTTACCGCCGTTCATGGACTTGGACAGATCAACAACCCGCTCTTCGATCTTGGTGATCCGTGCGAGGAGCCAGTCTCTGGCTTGAAGCTTATGAGAGTCTTGCTCTCGTAGGAAATAGTGCGGTGCACCGACATTGAACGCGGCCCACGACCGAATGGCTTGGTTCCGAGTTGGTAGGAAAAGTGCAAGGTCGCCCTCTTTGAAGGATCGATAGGCAATCTTGTCGTGTGCTTCGCTTTGCACGCGATGGTATTTGTCTCGGTACCCACGGGCTTCTTTCTGCCATTTCCGGGCGAGCAGTTCGATGTCTTTCACTCGTTTCACAACCGCGTCTCCGAATATGTCCACATTGAACTGATGCAACGACTCCATGAAGGCCTTGAACTTGTCGGCTTGTTCATCTGGAGTATTGGCCTGCATCCAGCCCAGAAGGGCTGCATCTGGTTTAACCGACACCACTCCAGACTGAGCCAGAGTGTCAGCAGTAGCGGATAGTGCATTGACTTTGGATGACCGTTGGACAACAATCTCGCCATCTTGCCGGATGACAGTAAAGCCTAGTTGCTCCAACATGCGCCCCAACTTCTCCACTTGAGCATACAGTTGTTGTGAAAGCTCCTCAAGCTTTGGCGTGTGAACATCAACTTTCGCAGTAGTCTGTTTATCGGATTCGGATAGGACTTCAACCCTCTTCTTCCATTGCAAGACCTCCTCTTCCGAACGGCGAGCCCGTGCCTCCACTTCAGCGAGTTGTTCAGATATATCAGTAACCTTCTGCTCCTCTTCTGCAACATGTTCACGTAGGGCACCGGCGCCTGTCTCGCCGGCTGCAAGCTTCGACTCCAGCTCACCGAGTCTAGTCCTTTCATCGTTTAACTCAGATTTCAAAGAAGCCAACTTTGACTTCTCCTGCTCGAGCTCTTCCCGAGCCTTTTCCAGCTCGGACTTGTAACCATCTGAAGCGCTCTTTAATGTCTTAGATTCTGACTCCATCTTCTCGAGCTGCTCCGTTAGAGTTTTATTCTCTGCTGCTGACTTTGTAGCGTTGTCCTCGGCAGTATTGGCGTGGATCGTTAAGCCTTCAGAAAGCACGTCAATTGCCTTAATGATGTCTGCGACTTCATTGGGTACAGTACCCCCAGGTGACAGATTCATAAAGGCACCCTGCAATGCCTGATAAAATTCTTGGTCTTTTTGCTTCCTCTCTGAGTCCCGTTTCTCCAGTTCGTCCACTTGTTCTCGGAAGCGATCTCCCGAATCCTTATGAGATTGCATCTGCTCGAGTAGGTTGTTGGCTTTCCGCATTTCTGCATCCGCACGGACATGTGCATCTTGCAATTCCAGCTCTAGTTGGTGCATACGTTCGTCAGAATCTTGCCTCTCGTGATCGCGGCCATCGGCGACTCTATCTAGTTCTTCCTCAAGCTCCTCGATGCGGATCTTGAACCGTTTCACCTCACCTTCCAGGTACCGCCGCTCGTCCCCAAACTCGCGTTGTCGAGCTTCCAGATTTCCGATAAGATCATTCTTCGTGGATTGGGCTTCCTGCATCTTATCGGTATTTGACTGGCGCTCCACGTGAGCCTCCCGCTGTAGTCGCTGAACCGTCTCGCGTTCGTTGGCGAGCTCGGCTTCCAGATGCACAATACGGTTAATGAGGTTCTTCTCCTCCGATGTCTGATTTGCAGACATTCGCCGTGACGATACCGACGATCTCCGTGACATGTGGTCAGGATGAGGCGATGCCGGAGAGCTGGGAAAGTCGATGGAGAAGTTACCGCTTGCAGGACGGACTATATGGCTCTGACGATGAAGAAGATCCTCCAGTTTTCGGATCCTGCTCTCCGAACCGCGTAGTTTCTCCTCAAGTTTGTTCTTCTCGTCCCTCAAATTTCGGACCATTTCATCGCTATGGAGTAAGAGGGAGCTGCGGCTTAGATCATATAGACTTCCCTGTTTGAACGCTTTCGCTCTACGGCGCTGCACTCGGGTGGGAGCATCGATCTCCTTGAAAGCTTGGGCCAATTCCTGCGCCGCGTTGGACATGCCAGGTTTTGACTTTAACTCTTCAATGTATGATTCGATTTCTTTCCTGGTAACCGCGGGCCATTCAAAATCGTGGCCTCGCAGGTTGACTTCGATTCCTGGCGTGGTCGTGTCCGTGATGGAAATGAAATCTTCCATATTCTTCATCCATTTCTTTCTTCGACGCTGCTCCTCGTCTTGGAAGACGGACATTTCCTCGGCCAAGGTCAATGAATCGCTCTTCATCTTATCATTGAATTCCCGTCGCCTCACGGACTCGATCAGAACAGACCCGTACACCAGAGGCATGTGAAAGACAGAATACAGCAGATCGAAAGCATCGCTTTGGAAGGTGAGGTTAGCGATTTGAGATTGTACGTCAGCCAGACGTGATTCAATAGAGGATATAAGTTTCGTATGATTAAGCGCAGCCTTCGCCGCAGCATCATATTGGTTGGCAGCTCCGCCCAAGCCTTCTCGAATTTCGAGACCAATCTCCAGCATCGATGGCAAGATGTCCTTGGTATGATTCAGCGCAAGTCTAGAGATACTGGCTAAGGCCTTTTGATTGTTGGGTAAGGCGAGAACATGCTCGTAGTCGGACTGGATTTTCTTGGCCAACGGTTCCACCTCTTGTAGGAGACCTTCGACGTTGTCGGAGCCAGAGGGAGGAACATCGTCGAGTAACCGCTGGGTTTCAGCAGCGATCTCGCCGACGGCCTTTTCAATATCCTGGAACTGCTGGATAAAGCGTGAGGACGTTGCAGACGCGTCGGATCCAGCTTTATGCACTTCCCCTGCATCCACATAGTCGAGCAATGTCCCCGTTGTCCCCTTGTCGGAATCCTTCTTGGGCGTTGATGGCCGACCTAGAAAAGAAAAGTCCTTTCGCGCTGAAACATTCTCGAGGTTTCCAAGTGCACGTTTCCACCCCTCAAGTGCTGACTGTTGCTCCTTTGACAGCTCGCTGGCCCATGTTTGTGCTTCTTGGAATCGATTCTCCAGGCTGGCCACGTGCGTTTTCAGATTCTCAAGAGCAACGCCGGCAGCTCGGTTGACGATTTCGGTGCGTTCGTTGAGCTCGCGGATACTTGAATCCGCCGCTGCACATCGTGTGGTCAACTTAGAGGCCCATGTCTTCCTAGCCAGGTATAGGTTCCGCCAGGCTTGTAGGTCATTCTGGTCGGAGAGTGTATCCGGAGGATTATCGAGCACGAGGGGCTGTGGAGACGGAAGGCTTGGGAGTTCGGCGTTATCTTGTTCGCTAACATATCGTCTATCGTACACAAATATCTCGCTCTGTTCGAAATAGCATCAGCTTGCGATACCTCACATGGACTGGGAGCGGAGCGGTGAGGACATACTTCAGTGGTCAGCGTTTGGATCTTGACGTTCTTCCCACGTGCGGTCATCAAAATCTGTCTTTGAGGTGGAATAGATGTGCTTTGTGTAATCCATGACCGCAGGGCGTCCGTTCTAATGGTGAAAAGGTCAGCAACGCCAGTTAACATTCCCTTGCCGATAGCGGAGCAGGCGCCCGAGGCAAGGGAAGCATGCGCCGGGAGGAGAACCTACGTAGAGAACGACCCCGAGTCCGCTAGTAGATGCTCACCTGTGTGAGCGATGTAGATGTGCAGAGACATCCCCCTCAACAACCGAGCAGCGCAGCTCAGAAGTCGTCCAGCGAGGAATGCGGGATGTTGGGATGATAAGAGAGCGTTAAGGCTTCCAGATGTCTGAGAAGCTTCCCCAGCCTAGACTGTATTTGGATGCCGCGGGTCCGAATGCACCACACCTGGTCTCCACCGCCCACTGCCTGCGCTTCCCTGAATACTCACCCACGAATACTTCTTCTGCAAAGACTCCAGTAATAGTTCTATCACGCGATGTACTGAAGTCGCCACGAGGCCCTGCTCGATGTCGTCGTCCAAAGCCCGGGGACTCCCTCAACTGAGCTCGGGCGAAGTCACACTGCTGGACCTGGCAGCTGACGATCCCAGAGACACTGTATCGTTTTCGGACAAAGAAGCCTTGATCGTTCAGCTATATCAGCAAATCCAGGAGCAAGAACTCGAGAAGGCCCTTTTAGAACAAGGCATGTCTGACGCGCTCGTCTATTTTCTCAAGTTTTCTCTCAATTCTGAGTAATAACGTTTTCCCCAGAATTGGAACCACTCTCCACAAACAATGCAGAGGAACTTGTTACAGCAGAACGCGAACTGCTCGACGCGAGAGCTACCTACACCGTTAGGAAAAAAGCGGTCAACACCGTGCTTATAACAGACCCTATCCTCAAAGCTGTTCATTTAAAAGGAGCAACCCCCGCTGAGCGGTAAGTACCACGCCTTGCCTTGCGCTAAGTTGCGACGGTAAACTATCGATCTAGGCGCATGTTGTTAACGGGCGACAGGGCGCTTCTTCGTCTCATCAACCGCCGGGACATATTGTCCTTGGCACAGGAGAATTTAACGGAGGCACAGGTCGCGGCTTTGAAGAAGCTCTCAACCGTCGAGGTAGAGAACTTGCAGCTCCACGAGAAGAACCAAGAGTTGGCTCGGGAGCTGCTAGAGCTTACAAAGGATGACGATTCCTGGAGAGAGCAGCTCGATGATCCCGAGCTGAAACAACAATTGGCTGAACTCGAAACAGACTACAAGAAGAGCAAAGCCAGATGGGAAACTATGAAGAACGTTGCAAGCGCGATTATTGTAAGCAGCGGAGTGAATTGGGCAGAAGACGAGGATCTCACGGCTCTTGTTCTCGATGAATCCAATGATTGATGGGTTGGGTATTACTGTGATGCTACGAAATAGTGCCCCAGGTAGAACCTTTGGACAGGATTTCTGGTGTTTATATAGATAGGCGTTTATTTACGGCGGGATAAGATACCCTTGATTAATGTCATGCCATGTTCGAGTTATAGTTGAAATGGTAGCTCATATTGTGCAAGCTACATGCAATTGATCCGCCGCTAGGTGAGATAGAAATAAGAGAAAAGAAAAGAATACTTGACTGTCGTGTTGACGATTGATGGTGTTGATTGGTATAGACCCACGTGACATCATGGCTGGGAAGGAGATTCGTCACGGCGAAATTTAAGCTGAACGAACCAACTCTCAATGGGCGAAAAGAATCCTGCAGGAACTTGAAACCGGTGGGCTGACTCAAGCCGTTGAAGCCCGCCACATGAGTAAGGCAGCCTGATACGTGGCGAGACTCGGCGCGTAATGCTGCCTTAAAAACAGCAGGATGGGAACGGGAAGAGTTTCGAAGATGGGGGAAGAAGGGCAGGCAGGTGGATGGAGGCAGGGCAGTGGACGGGGCAGCAGGCCGACGGCTCCCCACCATCGCCCGTTGTTGTATTATTGTCAGTGTTATTAATCACATATCACATTAATTAGGCGTTTGACCGGGGCTTACAATACCACTACCAAGGGCATGCTAAGCGGTTACAATCCAGTAAGTTTGGTGGTGTTGTTTGCGTTGGAATGCAGTGGCATTTGCGCTGGACTTGGTCAAGGCCCTTACTGAGCACCGGACCAGATTACCCTATGAAATGCTAGCACTGGGCCTTGCTGGACTGGCAACCCTGTTATGGAACTATACCCATCAATAATAATTAAAAGTTAATTCGGCTGGTGAGCAGCTGGCTGCAAACGCTTTGTATTGCCCGATGAGCAAACAAACCTTGTCCGGCTGGGTGTATCAGCACGGGATACGGCGAGTTGCCAGCGGGAAAAGGCATTATGAAGGTCCAAGCCCATTGAATGGATGGTGAATACTACCTAATATATCCAGTGTTGTGAGGTCTTGGGCATGACCAGCAGATTCAACCCATGGAGCGGCATGCCCACATAATCCGTTGGCAATTGTGACAGGTAATTTTTGCTGGCTGTCGATGGCCGAGTCTCTTGATTACAGGAATTGCGACAATATACTTGTCTCATTGGCGGGATAGCTCTGGTGAGTCGTAGGAGACGACCGCGTTTGGTTGCTGTGTGACGACGGGCAACTGCTTTCCTCTGGATAGGCAGAGCTTAATTGAGCAAGGAGGGTCAACCGCAGCACTCCAAAGTCTGCGGTGAAGAGGTCAGAGGTACTTTTTTCTGGTCGACGGGAGGGGTCGAGCCCTGGAAGACCAGACACATGCAAAGCAGGTTCCAAGTGTGAGCCAGTTTCAAAAGCCTTGAGGGCGGTTGGAGTGAGGAAGGAAAAGGCTGACGAATTTGGCAGAGCTCGTGTGGAGAAGGACTTCTTCCAAAGTTTGGACTGTGATAGTCAACCCAAGCGCCAGGAAGAGTTTCATTGCTTCTTTTTTTGCTTCTTAATCCGGGCAGATTCTGAGATGTCAAGCAGATAAAGAGAACAAAGAGTTTTACTTTTTTTTGGGCTGGTTTGCTTGTAGAGCCGTCAGATGCGCCGCCGAGGTTCAGAGGATTGCGACTGCAGAGCAGAGCTGAAAGACTGCACTAAGAAACCCCTCAGGTATCAGAGGCGTATGGAAACATCACAGCATCATGACTGTGGATTATTACGAGCCACCATCAGATTTCTTTATCCGTGACCACAGCTGAGTTGCACACGCACACATCATGGGCCAAGGACTAAGGCCGCACCCCCAGCAGGACAGTGCTTGGGGGAACTGCTAGTAGTACGACTCGCCTGCTGTTACGGAGTTGTACGGAGCACTTTGGGATGATGTAAAGATGGATGGCCCGCAGTCCGCACTCCTCCTACCGAAGACTGCAACTTGATTGCCAGAGTGCTACGACCGCCGTTTCTATGGTACCACTCAGCCAGCAGCCTATCACTTTGTCTCGGTGTGATATTATTTTATTTTACCATAAGACAATTAACCCACATACTAATCCAGGCCGTGGCGTAGGCTGTGTATTTCACTGGTACCGTACTTTTCCATACGGCGAGCAGCCGCCTTGACTCCTGAGAGAAGATGCGTGGCGTGCAGCTACACTGAAAAAGAATGAAGGCAGCAAAATTTTGAATCTACGGCCTTGAGAATGGTTGCAGTGACATTCTTGAGAAAAAACCTGGCTTCTCCCCAGCCAACTTTGGTCCAAAACGCAGATGGGAGTGATGAAAATCACGCAGAAAGTCCACTGGCGCCGGTCGCAAAATGACGGTACAGAACGGTAAGGTACAATACGAGTCATTCTCCAGCAGGGCGGGCAGCCAGTCGCAGAGCTGGAGCGGCGTCTCGTTTCCTTCCCTTGCTGTGCCCCCCTTCCCTTGAAAGCGCTGGTAAGAATCGATGGCCCGCTTTCCCGTCGCTCGCTGCCCTCGCCCTCCTACTACTACTACTCTCCCCTCTCCCTCTCTCTCACTCTCTCTGCTTTCACTCACTACGCTCTCCCATACATTTTCTCCCATACAAAAAAGTACACCCGCATAGGTGAGTATACACGATAAACACTCAACTCTCACGCTCTCTCTCTTCACCACCCACACAACCAAACTCTCCTTTCTTCCAACTGCTTGTTTCCTACACCTTCACCCTCTGCAATCCTCATCTTGGTCGATTTTTCCTCCATCCTCGCGCCGTCTTGTTGTCGCGCATATGCGACGCCAGCGTATAGTTCGCGGACTGAGCAGCCGGCTAACAAACACAGGCTTTGAACGCCAACTTCAACCTTTAATTTGATACCCATTTCAACTTCATTTTCAGGTAGGTTGCTCTTCTGCGCGCTTTATTTTCGTGTCATTACCCCCGACTTGCGACCGCGCTCTTCTTGTTTGGGAGCGCGCGCACTGCCCATCCGCCTACCACCCTCGTTTTTCCTGTGCGCGTCATCACAACACCTTTTCTTCCTCACTTACTTCCATTTTACTATTGTCGCCTGAGTGTTTTATTCCCAATTCATTTATCAATTTCGTGATTTGCCGTCAGAATCCGTCATGTCTACCCTTGATCCCGCTAACAGGTCAACAGCCCCAAACTCTCAACATGCCTAAGGCCGACAAGCCCGTTCGCAAGACCAAGGCCTCCACCCGTGATGGCGCTGGCTCCAGAAAGAAGAAGGGTAGGTCGTGCTGTCAATAGCTTTTGAGCCCAGCTAACCAGTGCTTCAGACCCCAACGCCCCTAAGCGTGGTCTCTCCGCATACATGTTCTTCGCCAATGACACCCGCGAGAAGGTCCGCGAAGAGAACCCCGGCATCGCTTTCGGTAAGATCAATGCGCCTAACCCATGATAGCGTCACTTGACACTAACTCTTCGCAGGCCAGGTCGGAAAGATGCTCGGTGAGAAGTGGAAGGCCCTTAGCCCCAAGGAGCGCAAGCCCTATGAGGACAAGGCCGCCGCTGACAAGAAGCGGTACGAGGATGAGAAGGCAGCTTACCAGGTATGTAAACGTATTGTCCCCTGTTTGAAGGGAACAATTACTGATCACCGATTACACCTCAGGCTGGCGGCGACGAGGAGGAGGAATCGTCCTAAATCACCTATTAGTATTAGGTGTCTCGTCGTTTGACCCCTTGGCGTTGTGTGTTTTGCTTTCCTAATCGCTGATAATCATCTCAATTTGTTGTCGCCCTTTTCATTATTTACTTACCATCTGTTAACGGCTTCTGGGATGGGGTGATGGTGGTTTGTGCTTGCTTTTCTGTTCATGAAGGATCTTCAATGGGAATGTAGCGTACGGACTGGGTTTGCTTGAATCGGAGGTGCTCGGCGCTGGTGCCAGGTCGTCGGAGAACCTTGTTTCGGGTAACTTAAATATGATTGAGTGAAGCTACACACTCAGATCCCTAGTTACTGTAGTAATATCACCATTGAATGAGTGCAGCTCGAATGTATTGAACTCTGCGTGCCGTATTAAGCAGCTCAATGAAAGATGGCCCGAGCTCCCGACGCGAGGACGTCATTGTTTACTTCCGACGCGTCGAGCTCCGTTATCTCCGACTGGTGCCTGAGGCTGCCAGGTCAGGTCCAATCCATGACAAGGAATATTCTCTGCAGCCGGGCTTGTTCCGTATAGGCCGTTGGCAGCCAGCGCGGAGAATTTCCGAGATCTTCCGAGTCATTATTGGAAAATGGGAAATATTGCATTGAGGCTCTTAGGGCTTAATTGTTACCTCTGGTTTCTCCTGCTAGCTAGTGCTTTCGATGTTTGTATGAACATTGGAGTCTGCTTTCTAGCAAGCGACGACGGGGGTGTGAGCCATGGATTTGAGGTAGATAGTGATACAGTCGCTGGTGGCCATACTTCATTGTTTGCTTCATATGGATAAAACTTCCAGCTAGATGGATGCTGGGGGAGATGTACAGTGTCGACCCCTGCTTATCCGCCTCAAAATTTTCATGGTACGAGCATGGAAGACTTGGCTTTCTTCCATAGTCCTATCGCTGTAGGGTACTGTAGCCTACAGTCTGTAGGGTGCGAGATGCTCGTCGCCCTGATAAATGGAGAGAGTCTGGTTTTGAAGGGGTGCTTTGTGTCAACACTATTCGACTCCCCGTCTGGTTAAAAGTTTATTTTGTAGAACCCGTAAGGTAGATTATGTAGTTCACCAGGACTCGGAAGTTCAGATTGAGCCCGAATGGCATGCATCAGATGTCGCGTGACGGCCTGGTTCATCCTGTGGTCGAGGTGGAGAGCGCGCCTGGAAGAAATGGGAAAACTTTCTGAGTAGCTGGTTTATTTGGTTGGAACCCTGCTGTTTGTGTATACCGTTCGGGATGTCCTGCTTCTCAGTGTTAGCATGGTGGAGACTGGTTTGATTCTTCAGGACGGTGTATTAGCGCAGCCGTGCAGGTGGGCTCTGGCTTACTCTCTGTGGGTCGTATCATGAAACCAGGGCGATCTGACAAGCGGGAGGCAGGCTTATTGTCAGATGGCTAGACAAGGTGGTTTAAGCATTGGTGTGTGAAGAATCCTGAAGGGTCGAGATGTTTCAGAGTCAACCTTAGCGTTCGCATCAATCCATGACAGCGTCAGGTGATGGAGTTAACAGCAGCATTATACATGCGGCGGGGTTGCACCCTCACCACCGCTCGTTCTTCAAGGCTAATTAGGCGCGACCACGTCAACCCTCCCTCCGTCAACGCCAGGGTTATCCCGAATCTGTCTCGAGAGCCGCAAGTCTGAGCCTGTTCTTGACTTTCTTGACCCCACTTTGCAGCACTCCGTCTTCTTGTTCTGTGCGGATGGGCGGGTGACTCGAATGGGCCTGTTCTTTTAAGTCCCGTCTTTGTTCTCTCTGGCCGACTCCGGTGGAGTTCTTCCTTCTTCGCTGTTTCGGAGCAAACACGATCAATATGCATACGAGGGGCGATCCCGATAGCACCGCACTTTCTGACTCCTGCAAGAATATTTCTCCTCCGACTGTGCGCTTTTGAGCTGGCCCGAGAGAGTGCCCCTCACCGTGACTCTTTTTTTTCTCCTGCCTTTCTCCCGCTCTTTGCCCTATATTCCACCAAAGCGAGGATTTATTCTCCGTGTGCTCTTTCTTTGTGTTGTCGGCTGTCGTGTTTGCTTGACCTTGTTTGACAGCTGGTTCCTCTCCCGCTCACCGTTTCTCCGCATTTTCTCCTCCGTCCTCTACACCGTATATAACGAGCCGATTTCCTCCCCGGCCTTGCATGGCCTGTCATACACGACCTCACAATGGCGCTGAGCGTTCCTGCCACTGTCGCAGAAGATGTCGCCGCTGGCTTCCGGCGCTTTCGTGACCATGTCCCAGAACATGCAACGGCTATCACTATCATTATCGCCGATCTCTACACGATAAGCTCGTCTCTTAAATCGCTAGAGGACCTGTCACGACACCGTCATTACGGAACCGTCTTCAATGTCGCACGTTCAGATGTGGAACTGGTGAGCGCCAGTTTGCAGTATACTCTCGATGACATCGTCGAATTCTTTGGCAGGCTTGAGGGCCGCAAAGGCTCTAGTCGAGCCGCACATCAACGGACCTGGGAGAGTATGACCAGGTTTTTCCTAGACGAATCAGAGGAGACGTTAACAAACCGATTAATCAAATATAAATTCTTCATGAAGGAATTGGAGGAATTGATTAAGGAGTGCGTGCTCCCACATTGACCTCAGCCATAATTAGCCATAGCTTGAGCTAACCAAACATGTGTCTATTCGCAGAGCAGGCCCCGACCTCTTGCTCATGTCTCGTCTCCGCGAGGGATTCAAGGATCTATTAGTGCAGCAGGATAGCCGTCTTGTAAGGCGGTTTGGTACACTGTCCATGAGTTCGGCATCCTCCTCTAGCAGCAACAGCACCGCACCTGGAAGTCCACTGAGTGACCGTAGACCTCGCACAAGGAGGTCCTACGAGCGTGCCCGGCCGCCCCATCTGTCGCCAACCCCGACATCACCGTCCTCTGGGTCATTCTTTGACACGCCCGCTCTACTTCCTGGTGTCCCCGGCTCGCCTGTCACTAGCTCGGCCACTAGCCATTCATTGGGCTCCAATGCATTGAACGAGCACTGGGCGGCACAAGTTTTTTTCCAACCGCGTGGAAACACCCGGGTTCCGAGCAGGGGAGATAAGTAAGAAGTGCGGGATTCTTATGGAAGCAGGCTTTGCTAATAGATATGGTAGATCTGTATGTTACGGGGATCCTCGCCCGGACTTGTATGATTGGCTTGACGCTGAAGGCTATGGAAAAGTTATTGAATTGTGAGGACGCTCTTTAACTTATAATGGGCTGCTAAACTGACTACATAGATCTTTCGGCAACTTCCGTGTACTTTTCTACGTCCGTGAAGCGGATCACCGTGCGCGCATAGTGTGCAGTACATCTAGGGAGTATTACTGCCTGCCCTTGAATTTGCTGGAGATCGTCCGGCACGGCCCGTCATGCCTCCAATTATGCCGACGGCGTAAGAGCGGTTCTGAGTTGATAGTGTGGGCGAACCTCAAATTCACCACAATTGAAGGTACGTACTTGAACTGGGAGTTCTCGATAACACTGCTGATATGCATAGTCATGGTCCTTTTCTTCTGCACGTTCTTGGCGCTCCGCTCCCAAGACTCAGGCAAGCCTGTGGCTCAGATTCGTGACTTTGAGCTCGATCAGGAAGAAGAGCTTTTCGGATCGTAAGATACCCCGCTGCAATCCCTTGTGAGTGCATGTAGCTAATTTTGCAGGCCAATATTGGACGATGGCTTCATTCATGCCTTGCGCGTGTACCGGGATAAAGTCACCGGAGCAATACGACTTCAAGCCTCAGTACACAAAGGCGAAATGAAAAGGTAAGCATACAAGCAGATCCACGAGTGATATGTGCTCACAAACAGGATAGATCTCCTGTCTGGACTGCCTTTATAACGCACCAAATCCTTGATCCCCGATGGCTTCAGAGGCCAGGCCCGGAAGTTATTCTGCTTCGCGAGCTCCGTCAAACTATATTTACATTCCCCCAGTATACACCCCCAATGACACCGAGAGGCGGGTTTTTGTTGAAGTTTACAAACCGAGACGGTAAGTTTCATATATCCCTCTGCCCTGGTTTCAGCTTGCGCTAATGTCAAGTAGATGCCGACGGATTTAGAATTACCATGGCAGAACTCGCCAGCGAACGCATCTAATTTACGTACTATATCAACTACCTAATATATTGTTTTGTTTGGTTTCAAATTTCGGCAGCTATGGTTACTTTTTACGACAGAAGAAAAAGACTAATCAGGGCCTGGCATGCCCTGCAGAAGCATGACATGACTTATGATTTACGCGCCTACGACTGATACGGCTTTTACGCTGTTGTTTGATTTGAGCGAGTCTCAACATTTTTACTCTTGGATTTACAAGTTCATGGCTTGGCTTGGCTTAGCATGGCGCATTGAATTATAGGGACGGGCATGAGCGGGGTTGGAGTGTTTGTTAGTATGTAGTTGCAATATTAGATTTAGAATAAAAGTAACCTGCCAACATAATGGGTATCTCAAAAGGACTTTACCAAACCGAGCGCCAATTAATGCAACATATATGAAAGGCTATCCCGAAACACCTATATCACCCAAACCGGACAAGAACATCTCGGCACGCCTCTTCGCGCGCAACTTGTCTATCTCCTTTCTCCTTTCATCCTTCACCATCTCCCTCTCGACCCGTCTCTCCTGTCTAGCATTGCGCTCCTTTTCGGTTTCCACTCTCGCATTCAAAAGCTCCTCCATCTGCTTCTTCCTCACCTCCTCGTCCTTCGAAAACGCATAGAACCCTGTCCCCCGATTCCGGACCTCCCCATCAGCATCATAATGAACCTCGTCCGGTGTTGGCGACCGATCCCTCCGCTTCGCAAGATAAGCCATCTGCTCCGCAACTATATCAGTCTGCTGGAACGCCTCGCTCTGCACCGTAGCCCCATATATCAGATTCTCCGGCCGAGAAGGCCGCCAGCGCTCCTTATCTTGTTCCTTCTCACCCGCTTCATTCTTCAGCTTCGCGGCCTGCGCGGCCTCCTTCCTGGTCCCGCGCCTCGTCCGCCCAAGCTCATCCTCGTATGAAACCACCGATGCATTATCGTCGTCCGTGTGCTCAAAGCTTGAATCCGTATCATCATCCGAACCCTTCTCCCGCTCTGCATCAGCCCACTTCTTATCGAAATCAACCAGTCCCTCCTTCTCCTTCCGGCGCAGACGCGATAGATATGCATCCGCGCTCGGCCCATGATCATCCTCATCACTCTCACTATCAGCGGCGAGATAGAGACCCTTCTTTAAATCATCATACTGCCGCGCCTTCTCCTGCATCCGCCGCTTCGAGCGGTGCAGTGTCGCGGCGTCCACGGACCCAATGTCCTTCGAGGACTGGTGGATCTGGCGGACGGCTGTGTCGTCGTCATCGCGGAGATCAGCGGCTGCGCGTTTCTGGGCGCCTTTGTTGGGGCGGGCGAAGATATCTGATTTGGAGGATTTGGAGGGTCGAGTGCGGCCGTGGCGCGACGGGTCTTTGTCGCTGGTGCCGGAGGCGATTAGGGAAGAGAGAGTTGTTGTAAAGGCGAGGTTTGAGGAAGAGGGGGCATCGGATGTGGATTCCTTTTGGGGCTTTTGGCCGTATAGTCCTGGATTGGACATTGTGGCTTGGTTATTATTGTTTGGTATAAGATTGGATGTTGGAGAGCTGCTAGATAGTTAGCGCTCGCGGGCACCTTTCTTTCTTTCCCTTTGCGGTGTCGGTCGAGGGATGACTCAGCAGCTAGGTACCCCACGCTCGATGACGGGAGTGTATCCGATGGTCGGAGTCACGAATTTCTACAACCTCTTTTCTTTCTCATCCTGTCGCTGTTTTGGTATTTATGTTTTAATTATCGCAATTAAAGAGTAAATAATTCGGAAATTGCACCAGAATGTCTGCCCCAGTCTACCTTGGTATCATCGGTAAGCTACAAGTCCCAATATACAAACTAACATACCCCGCCAACACCCAGCAGCGAGGGACATTGAGCATGATTCTAACGGTTACTCTCCCCAGGTGTCGGCGGCGTAGGAACTGCTTTCCTCCAGCAGCTCGCACGCCTCCCCAACGCCCCCAAGCTCGTCCTCCTCGCCCGCTCCAACCAAACCCTCCTCTCGCCTACCCCGTCCTACTCCCCCGCCATCCCCGCCGCAGAATGGAAAACGGCCGTTGAAGCCCCTTCCCTCACTAAGTCCGGCGCCCTCACCCACGATGAGATTGCCGGATACCTCGCCTCCGCCCCCGGCCGCTCAATCCTCGTCGACAACACCAGCGACCCCGCGCTCGCGTCCTCGTACCCGATCTTCCTCCGCCGCGGCGTCAGCGTCGTCACCCCGAACAAGAAGGGTTTCTCGTCCGACCTCGCTCTGTGGAAAGAGATCTTCTCTGCCGCAAATGAAGGAAATGCACTAGTTTACCACGAGAGTACAGTTGGTGCAGGTCTGCCCGTGATCTCGACATTGAAGGATCTCACCGCGACGGGCGACGAGGTTACCCGCATCGAGGGTGTATTCTCCGGAACGCTCTCATTCCTGTTCAACACCTTTGCTCCGGCGTCTGGGTCCTCGAGCGCGAAGTGGAGCGACGTCGTTAGCCAGGCTAAGGAGTTGGGCTACACGGAGCCTGACCCTAGAGATGACCTGAACGGCATGGATGTTGCCCGGAAGCTGACCATCCTTGCCCGTATTGCCGGATTGGAGGTGCAATCTCCCGACTCGTTCCCTATTGAGTCTTTGATTCCGAGCGAGCTGGCGAGCTTGCCTTCCTCTGCCGAGGGAATCAAGGAGTTCATGACGAGGCTTCCCGAGTTTGATGGCCAGCTGGCGGCCATCAAAGAGGGCGCCGAGAAAGCTGGTAAGGTTGTGCGGTATGTTGGGAGCATTGATGTAGGGAAGAAGGAGGTTCGTGTTGGACTGCAACAGTTCGATAAGGACAGCGCCATTGCTGGTCTCAAGGGTAGTGACAACATTATCTCCTTCTACACCCGTCGGTACGGCAGCAACCCGCTCATCGTGCAGGGTGCCGGTGCTGGAGGCGATGTGACTGCTATGGGTGTGACTGCTGATCTGATTAAGGTGATCCAGCGTCTGTAGACGTCTTGCTGTATCATAACTTATAACAGTTAAACAAAAGGAAAAGCAGACCGCTTGAATATAGAAATTAAATGCGATGAAATAACCTAAGCTTTCAAAAATGCCTTTACCGCCTCTCCCCAGTATGGCCCCCTCTTATACGGATATATCCCCGGCACACTTCCCTCCTTCAACCCATCAATAGCAACCGCCAAATCCTCGCCAAGCCCCTCGTCCTTAATATCCTGAATCGGGTACAAATACGTATGGAACGCAAAAACCAACGCTTTCGTCTTTGGCAACCGGTGCAGTGTCTGTCTCTCGCAGCGAACATATGTCTCATCTCCATCGAACTCATCAATTTTAATTTCCTCGTCATCCCCTTCATCTCCCCGCTCGCCAGCTTTAGTGTCTATAGAAGCAGGATCAGAGGGTGAAGAATGATCATGCAAGCCACCAAATGCCGCAAACAGCCCAGTCCCCTTAGTCATGATACTCCAATTCACGCGCAAAACGGCCCGGCCAACCTCCAGCTTGTCGAAGAACCTATCCATTGACTTCTCCAATTTCTGCTTGTACCCCGGGACTGGAGCGTGGATTTCAGATAGTGGCTTTGAGAGTTTTGTGCGCGTGTCGAAGCCTGAGGGGAAGTATGTTGCGTAAGCTTGCAGATGGTACTTTGGTTCTTGGTCTTGGTCTAAAGGTGAGGGTTGAGAAGGGAGGAGGATAAGAAAGTCTTCGTCTATCCAAGACGCAAGGGTATCAAAAAGATGGAGGAGACCGTCTTTCGTCCTTCTGTACTCCGATTGACGGTCGGACTCCACTGAAGGGACCTCAGAACCTGCCATAACATTGTCCTCGGATTGAGAGAACGACCGCACCAATTCCTCAGGGTCAACGGGGACTATCAAACCCGTGACAAGCGACTCGATCTGTGTTCCCTTGTGGTCGCTGCTGTTCGACGGATGCAAGAGACGAAACATCGTCGGGTACCGCGTTGGTAAGTAAGTTCTCATAACGAAAGCGTACCACTCGTATATAGCATCCCGGATCTCATCATTCGTCTGTAGCTCGTGATGTTGGATGTTCACAGCACGAACGACATCTGGGTGCTTGGCTAGTAGTTGTTTTCGTAGACTTAGCCGAGAGAGATATGTCTTGTCCATAGGGATGAGTTCTGACGGGTCGAGGTTGGAGATTGCTGTTGGTTTATATTAGTTATCTATCTTCTTTTTGCAGACTTACTTGAGGAAGTAAATGTAGAGCTAGGTAAGCAGGTAGGCTCACCCATGGTCAAGTGGTACTTTGGTTTGAAGGGTCTAAAGACTAGAGGCTCGGCTGATTCCCAGTTGAATGTTAGGAGCGGAGTAATAGGAGGGCATGCCGAAGCATTTTGATCAGTCCCTACTTTCGTTTCCGAACCCAAGGTGGTTGGATTGGATAGTGATTCAAACCCATGGTGAGCGTTGCGGTTAGGCTTTAGAGCGGTTAGATTTGAAATTTTTGTTAGGGTAGGGATGCGTGCATACTCGAATGTATATGGCGAAGAAGCAGATGAATACCGCACAGAAGACTGCGAGAATGGCCCTGGAGAGGAATGAAGATTCTGGCTGTAATTCTGGGGATTGCATTGTGTCTGGTTGATGGTTCATTATCTGGCGGAGAGGGGTATAAGAGGCCCGTGTCTATCAGTTGGAGATGGATCTATTCGGCGGAGCGTACCAGTTCTTCATGGTATCGTGGGTCTTCCGATTGGCCATTATTGCCGGCAGATACATTGTTGTCATACTAGGGCGTCGTAGATGACAGTCTTATCGGATTGCTAGGTAGATTACGGCACACGATATCCGTATGGATTTTATAGATTGTTACACCGTCTTGCGGTAGAACTTACTCGTTTTCTGCCTTAGGCACCCGTGGCTGCCCATCACTATCAAGGAGTTGATCGCACCTTCCGATTTCCCTCTGAACATTGTCGCGAAAAGGAAGGTGCGACATTCCACCCCGAGAAATAGGAAGGCGCAATGGCTTCATCCAATTCTGGAAAGCCCGAATGCGCGCACTGTTGGCCATTCTTTTCAGAGCTGAACGTGTTTGAAGTATAATGAAGTTGGGATTATATAGAAAATAGGATAAAAACCAAGTTCAGGCTGAAATAAAAGAGATGGAAGGGAGATAAAAAGATACAGGAAAGTGAAAACAGTCCCTTCTCACCCTGAGCTGGCTTTGTCTGCCCTACATGGGCGACCCACAATCATCTACAGTATATACAATCTAATGGCTAGAAATCAAAGAATGGCAGGTTCACTTGAGAATAATGATCGGTTAGCCAGTGAGTTATATGCTGTACTGGACTCCAATACTCATGTTGTACAAGGTTATCTCCAAGTTGATATCAATCCATATCGCCAGTGACTACTGCTTGAGGCTAGACCTAAACTCCGACAGCATCTAACGAACCATAGATTAGCATTGCTAACATAGCAATAATATAGACTTATTATACACGGGGTATCAATAAACGAGCACGACAGCGCAAGCCCCAGCCAGAATCGGAATGCAAGCCATGAGCAAACCTATCTCATAGCCACATTACCGCAACCACCTCACCAGGAGGCGAATATCACTTGGATGCTTCCAACCCAGTATTACTATAAATAAACTCAACCTGTCCAACCCTCCCTCTTCTTCACCCCATCTCCATCCGGGTCTACATCTCCCCCAGGCAGATTCTCCTTCTCATTGACCTCACCACCACCATTGCTACCGGCAGGAGCGGCACTCAGCCCATACCGATCAGGAAGTTCATTCAAGCTCGGCGCCCTCGGCCTCTGCATTCCCTGCGCTCGTCCTTCGACCGTTCGCGTATAATACTTCAACAGTCGGCAAATATACAACAGCATATCAAAGATGATCAGAGTGATCCAGGGGGAAATCGTCACGAGGCCAAGGCATAGCTATACAATAGATATCAAGGTTAGCTTCTCATGTCTTGAACAGGTCCCTAGGTAATGTAGGCGGGCAGGCGACATACAAAGAACCGCACAACCCAGCTCTCGATGTGAATTAACTCCGAGGGGAGAATGGAGTACCACGCCATTTTGTCTTGCGGTGTATATGTTTATGCAGGGGTATAGTTGTATAGTTGTATAGCTCGTAAACCAGGTCAGTCTATCACGCGATCAAGCCCTTCCAGTATCCAGCGGAAATCTTAGTCTAAGAGCGGCGGGCCCGTCGGTGATGAGTGGAAGCAAAGGGTCTCTATAAACTAGCGTTCGTTCGTGTGGTCCAAGGATCATAAGGCGACCATAGATCCAATCCCTCTCGAACGGCCGCAAAGAGGGGAAAGTCGACAGATCGGATGAAGCGGAGACAACCGACGGAGGTCGAGTTTCGTTGCGTTGCGTTGTGTCGCGTGGCAGGCAGCGGCGGATAGCGCGCGGGGTTCAGCTCGTTGGTGGTTGGCTCGTATGGGATGTCAATGCGATCCGGGCTGGCAGCTGCATCGTACTCGGCGCAGGGCGGGCAGCGACAGAGCTGTGTCCTGGACTGCGAGACTGCCCTGGTAATATTGAGGTCCGTGGGCCGAGCTTTGGTTCAGGAAGGGACGATCGGCCTAAATTGGTAATTGGTAAGCACCTCGGCGTCTTTCTGCCTGGGGCTCACATGACGTATATACCCAGTTTCTACCTGTGAAGACCTCGGGAAAGTTTCCTGGTATCTATTATATTTACTGTGTCCATGAATAGCAATGTTAAGATGTGGTGTCTATATTAGTGTAAATGCTATTCATATACAGTGTGGTATCCTATCATGTCCAAAACACCTAACCACCCATATATGTCCAAGTTTCCTGGTATACTCGTACACAACAATGATATATGATATAAATGAATGTAGTCTATTAAATCGCTCAGAATGCAAAATAACAAGAAAATCACCTTGTCCGATAATGCTCGTACGAGGTAAAAGCAGGCTCGTCCTGGTCAACAGGACCATACCCTGACGGGCGCCACGGCTGCATGGTCGGGACTGCGGCGGGCGCTTCTGCTTGGGCCAGAAGTTCGGTTTCACTTTCGTTCTGGTGCTGGTAAAGCCCTCGGCTCAGACCGCTATCTGACCTTAATGGTGTCGGACGGAAGGCAGGATGGATATCGTGCAATCGCGGATCTTGATCTTCCGGTTTGAGTATGGGCAGACTTGGAACAGAGGGGGCAGGAGAAGACGCTCGCGAGGAGGTGGGAGACCAGTCACCCAAGGTGCTCCGCGGTGTTTGTGAGCGCTCGGTCATGAGATCCTCTGGCCGGCCATAGATGCCTCCACCGAACTCTTCCTGGAAGTCGGCACGGTCCTTGTAGTAAGAGAAGTCGAGATGATGCTCCGGAACCACCTCGAAGGGCGCTGAAGAGTCCTGCGCGGTCTTGCCAGGTTGGAACTTCATCATTGGGTCCATCGCAATGTCTGAATATTCCCCTTCGATCTCTGTCTGTCCCAAACGACCACGGTAGATCTGCTTGAGGGCATCTGCTGCCTTGGCGTGCACCATCGGTGTAATGAGCTGCTTGTACAGAGCTGGATGGCCAAACTTGGAAGCAAGTCGGTCCTTCGATGACTTAACCGACTTGCCAACAGCAAGCGCCTCGGAATCACTCAAGTTGGCCTTGTTGTAATAGGTGCAGTCGTGGTCAAATGTCCTCATGCAGTACCACTTAAACAGGAGCATCAAGATCGGGAGTGGCACAACGCAAAACACCATAGTCCAGGTTCCTCGCGCCTTTGCTACCAGGGCAATGATCACATCAGACAAGATCGTCGCAAAAACTAGTCGGTTAAACAGGACTCGCCAGTATTGGCCGCCGGATTCGTTTTTCGTCACAAAGATGTACATGAGCATGTACTTTTTCATCATCGCATCCAGGCCGAAATACAACGCAGTAACCGGGAGTACGATAGGCTGCAGGGTTGCAAAGCAGATGGCAACGGTTGCGTAGAATAGGAAATAGTTGTAGTAACTGGCATATTCGAACGCCGGCGGCGCTGTCCACTCGATGGTCTGTCGAGGTGTTGGGGAGAGGAAGGTTTTGGCAAACCACACCCGAAAGAGGTTAACCAGCTGCACCAAGTCAATTGCAGCACCCATGTTTCGCTGCAGAAGATATGTCACCCAGAACGGAGACACCTGGCACATGGCGCTAACGGCTTTGGTGTAGAATTGCCCATCCTGAACTGCTTGCCAAGGATCCTCATTCTTGTTTTTCAAGTCCACGACCGCCGCAACAAAAGTCCAGACTGCCGAGAAGAGAGAAAATACGATGAGGTTGTTAAAGACAAAGAAAGAATAGAGGTGCCTAAGCACGTGCTGTTCTCGAATAGTCTTTGTATAGTCACCAGTTGAGGCCGACAAGCGGCGGAAAATGATGGGCAGGATGAGGTAAACTAGCGACGTCACTGCGGGTGCCAGGATACCTTGAACAGCGGCCCAAACCCGAGGGCTGCCGTTGAGCGAAGTCTGAAAGTCTTTCCAGACCAAACCCAGATTCGACAGGTTGGAAAGAAAGACGGCGATCAAGGCGTTAGGAGCAATCCACACAATTGTCAACGCTGTAACCCAAAGAAACATCACAAATTTCTTCCATCTCCGCGCCGGCTTGGACAATGCCAGATTCTCCCAAATCAGATCGCTCGGTCGAGGTGCTAGATCGATAGTTGTTCCGCGAGGGTGTTTGTTGCGAGCCACGTATGCCACCGCATGGGCATGTTCAATTTTGTCCCAGCTGACAAACCCATATGACATGGCATTGCGCTTGTCAATAGAATGGCGCACATGACGGATCTCCTCCTCCAGCCGCTGGATACGATCGGTCAAAAAATCGATGGCATCAACCTTGCCACTCCCATGCTCAGCTCTCAGGCTCCGGGGCGGACGCATCGTGGGGCGGTTTGGTGGTAGTCGATCCGGATTCTTGAGATACTTGGCCAGAACGGATTCAAGCTTGCGCACCAACTCTTCATGTTCTTTGATCAGCTTTGGAACGCCCTTCACATTTCGACCAACGGATGTCCGAGGGAGCGCCGCGGTAGGGTTGATTTCATCGGTCAAATGCAAGAATCCCTCGTCGCTGCGTACGTCTGGGGGGGTATCTGTTATCTAAAAAGAGAAAACAGCGTTAGACAAGCCTCGAATTCACAACTGTAGCAAGATGACAAACCATTAGAGTCCGAGCATGAAGACTGCGTTGGTAGTCGGAGCTCTCGAAATATCTCCTCCGCAGTGCCAGAACACCCTTGTAGTTCCTCCACAAGAAATACGCAATGATTGTGTTGAAAGCCCAGGCGCAGATGACCTGGCTCCAAATCGCATTGGTTTCAAGATACAGCGGAGTCATTGTTGTAAATGCATTGGAACCGTCGACCTTGTCACTCCGAGTAAGATTCACAGGAATCATGACTCCGCATCCAATGATGCTAAGGAAGATGAAGATATTGCGGCACATCTTGGTGAACCGGACGAAGACAGTAGCATCGAGGCCGATACACTCGACCAGCTCGGGTTCCTTGATACGGAGGACCGGCCGAATCCAGGCGAAAAACCCTTTCCCAACCGGTGGGGGAGCGTGTTTGCGGTCGGCATGTTTAACTTTTGGGGCGTAAATGAGGGTGTGACGAGGACGAAAGAGCGAGAATAGAAGGGCGAGGACAACTGCGAATCCTGCAGAAGTAGCCAACGAAGCCCAGACGGCGTTGATTTGGAACTGAAAGGTCAGCAAAGTACAATTAACTTACAGGCGATGGCTAGGGAACATACGGCTGACTTGAACGGGTCCTGGATAAGCTTGAGGAACTCCTCGGCGCCGTCACGCCGCGAAAGAGCGCTATCAGACATAATGTAGCGAGAGAAGAGACTGCATGGGTAGCGAGGCGGGGAGACAAAGTGAAACAAGTGAGAGATCAAGCAAGAAAAGATGTGGGGAGTTCAAACGAAGAGAAGAACAGTCTGGACAGCAAAGACAGCAAAGAGGCGTCCGATGGAGATGGAGATAAAATCGGAGAGCGTCGTCAGAGCGAGAGCAGATCAGTTCTAGAACGTCTCAGCCCAAATTACGGGTCTGGTCTGGAAACACGAAGGCCCAGAGCCCAGGTTCAAACGAGGTACAAGAAAACAGTTCAAGGAAACACACTCAGCCCTGGACCCTTTTCCAGCGCAGGAGTTAAATAACAGAAACACATCATCGCAGAGTGAAGAAGAATTCGACGCAACGATACTATTTTTAACGGCTGCTAACTGGTCTGAGTATAGAGGGCCTCCAGTGTCTCACATTCTCGTTGTCTTCTCCATCGGGGGCCGACCGCCTGCCGTCTCTGGAATTACTGCCGTTGCTGTCTCAGGCCGCCCGCCCAGTCGTCAACATGCGGGAACCACTCGGAACCACTCGAAACCACGGGTGTCCCTAGCGTGGCAAATTGTTCACCATTCAGCTTGCTCTGGGTTTCGCTAAGAATTTTTTTGACGTTTAAACCGTTTTAGTGCCTCAGGCGGCCCAGGCAGCCGATATTGATTGGTCGTCACACGACATAAGCGTCCATGAGCCCAGGCCACCCAAGTTGGATATTTGTTGCGCTGAGAACATGCTTTTCAACTATCTAACTCTAACTAAGTAACTCTATCTGTAGCTAATTTTATCTTGTTTCCCTCTGAACCCGTGTCAAGCACCCACGATACCAGTGGGGAATCCGTCCGGATTCTCATGAACCTGTTATCTATGTTAATGGCCGTTCTATCCTTTGGAAATTCGACAGGATATAGACATCGGTTATTTCTCGGATGGGTAGGAGGCCTCGATTCCGTCATTTTAAGTTGGAGAAAAATGGAATGGTCAAATAATGGCTAGTAGAAGAATAATAGGGATACTGAGAACCTGAAAGTTGGAGGGTTGAAGTTGTGATCATTCCTACTATCTGAGCAGCGGCATTCTGCACCTTCTAAAAACAACAATCTAGCTTCTGACAGGGTCGCCAGTACTGAGATCAACTGAAAGCCATTTCAGTATCACTTCAAGAGCGAAGATCCTGATCAATCGTCCTCGCTGCAGAAAGACACTTCTCGTCCTGGAACCGGGACGCCACAACCTGAAGAGCACATGGGGCACCATCCACCGCTACGGGGTCGTCTGCTATTGTTAGTTTTCAAAAGACACTAGACAGGATAAAGTGGGTAACGGCATACAATTCGGCTGTCCGCTCTCTTCTAGTATCAGAGACTCGGGGTCCAGTTCCTTTGACGCCTTCCCGTATGGGATGATGCATGCGGGATACTAATGCAGTCAGCAACTATTGCGTACAACATGTTCATACCCTCAGATGTTGGCCTTACATCAATCAAGTTCCAAAGAGCAGTATATGGCGGCCATCCGTACGTATCATGCGGCACCGCTGTATTCTGCGCACCTGGAGCCAGAATGACATCCAGGTCGTTCTCTACAACAGCCTTACGCCACTCTTCGCTTAGTTTCTTGCGAGCAATTCCCAGAGTGGCGATTTGCTCAAAGACCCCAATATCCTTCTCGCCTAGAAAAGCAGGTCCTGAAAACATGGGCGACGTGAGTTGGAGCTTAGCTACGGATGACACGGGTGGTTCTCCGCTGGCGCTCATATTGTCAGGCCGCGGACCATACGTGAAATAATGGAATGCCAGTCGCATCGCGTGTGCGGCGCCTCGAGTCGAGATATTTGGCAGTCGGACAATGCGGTGGCCCTTTTTCTCGAGAGCTTCAACGGCGGATTCCAGCGCCCTTTTGACGGGTGGGTGAAAAGGGAAATGCGGGTCTTCTGGGAGTACGCCGATTGTCAGGACGGACTGAGACTCTTTCTGACTGTTCCAGGGCACTGCAACAGCTGTGGAATCGTATCTCCAAGGCTCCGCACTGGAAACAGTGGACATGAATAGCTCGAGGTCATCGAAGGTTTGGGCTAGCGGCCCTGCTGATGGCTCTATCATCGGTGTTTCCTCTGCTACACCGGTAACTTGCCCTGCGAAGGGGACGCGACCAGTTGTTGGTTTAAAACCGTACACGCCGCAGCAAAGAGCTGGGATGCGAATGGATCCGGCGACGTCGGTTCCCACGCCCAAGATAGAGCCTCGGAAGGCTACAAGAGCCCCTTCACCACCGCTCGACCCTCCTGCGGTAAGGTTGGTGTTGTTTGGATTCAACGTCCGGCCGTAAATGTTGTTATCAGAGTCGCCAGTCTAAACCGCATTAGCATTCATCATGGGCTTTTGGGCAAGAATCCGAACCATCAGGGTTTGTGGAATATTCGTCTTCACATATAGAACCGCGCCTAGATCAAGCAACAAGTCCACCAGTGCAGAGTTCTCCGTTGCCGGACCGTTATCTAGGAATGATACATAACCCACAGTCGTATGAGCGCCCTTGACGCGGAAGGTATCCTTGATACTGATCGGGAGACCATGTAGCGGGCCAATAACTTTCCCTTCGCGTTTGAGATACTCATCAAGATGTCTGGCTCTCTCGAGGGCCTCGGAAAAGAAGTGCTCTGTCAGACATGATGTCTGCAACCACCGTCAGAATACCTTATAATGTTGAGTCAGGACACCTACCAGCTGCTGCGCAATAGCTGCCCTTTTACAAAATGCCGTCGTGATGGCCAAAGAACTGACTTCGCTCCGTGCAAGTCGCTTGAGGAGCTGAGCGGCCGAATAGCTCTCTGTGATGTCCAGTTCAGTCTCTGAGAGAATCCCACTCTTGCGTGCGGGGTCTGCCTGTATCAGCCGGCCATCAGCAGGAAGTGAAGCCTTAAATTCCTCGCTCAGTTTCCATTCTTTAGGTATCAGGAGATCCAACTGTTTACGCCGCGCAGCTGCAATAGCTTGCCAGGATTGCTCTTGGGGTTGGTCTTTTGTCATTATAGAAGTGGGAGAGGGGTAGCAGTTCGGTGTTCGGCAGTGAGTTGGCAGAGCTGAGACAATCTGACGGTGGATCGCCTTATTTATACACTTGACCCAGTGGACTCCAACTACTGATATCCAACCACCAACGTATTGTATATTCGAATAAGCAAACGTCAGCAAGTGGGGGAGCTGGGCGCCGGATACGCGGCAGTAAGCCCTAATTACACGCTAAATAAGTCCCAACTCGATGGGCTGTTGACTTGCTGGTTACGACATCATTGTATGGTTATGCTTCTAGTAATTATATGTCGGCAACAGTATAATCTTGGATCTGTACTCCTGGTTGTCTGATTAATATTATCTCGGGGGATTCCGTTGAGACATCAGAGTGGCACAAGTATACATACTCTCGCCCACACAAATTTTTCAATAATAAATATCTCGAAGCAACAAAGGCTGGACATTATCTGCTTATGAGGAGTTGCGTGAGGAATAGTATGGTGATATGCATTAGCTATATATTTAAAATACTCTTTAAATGCTAAGTATGTACTTAATGACAGCACCCAAGCACATCCGGCGCCGCCTCTGTATCCCTCCGACAGAAACACGACGACTTCACCTCAACATCAGCAACAGCAACAGCAAGTTTCAACTGTGGCTCAATAACACTCGCTTCAGCCGTGCGTCCCAGCCGTACCAAACACTCATGATACCCCTGCAGCGCCCAAACATTATTCATATGCTTGCGCGCCCGGAGCACAGTATCATCCAAACCCAGATCAGTCTTATAAACAGCCAGCGCCTCTTCAACATAATTCTGTTCCAGAAGCAAGGCCGCATACGCATGGCGCACAGGCTGCATCCAGCTCCACGGCTCGCTATACCCGAGACCATCATCGAGTTCAACGGCGTGTGCAAGATGCGAGAACGCGGCGTCATAGTTTCCCTTTCTATATTCAATTTCGCCATCCAGCATGGGAGACGCAACGCCTAAAATGTCGACACATTTATTCGGGAAGTCGAGTCTTGACTCTGGAACTGCCTTTGCTGCAGCCTGGTAGAGTTCTCTATATTTCACCGCTTCATCGACATTCCCCTTCGCCGCTTGCGCGACGCCCTTGGCGTAGTATGTCATTGCGGTTGTGACGCAGTACAGAACCGGGTCTTGGGGCACGGGCAGGTTATTGATGATTTCATCCCACATGCCGAAACGGACCATTACATGCGGCCGGACGGAGAGGAACACCTCGATGAAATCCGCCATGGCGACGAGGAGCTCGTTGGGGAGCGTCGCTTCCATGCGGTCCACGGCATCCAGCGCAACATCTTTCTGGCCCGCGAACATCGCCGCGTAGATCAGCGTGTGGTAGTTGTGCATGCGGTAGTTGGAGTAGAAGTTCATTGCGCCCTCTTGGGCTAGGTATTTCTCATCAGCGATGGTCGCGCGCTGGTTCGCCCGAATCGCCGCCCTGTAATCACCGACCAGAACGTCCAGATGCGACGGCATATGGTTCGCATGCCCGGAATCAGGAACCAGTTCGCGGAGGTGATCACCCGCGACAAGACCCAGCTCGGGTGTCGGAGACATCTCAATCAGGTGGATATAGAAATGGAGTAGGCCGGGATGCTTGGAGGAGCGCTTATCACGCAGCGCGACCTCAAGCACCCTCTTCGCATCTAATGTCCTGGTCCCCGGGTTCGGTTCCCCAGTTTTCAAATCCCACAACTTCCACGGCGTCAGGCTCATAATTGAGTCCGCGTACAGCGCTGCAACATCCAGATCGTCTGCCCCGAAGGCGTCATACACGCCCTCCATCGCGTCAGCGTACGCCCGGTTCTGTGCTGCGTATTGCTCCATGTCATCCACGGGCTTGTCGCTCGGAAACCGAGCCTGGATGGCCTTGATCAACGCCTGTTCAATCGGTGTTGCGGTAGCGGCGAGGGCCAGTGCGCGCTGGGACGCCTCATACGTGCGGCGTACGGCATCAGCCAAGTTCTCGCCGAAGAACTCCCAGGCGTAGTTGTAATTCGGGCCCAGGGCGTACGCGAGACCCCAGTGGGCTATCGCGCAGGTATCATCGTGTGCAATTGCCTGCTCGAAGCACGTTACGGCTTCTTTGTGGTTGAAGGTGTAGACCCATGTTAGGCCGCGGTTGAACCAGATTTGGGTTGAGGGGTTGGTGGTAGTTATGGGGCGGCCGAAGGTGCCGAGGTCGAAGGGGTATTCTGATTCTGGCCTTTTGGCTATGGGGACAGAGGCCATGGTGAGGTCGTATTTAATAATGGGAGTATGAATAGGTGTAGATTTGTAGAGATGGAGGGGTCATACTTATGTACCGCTAAGGCTGTCTTCGGCTGAGCATTTAGTGCTGACGCTTACTAGCGGGGACTACAGTATAACAGTCCCCGCAGATTCACTCTGAAGAAAAGAAAGTACTCTTTCAGTCCTTTACTACTTTGCTTGCTCTATAAAATAATGTTGTGCGTCAATAAAACATTGTCTTTTGTACTATGTACAGGAAAGAAACATCCGTAAGCCAGACAGACACAAATTCGAACAATAGTTATAACCAAGCGAATCTATATTAGAAGTTGCCTATCGACAATCTTGCCACTGTAATCGAAGAAAAACAGGCAAAGTGTAACTTTATCTTATATAACTTTATGCTGTCAGATTTATCTGAGGATCCGCAGCTCACTGCGTCACACCGAGACCCTCGCCACCCGTCTTGTGGTACGGAGGCTTCGCACCAGCGGCCTTCTCTGCGTTGAATCGCCAAACACCACCCGTCTTGTCGCTTTCCAGAGAAGTGAGGCCAGCCTTCCGCGCAAGGTCCAGGAATTCGGGGTCAGAGTCTTCCTCGACACGGTCGAAGAAGCGGCGCTCCCATTCGCGGCCCTCGGATTTCTCGACCTTGCGGAGTTCGCGCTGCGCGTTCTCGATTTTGCCCTTGGCCGTAGAGACCGCATCCATGTTTCCGGTTTCGATGTTTGCTGCGACGTCGCGCCAGGCGCGACGGCTTTCGTAGAGATCTTGTTCTTCGATCGGTGCGAGGGTGAGCGGGGTGGTTTTCAGCTCACTCACTGCGAGGGTCTCGACGTCTTTCTTGGCCCGAGCGTCCTTGATGGTAAAGGAATTGGACCACTGGCCTTCAACGGTATATAGGGGCTTCTTTTCGCCCTCGCTCTCCTTGTATAGACTAGCGGTGAAGGTGTTCTTCTTGCCGCTCAACCAGCCCTTGCCCGAGTAGTGGATCTTTGAGGTATAGCCGGTGTTGCTGACGATGTAAGTCGATTTTTCGAGCTCCATGAATGGTGTTCCGTAAATCAGCGATTCGACGTGGAGGTGCGGGAGGGTAATAACATATTTTTCTTGCTGGGATGGGTCGTTCTTGTCCGCAGAGGGCGGGGTTATAGTATACAAGGCATGGCCGATCTGTTTGATGTAAATGGTGCTGGAAAACGAGGCCTTCTGGGCGTTGTATCCTTGCAGCTATAATTCTTGTTTAGTCTTGTCCTAGACGATTCAAGGAAGGTGGACACGTGGACAGAAAGACGAACCTGGACACCATGCTTCTCGTTCCGAATCGTGTAGGCAGTCGCTGGGGGGTGGTGGCTAGATAAACAGTTTAGTTCGAGTTATTATCTCTGTAAGCGAAAACACCCACCTGACTTGCTCACTGACCAAGCTGGTCTCGCCCACGTTTTCATCGCTATCCCACTTGCCAATAAAAAGCTCTCCGAGGAACGGGTTCAGAGGCTTCTTCTCGCTACCCAGTTTCTCGCTACGGCTGCAGTACTGCTGGCGAAGGGTGCTGAGGAACCATTTCAGGACGGCGAGGGCTCGCTTCTCGGGGTCGGTTTCTTGTGCTGGGGCGACAAACAGGGCCGGGTGTTCAGCCCAGTAGGCAGAGTACTCGGTCAAAGAGGTACCAGAAAGGATGAAGGGGGGTGCGGTTAGGGAGGAGAGGTCGCCGTTGAAAGAGGCGATTGACTAGAGCGAAATAGGTCCTGGTTAGTTGTTTGTGCTATCAGGAGGGGTAGACCGTTGGACAGCAAGGGCGCACCTTTAGAAAACTCGACCACGTAGATTTATTCTGGCTTGACAAGCCGGAACCAGCATCCTTGGAAGACATGCTCAGGGTGTACCTAGTGAGGTGCCTAGGTAGGTATATTGATTTATTGTTGAGAAAAAAGGTACGAAGGTGGGGAGCTCAACGCTCAGGTGGGACACGAAGCAGCGAAGGGGCGGAGGCAACTAGAACGCCTAGAGAAAAAAATGTGGACTTTATGGAACCTTTCAAGGACGATGAAGAGGGGAAAAATTTTGAGACAGGAAATCCTCGCAACAAGCGATTTTAAGATGGTGCAATGACAAGGGCAAGGTGTCCGGGGAAATTGAGAACTCCTAACGAGGTCAAGGAGGCTCCGATCTCGACGTCATCCGCTTTCGTCCTCCACTCCCCCCCACTCGCTTGCTCAGAGCGCTCTGCACAGCCCAATTATGACGAAGCGGATCAACACGCTGCTACGCCGACAATCCTACCCTTTGCTCACACTGAAACTGCTGAAACTTACTGGTTCCTGGCCAGCGAGAAACTGGTGGATGGCAGATCTAATTATGGTTAGGTCAACTTGGGTGGCTAGAATATGCGACGAAATGGGAGGAGCCGTTGCTGGCGTCCCGGGTACCTTTCTCTCTGAGACTTTGACCGAAGACCCTGACACGAGGGACTTCTCCACCACAAATTCAAGCAACCAACTACGTATCTTACGATTCTAGTCTGACGCGATGTTTAAGATTCGTTGTGGGCTGTGGCTTGACCGATCTTATCAGATGACTTGGCGACTGACAGCAGGTACAATCATGTAATCTGTACAAATAATGTGGCCATCGTCACTCGCCTCTGGCGATGTCCGAAGAATGGCCACTTCCAACTTCAGCAACCCTTTCAGTAGTCCGAACAGGAGTCCCCTTGCCACCAGCCTGTGATTCCGCCACACCAGTCGGGGCCCGACCAGCAGTCCCCCGATGCGCCTCTACAAACTTACGTCCATCCTCACGGCCCTTCTCAACATCGACAAGTGCAATAGCGATCATCGCAGCGGCACAAACAGCGAACAGGAATGGGAACCCCATCCAGTTATTCTGGGTGTCGTTGATGATAGCCTGGATGACGTTGGGGCCAATTATCGATGACTGTTTTGTTTAGCTTTGCCATAGTTAAAGTTTTTTAAGGTTAGGCAAGGGGGAACTAACGGCACGGTTTGTAATCCCGAATAAAGCGAAGAACATGTTATCGTATCCCGGGGGCATGAGTTCGCTGATCATCGTTTGGGCGTACTGCGTGGGTTAGCGTTGGTATTTAATTCGGAACAGCAGGGAAAGACATACAGCGTAGTATGGGGCCTGGAAGAGCCCGAAAATGACATTATAAAAGTAGAATTCCCACTGTTTGAATCAGTATCAGACCACCGTCAGATTTGTCTCAACATACCCGATTATGATAGCCAATGCGCTGTGTCCAAAGACCCAACATCCCCCAAAAAGGAATCAGCACACTGAAGAAGTTTGTGAATAGAAACATGCGCTTGGTCCGGACTTTGAAGTATTTCTGGAAATACCAGAAGCCGAACGTAGAGGTAATCGAGCATGCCGACTGGGCAATACCAAGGTATGTCAATTGGAGGAACGAGAAGTTGATAAAATCGTTCTGGATAATCGATACCAGTGTTCCTGTAATTCGCATATTAGTTCAGCCTTGCGAAGCGACAAGGCCTGCTCACCAGTAGTGTTTAGCCCGTCGGCGAGGAGAAAGTAGGCTATATAGTACAGAACGAGCTGGGGTAAAGTACGAATCTTCCTCAATGCAAGCCAGATCTGCTTGAAGCCGATAGTTGCGTAGCTTGAGCCCTCTGGGACTTTGGGTCCAGGTCGCTTTTGCTGAAATATGAACCACCATACTCCTAGAACGACCCAGTCTGGTTAAGCTATTAGCTCAAGCTGTATCTAGAACCCCAAACAACTCACATGAGTTAGTCAAACAGATAGCCAAGTTATTTGCATAATTGTTCCCCTGCATCGGCAGCAGCACACTAAGGTTGATAAGCAGCACAGCCAAGTAACCAATATTACTATGCGCGGTCGAAATATTCCTATAGCAGATTAGTAAAACTCCCTCAACTGCCATATATACATACGAGATATGGTTCCTCTCCAACGACTCCACAGCATCATACTCCTTCTGATCCATCCTCCCCTCTCTCAAATCCTCCTCACGCGCCTTCCTCACATGCGGCATATACCTCGCCAGCTTCGGAAAAACAGCCGCATAGAAGACCAGCGTCGCGCCATACGCAACATACGTGACAATGTACATCCCCATAGCCGCGGGCCACTGCGCGGGCTCTCGAATCGCCAACATGCCGTACTGCAGCGCCCAACATACAACTGTCAGCGCGAGGAGCAGCCACCGCCCGAAGGAGCCGTAGTCGGCGGCGCTTCCGAACCAGACGAATATTATGGTCATGAAGGTGAAGCTGAGCCCGTTGGCGATTAGGACGACGGAGGAGACGCTGCGGGTGCCGCCGGCCCAGGGCACTACGCAGGGGGAGGAGTCGGTGCAGGGTTTCTTGGGGTTTGTGCCTGGTTGCCACCCCGAGCCGTTTAGAGCCCATTGGAATCTAGACAGATTAGACGTTTGGGCTATAGGGTTGGGGTCAAAAGTGCGGTGTAGTATTACAATGCCTGCGTATATGATAGAGGTCCTACCCCGTTGTCGCCTGGATAAAGTGGAACTCTGTCAGTGAATGGTGATTGAAGGTAGAGACAGGGCTTATTCACCATTATAGTAGAGATAGTATGACCACAATTCCTTCCGGGTCGTCGTCGGGGCATCGAAGGAGTCCTGCTCAGCTCCAAACAGGTGGTTGTATTCATCCTGCTCTTGCTCTGCTTCGATTCCTTCCGTATTTTGAGGATGTGATGTAGCTCCATTCGATACCATATTTCCATATAACCCAACCTGCCTCAATTATGGAAATCCAGGGATTGATTGAGGCACATGGGAAGAGAGGGGTGATAAGGAAAAGCCGAGATGCGAGGGCGAAAGGGTGATAAACATTCCTTAACCCCGCATCATTGCAGACAGGGATAGTCATGCGTCCCGTGAGTTTGGAGTGTCCTCGATTTTCAATTAGTGGAAGGATTTCTGGGGAAGCTTGGCAGCTGAACAAGCATTAGAACAGGACTGACTGGGTGCATTGGTTGGTGCTGTAAATGGTGGTTTGGTGGCTACCGGAGACTAAATGTAATTCTCACGACATTTCAGTGGTTCAGTCGACTTCAGGGTCGAGTCACCTGGTGCATTCATATTTACTGCCATATGGATGACCGCGTGGTTGTTATAAACAATTCATGATATTTATGGGTATTGTTGCATCTATATAATTATCGGTGGGGGACTTTGCCCAACACCATTCGAGGCATTACCAACTCCCCACGTTGGAGTGCTAATATTTACCATACTATGTCAACCTCTGAGCCACCTAAACACTGTTTGTTAATTAATGCCACTGCTCGTGTTATGTACTACTGGTCTTTGTTTGAGGCGACGGTAGACTGAACCGATTCATGCTTTTTCTCCTTTGGAGGTGTTCTGGCATGTTAACATACCAGCTACGCACACAGAAGACAGTTTTATCTACTGTGGAAGCTCACTGCAACTGATGAAATCAATTCATCTTAGATACAACATACCAACGCCATCCCCAGTTCTACATTCAAATATGCTTTTCCAGGCTGTACACTTTCATTGGTATCTTATCGCCATATCATATCCGTTTAAACGTGAATCCAAAATTATTTTCTGCAGTCATGAAAGAAGAAATTGTTTACAGCTTGCCAGCAGTGTTGAAGTCCTCGAGGGCTTCCTGGACACGCTTGCTCATGGTCTTCTCACCCTCGCGGATCCAGACACGGGGGTCGAAGTACTTCTTGTTGGGCTTGTCCTCGCCGTCAGGGTTGCCGACAGTCGACAGGAGGTAGTCCTTCTTGCCAAGGACGTAGTCACGGACACCAGTGAGGTAAGCGTACTGCATGTCAGTGTCAACGTTGACCTTGACGACACCGTAGCTGATGGCCTCCTTGTACTCGGCCTTGGAGGAACCGGAGCCACCGTGGAAGACGAAGAAGACGGGCTTGTCCTTGGAGGAGCCGGTCTTCTCCTTGACGTAGGCCTGGTGCTTGCTGAGGAGCTCGGGGTGGAGACGGACGTTGCCGGGCTTGTAGACACCGTGAACGTTACCGAAACCAGCGGCAATGGAGAAGTAGGGGCTGACGGCGGCGAGAGCGTTGTGGATGGCGAGGATATCCTCGGGCTGGGTGTAGAGGGAGTTGTTGTCAACGTCCTCGTTGTTGACACCGTCCTCCTCACCACCGGTGATACCGATTTCCTGCGATAGTTAGTTATGCGATTCTTAAATCAAATAGTTGAAGGAGCTTACCATCTCGAGCCACTGCTTCATGGGGGCAGCACGCTTGAGGTAGGCGGCAGTGGTCTGGATGTTGTAGTCGACGGGCTCCTCAGACAGATCAATCATGTGAGAGGAGTAGAGGGGCTCGCCGTGCTGCTTGAAGTAGGCCTCATCGGCGTCCAGAAGGCCATCGAGCCAAGGGAGAAGCTTCTTGGCGCAGTGGTCGGTGTGAAGGACGACAGGGATGCCGTAGGCGGGGGCAATGCTGCGGATGTAGTGAGCAGCGGCAATACCACCGGCGATGGAAGCGGCCTGGCCGTCATTGCTGACACCCTGCGCAGGTTAGTACGGGTTTGTTTTGTTCTTGAATCAAGTGATTACGTACCTTGCCAGCGAAGAAAGCAGCACCACCCTGGGAGATCTGGAGGATGACGGGGCAGTTCTGGTCGCGAGCAGCCTCGAGGGAAGCGATGACAGTGGAAGAGGAGGTGACGTTCTGCGTCGAGTGTTAGAATCAACTATTCAAGCGATGCGATGCAATTGAGGGAGGGGTCAACTTACAATGGCGGGGATGGCAAACTGCTTCTCCTGAGCGTACTCGAAGAGACGGAGAACGTCATCACCGACGATGACACCGGTCTTGCGGGAGAGCTTCTCGAGGACACCCATTGTGGCAATTGGAATCAAAAATGAAGAGATTGGTTAGAGTGAAGTTGAGTAGAGTTCGGGTAGATGTAGAGAAGAGAGAGAAAAGAGGCTGGCAGAAGTTAGAAATAAGATTTCTGAGCTCGAGGCCTTTACCGAAACGACGAATACGGCGGTTAAGTAAGTGAAGCACAGGCCGAATGAGGAATGAGGGGCAAAGAACTCACCGGGCAGTGGAGAAGTGATGTATGAGTGATGCTAAACACAGCAAAGAGGAAAAAAAAGAAGGGAACCAGACGGGGAGTGCCAGAGGGAGAGGGACCCTTATTAATATGGGCAATTGACCCGGATTCCTCCTGTTCTCGCCGTTTGCCAGCCAGTTCTCAACAGTTCGTTCATTCTGTGCTGCTGTTGTGGTGGGGTTGGATGACGCCTGTTGGCGGCCTCAGGCAACGGGAGAGCTCCCGAGAACCCCCGCCATGCATCACATGACATCATCCATCCGCGCTGCCAACATTTGGACGCTATTGCCACCTCGCATACAAAAGAACAGCTCTGCCCGGTTCTCCTGCGATGATCTTGTTTTGTTGCTGGGTCTCTGATCTCATCTGCAGGGCTGGTCTGAAATGGTTGAGAGCAGATGGCCCCAGGCACAATCCCGGTTGAGCTGCAAAGAATTAACCCATCTCCGTTTTTCTTTCGTGCTTCACATTCCAGCGTCGGGACAAGGAGCGGGGTTCTCGCCGTTGCCTTCCAACCGTTTCCTTTGCTTTCGGGCACGAGTCTCATGATCCGGCTCGATCTGCAGGACAAGGCTACTTCCGGTGCATCTTGAGGCTATTCACGGCCGATTTGTCTTTTCCAAGAATCCAAGCAATTGATCTGGACCGATTCTGGCGCAAGCTACTTCCGATAAACGGCGCGCAGACATACATATCGGAGTGGACCCCATCTACATAGATTGACTGCCCAATGTTTCATCTCGTTTTATCATCACTTACGTAGTCAGCTGATCCATCTGACTGTCGGAACAATGGACTCCGCTGTTGTTCGGGCTATGTATATCCGTTACTTCATGGCGTCCTCTGGTGTGGCGGACATGACAGCCTTTTATTATGACTCAGGGAAGTAGCAACAGGTACTGGAACCTTCGCCAAAGTTTATGGCCCATAGTATTTCTCAGCATGGTGACAGGCAGCACAGGACCGAGTCATGCAATAAAATAGGTGATATGACTCAAACAGAGTTCCTGCATAGTATATAATGTCTTTGCTGTCTATTGGGCTATGTTCAGACATGTCATCCGCTGCAGCTCAAACGTCATTGTGAGAACACACTGATGTCTGCTATACAACAGACATATCACTTTAATATCCTATTTTGAACGAGCCTTTCGATATCACCAGCGATATGAACATGGATGATCAAGACCCTCAACCCCCAACATACACCGCACATCTGGCCTTTGACCTCCCACCGCCTTATATCCCACCTCATGTCCAAGCTATCGAGCCAACCCGTGATTTCAAAGGGGTGTTGGTTGACCAAATGGACAGATGGCTCGAGGAGCTGGATGATATAGACTGGACCGTCAGGAATGCTCAGCCGGTACCCGAATATCTCCCAAGACATCCTGGTACTGATGGTACAGACCAGGGCCGAGATAGTGACCTTGACGGCCCGACGTTGGGTCATGAGCCTGGGAATGGCTTTAGTCCTGATGATAAAGTCAGACATGACCTTACCCGGAGCCACGACACTGGGCCTGTTGAGAATGAGAATGAGCATTACAATAATGACACCAGTGCCTCCGAAGACATCAGTGACGACGACGGTTGCGATGAGGAACTGTCTGCGATTGTGAACAGTGGCTGGGCACGGTTGAGACGGATCCAGGACCATATAGCGTCATTCAAGCATTCGCTCTCTGAAGACTCTGAGTGCTACAATACTGTGCTTTGATCAAGCCCTGACATGATTTAGGACCCTCCGTTCATGCGCCTTGATACTGGTCTTGTCTTTATTCGCGGGTTTATTTAAGACTGCAAGATTGTCGGAGTTCAAATATAATCATGATTATCTACAAGAACGTAAATCTATCAGTAGTGATACAAGACGCATATATACACATCACTCAACCAGCAAAACACTAAACTGCCTGCCTGCAGCAGCATCAACAACCCTGAGTCCTCTCAACGGACTCGTCTGAACTGCGCTGGGCAATTCTACGCCGTTACTCCGGGGCTGCTTTACCTCGTACTCTCCATTCGAACCCCAGGCATACGCCGTCCCCGACTTTGATACCAAAATCGAATGTCCCCATCCCGCCGAAGCCTTCTCAACCCTCGACTCAACCCCCGAAACAATCGTCGGTTTCGTCAGGATCCTCGGCGTCTCTGAACCATCCTCAAAAAATAAATCATCCTCGGATATCATATCCTGCCTAACTCCTAGTGAGTTCCCCCCAATAGACCCCCAGCTCAAACACCGTCCATCTTCTGTAACAGCAAGACTATGATCCCTCCCCCCAGTAAGTATATACTCCCTATCCGGCTCCAGACTTCCCAGTCCCAGCCCCTCCAGTCCCGTAGGAACTGGAACAGTCGAGTCTGCTCCTAGCAAATTCACATCGTCGATAACACCTGTCTGCCCATACCGGTTATACCCCCATGCATAGACATACCCGTCCCCCTTCACCGCGAAAGAATGGTACGCCCCCGTCCCGATAGAAGCCACATCGCACTTCGTTTTCCCAGGGAGCGCAACAAGTCGAGGCGTCAGACCAGCTGTGGCAGCAGCGCGTTGCCGGCCTAGGATCCTGCGTCCGAGCTGGTCGCGTTTATACGCGCCCCAAGCAAAGACAGCATTTTCGGGCTTGGGCATGCTGCGCTTGGATTTGAGGGATCTAGATTTAGTGATCCTGCTTGGAACCGTGCTTGCCCTCCTACTGCTGGATTTGGATTTGATCAGGTCTGCGTCTTCGGTGAGTGATAGGGCAAGGACATGCTGGGCGCCTGCAGCGAGTTTCTTGACGTATTTGAGTTCGGGGATGTGTAGTGGGGTGCGCTGGAATGTTACTGAGGGCCGGAAGCCGATGAGGACTGAGACTTCTTCGTCTGCTTCGTTGGTGTAAGTTTCCTGTTGGTTGTTAGCTGTGCTTCTATATGATACTTTGTAAGTTGAGGAGGCATACCCTAAAAGTCCCCCAACCGTAGACATCGCCGAACTCTGTGAGTACGAACGTCGCGCTCTCCGTCGCAGTAACCTGTACGAAGACCGTCTCTGCGGGTAATCCCACGGTTGTAAAGTCCACCTCTGTAGGAGTTGGTTCCTGCTGGGCTTGGGTCTCCCTCCCCAGTTGCCCGTCACTGTTATCGCCCCATGTCAAGATGCGATTATCGTGCGTGAGAGCAACGCAGTGGCGACCACCAGCCGCAAGATCCACAACACCAACCGTATCCTTCGTTAGGTTCGTATTCAGTGTAGGCTGCGTGACGTTTGCTTCTGCGTGGCCAAGACCCAGCTGGCCGTGGGAGTTTGCGCCGAAGACGTAGACAGAGCGTTTTGCGGTTGGAGGGTTGTTCACTATCAGGGGGCTCACTTTAGCATGAGTATCAGTAGGGTTACTTACCACCATGCTGGTGACTGGAGGGGATGTATATGTCTGTAAGAAATCGGGGTACGTACATCGTTCCCTTTGATCTGCGCCAGTTGCGACTCGAGGGTTAGAGCGCAGTCTGAGTGCTGGCTGTTCTGGATCTGCCTCCTCTGCCTCCTCTGCCTCTGCCTCTGTTACTCTCCTCTTCTTGGATACCGGTCCCTGGGTCTCAGGAGGCGATGGTGATTCTGCTCGCCGTTTAGTGCCCTTACTGGTCGTGGCCCTTCCTTTCACTTTCCCTTTGCCACTACCAGAGTCAGCCTTTTTCGGTTCTTGCTGCAGTGTCTGGCTGCGTGTAGCTCGTCTCTTTGGCGGACTTGGGGGAGGAGACGGGGAGGAAGACTCTTTGCGTTTTGTGCCTCTTGGTGAGGGTGTCAATTCTCGGGCTTTGCCTTTGTCCTTCCCCTTCTTCTTTTTCGAGGCCTGTTCCACTTCTTCACTTGCCTGGGCTGAAGTTTGCTGTCCCTGCTGTAGTTGGCGTGCATATGCCCGTGTAATTCGCCTGGGTGGTGGACTAGGGTTTCGGGGAGGCAGAGTTCGATATGGAGAAGGAGATGGAGCTGATTCTCGAGCTGAGTGATATTCAGTTTCGTCTGAACCATTTTTAGAATCTTCCTCTGGCCGCTTTTTGGGCTCCTGTCCCTGTTCTTGTGTCTGTTCATGCACTCCATCTCCGAGTTCATCTGCCACCAGCTGCTGGACATTTCCAAGCTCAGCTTCAGAATCAGAATCAGTGTCTGCTTCAAGGCCGGGTTTATACTCAGAACCAGCGTCTGAAGGAGCTCTAGTTGAAGGTTGAGATTCAGACGCAGACTCGTACTCTGGGATTGTCTCTAGTGCTGTAACAGTTTCAGATTCGGGTTTTACCTGCACAGTTTCAGATTCTCGGTTTGTTTGTGGTGTTTCATTCTGTCCAGGCTCGGTATCTGACGGGCTCTCACTCTTAATCTTGGGATTAGATTCAGGTTCAGGTTCGGATTCAGCTTTAGGCTCAGGCGCAGACTCTCGCTCTTCTGGTACTTCTGGCACCTGCCTAGGCCCAATGTTAATTGTTCTCGGCGACACAGGCGTCGGCGACCTCGAGAGTCTAGCAGAAGATTCACATATACCCAGAGATCTCAGAAGAACAGGCCGTGGAATGGGGGTGGGAGTAGAAGGCAGCCTCTCTGTCTCGGACCCCGTATCTATCCCTGGCGTGCTAAGCCTTCTAGGCTCGATTATCGTAGGTACAGACACAGGGGTATGCACAGGTGGCGGCGGAGGACCAACCTCCGCTTCATCCTCTCCCTCAGATACTGACAGTACCGATCTCTCTGCAACGCCAGGAGATTCAGACAAGGCCGGCACATACGTATATGTTCTCGGCGGCTCGGCGAAGGAAGCTGGCGCAGATCCTGTCTCTGCCTCGAAAAACCTATGATAGTGAGTGCTGAAGGAGATGGGGACTGGTATAGCAGGTGCTGACCTGTCCTGACTGGACGTTACTACAGGCGAGTATCTAGGGCTGGAGTGCCGCGAGCTCGAGGACGAGTTTATCATGTTGCGCATTACGTCCACGATGTCCCGTGCGAGTGCAATCGGCGCGTCGAGGCGGTTTTGGTCGGTGAGGTTTTCGTACAGGGCTTGTTCTTCGGGGGTGTGCTCGGAGGGTTGCTGGGGTTCCTCAATGTGCTGTCCATAGTAGTATTCAGGGAAATAGCCATAGTTCTCTTGCGTATTTGGTTCTGGGTCCGGTCCAAAACCATGGCCCGTATTGGGTAGCGTGGGTTGAGTAGGGCTATATGGATAGGTGGGATTGAGATACGGGTTATAACACCCCGCAACTTCTGGAAGCACTGGATAGCCGGTATATGTAGGTTCTGGGTATGATGGGCCGGTCTCATCCTGTCCAGCCATTTGTCTTTCTGGGCTTGGTGACAGAGTTGGTGATGTAGGGTCGTACGGCCGTGTTTGCTCTTGCTCTTGCTGCTCTTCACTGTCACTGTCCAGGTAATAATATCCCTGAGTGATAGACTCATCCAAAGTCTCTCCATCTGTCCCACTCGAAGACGTCCCATATACATGAGCCCACAGGCTAACATGCTCGTGCTCATTCTGACCATTACCAGTGCTTGCAGCGTCACTCTCATTCTGATCATTTGCAGGAGCTGGATCAGACCCTTCGCCCTGGTCTTGGCCAGTCATAGAGCCTTCTGGAGTCTGGCCATCCTCCCCATAATTTCCTTGTCCAGAGATACCATCACCACCAGGTGCTGGACCGGAATCTCCGCTGTCACTCGAGTCACTAGAAACGGCTGTCGCAGTTTCCGGATGAGATCCATTCTCACTCGAACCAGTTGAGATGGTTATTGCAGTCTCCGGATGAGACCCCCTTCTCTCAGGTTCTTTATCGTCACCGCTGCTAAGAGATATCGGATTACTCTGCGTGCCCCCGACCCCATGCTGGTCATTTGGACCTTCGGTCGATTGCAGAACAAGGCCTGGATATGCCTCTCTTCCGCTCCCGCCCCCAACCGGAACCCCGTTCTCGTACTCTGTCGAGGCAGAGCGCCGGCTTTCATCTGATTGGGGGAGTCGATATTGATATCGGCCTTGATTCTGGTACTGCGGTGTAGGTCCATGCCCCAGGAACGATTCGCTTGCTGGCAGTGGAGGTAGTGGTATTGCTGGTGGGGGCAGTGGTGAGCATACAGGGCTTCCTTCTGAGTCTCTGCGGATATCGTACTGACCTTGGCCTGGATAGGGGTAATACAGAGCATCCGATCCAGCCCCATAGTACGCTTGGTTGTCCTGTAGCGGATAGTTCAGGAACGATTCGCCCATTCGTCCCAGCCCATGCACTTGCGGCAGGCCATGCGTCGGTGGCAGCTCATAGTCTTGCTGCTCTGGTTGTTGATCTGGAGGCGGTCCAAGATATGATTGTGGATTTGTATCGTATTGTGGAAGCTGTTGGCTTGCTATTGATGGAGGTTCGTTAGGGCTTGGTGGCGGCGGTGTTGGTAGCTGTGATCCGATTTCAGACCTTGTGCTGTCGATGAGGGTTCTATGTTCGTCTTCATCTTCTTCATCTTCCTCATACTCCTTTTCCTCATCGTCGTTTTCATCTTCATTGTCCTCTTTATCTTCGCGGTCGTCATCGTTCCCCTCGTGGTCGGTGCCATTCCCAGTCCTACCAGAATCATAAGTCCCATCAGACCATATCTCAAAGCTTTGTTGACTAGATGGACCGCCGTGGGTGTCGTCGCCTTCATATCCGGCTTGGTCTTCGTTTTCGTCCTCGTCCTCGTCCTCGTACTCGTCCTCGGTTTCGGAGACGCCGTAGCTGTAACCATTAGATAGAGCATTAATAGCTGTGATGGCCTCTAATGTAGGCGTTCCAATGCGAGATTCCTGACTGTTACTCCTGTAGTCTTCCAGTGAGGACAGGCTCTTCTCTGAGACCTGGTCGTCCTGTGGTTCTGTATCATCAGGCGCAGGAGTGGAACTTGGATCACTATGAAAGGGCTGGCTTGGGTCCTCGTCGTTGGAGGCTGTTTGTTCGGACATTATATCTCGTTTTCTTCTTACTTCGTTGGTGTCGTGTCAATGTAGGATGTGTATAAAAAGGAATAGTATGCCGTATACGATGGCCAAATAGATAGATCGATCGTCTAGTCTAGCTAGAAATCATCCCATGTCAGGGAAAAAGAAAAGAAAGGTAAAAAAGTGTCAAGAAAAGAATAAGAATCTTGAAGCGTTTCACGAAGAGGACAGAAAAGAGAATTTATCTTTTGATCATCACCACTCACCACCATGCGCTCGTCGTAAAACCAGCCCCAGGTCTAGCTCCAGATCTATCTGCGTCTCCATTGTTAAACGTGTTTTATTTGGCCTTGTGTGTTTGACAGCAGCTTTCTTGCTCCTTTGTATACAACTCCTGTGCTGCAGTTCTTTGTATGCAACCCCGTTAGGGCTGGCTCCCGCTTCCCTCAACCACATGCTGGGAGTTTCACGGACAAAGAAAGAAATGGATTATGAAACGGAGAGGACAAAAGATATACTACTTGCCTCGGAACAAGAATGCTGGGTTCTCAAACAATGGGCTCTTCTTACCTGAAACTGAATGAAGGCTAATTATAGTGGGCATTGTATGGCGATTTGGTAGAAATTTATTGCAATATCAGTGGTTTAAACTTAGCCGGTGAGCTTCAAATATTAACAATATGGATATTAACTAGAGGTCTCTCTTCGGAGAGTTTAATCTTGTAATCTAATGTTGATAGGCTTGTTAGCCAAGTATCCTGCATATATTGCATCTGAGCTTCACTGAGATCATCATATAGATGCCTTACAGAAGAGATTTTCAAGCTCTTTCTCCTGTAAATACTATCATGTTCCCTCTGTTAAGACATATATTATTCAATACCAAGCAACTTCTAAGTTGATATCTATAATTAGCCAAAACAAATGACCACCGACACATCTACCATTGGGATAAACTCAAGCTCTGGGAATCAAACGGTGAAAAAGAAAGGCAATTATCAACACCTCTATTTTTAGTTAAAACAAACAATAAAAGTCCACCATATGTCATGTTCATGTTCAAGTATGTTTATGTCCATATGCTTATCCCCATAACAGATGCAAGTCTTCAGAAACCTATATACCAACTTCGGTCGGAAAAGCCCCGTGGTTTGATATCCAGCAATCAAGCAGCCGTCTTCTCCATCTCATAGAACAAAAGATACACCTCCTTCTGCATGCCCAGCACATCAGAAGTCTTACACTCCTTGATCTTCTCATCCGAGATCCTCCACCACCGATCAACCTGTTTACGGCGGCGGCGGAACTTCGACGCAACTTTCGCACCTGTGCTTATTTCCGTGTCTGTCGCTGATGCGTTGCGTTCTGCAAGAGACGAGCGGGACGCAGGACTGTCCAGGCGCGTTGTTTCAAGTGATGAACCGCGCGGCGCAGATGTAGGTGAGAGGTTCTGCTGGCCGGAGCTAGAGGATTTAGAACGCGTGCTTTGGAAGGAGACGCGAGAGCTTGAAGTCGTTGGGCGCGGGGATGGGTAGGAGCCTGTGCTGAGCTGCGGGCTCCCGCGGAGGTCGGCTGTTGATGGGGATCTGGAGGGCTCGGAGGGGGAGAGGGAAGTTGTTGAGCCTGTGGAGGCTGGTGTCGATATATTTAGAGCTGGGAGGTCAATGTCGCCGTTGCTGCGGGCTGGAAGGCGCGGGCTTTGCACGCGTGACGGGTTTTCGCTGTTTGCGCGGCTTTGTGCGTAGGAGCTGAATACGCTCGGTGTTGAGAATGGGGGGTATAGGTGGTTTCGTCGGAATGATTCGTAGTGTCCGCTGTTGTGGCTGCCTTTATGGCAAACTATGGCCAGAAGTTTGAACCACTTCTGGTTCAGGATCCCCCCAAGCGGGAGCCGCTCAGGGAAGGAAACCTTTGCCGCGTTCTTTGTAGAGCTGCTGTGGTCGAAGATAGATCGTGAGAGATGGATGCCGATGATTTTGGGGAATACAGTAATACGCATGTGCCGCGCGATTTGGCTCTTCGGGACATGCTCAGCAGGTGGCAGCGTGACACCATCCAGAGCAGATTCCGGATCACTAGCCAGAGCGGTTTGAATCTTTTCTATCTCGACTTGCAAGGACTGTCGGTCCGCTTCTGAGCGGGCCTTGGCCAACCCTCTCGTTTTCACCTCGACCGCGTGTAGCAGCCGACACTTGTCGCATCGAAAGTCTTCGATATATTCGGTCTTGAGGAGGCCGTCAAAGCATGCATTCAGCGTGGTAGAGCTCTTCTGCGGGACCTGCAGCGTCAAGTTGACAAACGAGGTTTGGTTCGGCTTGTACTTGTAGCGGCAGGACTGGCATTCGATCTGCGACTCCATCTTGCCTTCAAACGGAAAGCCATACTCATTGTCGATTTCCTTGAGCTTCGTGTCGATGATTGCTGGGAGACCATGCTCCGTGCCGTCATCGACTCGCACTTCAATCTCAGATGGGGCATCTTCGCCCTGGTCCGGTTGGCATTCAAGAGATTTCTGCACCCTCTGGCGCACCCTCACACCTGCATGGTACTCGTCGGAAAGCCGTTCAGCCACAATCTGCAAAAACTCCTGCGCATCCTGCTGGTTCCGACTAATCCGCGTACGATACGCATACTCCAGCGCCTGGATGAACCCGCGCGCAGAAATCGTCTTTTTGTAAATCGGCCGCTCATTCAACCGATCCAGCATCTCCTTCAGCGCCCTCGTGATCGTCCCCTGCTGAAGCTCCCGGACACGATCCGGCCTCTTCTCACGCAGCTCCTCATCCGGCTCATCCGGCAACTGGTTGTAGATTTCAGGCCCATCCAATTCGCGTCGATGAAGCTCCCGGATCAAATACAGTCGCAAATCACCCAGCCCGGCAAGCGCCTGGAGCACGGAGTTGATAAAGCAGTCATTTGCGGGGTTCGAGAGTCCCACAATGCTCTTTTTGCCGCTGCCCCCGAGCTCGTCCCCATCGATAGTGTAATTCGGCCCGAACACGTAGAACAGAGCAACAGCCGCGAGAGATGCTCCCGCCGCGTATGCGGCGACCGTAGTCGGTTTTTCCTGCATCAACCGCGCGGGGTATCGTTTTTTTGGTCACTTACCCAATTCGTGTCTGGCGCGTTGCTCTATTGGTGTTCCATGGGATGTCTGCCTATTACAAATCCTGTAAGGAGAGCTCTGCGCTGCGCGCACTTGTTGTTTATCGGGGCGAGTAATAATTATTCCAGGCTGATGCAGAACAACCTCCCAGATATTTGGCAATTCAGGTCAGGAGAGCTCGGAAGCAGGTGGATGGAGGCCGTTGGCGAATAAATTTGCCATCAAACCCGCAACCAAGGGAAAAGGCTGTGCCGGCTCCAGCTGCGGAGAGGAAAAGACTGGGGTAAGTCTTGGACAAGGCAGAAGAGCTGACTTGATCGCGCATGCGTCACGGAAAGGGCCCTTTCCGAATAGGCAGCACAGTAACAGTAAGCGGGCAGAAACACTCAGGGTGTAAGATCAAATGAAGAGAAAACCAGACGGAAGATACGCAAGGCTGCAGGGCGCTGTCTGTTTGTTCGGATGTTCCTCAGCGCCGACCGCAGAACGAGTACGGTCGCTGTAGCTGTGCCCGAAGGCTCCGTCGGCGTCCCCACATCACCGCGCAGCTTCACTACGACGGTAGTTGAGCATCAGGGCTGGTAATTGCTCCGGGTCTCCATTCTTGCCTTGGAGCGTGTCAGCTGCAGGCCAATAACCGCAGCAGGATTTCCCTAATGATTGATCGCCGGAGTGGGCGGAAGCGCGGATTTTCGTCGATTGACCCGCTGATCCCTTGCCGAGTGCTGATTGTCCACCCCGGCGCCCAGTCGCTGATGGAGCGAGTTTTGACTGGGTTGAGTGCCTGTGTTTATCCTCGGCTGTTGATTCGAGAGAGCACACCGTGGACCAAATGATGCAAGTGTAGTGAGGGAAGCGGGGTTGGGAAAACCTCGGCGTGGGATGAGAGAAGGATGAAACATTGTATGGAGTAGGAGACTAGGAGTGATGATCTGCTCGGTCAAGGCGACTGCTGCACCGTCATCGGTGTAACAGCTCACAGGCCTCGCTGGTCTTTAAAAATACCCCACTGGATACTTCACATTCGGCATAAAACAATACAGGGGACCGGTGTATACTATCAGATTTGTTCATTATCTATCCCGAGCTTTTGTTTTGATCAACTCTATCATAACCCTAATCCAAAATAACTTCATACGAGGCTGCTCCAGGGTATATGGCCTTCATTGCGTATCATAGACCACGCTTATTGGGGCAGAGTGGCAACCTTCTCATTGAAGAGTTCCTCAGCCTGCTTCCAGACGCGCGCATTCTCGCGGTCCTTGAGCTGCAGCAAGCTTGGCATCAGAGCTTCGCTGAACATCTCGGAGCTCTCACGGGGAAGAAGCGACGGGAGGTGATCAATGCTGATCACGCTGAGAGGCGTACCCTGGCTGCCACTTGGCAGAGTCACAGGTACTGTGGGCTTGTCGAAGGTGGTGGTGATGTTGTAGACCGGGATTGGGTTGTTGGGGTTAGTGCTATGGATAGCTTTAGCTCATTGTCATGGGTTTTAGATGGATCTTTCTTACGTATCAGCGCTAACGTCGCAGATAACAGACAAGCGACGCTTGGGGGTATCAAGGCTCTCAACGTTGACAACTGGAGCAGGGTCAGCAATCATCCGACCAAACAGCTACCTCCGCTATCTATCCGACAGGATATAAAACTAAAGAGGTTTCACTTACAGTGAGGAATCTTGGAGGACAGGTAAATGCAGTTCACGAAGATATCAGAGTCTTCAACAATCTCCTTGAAGGGGCCACCTAGGACTTGCGTCAGCGTTTGAATCTCTCAGGAGTAGACAGTACAAACCCTTCTTGGTCTCCTCCATATCCCACTTGATGATGTCGGTGTCGGGGATACCAACATCCTTGGCCAATTGGACAGCACCCTTGCCGCAACGCCCGAGCTACAACATTGAGATCAGCAATGCTCCCACGCAGCGCGGACGGGTCACTTACAGCACCAATGACCAGAATCTTCGGCGACGTGCCGGACTGCTTCTGGCCAGCCTGAAGCGATGCCTTAACAGACTCAATAAGAAGGTCCTGGTTCGCATAAGGGGTCTCGCCAGTAAGAGGCTCGCCCTCAGGATGCGTCAATTGCCAGGCCCAGTTCTTGACAGCCAAAGCGGCACCTGGATTCTACATGAGCATCAACCAAGTCAGATTCAAAATGACAGGGTAACTAACCGGCATAACCAGCAGAGAAACCAAAAGCTACCAGGCCCAGTTAGCATATCCCTAAGCACACGAACCACCAGCTCTGATGTCTTACCAGCAACTCGTCGACCAACATCATCGGTAAGGAACTCCAGGTCCAGAAGAGTACCACCACCGCGGGGCCACCGGCTCAGAACCTGCTCCCAGCCACCCTGGCCCTTGTAGCAGTGTGCAAAGGAGATATGAACGTGCTCGAGCGGGAAGTCGTCCTCGGGGAGCTCCTTGAGACCCAGGATGTATGCGTCCTTGGGAGCATCCTTCACCCAGGAACCCTCCTCAACGAGAGGGGCGCCGATCTGTATAGCAATCAGAAACGGGGTTCGTTATATTCAGCACTAGGTATTCGGACCTTGGTAAATTCCTCATCTGTATAAAATCACCGTCAACGAGGTCCCATACGGATTGTCAAAAAATCACAATGGTTCAATTCAATGCTAGTGCAAGTGTGCAGCTGGGCTTTGGGAGAGTGTCAATTGGACTAAACTCACCATCGAAAATACGCTGGGTAGAGCGCTCAACAGTCACCTCGTATCCAGCATCAATAAGAGCCTTGCAAGTGGTAGGAGTCACTGTTGATAAAATTAGAAACTCACGCCCTCAATTGTATGGCAGACGATCACATACAAGCAGAGCGCGCTTCTGCGGGCTTAGTCTCAGCCCGGAGCCAGATCTTGTTGGAACCCATTATATCTGAAAGGTCAATTGCACTCTGGAAAACCAAAAATTCACAGCAATGTTAGAGTAATAGTCAAAAAAGATGTTGTATGACTCTTCAACTATGACACCGACTTTCCCCTCTGGTGATAGTGGGGGAAATTATCCCGCGATGGTTCTTCCGTTCCGATGAGTCAATCCAGGCCAGGCCTGCCAGTTCCCGATTTCGGCAGTTCATAGTAGTGTCACGTGATGCCTCGCACGAGAAACCCCCATTGCGAGTTATCTAATTAAGGTTGCACAGGAAGTTGGAAAGCTGTCTTGATTTGGACATATTTATTTATAAGTCGAGAGGCATTATAAACAATGGCCATATTTAGCAGACATCATCGAACACATGCACTGCTCCCACAAGCTCAAAGCCACAATCCTCCAACGACGTCACCGCGCTCCACTCTCTCTTACAGAGCTGAAGGCTATCCCCAGAGAAGTTTACGAGGATGGCTTGGTGCGACTGCGTGTGCGACTACCAATTCCATCGGTAGGGATGTCCTTTTTAACGGAGTCCTGGGTCTTCTTGGGCCGGCCTCCTTTCTTCTTCGGCGGTGCTGACTCGTCTTTCTTCTCTGCTGGTGCGGGTGCGGATGCGCCGTTTACTGCATCTGCATTGGTTTCACCGGTCTTTTGCTTCTTGGAGTTGGGCTCTGCCGATTCTTCCGCGCTAGGGTTTGCGGTTGAAGTCGTCTCAAGTTCTCGCTTCTCACCTGTGCTGGTCTCTTCTTGCTTGGCTTCGGACACAGGTTCACTAGAGATGCCATTTGCCGGAGCGGGGTTCTCCGATCCTTTCGTCTCGGTGGGTTCAGTTACGGTAGAGTCCTCTGTGGGCTTAGGAGGATGGCTATCACCGTTGTTCTGCTGCGGAGCCTCACTTAAGGATGACTGGTTCAGCGGGTCTAGACAACGCGATATCAGTATCATTAACCCCAATACCACCAGACAAAACAGATATTTAAATTATAGGGAACACTGGTTCAACATACCCGAGATGGGAGCGGTAACTGAAGGTCCAGACGCCATCATGGTGTAACAGGTTAGGTAAAACTAGGGATGGCGGAAAATGATTGCAAGATGGAGTGTAAATTAGATTCTGGGTATTGAGAGTCCCGAATAAAAAGGCGACGTTGGAAACGCTATTTGCGGTTGAAGGCGAGCGGTGTACAGAAGTGTAGCTGAAGAATTGGAGTTGTTGGGGATTGAGGAGAGGTGGTTGCGAGGTGACGTTTACTAAGGGCATCCAGATGGGCTAACCCAATTCCCTGCGGAGAATAGTAATTTCGGGTGTTGCCCCCCATGATTGTCGACCTCTCGGAACTCACGTCTGCACGAAAGTCAACAATCCCCGCTAAAAGATCCGAAACGCAGCTCTCGGTAAGCATAATTAATCCCCGGCCCTGGACTTTTGGCTGTGGTAAGTAAGCATGCCAAGAAAGAGGAGGTGATGCCCCATGGGCTTTGGCGTGCGGCTGGCTGAGATGTGGAGTTGGCTGGGCTGCGGAGAATAATTCCCCCAAAATGTTAAGCCCATTAGTGCATGTCTATCACATTCTTCTTCACCCTGTTAACCTTCTTCACTCCAGCTTGGTTATGCAGGAACTATCAACAGAGATCAGGCAGGCAGGCTGCAACGAATCAGCTGTTTCCAGAACTTCGCTTCGGCACCACATGGGCAAGCAGCTAACTACCTAGACATACCCATCAAGCGAGAGCTAGGTCCAAACTATTTAGAAGAGCCTTCTCTTCCGATGAGACATGGCTGAGCCGCCAAGATGTTGACGTTTCTGCTTCACGTTTCTCTTCCACATGCTGCTGGAGGAAGCGCGCCAAATACTCGCATTCTTTCAGGTCCCCACCGTCAATCAAAACATGCAGAGCTTTAAAGCCAGTTCGCATAAATCTCTCACGGCGCTTTTCAGACCAGGACTCGAATTGCTCCGGTGTTATACTGCGTAAAAACTGAACAAAAGGCTTCGCATCGGGACGGGTTGGATGATATATAGGCATTGACGCTCCAACGATTCCCGTTCCTGGGATTATTGTAGAAAGAACAGTCGCGTAGCTTTCGTATAATTCAGCAGGAATTGTTGTCTTAGTATTCTCGCGCGGATTTGTCACAATCAAAGAGAATAGAAACCCCCCAGATTGCGCGAGTGCCCCTTTTAAAACCCGTTTTGACTCCTCGTTATCCGTCGACATAAGCATCCTGCACGCATCAAGGTAGTAACGTATAGCGGAGCTTAGTCCACCGCCGCACTCGTACTCGGCCTTCAAGAAAGTGCCCAGGAGATACTTTAACGGCCCAGCCATCTCATTACTTTCTCCATGGGCAGCTCGATCCTTTAGCAGGCCCAGCCAGACAAAAATCGATTCATGCAACTCCTCCGCAACCATAAACTTGCATAGCGGAGATAACACCCTTCCATTATTGAAGAAAAGTGTCCTCTCCATCCAGTTCAACGAAAACCACCACGAGACAGTTCGGGAGCCCGCCCGAGAATCTCTTAATTCCTTTAAAAATCGCTCCCCAGTATGCCGGCTCGCAAGTAGCACCTGCCAACTGAGACAATCTGCAACAATGCCGATGGTAGCAGAGCCAGAAGCCACCAGTTCGTCGAATACGGCCATGGGCTCCTTTTGTAATCTCGCCTTATCAATATTTGGGGATTGACCACGTGAGACGGGGCGTGCGGAATGCGAGGGTGTCAAGCGAAAGAGGGGGTTATCAAGAATCATGCGGAGATGTTTGTCGGTGGCATGTGAAGAAGAGCGAGGGTGTTCCTCGGCCGGGCGGTTTCCGGGGAGGGCATTCTTGCTGCTTGGGGACTGTTCTGAAGCCAACTGGGCGGGAGGATGCTCGCGATCAAGCTCACGACGGAAGGAGGACGTAAGGGCATTCAGTAGCTGCTGGGACTGGCGGGGAGTCCGGGGCAACGGGGGATGGAGGTTCGTCCAGGGGTTTATGCTGAGGGCCCTTGAGGGCTTCATAATGTGGTGCGGACTATCCAATAATCACAACCGGTGCGATGAATATCGTTGTGATCTGTGAATCAGGGACGCTGGCTATTTCATCGTATGATGGCGGATGGGGGATCATCATTGGGAAGATCTCGATGGGACGGAGGGCGGTGAGGAAGGGCTGCCACAGGAGAAGTAGTGACGAAGTGCCCCAGTCTCAGCTCACAAGAACAGCCCAACCCGCCCACGAATGCGCTCTGCTTCTGGAATTCCTCCTGTGGCCGCGCCCCTAGAAAGGCGATCAATCGCCACATTGAATGGCGAAGCTTCCTACTTCGTCCAGACAGCGAGCAAGGAAGCTTCTCCAGACATCCTTGATTGCCTTTCGGACCTGAGGTTCATGAGGTAGCACAGAACCCATGGATTGGGCCACACCCAAAACCATGACGAAATCTCCCACAACCAGCGCAGGCAGTCGTGTGCAGCCACTCTGTAAAAAGCGTAGAGACAATAAAAGAGAAAGTGCCTTGTAGAGAAGCTTGCAGTAACACGACGGCCGCCCAGTCTTTGTCTGGCCGGCAGACGCAGGTGTGCAGCTGGCAGACTTTGGGTCACTGGTCATTCATTGCCCGGTCGCTGGTCACTGGTCGTTGCTCTCCACTGAAAACCTCATTAGGTTTCTTCTTCCTTTCCTACTCCTCCCTTTCACTTTCATACTCATTCCTCTCCATTCATTTTTGTTCTCCCTTCCGTCTCAGCAGCTTCCTCTCCCATCTTCAATTCCTCCTCTTCCCGACTTCGGTCCGTCGCGGCTCTTCTCCTGTGCCTTGGTGCTGCCTCTCGCGTGAGGCTGCATCTGTGATCACTACGGAGGTCGACAACACTAACGAACCTCTTTTTACCCGCTTTTTTCCTCGCACTCGCCGCATCTCTTTTTCTTCCTCTCCTCGACCCTAGACTCCGTCGAGCTCTATCACACTTCTCCACCCCCGGAGAATCAGAGATTTCATCCACCACAACATGTCTGAAGTTCAATCGAGGCCCACTGCCTCTCGTGGCAGGGTATCCGCCCGCGGTGGCCGTGGCGGTTACAGCTCTAGAGGTGGTCGAGGTGGCAGCAGATCCACAAAATCTGACACCACAGATGCATTTGAGGATGAAGGGGAACTCGGCCAGATGAAGAAGAAATATTCGGATACTCTGCCTATGCTGAATGAGCTGTTCCCAGACTGGAAAGACGACGACTTGGTCTTCGCCTTGGAAGATGCTGATGGTGACCTTGAGCAGGCAATTGATCGCATCAGTGAAGGTACGTGAGCACTGTCTCTGGTTTAATTGATGATCGGTCACCCCGTTCTGTTATGCTAATCCGACTCTTGAATAGGCAACGTCTCCCAATGGGGAGAAGTAAAGAAGAAGACCACCGACCGGAGTCGTCCTAAGCCGAAGGAGGTACAAAGCACTCCAACGGAGCCTACCACAACTGCCGTACGAGGAGGACGTGGGCGCGGTGGATTCGAAGGCCGTGGTCGCGCTCGCGGAGATCGTGGCCGTGGCGGTCGCGGCGGCCGGGCTGGTGCTCACGCCAATGGAACACGCACAGAGAAACCGTCCCTTCCAGCTGAAATAACACCCATTACCGACTCAGTGCCAGCTACGAACGCTACCCCGGCCGCTGACGCAGCTGCTTCGGAAACAGTGTCTACCGCTAAGGATACTCCTGCCGCGCCTGAGGGTACCAAGAAGGGTTGGGCATCGTTGTTCGCTAAACCAGCAGTTCCTCCTCCGCAAAAGAAGCCTGCCGCTCCTGCACCTGCACCTGTATCTGAAAAACCCGCTCCTGCGCCCGCGCCTAACCAAAAGCCTGTTGAACCCGAACCAACTTCCGTCCCTGCACCCGTACCCGTTGCCGTACCTATTCCCACCGAAAAGACAGCACCGCCCGCTGTTCCCCAACCGAGGGAGGAGACGCAGATTGCCACACCTACTTCGGCCGACGTTGCGCCGCCCAAGGATGATTTGACCAAGAACAACCTTGCACAAATTCCCGATGTCTCACCCCCGGTCCCTTCTGCCACCGCTGCCAGCACTATTGGCAGCAATGTGGACCCCAACTTGGCTGCCGCTTCAACCCCATCGCGCCCCACAGCTGGTGCTTTGCCAACAAGCGCCTACAAGCAAAACATTCGCACCCCCGGAACGCAGCGCCGTGTTATGGAACAACAGGAGGCTGTCGTTATGCCAGGCAAGCATGCCGTGGATCGCGCGGCTGTGCAGTTCGGCAGCATGGGACTGAATGGCGACGCCGCTGATGTTGATATTGATCAGCACAGAGAAGACACGGAAACCCGTGCTCAGCCTCCTCAGCACTCCCCCGTTGCGCCGCGCGCATCATTGCCGCCTTCTACTCAAGCTCAGGCACCCCATGAGGTTCCCACCGTCTCCCGCCCTGCTCCTGGCCTGCCCCCCGTTCCTCAGGCCAATGCCGCCGACAACTCATTCTCTGACTTCGCCCGCTACACCGAATCCCAGAAGCCCTACGACCCATTCACCCAACAGGTTACTCAACCCCAGCCGCAAGTCCAGGAGCCGTTCGCGAACCAGGCTCCCGTTCAGCCGACCGCCACCACCGGCAGCGAATACTCACCCTTCTACGGCGGCGATCAGCGCCTTCCGTACACCTATTATGGAGCCTACGGCCAGTCCCAAGACGCTTCGCTCGCCCAGCGTGCGGCCGCTGGATTCGGTGTTTCTGGTGCTGAATCTCAGCCTCAAATTCCCACGACTCAGGCCCCGAGCCGCTACGGCCACGTTGAAGCCCCCAACAGCGGTCACACAACACCAAACCCCACGCTCCCCGGAATTACTCAAACCCCCGCCGCACACCATATGCCCGGTCAAGGCGCTCATGCTTACGGCTATGGATACCCGTACTATTCGAACCCGCACTATGCTTCATACATGAGCCAACAGTACGGCCGAAACCGCCCAATGTACGATGATGCTCGCAGATATGAAGATCAATACATGCCCCACAGCTCTCAATACGGCTACGGCAGCCAGTATGGTCCATACGGCGCCAAGGGTGGCATGTACGGTCAACCCCACGGTTTCTCCTACGACCACTCTTCCTCCCCTGCGACTGCCGGTAGCTTCAACCAGGGCATCCCGGGCCGCGACTCGGTTTACGGCCGTACCGGTTCCGCTCAACCGTCTGAAAGCCAACAGACAGCTGCGGGCACCAGTGCGTTTGGCGCTGGTATGACGGATGTCTTCGGCCGCAGCCAGGGCGGCTTCGGACAGAGCCAGCCGATCACACAGCAGGCCCCTGTGTCTTCTGAAGAAACGAAGGCCTTTGATTCCTCCAAGGCGGGAGGTCCTAGCCCTTCGCTATCCCAGGCTAACCGGCCTGGTTCTGCTGCCAACACCCCTGGCCAAACCCAAAGCCAGACTGGCCTTCCCCCGCTGCAGGGTCAACAGGCCCAACAGGGCTTCGGTGGCTACCCCCAACTGAACCCTCAGTATGGCGGCTTGGGTGGCCTCGGCGGGCACCAAGCAGCTGCCAACCAGACGCACCACCAGGCGACTGGATATGGTAACTACGGCAACGCCGGCTTCGGTGCTTACTATGGAAACACTGGACGAGGCGGCTGGGGAGGCAACTACGGACACTAAAGAATTATGGCGTTACATTTTCCCAGGTGATGAAATATCTTCTTCCTTTTCATACTTTGTTAGGGGCGAACGACCCCTGGACTCTAAAATTTTATAGTTCACTTGGGTGTGCGTTTTTTACTCTTTTCGTCACTCTCGAATATGTAATCTCTACTCTCAAATCCAATGGGAGCTTGGCTGGAATCCGTTTTTTCTTTTCCTTTTCACGTTTTTTTTTTTTACTCGTTTGGACTTGAACGTTTGCGCTATCTTCATGATACTGGGCTGTGGTTATGATGTACTGAATGGTGGGAAAACGCTACATATTTTCTTCGTAACATTTGGGCAAATATTCCTATCTGATCTGTTTCATGTCTGCACTGCTTCCTTGCGACTGTTATGTGTCTCCTTTTCTCCTCTCCTTTCCATATTCAGTTTTTTGAACAAAAAAATTCTTTTCGTTTCGTCTTCATTTTACTGTCGGCTGAGTTGCATATTTCGCGTTTCCTGTACTACATATTTGGGACAGTTGGGACTACATCCATGCAAAACAACTGGGTTAGGATGGGGGATGGAAAATCCTGCTCGAATCAATTGATTTGGCGGCGTTGCAATAGCTGGGTATTCTAATGTTGAACGTAGTGTTCGAAGATGTTGAACATAGGCCGTCACAATAGATCATTTCAGCGCACATCAGCTCTCTTCAGTCCGAGTACGTGCTTTAAGATATCTAGTAAAGTTCATTCCTGAGCTGTCTTTCCCCATGTATTGGGTCTTTTTGTAGATTGAGTATTTTTCGTGATTTTAATCGGAATCCCGGAGTGGGTTTTGCTGTATATATACTATATATATTAGCAGTAGCTGCTGACACGGTATAGATCGTTGGAGCTCGAACCCCGCAATATATCTTGTTCGCGGTCAGCTGATCCCCTGCCCTTGTGTCGACGAATGCGGAACATTCCTCATCTTACGTGCAACCAACTCAGGTGAACATTCGAATGAGCATTTCCCACCGCTGGTGAATGGATAAACTAGACTATATCCCTTGAACGGAGCCATATAACACGTTCTGCACCGCATCATCTACCCACCATCGATTTGGTATCAACAACGTCACTAGCAACATACATACAACAATACAGCGACCATGCCTCAGAAGCAACGCCGAATCGGCGTGGTACCTCTAGAAATCGATCGTGATCTATCCTCAGTAGCACAAATCTGGAGTGCAGCACTACCAAACTACCCCCTCCCGGCAGAAAACCTCCGCAAGCTCCTCCCACAGCCAAACGCACACCACTTCGTCGCCAGGACATCATCATCCAAAACCGTAGGCTTCTGCCTCGCCTATACCACGCGTCAACACCAGAAGAACCCAACCGAAAGATCAACATCCGGCTACATCGCCGTTCTGGCGGTGCATCCAGAGCACCAGGGACAGGGCATCGGGTCCGCCCTCCTGGACAAAACCAAGTCCTGGTTCAAGCAGAGCTTCGACTCCTGCCACCTCGAAATCGGCAGCGGTTTTCCGAGATTCTGGCCTGGGGTCCCGAAGAACTTACCCGACGCCGAGCGCGTTCTGGAATTCTTTATCGAGCGTGGGTTCGATGTGCGTCCGGACCCGCCGCGCTCGGTGGATTTGTATAGAGACCTGAGGAATTTCAGTCTCGACGAGGGGGAATATGTCCAGCGGGCTGAAGAGGCGGGGTATACGTTTTCCCCGCTGTGGCCGGAGGGGTATGAAGAGTGTTTAGCTGGGCAGGAGAGGAATTTCTCACATAATGCTGTTTGTTGAGACCCTATTTACCCTTTCCATTTATTTACGTTTATAAAAGTGAATTGTGCTAATGATGGCCGCTTTTATAGGACTGGGTTGACATGTACCACCTGCTAAACCCAGCATCGCAACCATCAAGCATCATGACCGCGTTCGATTCGCAGGGTGCGCAGGTTGGCTGGACGCTGATGCTCCCGCCGTCCTCGAGCGTCCTGCAGGAAAACTGGGCAATGCCGGCAGTTTGTGGGTCTAAGACGGGCCTTATAGGCTGTGTAGGAGTTGACGACGATCACCGCGGCTCGGGTGTTGGACTCGCACTCGTGGCGCACGCTTTGGAGGATATGAGGAAGAGGGGGATAGAGGGTGTGTTTGTGGACTGGGTGAGTTTGGAGGGGTTTTATGAGAGGCTTGGCTTGGAGGTTTGGTGTGCTTATCGGGGTGGAGAGATTGAGTAATTTATTTTCTATACACTATCTTTATAAATTAATTGAAGCGCGACGAGCTTATGTTGTTGGAATATAGATATGTTTTGGAGGAGATGGTTTCCGAGATGGTCGGTTCGGAATGGACTGCGGCTTTCTCGTAAACATGGTGTGGTGGTTTCCGAGACCTCTGCTCTTCATCCCCACGGGTGTTTACTGACGTCTTGTTGAGTAGCTAGCACAACTTATGTCCATAGTATGATAAATGAAACGCTACTTGAATCTTAAAGTGAAGTGCTTACTCGTAGCATCTGCATTAGATATTAGACTACCCTAAGCATAGCCAAATCTGATTGCGACAAGCATGCACAAAATATTAATACAGTGATATGGCCCGTCTATCATTGACCAAATAGTTATAGTCTATTCTGTTCCAGATTTGACATTGAATATTCCAATAACTCGGTCTAATAGAAAGCCCACCAAAGAAAGCACAAAGGAGATATACTCGAAACAGAGATAAGCTAGATACTCTTTACCAGCATCAAGAGGAGAATCCTTGGCTGCCTGCTCGCCGTAATATTCTTTTTTTTTTCTTCATTTCGTTTGTGATGCTCTCCTTTTTTGTGTTTTTCTAAGTTTCTCGTTTCATCGTTACATCGTTCACTCGGAAACCAGTTATCGTCACGCACTTGAATACAGGGTGAAACCGCTCAGCTAGTCGCCACGTGGTCGAACTTGTACAGAGGTTCCAGGTGAGCATTCTTCTGAAGGAAGATATAGCGCTTGATCCACCAAGGGAGGACCTCGAAAACCTGGTATCGCACATGCTTGCGTGTCGGAACAGCAAAGATGTAATCGAGTTCTTCAAGGGTACGTTGCTTGGTCTCGGGAACCCAGATGAAGATCATGACGAGAGCTATAACATTGAGTCCACTGAGAGTAGTTAGTCACGATAGTCCATATTTGGAAGGAGTCCAAGGAGGAAGTGGCCAGCTTACGCATAGAAACCGAAGGCGCCCTGGGGAGTTAGGGCTGCGAGCATGCGAGGGAAAGTGATGCCAAGAACAGCGGCCCAACCAAGACATGTTGCTACAGCCCAGGCCATTCCAACCTCTAAGAGAGTATGAGCATTGAAACTTGACATAGAGAGGGAAAAGAGAATAATTACCACGATGGGAAAGAGGGAAAACTTCGGCAGAGTAAGTAAACGGGACAGGGCCTTCGCCTGGAGAGTAAAACGCAGCGAACAAGAAGACGAACATGGCGATTAATCCAAGGTGTGCCTTTGAGTCTTCGGGGATGTAGAATGAAAATCCAGCTGCAAGTAGAGTCCATGCCATCTGCGGGAAGGTAAAGAGGAGCAGGCTCCGTCGTCCGAATGTATCAATAGTCCAAACCGCGGGAAATGCAAACACAAAGTTAACTAATCCAAATCCCCAGGAGGCCCAGAGAGCCGACTGGTCGGATGCACCGGCTTCCGAGAAAATGGTGCTGCTGTAGAATGCAACAATGTTGATACCGCACATCTGTTGAGCAATCATGACAACAAACGAAGCTAGGGTTGCACGCCGGACGCGGGGGATAGTAAACAGCTCAACAACGCGGGAGAGGTAATTACCGTGGCCAGCAATTTCCTGCTCGACTTTAATTTGAGCGTGGATGTAGTACAGATCGCGGGCAGCCTGGAGTGGGGAATTGCGGAGGCGACAGAGGGACTTGTAGGCTGGTCCCAGCTTTCCCTTCTTGATATACCAGCGTGGTGATTCGGGACACATGTAGACACCGAGCAAAAGAGGGACTGCGGGGATAAAAGCAGACCCCATTTGCATACGCCAGGCCATATCCTCTCCCATATCCTTTACTACCAGGTTTGCAGTGGTGCCCAAGAAAATACCAAACGCAGTCCATAGTTGCCAACACATCACCAGGCCACCGCGAACCGATGCGGGCGTGTTTTCGGCGCAGAAAATCGGGATAGTCGAAGCTTTCAACCCCATTCCAATTCCAAGGAGTGCACGGGTGACAATGAGTTGAGGCCATGTCTGGCTGACAGCCTGACCGATGGGAGTGAGAAGGCAGAAGATGGCCGAAATAAAGATCGCGCCACGACGGCCGAAATAATAGTTGCAGGGATCAGACAGCCAACATCCGATAACAGCGCTACCAATATAGGGAGCACTACAAAGTATTCAGCTTTCATTCGTGCATGAGTGTTATATCTTGGAATGCTTACGCGTTGATAATACCAACGAGCCACTGGTTAAGCTCAGCATTAGGGTTGTCATGTTGCGGGATGCCAAGCATCTCGGGCATACTGAGATTGGCGCCTAGAAACACTGTTAGAAGAACTACGATATCGCATAGTGAGATCCTTACCATTGCTGCCAGTTTGGTCCCAGCCTCTGTTGAACGGTTAGTTTTCCGTGTTCAGCTGAAGTGTGACAAATTCTTACTGGACTGCGGCCCCAATTGAGCAAAGAATGATGCTAAAATAGAGAGCAAGAGGCTGGCGCCATTTGTGCTCGGTTTCATTTTGGATAACCAATATGTCCTCTGGGGTCATTTCAGGAAGGGCCCTAAAGTTGTCGGGGTCACGGGCAATGAGAGAGCCTTTGCGCAAATCAGGCAGTATGTCGGTCAAGTTGTACTCGTGGGCAAATTCTTCCACATCACGCAGAACCTGAGTCTCGGTGAGATCAGCTAGAGGGTTTTTGACCCTGCAGACAGTTAGCAATGTGACCGTCAACGTAGAATATGTGTTTCTTACTTTGCCGAAAGGTTTTTATTCAAATTAATGTGCTCGGTAACGCCCTTCTCTGATACATCAACATCCTCGTACTCGGTGCTTCTACGGGCAGCATGTTAATCAGATTATCTGAAACTTCCATATTGGGTGGGTAGACAAACAGGTTCTTTCCGGGCCCCATGGTCTCTTCGACAATCTCCTCAAGAGCCCTAGTCGAGCCCGCCTTTCCCACGCTATCAGCCATGTTCGACAGCGATCAGAGAGATGACAATGATGTAGGAGTGACCAAGAAGAAGATTTGATAGCTCAATGCAGAGAAACAAAGGAGAGAAGTTCGGAGGAGTGATGTGTTAGGCTCTGAACACTGGAGATAATTGCGTGGGGATGGAGGAGATAAAGAATGAAAGAGAAGGAGAAATGGAGGCGGGGGTCAAGGGAGAAGACAGCGACCAGGCCTTAATATACCCGGTGAGAAAAGCAGGCAAGAGATTTCAGGCGGCTCCAATCAGACTGGGGTAGTATTCATGATGATAGGTACTTCCCCGGCGTGATTTTAACCAGTGGGACCAGTTGTGGCAGCTGTGGCGCGAGGATGCCTTTCCAATCTGGCAATTTACTTTTCCATGTACTGCAGAGGAATGTGAGCAAAGCTTAATATTGACGAAACCGTTCTAATTGATCATGGATCATGTAAAGGGGAGCTTGATATCATTAAGCTTACATCAAATCCCGATACCTCGTTGCTAGGCACTGAGCAGTAGGCCCAGCAGATGTTTGAAGAGGAAGGTCACTCCCGGCCGCACCATGATTGTAGCCACAGAATAATTACAGGATGAAGGCTGTAGTGGATACCTGTTGTGCTTGAGCAGGAAGGGGAAGGAGGAACGAGACATTACGCGGGACGTGACCTCCGCATCAAAGCGCACTAAAACCATGGTCCCAAACCAAAAGATCTCTGGTCTTGCTGGGCTCTACCGGCCAAGACTGCCAGAGAAATACAGGCCTCGTGATACAGAAGAGAGTTTTGGGACGCGGATGAACCTGAATTAACCAGGGAGAGATCTTGATCCGGCGGTTGCTTATTTTGCTTTTTCCGCTCGTGTTCCTTTGGCGTTGTCCAACACAACAGCGGAGACGCCGCCCTTGCGCTTGATGACGGAAAGAGGCTGGAGCAGGCGATGGCTTGTTCCAGTTGCCGTTGCTCGAGTAGCGCCAGAGTGGCGTGGCAAAGCCAAGTTTAGCCAATATTCATTGGTCATTCTTGGATGGCATAGATAAGCTATCCCCGAACCAGATTAGCAAAGTGAAAAGCTTCTTCACTCTCCGTCTGGGGCAGGAACAGTTGCGGCCAATAAGAAGTCAACTTGTCCCAGACCCCAGGTCCAAGCGGGTGCCCGACGTATCGTGGCCGGGGACGTCGATACGGGGTGGCCCGATTCGATTGCGCGATTCACACCTCGCGAAGTCTGGAAAGAGGGTGGTCTGATAGTTCGCCCATGTCTGGGACGATCCCAGAATTGGGAATGATGAGGTCGAAGAAGAGGATTTTAGGATGCATTCGTCGGAGAATTTCCCGTGACATTCTTCGGTTCACGTGGCCCCCTCACGTTGTCTGAATCTGGAGTCTGGGGATTCGACAGCTTTGACCTCCGACAGTTCCACACCCAAGAAGGTTCCGAACCAGAAGAAGCATCTGGAACCTCAAAGGTCACGCACACCACTTGAGGCTAACAGCCGATCTAGCATTGGAGTACGCCACCATGTCTTCGAGTGTAACTGTACGGAGTAACTCGAACTGAAAGCAGTGGGTAGGGCTTATCCTGCGCTGGATTTGAATCATCAGTCGCACTAAGTTTCAACCACTGCGAACTGGGTACGGATCAACAGGAAACAGAGCCGGGGTGGCTGACATGCTGAACGAAAACGGCCATACTGTCGCTTGGTAACTCCATCTTGGTCTTCTGAACTTCGAATATACGCCAAGGCTGGAGTCGTTGGTGCTGATTTTAGTGCAAGGGTAAGAGGCTAGTTAGGATTGGTTTCGCTTAGCAGTGCACAGTCTTTCAGGGATGCTGAAGCTTGATGATCCTGGGCCTGTTGGTGGCTTGACCGGGGGCCCAAAGGTTCATTTCACAAATCGGTCATATTCTTCGGTTCCGGATACACTGCGTCGAACCTTATGAAGTTGTCAAAAGTGTAATTGCTGAACATGTCGTCGTCATAATTTCTAGTGTCAACCTAAACTCCGTCAAGGCTCGGGCCAGGATAGTTACCTTTCACCAACCCTGCCGACCCAACGGTAAGATTGGGGTCCCCGCAGTTCTGGAATGTATCTTTCCATCTCTGACGTAGAGGTCATAGAGCCATAGCAGGTATGTCAGCGACCCCATCAACTCCAGCAGCCTCTCGCTGTTTGTCCGTAATCCTTGTAGCCAAAGTTTCTCGGGTGGGACGGATCGATTCAAAATCGGGCCTTGTGAAACCTTGCTCTCTTGGCAAAATATAATCCATGAATGAGGCTGTGAATACACTGTAGAACCGGAATCTACACCGTGAATGTGGTTGCGTATTCAGCTCGCGCGATTGATGTTTGATACCTCAGTTTTGTATTCAATGGAAACATTTTCATGGGCAAACAGCTCTGAACTAATTTTTCAAGATCACTTATGGAAGACTCCGAGAAATCTGGTTTCATTAAGCTGGCATGATGGAATTGCAGTGGTTGAAGAATCCGAGGCGGATCCCGAATTCGGTTGCCTAATAACTCCTAAGGACTTCTTGGTCAGCGTAAAAGAAAGGAAACACTGGTGTTAACACTCAGTGTAAGTAGATCATGCGCTTACCTGAATAAGATACAGATTTTGCTAGAATTAAGGGCAGGGAAGCTTCATACCAGTGCAGCTTAGTTCCTAAATCGGTTAGACAGTCACGTGTAGTGAGCGCGACGTCTCATTCCGAGATGCGGCCGGAGATATCGATCTTGTCCCCAACGGCTGATGCAGCTGATATTCCACGGGAAACTGCTTGCAATCTATCAGGATGAAATATAAAGCACTGAGTTATTATGGACTTCTTGCAGACCGACATACCTTCCGTGCAGGACCTCCTGCAATCCGGTGAACCATTTGTCCCGTTTTCCGAGTTCGCGGCCCAGACTCTTCACGCTCAACCAGACGAAGAATCCTCTCGTTGGATTGAGAACAAGATCTGTGATGGAGAACCCTTTGTTATACGTGGATTTGAGCAAACAATTGGGTGGCAGAGGGCAAGCCTGAACAATGAAAGTCTAGTTGGGCTTTCTTCCTCGGGAGGTATGAATGATTCTCTCAACTATCTTTCACTGGAAATCGCGGTTGCTAATTCAATTTCCTTTTCTTCAGTAATACCCGTGAGGAACTGCCAGACAGGACGAGATATAAAAATGCGACTTCGGGATCTTCTTTTGTATTCGGGTGATGCCCGTACGGGCAGCGTTCGGGAATTGTAGGTTATTCTATCGCATCGGCCCCTAGATCTATCTGACAAGCAACTGCGTAAGCCTTTATGCAAAGGACCTGCATTGCCCACGGGAATGGGTGAGGTCTTTTGAAAGTCTCTTACCGTCGTCGTTGAGGCATCTTGGCTCACTTGATCTGTTCCGAGTACTGCCAAAGGAGACCGCACCGGAAGTACTGATGGCCTATGTTGGAACGCGAAAATCTTTGTATGTTTATGCAGCTGCTGTTGTAACGTTGTCTGTCTACTAACGAGAAAATTTGGTAGCTCTGGGTTCCACAGGTGTTTCAGTGCGTCTGTAGCGCTCAATCTTATAATCGAATCGGAAGGTAAGCACGGGCCCTTATTGCTGAAGTTAGATGAGAACGTTTACTGATTGAGGAAAAATAAGGAGATGGGCCTGGATCCATATGCTTTGGGACGGACAGAAGATCGCAGCACAGATATGATGCATTCATGGATGCACTGGGAAAGTCCGCTCACACAGACTGGGCCAACATATCCATTGAAAAGCTAAAATCGGCTGAATTCCCAATATATATCACAGACCAAAGGCCTGGCGACCTTGTGGTCTTCCCTGCCGCCACTGCTCACCAGATTTGGAATATCAGCCCTATGGTGAGCAAAGTAGTCTGGAATATAATGCATGCTAGCTCGGTGGCAACTTTCTTTGACTATGTGCAGCCTGTTTACCAGAGACAATGCCTTGCAGACACCGGTCGGGTTCCTTTGATTCCAATGTATGCACTACAAAGCGGTGCATGCGGAAAAGAAGAAGAAAACCTCCTCCTAGATGTTTTTCAGAAACAAGTCGAGGATGAAGATACCGGACGAGAATCTGCACTACCGATAAAGACAATTGATACTCAAGGTGCCGTTGTCGAATGCAACTTTTGTGGGCTCACAATATGGAATCGCCATCTACATTGTGAAAAATGCGGCGACTTTGACTTGTGCTTAACGTGCTTCATTTCCGGAAGAGGCTGTAAACATGTTGCCGACTACACCTGGGCAGAAATGCTGCCGCTCGGACGATGTCAAGACATCATTCGGGCAGCAAGAAGCAGGACCGGGGTTGAACTTTCCCACATTCCTAGAGCCTCGAAGTACGCACCCGGCTTCCTCCCAACAAACCAGACCATGATGAATTTCATCTCATGTAACTAACAAGGACTACTAGACAAATGTCACTCGGCTCGGTAGCTGTTGCTGCGATGGAAGCTCGACGACAATTAACGGTATGTGAAGTGCTTGTTCACAATCACTACTTGGAAGCTCCTGACGATTATGTACAGGAACGACTTTGCCATCTATGCCGCGATAGCCACCCTGCCTGGAAAGGCGTAATATGTAGCCAGTGCGCGGCCTTCTTCTGCTTTCGAGGCCTTCATCGCCATTTTGACGTCGATCTGATTTCGTTCTTAAGGAATGGTGACTCCTGGCATTGTCCGAAATGCGAGTGCATCTGTAACTGCCGTTGTTGTCACTTCCATCAACCATATCAAAGCAGAGACAAGCCGGTACGATCGCGGATTAAACCAATTGACACTCGAGGACGCATCCTCGGGTTCGTGGATAATGTGTTCGATCAAAAACGGGGGAAAAGGGCTAGTCTTGCCGTATCAGGTGCTTCGCCAAAACAAGACCAGTCTCCCAGAGGAGTGAAACGATCTCGTCCACATACTAATGAAGGAGAGCCGGGGCGTTCATGGCAGCCCAGGGACTCTTTTGCGGCTGTAAGCGCTGGGCCACACGGGACACGGAGCTTGGACACGTCCAACGCGTCTCCAGTAACCATGACTACGCCCAGTAGAAACAGCATAGGCCAGACTCCCGCCCGAGCATTCGACCCTCTGGGCCCATTTCGCAGGGAGAATCAGAGTCAGACCGAGTCGCCATTTTCAGAGGTCCGGCAGTCTTTCCAATCATCTGAGACACATCCGGGACACCATCCTCATCTTCCCCCACCAACCTCCTTCACCAGCGTACTAGAAGCACCCATGTCTAGTGGTCCAACCGAGCGAGCTGATCCCAAAGCTGATGTTGCAGACGAAGAAACTATCCACGACTTGGAGAGCAAACTCGAAGCCCTTCGAGGGTACGCAAACGACATTCTCGAGCTTTCCTTGGTAGAATCTCATGCGAAGATTCTGGACCGAATCTCCCAGCTTGAAACTGAGATTGAGAAACGAAAGCGACGGAAAACTGAACTACTCTTGAGTAGATTGGATCGCGACTTTCCCGACCTCGCGGATCTTGCGAGGGAAGAAGCGCGACGCCGGGGCGTTTAAAACAAGATCTGCGGCACCTGACTGGTAACAAGAACAAAACTGAACATTTGTAAATATGTAATTTAAATATAAAGCCGCATGATGTGGTCCCAATGTCAAATGTCAATTCCGAGAGTCACGGTATACATCGACATGAGCAGCTGCGGCACCGCCGATCTCCACTCACCTGACAAGTGAACTTCCTTTCGTAGCCAGACCACCACCTGGACTTTTGTTCATACCCTGCCCTCCCCATGTGTGCATAAATACCAGGCAAGCCTTCAGTGATATACCGTGCTTCTTAATCCCGCGGCTGAGTCTCCAAGAGTTCGTGCAAGCAGGTAGCTGAAAGCTCATTCGCTCTTTGTTGACGACTTTCCCGATTGCTCATCGCCCCTCCTCCCTAGTTGTTCCTCCACTCCACTCCGCACAACAACAAATCGATCTGTTTCAGAGTTTGCCAGGAACGTTGGGATACAAAAAAAAAAGAATAGTGAGGCCAGAAAGGATTTACAGGGAACACCTACCCTGGTCGAGTTTCAACAAAACTATTTACGATCTCCTCACGCTATCGAGAAAACCCGCCCCAGGTATCCTGACCGCCTCCCACCAGCCACCAGTTCTCCTCTCTTAGCTGTTCGACAGCCCTATTTTTTTTTCTCTCTCTTCCCCTCGCCTCTGATCTCTTGGTCCTGAATTTGGTTACTATTCTACGGAGCGCTTTACTCTCTAGGTATTCCTACCTTTGCTCGCGCCTCTCGTCATGCCATGCTTCAAAGGGCTTGCTGTTAGTATACACACCCCGGACGGACCGCTTCCCGAGCACTCGATCCAGCGCCAGTCCCGGGCCTCGCGCATCACCTCCTACATCCCCGTTCCGCCTCCCAAGATCCCAGAAACAGGTGAAGGAAAACCGGAACAGTCTACTTTTGCAATCTCCATTACATTGTTGAATCCCGGACAAGATGTGCCATACTCGGCCCCGAAACCGACGCCCGACGACCCCGCTCCCAAACCCAAGGTCGTTGGCGGTCTCCCAGGACATATGGAGCAACGTGGGCTATACTCGAGCACGGTTTCACCGTATCAGGCGCTGACCAACTCTCCGAACGAGACCGTTGCGGCTTACATATACTTTGATGGCCGGCAGAAGGAGGAAGTCGCTACACTGCTCCGTCGAGGGGAAGAGACCTGGGTGAACTCCCGATGGGTCAGCATTCCAGATTCGGAGGGAGGTGGTTTAGCAGAACGAGAATTCCTCTTCCGCGAGGTCGGACTGGAAAGGTGGCTTAATGGTCTGGATTTGGAGGGAAACAAGGACGCCGCGGCGAAGATCGAGCGGCGACGGCAGAAAATGGAGAAGCGCCGACACAGGCGTGAGCTTGACGGTAACAATGACATGGAAATGGATGGCAAGAACAAGTCCGATAGGGGCGTCATGCGTTATGGCAACGATACGAAGTCGCCCCTCGAGGACGTTTCCGACGACGATGTATCGCTCCCTAGCTCCGACGACGACCCGGTTCCAGAGTCTACGGGTCAAATCAAGGTCGCGCTTTTCCGTGTTCTCGCTTCAGGTGAAATCAAACGCGGGGAATATTCCCCGCAATTCGATGCACACGACGATGATGAAGACGGCCAGGGAGGCCAAGGCGGCGGTGACGAAGACATCGACCATACCACTAGCTTCGCGAAGCCGAAATCTCTTGATCCGAAGTCTATCAGCACGCAAACAGTCACCGGGATTGATCCGTCCGACAAGCCGTATGCGATTTTTACCTTCATGTACCGGGGAGAACGTAAGTGACAGTGACTTGATAATCAATGGACGAAAGCTAACTTGTTGTTTTCAGGACAACTACAGAAGATGGGAATCCTGAAGGATTCCAAGCCGCAGGAAACCCCCGGTTCCGCCAAACGCCGATCGCAGCAGCTTGACTTTGCGAATCTCGGTCCATTGAAGCCTGGTGGCACGGTAGGCTTTCTGAATTTCCGCGATAACACAGAAGGGCGGAAGAAGGACAAAAAGAAGAGCAAAGCGATGGCGGACGACGATGATATGGACAGCGATGATGATGAGGATGACCGAATACTCAATCAGGCGGACGAGGAAGAGGACAAGGACAAGGACAACCAGCACCTGTCCCCCGATGATATCAAACGACAGGGTGAATTGGCAGAGGGCCTACGCCAGATTAAGGTAAGATTGCACATACACCTTTTTGAAGTTTCGCAACTAACATGTATTAGCTTAAACGTCAACACTCGGCCGCATCGCTCGCTGGGAGCTCTCGGCGGGAGAGTCCCAATACAACAGGGGCTACTCCGGCATCGTCGACTCTTTCCACGACCCCTCCAACGGCAACATCAGCACCTGCAGGTACCACCGGTGCAGCACCAGAAACACAACAGCAGCCGAATACGGTCAACGGAGAATTCATTGGCAGTCCACTAAAGAAGCAGCGTCCCAGCGTATCGCAAGCAGATGAATCTTCCTTCAGACGACGGATGGAGTCAGGCCTGTCAAAACAAATAAGTGAAGTCCTAGGCAGCGGCGATAAGAGCGGAGGTGCTGCAAGCGACCTCATGGGTGGCCCGCTCGGTCCTCCTCTGAACGAGGGCTTGCAGTCGCCGAAGACTCTTAACCCCCCAACGATTAACCCACCCGAGAATGTGGACGAGGAGTTGTAATATTGACATACATCGATGCTCGGTCATTTTTTTCGTCATCTCATCTGCAATCTCATATCCATTTTCCCATTTTTGACATATCAACTCTTTGACGACGTGACGGATTGGCGCAAGGGGCATAAAATTAGGCCCATAACGAAACTTTTTTTTTTTTTTTTTCCTTTTTTTTCCTTCTCTTGTTTATTTCTTTTTGATGGTAGTACTTCCGAAGTGGAATGACGAAGCAGGAGGCAGGTTTGGCTTTCCAATGGCTAGAGACGCCTCTTCATTGAAAATGTATTAACTGGATCTGCTTGATAGAGAGGGCTGGCATAGTATGGGCAGGCTTATTACGTATGATGAAATGCAACGAATGTTTGGATGATTTCCGCAGACGGAAACTTTTCTCCTTCACCTTAACATCCCCCTTCACCTCTTAATCCTACTCGGCTACGGCAGACTTAGTGTTAAATTACCATGCCTCTTTTACGCTCCTCTGATCCTTTCGTATGGATCGATTGCGAGGTTCGCTCCTCAACGCCCAAAACCATGAACGCAGCCAATTCTCACTGACAAAAGATGACGGGACTCGATGCCAAAACCGACCAAATCCTGCAAATCTGCTGCTTCGTGACCGACGCCAACCTCAACCTCCTTGACACCACGGGCTTCGAAACCGTCGTCCATGTTCCACAGACCGCGCTGGATTCCATGTCGCAGTGGTGCATCGACACGCACGGCCGCACGGGGCTCACAGCGCGGGTGCAAAACTCAACCGTCACGCCCGACGCCGCGGCCGCCGAACTCCTTGCCTACATAAAGCGATACGTACCGAAGCCGCGAACAGCGCTGCTAGCTGGGAATAGTGTGCATGCAGACAAAGCGTTCCTGGCGTGTGGACCGTACGCGGCAGTGCTGGAGTGGCTGCACTATCGGATTGTGGATGTCAGTACAATCAAGGAGGTTGTCAGGCGGTGGGGGGATGAGGGGCTGTTGAGCAGCGTCCCGCCCAAGAAGGAGGTGCACGAAGCCAGGGAGGACATTCTGGAGAGCATTGAGGAGATGAAATACTACAGGGCGGTTCTTTTCAGTAAATAATAGTAGTCAATGTGCAGGTCCCGTGTTGATGTGGTGATGATGCATTAATATTATGTGTACTGTCGAGGTGTTTTGGTCCCTTTCGCCCCCCCACCATGTCTCTCCCCAAATAGACCTTCGAGCTTCGTTCTCCTCCTGCATCTCTCTGCAAGCCAATTGTCGGTGAACATCGGAGCATTCCTTGTTTTCGACGTCCAAGTTATAATTACCCGACTTTCCCCTCTCCTTGCTTTCCTTTCTCCTTTTGTTTTTCTCTCTCTCAACGTCCCAACAGCTACAGAGCTACCCCGCCATGTCGGTCCAGACCGTTTCCATCCAACCCTTCGGCGACCAGAAGCCCGGAACGTACGTCAATTCCTTTTATTTTCCGAATATTGCCTGTATCTGACCCTTGTCCAGCTCTGGCCTGCGAAAGAAGGTCAAGGTCTTCCAACAAGAGAACTACACCGAGTCCTTCATCACCAGCACCCTCCTCTCCATCCCCGAAGGCGCCCAGGACGCTTTCCTCGTCATCGGTGGCGACGGTCGTTACTACAACTCTGACGCCATCCAGAAGATCGCCAGGATCGGTGCCGCCTATGGAGTGAAGAAGCTGATTGTTGGCCAAAACGGGATCCTCAGTACCCCGGCTGCCAGCAACTTGATTCGCAAGAGGAAGGCCACCGGTGGTATTCTTCTGACTGCTAGTCACAACCCTGGCGGTACGACCCCACAAACCCAATATAAAATCAAATCTAGTGCATAGCAAGCTGATTGTTATTCTTTCCAGGTCCCGACAACGACTTTGGTATCAAGTACAACCTCACCAATGGCGCCCCTGCCCCCGAACAAGTCACCAACAAGATCTACGAAGTCTCCAAGTCCCTCACCTCTTACAAATACATTGACCTTCCTGAGGTCGACACCGCCACGATTGGCACCCGCAGCTATGGCCCCCTCGAGATCGAAATTGTACACTCGACCGAAGACTACGTGGAGATGATGAAGGAGATCTTCGATTTCGACCTGATCAGAGGCTTCCTTAAGAAGCACTCTGACTTCAAGGTCCTCTTCGACGGTATGCACGGTGTGACTGGCCCGTACGGTGTTGATATCTTTGTCAACGAGCTCGGTCTTCCGGCCAGCAGCGCCATGAACTGCGTCCCCAAGCCCGACTTTGGCGGCGGCCACCCCGACCCGAACCTCGTTTACGCACACGAGCTCGTCGAAGCCGTCGACAAGAACAGCATTCAGTTCGGCGCTGCCAGTGATGGTGATGGTGACCGCAACATGATCTACGGTGCCAACACTTTCGTCTCCCCTGGTGACAGTCTCGCCATCATCGCCCACCACGCTAAGCTCATCCCCTGGTTCAAGAAGCACGGCGTCGACGGTCTTGCCCGATCCATGCCTACATCTGGTGCTGTTGACCTAGTCGCCAAGGCCCAGGGTCTTCAGAGCTACGAAGTGCCCACAGGTTGGAAGTTCTTCTGCAACCTCTTCGACAACAAGAAGATGTCCATCTGCGGAGAGGAGAGTTTCGGCACAGGCAGCAACCACATTCGCGAGAAAGACGGCGTGTGGGCTATCGTTGCCTGGCTAAACATCATCGCTGGTGTCGCTGAGCAGAAGCCCAATGAAACACCCAGCATCGCCTCCATCCAGCAGGAATTCTGGCAGACCTACGGCCGTACCTTCTTCACCCGCTACGACTACGAGAACGTCGACTCCCACGGTGCCAACAAGCTGATTGCCGCTCTCAGCGAGAAGGCCGTCGACAACAAGGACTCCTTCGTCGGCAGCACCGTCTCCGGCCGCAAGGTCGTCGACTCAGGGAACTTCGCCTACACTGACCTCGACGGCAGCGTGACCAAGAACCAGGGATTGTACGTCAAGTTCGACGACGGCAGCCGGCTTGTCGTCCGTCTGTCCGGAACTGGAAGCAGCGGTGCCACTATCCGTCTGTATATTGAGAAGTATGAGAAGGACGCCAGCAAGGGCCAGCTGCCCACGCAGGAGTACCTCAAGGACAATGTCGCCTTGGCGCTCGGTCTACTCAAGTTCAAGGACTTTGTTGGCCGTGAGGAGCCTGATGTTAAGACTTAGTTTACCTCCCTTATCTCTCTATACATACATTTCACATGTTTAGCTAGCAAAGCTCATGATTAATTTTATACTCCCTGCGTTACAGCTACGCTCTATTTCAAGGACACCCTTGCAGTTGTCATCAAGGCATGTATTAGTTTTGTAGTAATTCCCAGTACTATCATTATCAGAGAACCGAATATGTCAACCCAACCCAACTCCCTTCAACTTCCCACCCCACCACCCTTCCCACCTCACAACCTCTTCAGTACGTCTACTCTCCTCCGCCGCAAAGACCACTGCATGGCTCTTAACAACCTCCTCAAGCGCACACCCCACAAACTCCCTCTGTGCCTTCTCAACGCTCCACCCCTTATTAATCACGGCCTCAACAGCACCAACAAAACCCCTGGCCAGCCCATAGTCACCGCCTCCATGCGACTCTGCTTCTTCGGGGGGTTGCTTGGGTATGTGGATGGTGCGCGTATTGCCGCTACCGAAGTCATAGATCGAGATGCTGGATGAGTCGTAGGTTATTTCGCCCTTTGTGCCGTAGATGCGGCCGCGTCGGACGCATTGGGCTTCTGTGGGTGCGATCATGTGAAAGAGGGCCGTTACCCCGGGTGTCTTTTTTGCTTTGCGGTTATTAGATTGGATGGGTTGTGTGGTTGTTGAGGGGACAACGTCCCAAGCAAGGGCCACGACTTGGTCGTCCGCGACGTCGTTGTCGGATTCGTAGACGCAGCGGCCGTACCAGGGTCGCTTTTTGATTGTATTGTCGTCTGTGGTTTCGGTGTAGTCTTGTCCTAGCGCGGAGAGGAGGTGGAATTCTGCTTCTGCTGTTACGGCTCCGCTTGCCTTTCTATGAGGCTGGCCGTAGCTGCTGCTGCTGTCGTTTGAGGGCAGGTGGTCTTCTATATCGGGGCAAACGATGTTGACAGGCCACCCCGTCTCTCCCTTGTTTAGTTGATTGTCCCGGTAGATGCGGACGGCGGAGTATGTGCAATCCCGCTCGATGGGACAGGTTGTGCAATTTGTCGCTGAGCCCGCAGCTGCGGGTTTGCGCGATGGTAAGAACTGCGTTAGATATCCCGTTGACGACACAGTTCGTAAACGGAGCTTTCTCTCACCATCACCACCATCCTCGCCAGCAGCAGCAGAATTAACCGGCGCCTCAATCAACCAAACCAAAAAGTCGATATCGTGACAACTTTTCGTTAAAAGACTCCCATCACCCTTCTCCGTCTCCCGCCGCCAATTCCCGCGCACGTAACTATGCGCAAAATGCCAATGCCCGACTGGCTCGGTATGCTCAACGGATACAATATCCCCCACTACTTGCTCCGCGCGGACCAGCCGCCGCAGAAGCAGATTGTGTGGGTTATACCGGAGCACATGGCCAATGGAGAAGATGCTCTTGGGAGGAACCCGCTCGCCGGAGTCAGACTTTGTCCAGGCCGCATACACGCTTAGACAGTCATCTAGCGAGAGCGCCAGCGGTTTCTCGCAAAGGACATGTAGGTCGAGGAGGTTCGCTTTTGCTATCGCGGAGAGAATGATGATGTGCGTTTCATCGAGGGTGCAGATTAAGACGCCGTCGACGCCGTCGACGCCGGTTTCACCCTCGCCTTCATCCTCTGTGGGAACTCCATTCGATGGTGATGATGATGCCCCGTTGCTGTAATTTAATTTTGACGACTGGCGCTGTCTTCGATTCGTCTCATACTCAATCCATTCCTCCCACCCCTCAAACTCTTCCCCCCGTTTAGGAGCCCGCTCTCCCCAGATGTAGTTCTGGCCGAGGGCGCTCCGCTTGTATGGATTCGGCTCTGCGACTGCGCCGACGCGGCCGGGGGTGGAGGTTGAGATTGCTCGGGCGTAGGCGGAGCCGCGTGAGCCAGCGCCGATTATGAGGAAATTGGGCTGTTTCATGCTCTCTCCTTATCTTGCTTAATATGTTTTTTGAAAGAATGAGGATCGGTGTGGAGGAGGGGAGATGGTGAGGGAGGAAGGAGTGCAGGAGGAGGGGTTCATGAATGGTGTTACATTGCAGAATTCCTGATTGGACGAGGGCGAGTTACACTCCCACCTCGTGGAACAACCGTATAAATAGAAGTAATAATAGTATTTTATTTGTTTACAGGGACTGGGTTTAGTTTATGACATATATCTCTGTTTCGCCTGGCTCGTTCACTGTAGACTGGGTGTTATACTCAGGCAGTTTCTTACCAGTATATACATCGCATTCAAGATGAAAATCAACCCACATTGCACTAACACATTACCCTGTTAATGTGATTAACCAGAGGGCTGAGCAGTGCATTGATAAAAAAAAGGAAGAAGAAAGAAAGAGAAAGAAAAAGAAAAAGAAATACAGGCTGGTGAACAACGTGAACAGTAAAGCCCTACTTTTAACATCACGCTTAGGGCATCAATCTTTCTGTCCCCTCTTGGTAGTTCTTGAGCAGTGCAACTTGGAAATTATGTATCTGTGACCGTGTATTCTCGTCAGAAAATGCCCTGGCGTTGAGAACACCAGCCTCAAAAACGATCTTTATGTCATTTCTCATTTCTTGTCGTAAGTACGCTGGCCAATGTTTCGCGTAAAATCCGGCTATTATAAGCGTTTCAAGTTTCCCGAGTTGCTTGACCCTTGTAAGTGTACGAACGAAGGGCACGTCGGCGCCGAGCCCATGAGCTTGGGGATCAAGAAGAAAGGAATCGTAGTAGTGGGCATCGAATATCACTTTAAGATTTCTGAGATCTTTTGCTTCTTCAATTAGAACATCGAGTAAGCTCACCCACGATGTGGCTTCAGAGAAGACGCTAAGATCGATGATCAAATGTCGTAAAAGGTTGACTTTTAATCGGCTGATCTGGTGGATATAGGCTGAATCATCGAATTCGAATATATTATTGCCGTACAAGACTGGAAGAGCCTCATTGTATATCTTCTGGCAGCTTTGCAGTATGGCAGGGAATATTGAGTGATCCCATATCCAAGCAAAACTTGAGGTTAAAAGCACCGGCCGCTGGTAATCTTTTGCCATGGACTCAAATGGAGCCTTCCCATCGGTGATTCGGGAAACGAGAAGAAGGTCATAAATTTGTAGTCGCAACTCGAGTGGTAGATTCAAGAAGAGGGAATTCTGCGCAGGATTCTGCGGAGAGCCGGCTTCAAGCGAATTGGAAGTATCATACCGGCCTCTTTTGGACTCCCTTGTCTCGGTGGACATGTCATCATCAGTGTCGAGGCTGACAGGGGGCCCGGTGCGTTTTCTGTTGACTGAGGATGTCATTTTTATTGAATATAACGATGTGCTAGAGTCTAGAGTCCACAGTAGACGCCACGACGTATATATGAATTTGGACTTTTGACAACGGAAGGCGCGACCCAGCCAGGTACCTTCCAATCCACGCATCTGTCCGTATATGGATAAAACACTAGTAGAGTATAACGATCAAAAATCTATCCAGCCTTAAGTTGTCATCTCAACCCCATTCTCCTTTAAATAAGCCTCTAGCTTCTTATCCTCCTCCTCGAGATCCAACTCGCGGCTCTCAGGCAACAAGCAATAAACAATCATGCCCAACACCGCAACACCCCCAGCTAGATAAAACGTCGCACTATCACCTCCCCTCTCCCTCAACGGCGTAAAACACTGCGTGCCCACCGCCGCTCCAGTCCGCCCAAACGCCAGCGCAACACTATACCCCATTCCGCGCATGGCCGTAGGGAAGGACTCTGACGATATAAGTCCGATTGTTGCTCCTGGCCCCATATGCCCAAAGGCGTTGAGGAGGCCGTAGAGGACGACAAAGGCGGCCATGTGCTGCGAGAGCTTGGTAAACAGCCCGCCGATGATGAAACCAGTCACGGTGTAGCCCGCGAACCCGAGGATGCCGGTGTTGCGGCGGCCGATGGCGTTGGTGAGGTATGCACCGAGCACGACGCCGGGCACGGGTAAAGCGGCGAGGATGACCTGCCATATAGCGGTTGTTTGGATGTTGCCGTCTTCCACTAAAGAGGCGATGATGGTGGATGACATGATACTGTTGGGGAAGTTGATAAAGTCGTAGAGGAAGAACGCCGTGGAGGTTGTTAGGAGGCGCGGCCAGTAGCGGCGGACTAGGAGGAGGTAGAAACGTAGTGAGCGGTTTTGGGGGCTCGCTTTGAAGTTGGAGTTGTGATAGAGGGTTGAGTCGGCCATAAAAAAACGGAGCAGCATGATTGTGAAGGGGAGAATAGTTGCGATAGAGTATATCGCGTGGAAGGTGATATGCAGGTTATTGTCACTTGCTTTGAGGCAGATCAAGTAGATGATCATCAAGATCGGGGAGGCAAGTGTTGCCATTAGAGTCGTGAACGAGACGAAGACAGGACCGCGGTAACGGCGTTTGAACTGCGAATGTCAGAAATTGAATGCTATGTGATCAGAAGTATAGTCTCTTACATCGTCCGACTCTTCCAGACCAGCAGCAGCGCTGGGAGGATACTCTCCACCAACACCAAATCCACAGATCCCACGCACAATGACAAAGAACCACAGCATATTGTACGAAGGATGCACCTGCAGCGCTAAAGCCGCCAGCAAGGTAGCAATAGTAACCAACCCCGAAGTAAAAAGTAGCCCAGCCCGCCGCGAGACCATATCCGAGACATACCCAAGTACAACAACACCCAGAATCGCCCCAATGATCAGCGAGTTACTGATCCGAGTCTGCATCTCAGACGGATACCCGTTCTTCCCAAGCAGCTTCTTGAAAATGACATTGGTTGGGTTGGCCAGCCCGTTCTGGAACCCATCGCTGAAGTTGGCGATATACTACACACACATTATCCATCAGCATGGCCCACCCGAGCAGGAGGGGCAGAACTCACGCAACTCAATATGGTCAGATTGCTCTGCCACCGAGCAGGCCGGTAAGGCTTCTCACCTAGGCCGACCTCACGATTCGCAACGACAGTTTCCTCAGCCTTGACGCGGTTATCCGGCGAGGTTTCTGTGCTTATGTGTTCCATAACAATGTCCAACTGCCGGGCTGTTCAGAGCCAGAATCTCCATGACGGCTGATCTTCCCAGTCCCAGGCACGTACGTAGTATTTATCGGAGTCTCAGCAGGCACTCCACCCGAAATCTTCAAAGCCGGAGAGATAAAAGCCGATGCCGTGATTTGTGCGTCGACGTGGGAGGGTGGAGTATCGCGGTCTCGGGTGAGGTCCGCTTCGTGGATTCAAGTTTTTACCAGAGGCCAGAGACAGATTGATCTTCTTTTCCGCCGTCTTCGGGGGCTCCTTTCTCCGCGGCCACTTACCTAGTTAATGTTAGGAGACGGAAACTAGAAGACTAAAAGCTGGCTATCTTGGTGGGAATATTGATAAGGCACGTAGACTGGCCGGGCTAAGCTTTGCGGTCTCCACTTGGACCGGAAGCTTTTCTCTTCCAGTGTCTCTTGCAGACAGCGGCGGAGTGCTGTTAGCTTATCACGTTGAAGAATTGGAAAAGACAAAGAGATCTTACATAATTGATTCATTGTGTCGATCTTCTCGTCTACGTCGTCCGGAGACTTCCCGGAGAAAGGAAGGCTACTTCGATTGATTCCACGATAGATGTGTCAAAGTTTTAATGGATGAATGCCTAGTACGCTGTACAAAATATCCGCTATGTACATTACATGTTTAGTATGGTATGGTATATACTAACTGAACATCGTCATAAACTCTCAGTAAACCGACTACCCCGACTCCCATCGTAACTCGGGTGACTCCGCCCCAGCGCGTCCGGCCGTTTCGGTATCGCGATCGGGCTAGTGCCAGACGGCGGCATGGGGAATGCCATCGGCATCCCGGACGTTCGCGTAGTGGCTTCAGCCCATGTGGTCGCATTTGCTGAGCCTGACGTTGGTATCCGCGCCGGCGAGGGTCGCATCACGACAACGTCCTCTTCTGGTGCTTCGCGGGTATACCTCGAATCAAGTGGCGCGCTGAACGGATTGGACAGCGGGGGTGGCTGCTGTGATGGGAACCCAGGTCGCGAGATAACTGGTGGAAGGGTTGGGCTGAGGTCGGGTGTTGGGTCTGTGGGTGATCCTGCTTCCAGGTAGCTTCCACCGCCATAGCTGCTGCTATAGTCGAAATCGTCTGGGTGCATGCCGGTTGGGAGTTTGCGGCCGGAGACCTTCTGGAAGCCGCGCTCGCTGGATGGGGCTGTGCTTGCTAGGCTTTCTTCGCCGGTGGACATTTGCGACTGTCGCCAGCGTTTCATGAATGCTGGGGCGAAGTACGTTGCACCGAACATGCTGTCGTTATTTGAGTCGCGCGAGACCATTTCTCTCCTTGAGGAAGCTACTGGTCCGATAAGACCGCCTCCGCCTCCGTCATCCGCTATTGACCTGTTGGCCGGCGAGCCGAAGAAGAAACCGGTCTTTCTGCGCCGTCGGAGCAGAAACCAGATTAGCACGAATATGACAGAAGCTCCTGCTACGCCGCCAACGACCCCTCCGACTATTCTACCTGTGGTTTGTGGACTTAGTGAGCCGGACCCTGAGTCAGATGAAGTATCAGAACCGGGCGAGGCTCCTGTATTTTCTGAGTTGCTGTCACTACCGTGGGTACCAGTATTACCAGCGCCCCAACCGGAGCTAGTGGAAGACGGTGAATCGGAGTATGTGCCTGACCCATCAAACGTATTAGAACCGGTTGTAGTCGTAGGACTCGCTACCGATGAGGTTGATGTAGAGGCAGTGGTGGAGTCGGTGGAGTCAGTGCTTGTATCAGAACTAGAACTGGAGTTGGAGCTTGTGGCAGTGTCCAGGACAGATTGCGTGCTGGTTTCAGAAGGTGACTGAGAAGCTATAGCAGTCGCCAGGTCCAGGCTCGAGCCTATGAAATCGGGGGTGGTGTTTGTGGAATCGGAAGTCTGGCTAATAGAATCAGATGTAGTGCCAGTTGTAGAAGCTGTCGGGGTAGAGTTAGGGTCGGAAGTAGATGGTATGTCGTTTGTCGCGGCGGTTATACTTGCAATATCAGATGAAAGCGAAGTAAGTATCCCAATAGCCTCAGTCGCGGCCTCCGACAGCGATGCTGCCACTGATGCATCGTCAGTCATGGATTGTGTTAGGCCTTCTGTTGTTGCAACTGTCGGTGTTTCTTCAGAAGCCGACTCTGTGGCGGTCCCTGTCAACGCTTCTGCAGAAGTCTGTTCCGCGGAAGTCTCCATGTTCGACGTTGTTTCTGCAGCAGCCGCAATTTGAAGGTTCGTCATCGTCGAAGTCGGTTCAAATGAAGGTTCTGGGGCATCTTGGCCTGTCGCTGTGGCAGTGGCCGCTTCTTCCGTGGCAGAGTCTGCGGTTGCATCTTCAGTGGGATAAGGAACAATGGTGGTTATCTGCGTCACCTTGGTCACCGTGGTTGGAGCGTCGCCAGAATCCGTCGTCTCGGGAGCCTGTACTGCATCCTTATCTGAATCGGAAGTGTTCGTCGGCTCAGCAGCAGGCGCCTTCTCCTCCGTAGCTGTAGTCGGTACCGGGTCAGAGTCGGCGGAGAGCATAGTTTGCGGATTGGGTAACACTGGTATGTTTGACGGGCTATCGTCCTGCTGGCGCTTTTCGCGAAGTGCTTCCCAGCCCTCATTTAAATTCTTGGGCCGTGTGGTCTGTCCTGGGGTAGCAGGATGGTCGCCAACCACCGTTGGTCCCTGATCGCCATTTACCCGTGTATCTAACCGGTGCTTCCTCAGTAAACGTTCGTAACGGCCATGTTTGGAAACACCATGGCTGGTCATGGTGACTATTCACCCCGCAGGGCACGTGAGTTTCAGTAGGTCGAGTAATAAGGCGGCGCGGCGCTATAGAGTGAATTATTGTGGTGTGTGAGAATGGATCGAGATGCCTGCCTGCACGACACTCGAATGGGCTTGTGATTTGGCCCGTGAACCGCGATACTCAGATGCGATGGGATGCGAAAGGTGCGAAAGAGCGAAGGAACGAGTGATCGTCAAGTCGGAACGATGATAAGATAGTAAGAAAGTGGGTATCCAGGAAATCGAGGTAGAAGAATCGAAGTCGAATGAAATGTCAAGGAGCGAAGCGAACAATGCCTTTTGCAGGTAGTCGATTGAGTGAGGTCAAGGAGCGGACATCAGCAAACACTAACACAGGCTGCCGACAAAGGATTGGAGTTGGAAATGGAGGCCGCAAATCAACATGCGATCTAACCAAAGCGAGCTGTTAGTTTCTCGGCGACGAGGTCATGGCTCACAGCAACGGCAACACATACAGGAGAATCGAACAATGATTGAAGCGAAGGTGTCAAAAGTTTCCAGACTAGGCCATCATGAATATTCACCAGCAGATGGCAGCGGCCGGTTATTCATTCCGTTCCGAAGTGAGCCAGGTCTCAAGCGTCCTGTGGGTTGAGGCTCCACGTTGACTCTGCAGACCCAAGGCTCTTCTTCTGCCCACTCCTCCCAGGTGGTGGCGTGCAATGAGGTCTGTCAACAGATGCCTCCGAGGAGAATAAGAATAGGGCCAACGAAGAGAAAGATGGGGGAGAATCCCTGGGAGGGCAGAGGACGGGAACGACGAGAAGCGAGAGAAGGAAAAGAGGAGAAGGATGATGGAAGTTCAGGAACAGGAAGCGAACACGAAAAGGCGGCTAATAATAACAACACTAAGTGCTCCGTAATTAAATGAGATGACGGTCTTCGACCTGCAGACTCCGGCTAACTCTCTAGCCTGCCAAGCGGGTCTCAGAACGGTTTCACTCACCATCTTTCCTGTCAACCAGTGCGACACCATTGTCCACTGCGCCCATGGTGAATCAACTATTGTTGTACACGTAACCTGGTGCAGAAAAGCCGTTGCTGGAGCCCGAGACAGGCACCGCTTACCCATGGCTAGACTGCCCATGGACGTGTCGGCTCGAACCCAATGGATTGGATGTTCTGGCCGTCAACCGAATTTCTGCCTTCCCCACCCCAAACAGTTCGGTGAGACACTCGGATGCTGCAAGGGGCGAGTAAACAAACATGCAAGGTCCGGCATTATTATCATTTTATTGTCATCGCCAGACTATTGGGTATTTGGGTTTGGTTGAAGTCTGATGGACGACAGAATACTGATAGTGCTGAAGTGAGATTAACGTAAACACTAGATGGATGCACATTCTCTCTGCAGGGTAGATCCGTGATCGGGAATGGACTCTGTGGAATGTGACAGGTTGATAGGTAACCTTGGAGGAATGCTCAAATCCGGTGGCATTGGCCCTACTCTGTTTAGGCTTCGAGGTTCGAGTCGAAATGTCAATAGCCAATGCCCTATAGGCTATCACTATCTACATACAGGGCAACCCTATCAAGGAGCCACATCGAGGTGGACGAGTAGTTTCAGTCATCCAATTATACAAGCCATCATCACGGGCTCCCCCCAAATCTCCCTACCTAAACTACCAAACATGCACGCACTTCTAGACCCGGCCCGTGCGGCCCATGATCCAAACAGACAGAATAAAAACAACTCGCCAGGAAAGTGTAACGGGAAATTCAGTTTCAACGCTGTTACGACGAAGGGTATTAATAGGTCAGGCGCCTCAAAACGTCTCCAGCTCCTCACTCGCTTCGCCCTCAGCAGGGATCTCAAACCCTTCCTGTTGTAATCGTCAGTGTCGTGTTTTCTTCTCTTGTGTTTATTCTGGTTGGCCCACCTCTGTCGAGTAAAGGATGCCCTGGATGTGCTTCACTAGTGAATCATCATCCTTCTCCAGTTCTGGGTCCGCCTCAACGGCGTTCTGGAGTAGCAGCTCAATATCCCGGAGCTTAGCAAAGTAGAAGTCGCGCTCCTTCTCCAGTCCACCAATTGCTTCCTTGGTCGAAGTCAGCTCCGCCTGCAACGCAGCCACCCCGGCAGAGCTGGCTCCTCCAGCAGCAGCAGGTCGAGCACGCCCGACGGTAGGAGTGGTTCCACGGCGGGCACTGCCAGCAGAGGTCGCGCCAGCACGAGAACCTCCCGTAGGGGCTCCTCCAGAGGCCTTTCGGCGAGCGAGCGCATCGTAGTCTCCTCCCGGGTAATGTTGGTCCCAGTATCTCTTTGTCCACTGGAGGAACTCCAGGTTATCCTGCATGCGGCATTTGGATAGCGACTCGACGGGGATCGGCTTGTCGACCTGGTGGCGCGCAAAAACGTCTAATGGGAAAAAAAGGAGCTGATTAGCAATCGACATCCATCTTTGGAGCGAGGTTGACATACTCTGAAGAACCTTGAAGTTCTGAAGATAGGCGTATTCCGTGTTCACGTTGAATTTTACTCGGGACATGGGAACGTCCACTATGAAACAATTGTGTCAGTCGCTCCTGTTCCGCCAGCGCAGAAAATGCTGTCCGCCCGCCGCCGCTCCCAAGGTAACTCACTGAATATGGAATCGAAAATCTGACATAGTGCAGCTCTGCAAGTTTAATGATCAGTAAACTGCCCGCCAAAGACCCTCTATTTCCATTGGCACGGTCCAAAGCCATCAACGAGGACGGTTGCAGAGCAAGGGGTTCGCTCATACCCGGTTCCGCACTGTTCGATCTTGGTCAAATTCAGCTGCAGCAGGCTGTTAAGCCATGCCAGCAATTCTTGTCTGTTTCCCAGATAGAACTATCCGTCAGCATCCAGTTCCAAAATTCTCGCATATCGATAAGTGACCGGAAGGTTGACGAACCTCGACTCGCCCATAGTGGGGTAAGAATTTGGGGAAAGTAGAGGAACGAGAGGGGGATCTAAGGATGGGCAAGAAAGATTGGCAGAAGACAAATGTCTCTAGTTTTGATCAGGAGTTCCCTGGTTATTTGTGTGTTGGTTTCCCGTCTCGGACGAGTAAATATGAAGGTGAAGTTGAGTTTATTATTGTTGTTGTCGGTTTCTGTCGACAGCAAACCCACTCGACTGCCTTTGTTGACGCTAAGCCCCTCGAGGCCAATCACCGCCTTTCTCAGTTTCAGGCGATCGACACCTCAGGCCGCAAGGCTTACGATCAATGTCCAGTTTAGTCTGCTCAGCTTTTACCTATTTCGAGCTGTTTACACAATGTAAAGAAAATGAAAAGTATATTTAAACGCCAAGAGATTATCTCTATCGCTAGCCAATTGAAAACAAAAATCCAACAGATGGATAAGACAAATGATCTAACAAACCTCTATGACTTTTCTCAGGTCCCGCACGAGAATTCAAAAGATCTAATGTAGATGCTGTCTACTCCTCCAATAAATCTATGCCGTCTATGCCATATCCAAAGTCCATAATAACCGCACGGGAGTCCTGGCTTGTAGCCAGAATCCGTCTATAATCCGACTTCACACTCAACATCCAGCTGGTAGTCCAGCCGGGGAAATCAATCGTGACTTTTCCGGTCTGAGTGTCAAAGACCTTGACGCTTGTATCGTAGCTCCCACTAACAATCCGCTGGTTCATGCTATCGAGATGCAGGGACCGAACCAATCCGGTGTGACCCTCGATCTCTTTAACCAGCTGGCCGGTATTGGCATCGAACTGATAGATCGCCTGGTCGTTCCCACCGGTGAGAACAGTCCGTGCATCGTCGCTGAATTCAACACACGCAAGGCCCCTGTCCTTGCTAGCAAACTCCTTGACACACAGACCAGATGCAATGTTCCACAACTTGGCGACACCATCTCCACTGGCAGAGACGATCAGGTCGCCACGTAGCTGGACAGCATTGACCGGTCCGCGGTGGCCGAGCAGGCTTTTCACCAAAACCCCGGTCTGCCGATTCCAAACGCAAATCGTGTGGTCCTTAGAACAAGAGACAATATAGCGATCATCAAAACAGACGTCCAGCACGCCAGCCGTATGTCCCTCGAGGCGACGAATTGGTCGGTAATCGTTCTTGATATCCCAGACAATACAGGAATAGTCAGAAGACCCGGTGACCATAATTTCATCGTCAAACTGGAGGCACAAGACAGATGCAGTATGGTACTCTTCTGGTCCTTGCTGCGGATCCACGATCTCAGCGACAGGAGTGGGAGAAGGGCGAACGGTAAGAAAGGGCGACTTTCCCGACGCCTGCTGCTCCATATCCTGAACCGGACCGCTATAGGAGACGTCTGCAGGGGGCGGCCCAATAATCTTACGGCACGGCCATGGGTAATGAGCATCCCAGACGCGGATTGTCCGATCGCGGGAGCCAGTAATGATCTTGTCCCTAGAGGAAAATGAGCGACGAGCCAGAACAGACGGGGGATTGGTTAACATACTCATCGAACTGGACACAATATACGCTGTCTGTGTGTCCCTGAAGGTAGATTGCTGCTGCTTTGCCCTCCTTCCACCGATTCTCCAAGGCACGGCGGACGAGGTAGAGCTTCTTCCAGTCCTGATTAAATGTATCCTTGCTGAGTCCAGCAGAGGGAGCTTTCCTAGCTCCAACATCTGCAGGGCGGCGTTTAGCGTAGCAAGTGCGGAACACATGACGCCAAATATGCTGGGAGGAGGCCTGCTCGCTCCAAGCACGTGAAACCAATCCACTCCTCATCAAAGACTCAGGATCGAGATATGAGAGAACCTGGGACATGATTTCGGTGGGAAAGAACGCCAAGGGGTCACGACGAACGAGGTCCGATTCGAAATGCGAAAAATCAGCACGATCCTGTAGAACGATGCCAATGCCACTCTCCGAGTCTGGGGTCAGCTTCATATGCTCCACCCTGCGTACCATTTCATTTTGAGCCGCCGCAGCAGCGCGAGCGGCAGCACCGGAGTAGATATGGTTGGGCAGGACTGGAGGCTCCAATCCATTGCCGGGAATTGGAAGCGGGATCGAGAAACCGTGAGGAACACTGTTGCGGCGATTGAAGTTATGCTCCTGGCCATCGTGGGTACCCCCATGATGATCGGCATGAGTGAACGTGCGCGATGACTTGTCGCGGAGCGTAACTGACAGACGGCGGCCAAGTGCGCGCAGTCCATCCACCGGGTGGCGGAGATTCGAGAAGCTCTTTGCCCCGCGACGCCGATGGGCCGGCTCGGGGAAGTGGTTCACATCTTCCAAAACGGTATCTGCCATAGCATCTCCCGAGTCCACAAGGGACAAGTCATTCCACGAGTCGTGTCCAAATGCCGAGGTCGAGGTGGTAGATACTGCTGAGACGGTCGCGAACCGCGGTCGGGGTTTGAACGATAGGGACGGGCGGCGTCGGTGGGAGACAGGAGGGGCATTATCTCGCGGACCCATTATGAATAATAATATCTGCCGATTTGGCGTGATTAAGGATAATTCAAGCGGAAAGCAAGTTGAGTGGTTTCAGGAGCGGGTTGTTGATAAGTATCCCCCTTTTTTACCCGAACCCGAGCACGAGTCGAGAGGCTGGCGTGTTGTAAGACAAAAGCAAGGGGCGTTTAAGCTCTGGGAGCCTGGGGGTATCAAAATTGAAACAAGACACTCATAAGTAAGACACGTTCGAGGGCTGAGAATGGTTGTCTGGGAGGTGGTGTTGGTATAGTAAGGAGATAAGGCGACCGAAAAATGCCCGATAACAATAACAACACCGATTAGAAGGGAAAAGAGGGAGCGGAGCGAGGGAAGAATAGAAGAAAAAGACGAGAAACAGAACACAAAAGAGAGAGGAGAGACAGCGAGGAGAGAAGTCAGGAAGTTAAATCAGCGCCTGAAAAATATCGGGGAGAAAAAACATGCATTTTTAGTTCTTACAGGGAAGATTGAGAGAAAGCCCGGGGCGGTGAAGCCTTTGCCTCCCAACCAACAAAGACTGGATGGTGTGGCGACTGCGCAGAAATTGCATGCAATCAGTGGTTGATGGAAACTTTTGTTCTATTTTATTTGTCCACCGTCAATTGATTCTCCGTGAAATCCCCGTTTCTTCCCCGGGCTCCGCAAGAACAATCTTCATGTCCAGCAGATCGATCCCCCGTTATTGATCCACTTCCCCGGACTGCGGCGAGCACGAACCTGAGGAGCGGGTAATGCTAATATGGGGACCTTCTGGAAGAAGTACCCTGTGTGCTCTCAACATACAATAATATTCGATTCTATCGCTTCTATCGCTTCTACCACTTCTGTAGACTATGCAAACACCTTGTCATATCCCGTCATTGTAAACCGATAGTGCACATCTCCCTTTTTCATCCGCTCCATCGCTTCCTTCAGGCCTTCGCTGCCAATCTGCAGTTCTTCCACCCACCCCTTTAGGCCCTTGTCAGCCGCCAGCTGCAACATCTCCAACGTCTCCTGTCTGTTTCCAATGTGGCTAGCTCCGATCAAAACACCATTAGAAATCAGATTCTGCGCCTTGATGACTTGTCCCTCCTCCTCGGGCAACCCAACGCTGATCCATCGACCATGAATATCCATCATGGAGAGGTACTTCTCTAGATCAAATCCCTTGGAAGAGTTCGCGCAGTTGATGATTATATCGAAGGAACACAAATGAGGCTTCTCCCAACCCTCCTCCGCTGTAGCTATGTAGCCATCGGCTCCTAGCTTTCGCGCATCCGCCTCCTTCGCCCGCGACCGGGAGATCGCCCATGTTTCTGCGCCCAGAGCTTTGGCGAACATGACACCGAAGTGCCCAATGCCGCCCAGGCCAACAATTCCGACCTTCTTGCCAGGTCCGGCACCATTGCGGACCAAGGGCGAGTATGCGGTCAGCCCGGCGCAGAGCATTGGCGCGACGAGGTTACTCTGCAGCGACTCGGGGATGGGGAAGACCCAGTGCTCGTGCGTGCGGACGTGCGACGAGTATCCACCCTGGCTGATAATCCCAGTGTCAGGCCACTCGGCGCCGTACGTGTCGATCGCGAGCACCTGGCAATAGTTCTCGTTTCCGTTCTTGCACTGCTTGCAATCGCCGCAGGAGTATGACTGTGCGCCGACACCGACGCGCTGGCCCTCTTTAATCAGGGTCACTTTGGGACCGACGCGGATGGCACGGCCGACGATTTCTGCTCTGTCAGTATTGGATGCTTGCTTGCTCTTTTGTTCAGCGCCTTACCATGTCCGACACAGAGGGGGAAGTTCTGGGATCCCCATCCACCTATAACCTGTTAGTATATTCCGTCGTTGTTGACCGGGCGAACATACCGCTAATTGTGTGCACATCGCTACCGCAGACTCCGCACGCTTCTATCTTGACGTCGATGTCTATTTTGTCAGTTCAATCAAATACCAGACCGCGATTCACATACCATAATCGCCAAATGGCTTCAGTTTGAACTGCAGAGGTATTAGTCACTCGAGGAGTCTCCTGGAGGATGAAAATTCGACATACGAAGCGCTTCTTGAAATCGGTATAGGTATCCGGGCTGTCAACCTGGAACCCCTCGGCTTCCTCGGGATACGGCATGTTTACTTTCGGATGGTATTAGGATTGAGACAGAAAGTGCAGTTTGAGGGCAGCCTTTTCCTCGGGCACAGGCCGATATTTATCTCCTCGTTTGGAGTCAGTCTCGACACGAGCCTGACCAATTTTACTTTCCCCCAACAGAGTGGGGTGGGATGGATCGCAACTCAATGCCACGGTAATGGTCGGCTGGAGCCAAAATCCGACCAAACTGGTAATTCGCATGACACTCAAGTTGGGCACTGTTCCATTATTCCTACTTTTAGGGTTCTGAGCCTTTCTATCGAGAAAGGCCGGGATGATCAGGATCCTGTGCCTTCATGAACAGACAGTGATTATACAACAAAGACGGGAGGATGCATATCTACCTCTGATCAACCCGGCCTTTATCGACCATGTTATTTTTCGTCCAGCTGCAAAATTCTTGATATTCACGATCAGCCCGGCCTTTATCGATTTCGACATTTACCCCTCGAGCAGGGAAATGCTCTCTCGGATGTCACTCACGATAGGTGGATGAACTTCGCCCGCAATTCGGACCAATTTTTCCACCTATCAGTGCTCAATTACAGCTGTATGCAGGGCACTGTGTGGGGAGTGGAGTCGACCTGACATCGTCCGGGGCAATGCTCGGAGTTGTCTCCGTTGCTACGGGAATGCGGTACAAACATACCCCGCGGCCGACGATTCCTCGAAATTTTTTTTCACGCGTTGAGAACAGAAGGAAGGGAAAATGTATTGATTCTGCTAATTACGCAACATCAGGCAGCTTAAACTCCACCTCCATGGCCTCCTTAATCTTATCCGCAACAGCCTTAGCCTGCGCGTCATCGAGTCTCCCCAATGGCCGTCTCGGGTAACCCCCATACCCATAGTAAGACTGAATCGCGCTCTTTGTCCCGGGGATCGCAGCCTTAGTCAGGACCCAGTCCGCCTGGCTCAACAAACCCTGCACCTCCATCGCCTCCGTAAACTTACCCTCGCCCCAGAGGGTAAACACCTGCACGCAGAGCTTGGGGATAACATTCGCGCCACCAGCTAGAATTGCCGACCCGCCAGAAGCCAGAGTCTGCAGCGTAAAGTCCGCAATACCGCCAAAGGCAACGTACTCGTGGTTTGCGGAAGTCTTGGTAACAGGAACAGAGGACTTGGTTGGCGCAAGCGGCGACTCAGGCTTGATGGCGTGCAGGGCGCGCGCGACCCGCGTTAACTTGCCCGTGTTGGCGCAGGTGAACTTGGTGCCCACAATATTGGGATGTTGCGAGATGCGGATTATGAGGTCCGAGTCCATATCAATGCCCGCGACGGCACCGGGGTAGTTATACAGAATGATAGGGAGAGGCGAGGAATCTGCGACTGCTGTGAAGTACTCATATAGCGTCTCGTCGTTGCCTGTCGCGTAGCGGTAGTAGCTTGGTGGGACGATAAGGGCATACTCAGCACCCACGGCGGCAAGGTCCTTGGTTAGTTGGATTGTGCCACGGATGCTGTTCTCTGAGGCGCCGGCAATAACGGGAACGTTTTTGAAGTTGGCTTCATCGAGGGCGGCGCGAGTTTCGCGGATGACGGTTTGCTTTTCTTCGAGGGTGAGATGGACGGCTTCACCGTTGGAGCCCATGCAGACGAGCCCGACGAGACCGGCTTTGGCGAGGCGCACGGCGTGCTTCCGGATGGCAGGGGTGTCGAGGTCTTCAGTGTTGGGGTTGAAGAAGGTCATTGTTGGAGCGTATACTCCGGGGCGGAGAGGTGTGAGAGGCATTTTGTTAGGTTTCTATGTACAGTCCAGAATTCAAGATGACGGATTTGCAGTATGCAGAGAATAAGAGCAGGGCTGCTGAGCCTTATATAGAGGGGTATAGTTCTGTTGTATAAGTAAATTGGCAACCCCACGTCTGATTGCCCGATCGGGATTAGTCAGTCACAATTCATCCCACGTGCCCCACCTTTAACCGGAGAAGCACCGGGCGGCGAATTTCCACCAATCGGCAACTGAGTTTCCTGTTTGAGCTCGGGCCATCAAATGCCGACCGTATCTACTTTCGTCACTGAAATGAAGCACAACCGCCTGAATCCCGGCAATTCAAGGCAAAATTGCGTCCATTGAGTGATTATTCCGGCTCAGTATTTGCCCCGGCTATGATTTAAAACGCCAGGGTTGCTGCATTTCGTCGGGCTATATTTGCGCGTTGTCCCACCTCCTCAGTCTCTCTCTGCCTACTTCCCCTCACCCCTCCATCCATATCTATCCCATAGCCTAGCAGATACAGCTTCAAAATGGCCCCTCCCAGCGTGTTAATGGTAGGAACTGGTGAATACACCACTGGCTATGTCGGTGGCACCGCCTCTGGATCAGACAAGAAAGTCGGCGTTGTCGGACTGAGTCTTTTTGATCTCCGCCGACGCGGAAAAGTAGGCGACCTCAGCATGGTCGGCGTCTCAGGACGCAAGTTCCCAGGAATCCGTACGTCCCTGATACATTCTGATGATGAAAAAAATACTAACCTGGCAAGGCGACCACCTCCACAAAAACATCACCCAAGTCTACAACAACCTCGACACCTCCTTCACCTCTTTCCCCGCCGACAATGCCACCGACCCCGACGCCTACAAAGCCGCCATTGACGCCCTCCCCAAAGGCTCCGCAATCACAATCTTCACCCCCGACCCAACCCACTTCCCTATCGCAATCTACGCCATCGAGCGTGGCATCCACGTCCTCGTGACCAAGCCCGCCGTCAAGACCCTCCCCGAACACATCGCGCTTGTCGAGACCGCGCGCAAACACAACGTCTTCGTCTTCGTCGAGCACCACAAGCGCTTCGACCCCGCCTACTCCGATGCCCGCGCAAAGGCCAAAACCCTCGGCGACTTCAACTACTTCTACTCTTACATGAGCCAGCCCAAGTTCCAGCTCGAGACCTTCAAGGCCTGGGCCGGTAAGGAGAGTGATATTTCCTACTACCTCAACAGCCACCATGTTGATATCTGCGACTCCATGGTTGGCAACGACTATACCCCCGTTCGCGTGACTGCGAGCGCCTCCACAGGAACAGCCGTCGAGCTCGGCTGTGTCCCCGAGACAGAGGACACAATCACGCTGCTCGTGGACTGGAAGCACAAGACCGAGCCCGGCAAGGTCGCAACGGGAGTGTATACCGCTTCCTGGACGGCGCCGCAGAAGGCTGGTGTCCACTCAAATCAGTATTTCCACTGTACGGACAGTCATTCCCAGCACGATCCCCTTATGTAGCTTAAAACGATTACTAACGAGCATTCAATAGACATGGGTGCCAACGGCGAAGTCCGCATCAACCAAGCTAAGCGTGGCTACGACGTCACTGGCGACGACTCCGGACTCGCCTGGTTAAACCCGTACGTCTCTCCTTCCCCTTCTGCCAGTAAATCTGACCAAAAGCTAACGCTCGCTAACCAGATTCTACATGCGCTACGCCCCCGACGAAGAAGGAAACTTTGGCGGCCAAACGGGGTACGGGTACATCAGCTTCGAGAAGTTCATAGACGCCATCACAGCGCTAAACGAAGGCCGGGTAACGCTCGACCAGCTGGACGCACGACCACTACCGACGCTGAAGAATACCATTGCTACGACGGCGATTCTGCATGCGGGGCGTGTGAGTCTGGATGAGAAGAGGCCTGTTGATATTGGGGAGGTTGATGGAAAGTGGACTGTTAAATAGGTTATATAACATCCTTATTTTATATGTATGTGGATTAATCGGTCCTGTGGAAATACTCTATATTCAAATAAAGAAGTCGATATCTTATTGAATGCAGCTAAGGAAAACTGAAGGCCTATTCATAATATGTTATCCCCGGGCGAGCAATAAGCAAGGATATCTATGTAAATAGACACTCCATAGCCATGTTTAATAACGAGGTTGACAAAAGTCATCCTGCGACTGGACAACCACAGACCAGTGGTCAGGGTGGTCAACAACACCGCCCGCAACTGTCTTTCCCTTGTATTCGCCCCTGCATTCAGTGGCAAGAACATTAATACTATCAATAATATTCCTCTTGCCCATGACGCGAGGCATATCAGTGTCGGTACAGAAGCGGAAGCTCATACCGTCCCTGCAGTATAGGTTCTTGCACCCGTTCGGCCCAACTGACACGCGGTCTTGTCCGTTTTGGATGAACTTGGTGGCTTCCGGAAACATCTCGATGTCGGCGTGCAGGGCTTTGCCCCAGCAGTTGACGGTGTGCTGGCCGGAGACCGCGGTGGCCAGCATGGTAGTGGCGGAAATGATGGTGTTGAAACGCATTCTGAATAACTGGAAGGCTGAGGATAAGAAGGACACTTGGGGTGGCTTTGTATAAGTGAAGATGTGAGCCGAGTAAACAAGTTGGGGAGGCTGGTCGATGGGTACCTATGATCACTGTTGAATAGCTTCAGGAGTTCCTAAGGGGACGAAATGATTGCTGACCAATAGATGATGGATGCTAACAATGATTAAGCCGGGCTCACAACTTGTGGAAATACTCTGCGGCCAACTTAGAGAGAAGAAGTGCATATCTTCTCATTGAAGAAGGCTGTGGAGGGCCTATTTATAATAGTACATATCTGCGCCAGCAGTGAGGGAGGATATTAATGTTACCCAAAGGTGAAGTATTCGGTTATGTATAAACGGTGAATCTCACCCTTCACCGATATTGTCAATGTCGGCATACTTGTGAGGTTAAGATAGCTCAGATGTATGGATTGGGTAAAATGATGAGCATGAAATTCTAGGCCCTGGACTGTTAACACCGGATGATATATGGAAAGTACTGGATGCAAAGACTAAAGGCTCCGAGAATAACACCGATATGGTGATAATAGACAAACAAACTCCCAGCGCCGACCATCCATCCGTCCTTAGCTCTGCCATGCGACTCTGATCTAAAAGCCTAGAACTCGCCAAATTTAGATTTCCCAGAAACAAAATTGCAATTTCATAAGTCTCGTATCGTGTCCCATTGATTTAGCGGCACTGTCATCACCGACGGGAGCTGTGTCTGGTGGCACCCTGTGTGCCTTTGTTGAGTTTGGCTCGACATTCAGGACAGTACCATTTGGTTGTGCGACTGGGAACTTCGGAAAGACCGACGCAGTCGAGGTGGAACCATTCTCGGTCACACTGTTGATGAAGGTTAGGATTAAAATATAAAGTTGGAAGATAGAGGGAAGCACGTACGTCTTGGTTCTCACAGCAAATCATTGTCCCGAAACTGACGTCTCCGCAGAGACAATACCGCGGTTCGTTGACATCGATTTCTTCGAGCACGCCATCTTCATCAATGCGGATGTCTTGTCCCTGCTCTCGGGTCCCTATGCGCTTCCTACCCGGTTTAGCCTTGCGGCGTCCATAGCTGACTGCGGCGCCACCGTTCGGGCCGTTTGACACTGGCCCAGGGGCAGGTCGCTTGCGACGCCGAGGGGGCGCACTGACGCTGGCTGCGCGAGATCCCTCAGGAGCCGGGGTCTTTCTGGCAGGTGTAGCACTCTTCCGACGAAGCTCCCTTGCCACGTTCAGAACAGGGTCTGCCGCGGCCAAGGAGCGGTGGCGCGAAGGAGGTCGAGAGTTTGATGGCGTCGAAGTGGGCCCTCCCCTTGACCTGGTCACGGTGGATAGTACGGCTGCTGCTGGTGTCGGTAATTCGGGCGAATCTACTTTGATGCCAGGCGCCTCATCTGCCGGTGAAGCTTCCCTATATATCTTCCGACGCTTTGCTTGACTTCGTGTAGGTCGACTCTCAACGTCCTCGGGTAGATCGTCGTGTTCCGGAACTGTCGGGCTGCTGCTCGTGTCGAATTTCCGCTTTTTCAATAATCGGCTTGGTTTGACCGCCACTGCCAGAGACTCCTGCGGACGATCAGCACCGTTGGAGATAAAACCTTGAGAGGTGGACCCGAGCTGACCTAGTCGCTTGGCTTCTTCTGCCTCCGCAGCGGCTAAGGCGGCTTGTTCCCTCGCCTGGTTTTCACGTTTGAGCTTTTTGGCTTCGTTCAATTTCATGCCTCGATTGCTCAGTTTCAGTTCAACAACGCCTTCGGTGTCCTTCGTTGCGTCGCTTCGACGGGTAAGGAGTCCAGGGATGAAATTGTTCATGATGTCGTCGCAGTCCATAAACTCGGTCCCATTGCGCTCGGCCTCTGCTTTCGCTGCCCGATATGCCTCCCATCCACGGCCGCGAATAGCTAGTTCACGATGAATCATCACCTCACTCGGTTGCCAAACCGCGTTCTTTTTCATCTTCTTTCGCAGTTTAGTCATCTCCCACTCGGTCAGGCGCAGCCATGGTAAATCTTGGCTTCCCGGTCTTGCATCTTCAGGAGGAGGCTTCAGCATCGCCAGAGCACTGCTAGTTGAAATGCCTGCAGACGCCCTCAGTCCGGAGACTGACTCTCCTGAAGGCCTTGAGCGGCGTGATGATTTATTTTTCTTGTTGTGGCCCGCGGTTTGAGTGGGAGTAGACTTAAACTCAATCTCATTATCTGAATGCTCGGTACTGGCGAGTGGAGAGTCAGGATGCAATCCCGCAAGATGATCTTCTGCGACCAAAGAACGACGGCTCCTCGACTTCTGGCTACCTCTCCCACCATCCAAGCGCAGTGTAATTCGGGTTGTTGTGGGTGGTCCATCGTCACCTTTTTTACTCGTGCGCGGGCGTTTCGCGTTGGTAACACGCGGAGGAGGGGTGGGCTCGCGCGAAGGGGGCTTTGGTAACGCCTCGAGTTTCTGTCTGATAGAGTCTAGGCGGTTGAAATGGCGGTCGACGACATCGTACAAACGACAAGCCTCGGCATACGAAGATTCGCGAGCATTGATTGCGCTATCAAGGTGGTCTGATATATCTCGGCGCAGAGAGCAAGGGTCCGGACGCGTGTCAGAAGGGAGATCGGGAAGCTGGCCATACTTCGTGGAAAGCTCATGGATATCCTGCGCGCTGTCTAGGTAACGCTTATCTAGGCCACGAATGAGAGTAAGAGAACGGAGTAAATCAGCAGGGAGGTATTCGGTGTAATCAATAAAGTCAGTCACGGTGGCCTGAGCATCAGGGTCAAACGGTCCATCCAGGATCACCCCTCCCGTATCATTGTTGAACTCCGCCATGCCAGCTAGTAAGTAAAGCAACAGGGGGTACGATGGCGGAGGGTGGTTGGTGATATAGGGAGAAGCAGGAGATGGAAACGACGGTAGTCAGGGCTCAATAGGCGACACCATGCGTGATGGTGCAGCCATAAGGGTAAGTAAGAGAGCCTCGGTGTAGGGGCATGAGCCAAGGCTGGAAGCGAACAGGAATGCGACAAGCAAGTGAGGTGCCGACGTGACTGGGCAGAGATACAGGGACAAGGCGTGTAATGGGCGACGCGGAGATCCCTTGACATCGGCTCAATGCTGTTCCGCCCCAGCAGAGCTGAGTTGTGCACGTGACTATCTGGAGCTGTCAATGACTAAGCTATTCCCGGCGTCATTGCCGACCCGATCACGTGGGTGTATTCCCCATAGTTGTCACCATGAATCGGATGCCCATCCGAGTCTCTCGGCTTTGGAGAGGGGTCCAAGCAGGTTTATATCATAGGCGATGGCCCGCTCGAGGAATCTCACCAGTTTTCCGTCAGAGGAGCGCGGTGTTATCAAATCACGGAGTAATCAGACCAAGATTCATACAACACTATATTCACGCCTCAAGACATTTACAAGATGGTCGTCGAAGTGAGACAATATCATTTGTTCCCCACAGATCTCATCCCAAACTCGCCGAGGCCTTTACTTCACTACAGAAATGTCCTAACTAAAAAGGCTGGCGCCTCACATTGTGACCCAGGTGAAGTATGGGACATGTTCACCAAGAATGGATGGGACGTGCAGTGGATATTCCGCTACAGCGACACTCAAGTATCTCACTACCATTCGAAAGCGCACGAGTGCATGGCCGTCCTTTCTGGAACAGCCACTATTCGATTTGGCGTTGCCGACACCTCGCCAGATATGGTGGAGAACACATACGGCTCTGCGTGGGAAAAAGGAGGAGTTACGCTGGACGCTGAAGCTGGCGACGTGTTTATCATACCAGCAGGTGTGGCACACAAGACACACAAGGCAAGGCCGGAGGCGGCATTCAAGCTCATGACACCGGGGTCAGGACATGGTATTGAGGCCGATGACCCGAAGAAAGCCTTATCGGAGATCAAACTGGATGGGTTCACAATGATGGGGGCTTATAACGGAGGCAAATGGGACTTCGTCGCGACTGGAGGCGACTTCGAAAGCGTATGGTCGGTTCCGAAGCCCAAATACGATCCTGTTTTTGGAGACAAGGCGAATGGACTTTGCAGAAGATGGAACGGAAGCAATGCGCAGCCTAGGACGAGCCTCTAAGCCTGTAGAGGCTTAAGATTCCATGAACTGTACTCTAAGACATAGCGTAATGCTTTGAACTTTCTAGTGTATTTGGAGAACGCCATCGGGGAGGATGCTGGAGTCTGTTATTCCATCTCCCTTTTCGGGGTGGAAATAAGGCCCCAGAACATGGCAGCGTACGGTTAAGCCTATTGAGACACGCAAGATTATATCCTGAGAATCCATAGGTAGTTGAACTAAGTTTTTAAATATCTACCATGTTTGACCCTGCAACCGACGACGAATGCTGGTAATACCCGCAATTTGCTCGCGATCAACAATGCCTTCAACTCGCTCAAAACTGAAACTGCTCTTCTTCTCAATCTCACGCCCAGTTTAACACCTCAGCATTCACCATGTGCCACAGTAGACTCTTTTGGTGGGATTCACTCGGGAGATTGAGGGCAGTGTGCCGTTTGTTGTGTGACTTAATCCCCGTTTGCAGTCCTCGACAGGGAAGAACAGGCAAGACAGGAGCCCGTCTGCCGACCTCGACTGCTTTTCCCCTTCCATATCCCTCTTTTCTCTTCCTTTCCTCTTCGCCGATCCGCGATTATTCTGAATTCAGCGGCGATTGACTCTGTCTGAACAGTCAGCATCATGGGTGCGACAGAGCGCCTGCAGCTCCTCTTTTCCCAGGACTCAGCTCTACTTCAGATCAACACTCATCTCCGTCCTACACCTCCTGCGGTCCCAGCTGTGGAGCCGGCTATCGCTGATCAGACAGTCCACACTCTTTCAGGGGCGTCTGGAGATGAACCCAACAAGCCCAATGTTTCCGTCGAAGAAGCAAACAGTACACCTCCAGTCCTCGATGCCGTGAATAGCCCTCATGATACTGCACCTAGCCCTCACGATGGCACATTCTGCCCCATGACAGCCATTTCTAGGTTTCCATACCATTACATTCGAGGAGACCTTATGCAGCGCGTGGCAAGCAAGTTCTTTGACAAGAGTCAGTTTTGGGACAGGTCCTGGGACCTGTACGTGTTTCCTCGCTTGTCCTAGTTCTCGATAACCAACACTAATGTACCTAGATACTATATCCATGCACCCCCTCGTCTCGGTGGACGCCCGCTCGTTCTCGTTCCTGCGTCCCAGGTCCGAAATTTCTTTCGAGACATTAACAGCGCGCTTGAATGTAATCTCTCACTTCCACCCGATGAAGAGAAGGGGCTTGTTCTCAGATTCAACCGTGACGGATTCCCGCAGCCTACCCTCCTAGGACACTCGGACAGCCGGGCCACTAAAGATCGCCTGGAGTCGGATATCCCGTCCGAAGGCAGTCTCAAAGTTCGACCAGGTGAAATGGACGAGCAGTGGATAGCATTTGAAAAGATGATGGAGGCAGCTGTCTCTTCGGCCAAGTCCAAATCCAAGTCTAAAGCTAAGAAGCAACGCCTTCGTATCCAACGCGACTTGGACACGCAGGATGCAATCAGACGAGCAGAGTGTTACCTTGGCCTGCGTGTAGACCCCTCAGACCTGATCGACTGCAAATGGGACGAGGACTCTCATCCCGGCCCAGAACCTCCGCGTCTGGCAGTGGACAAACCGGTTCCCTATCCCTTCTGGAGAGAGCCCATCTTTATTAGTGTCGATGTCGAGGTCAACGAGCGTTGTCATACTCAAGTCACAGAAATAGGCATCTCAACCCTTGACACTCGTGACCTCATAGGCGTTGCGCCGGGACAACAAAGCGAGGATTGGGTTTCGCGTATACAGTCTCGTCATCTCCGAGTACAAGAGTACGCATACCATGTCAACCGGTTGTACGTCCGCGGGTGCCCCGGAAGTTTCGACTTTGGTACTAGTGAATGGGTTTCATCCGATGGTGTATCAACCACAGTCCAGAATATTTTCGCCCATCCTACCTTCTTTGACGGTCCTGACAGAAAACCTCGGCCATTGGTGCTCGTCGGCCACAATCTCGATGCCGATGTCCAGTATCTTCAACTTGCAAAAGTAGAAATGGTTGAAGAGTCCAGTGGAGCTTCTAAGTTCGCCGACCACATCGACACTGCATCATCCTTTCGGCTTATTCGCGGTGAACTAGAACCACGATCTCTAGGCGCGGTCATATATGAATTGGGAATATCTGGATGGAATTTGCACAATGCCGGTAATGATGCTCGTTATACGCTGCAGGCCCTGGTGTCCATGTTAGTGGCACACAGCATTAATTGGCAGTCTAGCTCGACGTCTCAAGACGCCTGTAAAGAGGGGGATGATGATGCGGCACCTCATACCTGCGTTGATACAAACACGCTTGAGGAGCATCTCTGAGCTACCTGCACTGCGCTTTCTAAACTCCACATGAATGTACATCTCTCTACGGTTCGTAGAGTAGTCCACATGTTTACCAAGAGAATATACCTTAATTTAAATCGAATAAGCCTTATTTAGCAAGATTAAACACATTTCCATTCAGAACTTAATGAATTTGACAGCTGACTTATTGTGCTAAAAGCAAGATAGCAGTAGAAATCCAAGGAAGAACTACTTACGGATGTTCATGCGCGCAACCTTCTGAGGAAGTAGTAAGCCTGGTGAATAACCAAAAACATCGATTATCCTTTAGCTAGAACAAGATTGACGTTTAATTACACATTTTGACGTATTTCTCACATTCTGACACACGATAAAAATCTCTGATGGTTTTGTGAACGATCACCGTACATGGAAGGAAAGACTAGAGCATTGGAACATAGGGAATGACATACTGAGAAAAAGCGAAAATCAAATAGAGACCACCAAAACACATACACACACACACGTCTATGGCCAATAGTCGAAAGCGATGGTCTTATTTTGTCGAAACTCCTCTGCTCTTTTGTCTTGCAAACCCCAAGCAGAGAACATCTTCTCCGACATAGTACTCCCAACATGTTTTTATAGATAGAGTGCACTTTTTCGAATTGACATCTCGATCGAAATTCAAGTAGTCCGACGGGTTAGTACCGAACCCTGAGTGCAATGATAAATTCAACTTGCGCAACTGGGGCATATTTTGTGTAGCCCACCCCATGGCCTGGTAGATTGCATCAAGCTCCTGGCTTTGGACGAGACGTCACTTGTAAAAGCCCCTATCAACATAGACCCAATTATCTGAGTCTTGATCAACTTCCGAATCCGATGGCATTGATGGATAGTTGTCGATTAGCCATATGACCTACTTATATTTAGTACATAACCATGATAGTACTGTGAGGTATGTGAGAAGCGTACCATCAGCTCGATATGGTGGCATAGCCCTAATATCCAGAACCTCAAGCTTCGGCCAATGTGGGTCACACATGGTGTCCGTGGGCTCTGCTGGGCTGGGCCAGAAAAGTGAACTGCTGATTCTTACAGAATCCAGACGAAGTTCACGAAGACGCATGTTGAGGTTGCGGAGTGCAATGGAGAAGCTGTCAAGTCCCGTTGAGAATAGGTAATCTGCGGCATTTACTTCTGGGTTGTATGCAAGCTCTCTAAATTTGTACGTTTCGTAGCTAAATATCTCAAGGGAATCTGGCAGTGATTTTAAGACATTCGGTAATATCTATGAATATCCATGGAGACACTCGGTTAGCGCAAGATGAGAAACTTGAAGAAAGGTCAAGTACTTGCCTTGTCTGCATTCACGAAGAGCTACTAGGGCAGCTCGTGGTATGAATCGTCCTTCCCCAGCACTTATGTCCCTAATACAGGGCAAACATTGTGCAATCCCGAACAATGCTTCTGGCCTGAAGGTGGTTTGATTAAGGTCATGCAGCCTAAGAGCTTTAATACATGATGGACGAGCAAATCTTTCAAGCACATCCTCAGTAAGATTAATTGGATCAGGGATCATATACTGCTCAAACAACTCTTTCGTTGTAAGCGATATGAATGCTTCTGGTTTCAATCTTTCCTCGTTGCTAAGATCACAACAGCATAGGGCTGCCATCTCTAGGTATGGCTCTAGAAAAAGCTCAATCCCGGAATGGGTTTCGCCCCAGGCATCTAATATCTCAAGAAGTCTCTGCAATGGAATAAACCACTTGTCCTGGCGGGAATCAAAGCCTAGGAAGAAAGTGTCCTGGTGAAGATAAGAAAAGGCCGAAGATTGTGTTACTGTTGAGAGAAGGCAGATGAGGGTTGTGTTGGTGGGGGAAACTCGATGGTTGAGAAGAAAGTTTTGATGACGAGGTAGAAGACGAGAAGGAAGTGTATCTAAACTCTGTATTTCCGGAATCACTACAAAGAGCCAGCGTGTATTCTCACCCGAGCAAAAGGTAGTCAGTTCCATAACCCATCGTGATACAGTAGATGGACATGATCGGTATCCAGAGGCTCCGTATGAATTTATATACACCCACAGATTACAGTGTACCTGATATACTCCTACTCCCTTATGGATGACGTAGTCCTCCATTGTAAGTGCCTCCCACAGGTTTCTGCCGAAATTTCGACTCCTCTCCAGTGTTATGTTTTCTTCTCACTGTAAGTAGCGTCTGAAACCAGAAGGCTGAAAACAGCGTTTGAGCTCTGAGTACAACAAAGCCCAACTGGAAATATTGGAGTGACTGTTTATGTATATTTACTGGTGTCGAATATTCCTATAATCGAGAGCTAGGCTTTAGAAAAATACCTAAGGGTCGTATGTAGCGGATGAAGATCCATGTATACTAAGAGATGGGAGTAGATAGATGAGACCAGGATAGCAGCTCATACCAACAGCCAGTACCTCTGAAAAGCAGAAGGCCATGCAAGGCTATATCTTGTATTGAAAGGGTGTTAATACATGGACGCTTTCATTGTAATTGGCATATCATTTGGTTCGTTGACCCTGCGTTATGAATGAATGTTATGTCTAGTTATAGCTATATATATATATTTTGTATTTACACTAGTACTCAGACAATAGAAGCACCTGCACCTCAGGCTGTGAAAGTGAGTGTATACTTATCGGGAACAACATATTTTCAATTATAGAATGGACGTTGATTGTTATGGCATCTACTCATTTGACTGCATGAGGAAAGAGGATTCGCTAAGACCTGGACATCTCATACGCCAAGCCTCATGGAATGTCTGTCTTTGATAGAAATGCTGGCCAGATTCCTTGCATTCCATCGCAGATGCTCTAGAATGCCTCATGCGCTCCGCTGGATCAAGACCCAAAGTTATCGCTACAAACTACATGGCTTCCGAGCCAGACAGTGAGGTCATGTAGCCTTGGCGGTTCACTTGGCGCGCCCGCATGCTATCGGTGGGCAGGGCGAAGGCCCAAGCACAGGCTGGTATCATTCCTCCGTCTTGCCAAGCAACATTCCATGGCAGATGCACGCAATGCGTAATACCTCCGCTGCCCAGGACCCAGGGAGGAGGGCCCTCGCCGATATCAGAACCGGGATCGGGGAGGGGAGGGCAGGATGACCCAGTGTCGGGAGCGACTCTGCGAATCTGTGCGAATCATTTCTGATACCGTGTGAATGGCCTGCTAACCTAACTTTGTGGTCGCCCCGGGACAATCTCGGGGAATGATTTGGCAGCTGGTAGCATACCAGATTACCGGGTTATCCTGGAGTAGGGACGCCTGAGGACTGCAGTGCAACATACTGCGCAATCACTTGACGTGCTTGCTTTGATGTTTAGAAAACGGACAATTTTCATCGTGGACTTGCTGTGCCGGCAAAAAGCATCATGGATGTGTCCTGCTGGCTGGGAGACGACACACGTACCGCCGGAGCGCTCACCCAGCATTTTGAGTTCGACGAAACAGGAAATCGCCAGCCAGCACTCAAAGTCAGACAGGACAGGCAGCATTATTCGGGAAAATGGACGTAGCCAAAGCGAGGTTGCCATGTTCGTCTGACTAAGTTGGCCCTCCACCTCGCCGAGGCTTCCAAGACTCTTGTCCAAGAATTGCTTCCAAGACTGTCCACGGAGCGGGATTGTTGAGCCAAGGCCATGACCGTGGCTAACTCTCGCATGTGGAGAAGGGGGCAACACTGCGCATTCTGGCTGTCCTAATCAAACCAATTGAAAGGCGCACATATTTTCCAAGGCCAGAAAATCTGGAGAATTTGCAGTAATTCGGCGAGAAGGCCTGAGGATTTAAGAGCTTGACTAATATTAATAATGAGCACGTTCTTTGACCTCAAGAGGTCTGAACTCTGGTCCGTTGGAGACTGGAGTACCAGGTCCTGTAATCTGACTGTATTATTTCCACGACTCGGGGTTTCGCACATCCGCTTGGGCCCAAGGGGGTCCGCGGGCCCCATCCATGATTATTCTGGAGACCCCAACTTCGCTTCTTCATCACGTTGAAACGCACCTGGGTTACTGTCAGACACGAGTCAGAGAGATAACTAATACGGCCAGACAGCCAACACCGAAGGAGTCAGCCCATTTGCTTCAATGCTTTAACTAGAATTGGGCCCGGTGTTTGCATATGTGCTGTACGAAAGTGCCTGTCGCATGCAGTGTGGAAGCGCTGTGGCGTTTTTTACTGAAATGAACAATCACGTGGCTGGACTAGTGGTCTTCATTGCTTGGCGAAATAGAGCGACTTGACAACAAATCCATTGGTTCATCCTATCGTAACCGCAATAATATTATCACGGACGCTGCATGGTACTCGAAGGGCAGTTTCCAATTCGGATCATGGATCCATTTCATCTGAATCATCTGAACAAGTGCTGATGGAGGGAAAGTTACCAGTAAGATACGCCATAGTACCACACAGTACCGCTAGTGCTCGGCGCTACCACGCCACTGCCCCGCACGCTTGGCCCGGTCCCGACAAGGAGTGGCTCTGGGCTTCTGCAAAGGCCCAAAAAGCCAAGGAAAAGTCCGGCTGAATGTCCCCAAGAAGTCCGCCCGGCTGTGTTTCTAGGCAAAGGCTCGGCTTTTTCAGTCCGCACTGCCCAAGCCTTCTCCCCCCCCCTTTCCCAAGACTTTCCTCCCTTCCCCTATTTCTTCCTATTTCTTGTCATTCTGTCTTATACTTGGCCTTTTCCCACATTTCTCCTCCCCCCCTTCTCTTCTCATCACTACCCGTTTTGCTGTCCTGCTACGTACTTATTTGTTTAGACACGCGTCTCTGGTACTCTGGCCGACCGTGTGCGATCGATCACATTCGACTTTGCGTACTGGCCATCACCAAATCGGCCTCTGTTTGACTGGTGATTCTTTTTTCGCGACAAAAAACGCTCTGATTTCGATTCAGAGTGCTGAATCCCCTTCCGCTCAACACCAAGAAACGACAAGAAATCTCTTGGCAATGTCGGACCAAGACACAGCAGCCTCGACCGTGG